CGCAAAGTCGATCGAGGTTCAGAGTTACGAGAGACTCAGGGCTCATAACCTGATGAACTTCTGGATCTGAAGGCAAGAGCGATAATTCCCTAATATATGATCCTCAGTCAAGTATAAGGGAAAAGACTGAGTTACGCATGTAGTACCTAATATATGACTACAGAGGCATCATAAGTACGTTAGGACATAAGGGACATGAAGGGACATGACAGACTCACTCCTCAGTCAAGTATAAGGGAAAAGACTGAGGAGATGCGGAGGGAGAGCTCCTGGTATATGTGAGGGAGCTCGAGGGAAGCATTTCCATAAAGGGAACAAAAGAATGTGCCTAAGGCGGTAATATCAATCAGGAAAGATAGAAGATCGCAAGGAAGAACACAAGAATAGAACATGTGAGAGAATCTGTACATAATAGGTAACGAGCGTGTGATATTTCCATATTTGTACGATATACAAAGTTCAACAAGTTCCCGCACCAAGGCACCCCAAGAATATTATGTATGTTGTTTTGAGCAGGGTAACGATTACACGGCAAAGGCAGATCAGGCGTGGCTGTGCACACTTTTGCCCGTCATCGAGTCATGGATGCGTTTCTCTCAGAGTCTCAGCTTTGTCCATCACATCCGCACCGATGGTCACCGAAGTACAGACTTCAGTGGGAGGACGTTCCGTCGACAACCTTGTATCGAAGCTGCGGCGTCGGTCCGTTGTGATCAGCTACACGTCTTCCGCTATGTTCAACTGAGACTATTTCAGGCAAGTGGTGGGATCGCGAGAGACTGCCCTTGAAACAGTCCTTGTCCTCCGACAAGTGGTATCGAAAGCCCGGTTCTCCAATTTCGAGCAGCTTATCGACCTGATTCGGGCGGTGGGACGAAAACTAGTAGAGGCTCAACCTAAAGGTTCTGCTGATTCGCCATGTATCGTAGCCTTTATCGGTTCTCACATTCATGAAATCATCTTCGTGCAGAACATACTGTTGGTAACACCGTGCGGAAAGTACTACACCACATACGAGAGGAATACTCGACCGTCAAAGAAGGGACGTCGATCGCTCCGACTACCAATGCACCTACAGCTTTCTCCATCGCGAAGTTCGTGCTCCAGGGCCAACCGCGACAGCAAGCTGCCACCGCGAAGTCAGAAGAGAGAACAACACTGAAGGAGAAAGACACCGATGATCCCGATTCATTCGCACGTGGCCTCAAGCCGGTGCTCATGGAAGCCATCCAAGATGTTCTGGATGAATTGGAGACGGTATACGACAACGTTTCGAAGAATGCAAAAGACCATATCCATTCAGAGTAAGCAAATCGCCACAGGATATGTGTCCACAGGCACTGATCGTGAACAGCGAAATCATTCTCACTATTGGAATGTCCAAGACTGTCGAAGCCTTCCTCAAAGCAGCAGCGAAAGACAGAAAATATACTGTCATAGTTGCAGAGAGTGCCCCTTCGTGAGTCCCAGCAACATTTACCCCGCGTTGAGCTGTACCTCAAACTCTCCGCAGATACAGCGGCCATGACATGGCACGAGCCTTGTCGGCAGCCGGCATCTCCGCGTTCCTGGTCCCCGACTCCTCCATTTACGCCCTCATGTCCCGCGTGAACAAGCTCATCGTCGGGTCACATGCCATACTCGCCAATGGCGGTATGTTTGCCGTAACGGGTACTTTAATGGCTGCGACAGCTGCACGGGCACATAGCACGCCTATCGTTGTTTGCGCTGGACAATTCAAGTTAACGCCCTTATGGAACCTGTATCACGAATACGGCGCGCTAGACTTCGCAGATCCCAGTGCAGTGCTTGGTTTCGAGGAGGGAGACTTGGTGGATAAAGTCGACGTGGTGAACCCATTCTACGACTACGTTCGGCCGGAGATGGTTGACGTTTATATCACGAATGAGTATGTGCTTCGCTCATGCCGCGGCGAATTGCATGACTAATTCATTGCAGTGGCGATCATCCGCCTTCTTCAATCTATCGGTAAGTAGAAAGTAGTATTTGACGTTGCAATTTGTTGCTAATCGTGTCTTAGACTTATCAAGGAAACCTACGACGACGACGAACTGTAATACCCGTGGGATATGGACGTACACTGCGCGGGCTGCACCATTCGAATTTGCGTTCACCTGGAAGACTAAGATACTTACATGTACTATAATACAACACCGGCACGTCGTTCTCGTCATCAATAGAATGTAGCTGTAGGTTCTAGACATCGACGACTGCAACGATTGCAATGCGCCGATCCCCGTAGCCCTTGCTTAGCACAAGCGAAAATCGACCCGAAGCTTCATCCAAGCTCGCATGCACCGCTACTTCCTCAGGCTGGACAGGGATAATCATCGATCCCAGCAACGGTTGAGACCATCCTTTAGATCCTTCGGTGCGACGTGGAAGTGTGCAAGTCTTGACCACTATTCCCGCTTGAATGACTTCGCTGCCTAGACGTGTCACTTTTGTCCGACCGTGGTCCCAGAGCGCATGATAGGAGCCGAAAACGCAGTACTGAGGTGGTGTGAAGAAGAGACGGCAATCGAGGGATCGGCGATATCCTGGTTCGGGTTCAGAGGCGAACATGTGCATTGTGTTAATCCCCATGATCATCACTGAGCCGACGTGACCGCCTTCTTCCTCGTTCCATACTATGGGGGACGCATGACGTAAAGCGTGTTGCAAGCGGAAAAATGTCTGCCATATCGGTACAATTGGTATCGGCGAACCGGGATGCTGAGCGGTATTCGCCAAGGAAGGAATTTCATAAAGCGATAAACCGAGCGTGTGGGATATGAGCAATCGATCCTTCTTCAGTGGCAGAAGCAAGAAGTCTTGACAGCTCTATAGATTCGTCAAGATTGGCACTGATATGGGCTTCGCAACAACGCTCACCAGTTCCGTTCCTAGGTTAAGTACAACGGAACCAACATCACCAGTGGATTCGGACAGCTCAGGGATAGACTTCACAAAGACGAGATCTTCATCCGTATCCGTGATGCAACTATAAACGAAGAGGTTTCCGGCGACAGTGTACTGAGTGAGGCCACTCGCAACAACATGCGAGATCTCCTTGAAAGCGGGCCTTACGGTGTCCAGCAGATACAGATACAAATCATCCCCAGCTCTATAGTAAATGTGTAAATCCCTTTTCAAGACAACAGAATGTGGAGAGACTCACTGTGCATCAGCAGGAGCTGCTATTCGCAGTAAAACGAGCGTTTCCAGGGCAGACGTCGTAAAGACCTTGCATCTGACATAGGGAGACCTGCTGCAGTGTTTAACCTCCGCTGTTGGAGCAAGATCGCCCATAATCGATGTCAGCTGCAGAGTGCCCTCATCGAGAAGAAGGAGCATCAGGTCTCCGCCGGGGAGCAGTTCAGCCTGTCGGACGGACGAAGAGCATTGGATGTATCGAATGGCGCTCGGGCGGTGACCCTCCTTGTGCCATTTATGTTCTACGGAGCTCAACCTGACGGCGCATGTTCGCAGCTGTTCTGTTGACATGGCGTGCAGCTTCTTGGAGATGTGGGGGTAGGGTTGGTTTCGCAAGATGTCGACAAGGGCGTTATACCAGACACTGCTTTCAGCTAGTACCTCGTAGAGACAACGACACGTCTACCATAGGGTCTCGTTAATGCAGTATAGGTTAGCAGGCAGTGTGAGTACAGCTTACCATTTGACATGTCACGACGTCCTGGACCGAGAGAAAGCGCATGATATGCCAGGTAACATCGAGCGGCAGAGAGAGAAGCTCCATGATATCCAAGGAGAATGTTTTGCACAGTTGCTCACAGCCACGGTGGTAAGCTGAAGGTAGATGTCCGAGTTACGGGTGGGTTCCTGCGTGATGACTGGCGTTATAAGCAGTCCAACGGACCTCCGAAGCTAAGTTCAGCACCTGGCACCAACGCGTGATGTAATCGACTACCGCGTCTGTGGCTGTGCTCTATGGCGCGAATCTCGGCCTTCTTGCCGGGTTGAACGCGAGATGGGGTACGAAACAACTAAGATAGGGCTCATTCAGTTTCAACAGGTGTGATAAGTGCTGTGCAGCGAATTCCACTCGCTACGGGGTACACACTTTAAATCTAAAACCACAATTCTCTTTGATTGTACATTATCTTGAAATCTGTGGCGGCGATTTCTGTGAATTTTGAGCGTAGAATATTTTATTCGACTAGCAAGACCCGTGGGACCTGTTGAAACTGAATGAGCCCTATCTTAGTTCCATCGAGGAATGCATTCTACATTCCAAGGAAATATCCACAGTATCCCCAAGCACATTCATCCGTTCTATCTATTCCTGCAACGGCCCGAGGACACATACCGGATCTTGTTGAGAGCACAGGATCACACACCGCACGTCTCACACCCAATCCAAATTTGGTCCTTCCCATATCATGGCGCGGCGGACATGCCGGCTTTTGTCCATATTCGGAGGGCGACATCATCAGCGGATCTTGTGCTTTTCTGTACAGCAAGAGCAGAGAAACCTCCGTCGACATCGCTTCCACCCAAGTTCGCGCCGGCTTGTACCAAAACATCGACGGCACTTTCATGATTTTGACGAGCAGCCTGAGAAGCGTCAGTCGCGCAAATAGCGTGCGACATGTCAGCTCACATAGTAAAGCGCGGTGTGTCCTAGGCTATCCCTGAGATGGACGAGAGCCCCGGCCTCCAGCAGAGTCTGCACGCATTTGACACTGCCATTAAGCGCAGCGGTATGCAGAGGAGAACGTCCGCTTGCAGGATCAAGTGCGTTGACAAGAACGCCGGCGATCGCTTGACTCTGTTGGGGACGGTCGATGACAGGGCTATTGACCCCGACAGCAGGGTCGGGCGTCGTCGTCTTGATGCAAAATCGAAGCGCTTCGACGTCGTTCTTGGCTGCCGCGAGGTGAATCAGATACGGAAGCAGTGCAGCTTCAGTGGTTAGAGCCTCAGAAGCCGTCCACGACCAAGGCGCGGTCGATTCGCTGCTCGAAATAGAGGAGGAGTCAATCAAGATTTGAGGGGCTTGCGCCATGGTATTGGCGTTCGACAAGCGAACGACCTGCGTGAGTAGATCTTGGATGCTTTCGAGGTTTTGCTCTATGGAACCGGAGGCAGGCGTAGCAGTCGAAGGTCGAGTCAGTTCGCCACGAAGAGGAGTTCCAATGAGCCTCCTGACTTCTGATACCGACAACGCGGGTTTCGATAATAGATAGCTGAGTTTGGTTAAGGCACATTCGGGTGTCATGTCGCCGCCGGGAACAACTCCGGCTTGAAGCAGTGTACGCCCTGTTTGGTATGTGTCGCTTACTGTACCCCTTGAGCATTGCGATATTGCGACGATCACGACGCCGCGATCGCACGCTTCCTTGAGGGTGGTCATGAGGTCGGCACGTTGAGGAGCATTGCCTGCGCCGAATGTCTCGAGCACTACGCCTTGATCACCATCAGTCCCATATTAGATTGAGCGGTGTTGCATGTATATGTCACCTACCTTTGATAGGAGGAGCGAGAAAAGCGCGGACAGTAGCGCTAGTGATACCAGGAAAGAGCCGCAGAGTCGCTAGTATAGTTTCAGCATTGATGGCCAGTGGATTCCTCGATTGACCTACCAACGTGTGTACTCATGGTCTTGTGCGCATGAAACCTGCGAAGGCCAGTCTGCCTGATGACGTCGTTCCAGTTTATAGTGATGTCAATCCCAACTGTAGGTTTACTGAATACAACTTCGGCATGAAGGCTTCAGGGCATACCATCGACTAATGGGGGAAAATTAGGACTGTCGAAAGCATCCAGGTCATAAGACGACATTTTTGACACCCTGTTGCCTCGATAGAGGGTGTGATTGAAAAAGAGAGAACATTCTGAAATTCTGATCAGACCCATCCATCGAGGGCAAAAAGGCGGCCTTACCAGGTATAATGTAATGACCGGCGATCATTAGAGCCCCGAGCAGGTTGTCAATTGCGTCGTTGCGTAGCTATTGTCCGGACATGAGTATGTGTACGAAAAGCGTGTATGTTTACCCACTTGGGAGAGAGGGATCTGAGCTCCAGTCAGAATAACGGTCTTTCCGAGGTCTTCCAGGAGGAAGCTGAGGGCGCTGGAGGTATATGACATAGTATCCGTGCCGTGCAACACAACCTGAGATATTACAATCCAGTTCAGTACTGGAAAAGTACCATGGACATGGCGAGGCCACTCACGAATGCATCGAACCTGGGCGAAGGTCTGAGCGGAAACGTAACCTTTTATGATCGGAGAACCCACAAGGGATAATTAAGCTCAATCTCGGTCGCAATCCGGATCCAATCTATCCTTGAGAAATACGTACAGAGTGAGCACCAGAATATGCTGCGAGTTTCGTTCTCTTACCATCTATCTCGATATTGCTGCTATCCAAGAGCGGATTCCACTGGTGACGGCATGATCAACTGCGCGAGCGCTGCCATCCGAGCACGAACGCACTTCCAAGACAGCGTATCTGATTCGCTTCCCGCCATTTCCATGCAACGCAGGCCGTGGAGTGATCAAACTGGGTATATCGGCCTCGTAGACGTTTTCCTCAATCTGACGACAGGTTGGCTGGCGGGGGCTACCCCCACTGTAAGGCTGCACACGCAACCCCATTGTATCTCCTATCGGGCGAGAGGAAAGGACACGAAGGGTTGGAGTAGCTGGCGAGTAGCTCGTCGGCGTAGTTCTCTCTCCTGATGGGCTGGTACGTCCTGAGGACGAGCTCCATTCACGAAACCCCGCGACAGAAGAGGAGTGAGAGAAAAGGGACTCTTGAAGCGGGTCATGGAATCGGTTTTGACTGCGCAGTGTTTCCGTCAAGAAGTAGGGCTCTGGCACGTAGCCTTCCTGACCGACAAGCATGCCAATGGTACCGCCCGTATAGATGATTAGCACCTGAGAGTAGGGTCAGTTTCAGGTTGGCGGGTATATCGAGTAGCCGACCTTAGACTCATCGGGTATCTGCGACAAATCCATGATATGGGGAGGAACACCTGTTATACTATGCACTGTAGATGCAGGTTGAACTTGGGAAGCAAAAGGACTGCGTAGATCACGGGACCGCTGAAACACCTTTCTCGAGCTTCGACTCGCTTGCACAGATCTTGTCGCTCTACTCTGGCTCTCGAGACTACCTCAAAATGGCGTCAGTGTTGAAAACACAGCGATCCAATGCAGCGAAGGCATCTGTCGGGGCGAAACGTAAAGCAAACGAAGCGGACTTCCCCGAAAGCTCTCAAATTTTACCCCCGAAGAAGAAGAACAAGCAGAGAGTGCTTATGCTGTCATCTCGGGGTATAACGCATCGAATGAGACATCTTATAAATGATCTGGAGGCACTTCTGCCTCACGTGAAAAAGGGTACAGAAACATCTTGTTCTCGATTTCGTATATACTGAGGCAGCACCTCTAGACGCGAAGCTTGATTCGAAGAACCATCTTAACATGCTGCCCGAACTTGCGGATCTACACAATTGCAATAATACGATGTACTTTGAGGCACGCCGACACGAAGATTTGTACCTATGGGCAGCGAAGACACCGAATGGCCCAAGTATCAAGATGCACGTGCAAAACATCCACACTATGGACGAGCTCAAGATGACAGGCAACTGCTTGAAAGGTAGCAGAGGACTACTCAGCTTTGACGCCGCGTTTGACGAGACGGAGTGGGGGAAACTGACTAAAGAGGTGTTCACTCATGTGAACACATTTCCTTTCTGCAGTCATTGATCGTTGCTCATGACATATTCACACAGATTTTTGGCGTCCCCCCTCAAGCTCGTAGAGCAAAGCCGTTCATAGACCATATTCTTACTTTCTCTCTGCTCGACGGCAAAATATGGTTCCGCAACTTTCAAGTGCGTTTTCACCGTATCGTACCAACTTGCCACTGAGCACTAGTAGATCCTGGAAAAGGATCCAGTCCAACCGAATGGGCCCCCCAAGACTACACTGGTGGAAATTGGGCCTCGATTCGTTCTAACACCTATTCGCATCTTTGAGGGCGCTTTTGGCGGGGCGACTGTTTTCTCGAACCCCGGTGAGTAACCCCGTCTTTGCATACAATTTTTCAGTTGCTCAGCTTTCGTGTACGTCCATCAGAGTTCATATCACCTGCTGCTGTACGGTCAGCTCTTAGGCGACGACAGGGTGACAAGTACGCGATTCGGAAGCACCAGGAAGAAGAGCGTAACGTCAGGAAAGAGGTTAATAGGATTGAGGAAGACGAGCTGACCGTTTCGAAGGTCTTCGCATAATTTGCGGTTCGTAGCTAGCTTCTGAGCGTCCGAGCGTTGTCTGAATCTCAGGCAGGACTCCATGACGTTATTATCTGATTTATCAATGATGTTTCACAAGCGTCACTTTGAATCCCGCGTCGCGCTGCAATATACGGGTTCTAGGACTACGTCACATTAAGCACAGCAACACTGGGTAACGTTAGCTACGGGACCGGCCGAGCACTCAAATAAGGCAGGAGGTGAGGTATTTGAACAAGGAAGCCATCACACAGGGTCTTTCTTGACACTTGGTGTTTTTATCGGTTATGAGCCGCATTCAGCATGCGAATCATGCGCTGATCCTCCACCATCCTTCCGTCCAGTCGGGGACGACCCAATCCTCCTTCGCTCCCTCCTAAGGCGGAGTGCAATGGTGGGAGCATATATGCTGGGCCTGGGGTCCCCATTCGCGTTGGCGGCCGCGGGGATACGGAAGGAGAGGGAGTCTCGGTGAGGGTCAAGGTTGACATCCCCAGATCCGAATTTTGGCGCGAACGAGCCTTACCGGACCGGTAGACACCGCTGGGTACTTGTATCCTGCGGAGATCGCGATCCTGGTCGACGGTGGGTATATTGGGAAGGTCCGCGTAGGTGAAATACGCTAGGAGCAGTAGTTTCCACGATGTAAGTTGCGGCTTTCACATCGTGGGTACTAGTTGACTGACCAGTTATGTGCCATTTTCGCGGCTTCGCAGACGAGCTTCCGGGTAAGGTGACGTATGCCGAGTAAGCCTGCTTGATCAATCCGAGCGGTCGGTGCTCGCTTCGCTCATAGTGAGACTTCCGAATGCATTTCATCAGGCATACTGTTGACAATCATGGCGCAAGCACTCACCTGTGCGGATGATGCAGGTGCACCTCGGGACATGCCGTCTACAAATCGGTATGTCCCAGGCGAGTTTCTGTCGAACATGATCTTGTCGGATCGAAGTACTAGAATCTGGATGGCGAAATCATACTCGCCGAGGGGCAAGACGTTCAGCAGGCCCGGCTGCGTCTTCTGACAATTTTTCGTCGTAGAAAAGGTAGGGCTACAGTGTTTGGTTGGTGGTGTACGTCAAGCTGAATGCAAATTATAGAAATACCTCACGCATACGCGACTGGCTCCAAACGCGGCCGTCCGTCCATCGTTTCAGCCCGGAATCGTCTTCGCTCTCTTCCCACACGAAGACAGCTCCCGATTGAATGAACGTCGATCTTTCAATCTCGTTCAGGCGACGCGTCACTGGTTTTAGTATCCCAAGTCGGACAGCCTCGAAGACCATATGCGCGTCTCGCGCGTCTGCGAAACATTGAGGTCACAGTTTTTTGCCTGAGGTGATGAAAGCTGACCACGAAGATGCAGGCGTGAATGTGTAGGACGCTGCATAGTGAATGGTTGTGCAATCATCGTTGACAGCACGTTCCTTTTATACGCAGCATGAGGTCTTACACGGACGTGAGATGAGGGTTCGTATTACCGGTTCATCGAGAGCAACGGCTGTGACTGCATTGATGACCGAGTTGGTCCATAGTCAATGGAGCAGCTTGCCGCCCATGCTCTAGAAACTGCGGCTCGGGTGATGAAGGACTGAACGCAGAGTCAAATCAGGCATCGCAACAGCGTCCATGAGGCAATGGGTGAGTGTAGACCTACAGCGTTCACATTTGCTCCACTTCGATTTCGCACTGGGCTGACATCTGCATGAAGCCCCGGAGTTAGACACATGGGCTTGAAGCCGCTGCCGCTTTCGCACGCCGACGATAATCTTCCCTCGCCACGGCGATTGTAATGGAACATCATGTGGCATCGAGGGAGACGGAAGCAGAATTGGGCCAGACAGGTGTATCTCAGCTGTCGGGCTCTGCTCCCTCGGGCGAGCAGTTCCCATGATAAGCCTACAGTTGCTCATATGCGAGACCTCGACGGATGTCCACGGTGGATGCAGGTGCATGCGCCCGCATTTGAAGCTGGTTCCTGAGGGAAATGGTTACATACCTCGGACGCTTCTCGGCCAGGTCTTCCGAGACCAGTCTCTCCGGTTGTTCCCGTTCTATGTCGGTACAGACTTTGAGTTTCTCATCCGCATGCCGAAACATACAGTCTTGGTCCGCTTCTCCTTCTTTGCTGTGTGCATCTACTGTTCACGGACTAGTTTACAGGCCGGATTCATGTACAGGATGTTCCCCCGACGTCAATATATATTGCATTGACGATCTCGATGATTTCGCCACGTTCGCAGTCCTGCGTTACATCGCCCAGCCCATGGGTGGCGACCTCGGCGAGTCATTCAGTACTATTCGCAGATAAACCTTTCCTTTCTCAAGTTGCTGCAACCCATCTCTATGGGACTCTCCCGCCGCAGCACGCTCGGCTATCTCGCGCGCCTGCCCACCATCTGGTGACGTCCCAGACGTAGCAGGTGGTGGTGGCTTTCGCTGAAGCTGCGCCGGTCATATCCGTGAATTCCTGGGACCTGCATCTAGCTCTTGCTCAGCACCTGAGCTTCTGATGGACCATTGAGACTCTCCCTATTCGTCAGCGTCAGAGTTCTCGCACCGTAGGTCATCCGCGGCGCTGGCAAGATCGTGTCATTCTGCTCGGCGGCGACTCGGGCACAGCGTGAGATGGCTGATCGCAGAGCTTGTATCAATGACATTGGTAGGATTTTTGCCAAAAACATCGACGAGGCCCCCCTAAGTGGGAGAATCTACCATGTCGTCGGGTCGCGTGTCCTCATCTCTTGTATGCTGCTCCGAGCCTAGCGGATCCGGAGCACTGAAGCAGTGTTACTTGTCTACTTCAGTGTAAGCAAAGGCTGTGTCTACACGCCACGTGCCAATTCGCACCCCCGCGGCTCATTAAAATCCTCTATCATTGCTGTCGCGCTTGAACTCCACCGACTGGACTACGCCGGACGTGTAAATATCCCCAACGTACCTTCTTCTGTCCTGTGGTGAAAGCTACACATTCGTCGGACATGGAAGGCAATGAACCCAGTACAAGCAGCCGATCGACTCCTAGTCTGGTGCAGTACTGCCAACGTGGTGCGCCGTCCACCGTCATTCAAGAGCCGTGCATCAATACACTGACCGCGCATCGCAGCCTTGGCGTTGCATATTGAAGGTTCGCTCACACTGACTTGCCTACACACCGCTTGACGACAGGTGCAGCTATCACGGATGTCGGCACTATACCATATACCTTGATAAAGCCCATGTTGGAGACTGTGGACCCTGAGACTCTCGACATATTGGAGACGGCGTCACCTGTACGTCCTGATTCCTGCGCTCAGACGTTCTACTCACGTCTGCCGGTGGACAGCATTTAGTACATGATACATCTGGTACGCTCATCATCCTTGTGCCGGCCACAGTTATCCTCATCACGAACAGAACTATGGAAACGCTTTTGCTTCCGTTTATTTCCTACAGCGGCCGGGGATGTTGAAAGAGAGAATCCTTCTACCTCAGTCGACTGGAAGGATCATTATCTTGTGAGCATGGATGATCCATCTCCTGGCTCAGCTAAACCTTCCTTAGGACATGCGTGCGCAACAAGCGCAAAGATTAGAGGAAGTCGCCGCGAAACTACGGAACCAGCGGCAAGCCGCGGAGAAGCAAAAGAAAGAGGATGCAATCAAGGTGACTGATCGACTTCCACCGGCGAAACGACCCAGATGTATGTTTCATGGCAACAAACAAACAGACCGAGCGTTGACATTTGCACCTTGCTAGGGGGAATGCCTGCGCCGCAGAAAACTTTGTTTCAGAAGACTCGCGACGAAGTTCAAAGGCGGGCGCGAAGCACATTTGGCTCCAAATCGACTATGCAAACCGCGCGCATAGTGCCCAACAACGTCAATGCCAAAGTTTCTCTGCTTCCTAATCGGGCTCAAGCATCTAGTGCTGGTGAACGGACAAACGCCACATTTGTGACTGTAACTAAACGGCCGTGTAAACCCTCAAACCCCAAACCCGCGCAATCCGCCCCATCAACGCAACCCGCCTTTTCGACTCCGCCACAACCACCGCCTTCAAGCATTTCACAGCAGACCGCGAAGCCAGTCGGTTCTCGTCCTATCAAGAGCCTGCCTGCAGGCAAGAAAGATCTAGCGTCGACTTTGTTTATGCCCAAGAATCGAGCATATTCACAGCTTAATCGTACTATAACCGGAGGTAACCGCTAACCTGGCCTCATTCAATCTACTGCTTTTCTACATCCCATTTTGCATTGGTCATCATCATCGTTGTCACACTCACGCCAGGTCTGTCCTATGTCTTCGTTGCATGGATACATCATCTTGCTCTGCATTGTACTATTCCCTTAGGTCGTAATGTAAAGCACATGTTCAATAGATAGAACTGAACGCGAGTCAGGCTCGATATGCACCCTCATGGGGCCGAGGTGAGCCACAAGATAGGGAGCCTGACGTTGGATGTTAGCATCCCTGTCGTTGATTGAAAGGTAGATATGCAGATCGAAACCATGACAGCATTCGCTGAACACGTTTGGCCGGCCCGGGTGACGAGCGGTGTTGAGCATCTGACACCACGGGCTTCCGGGCGGATATAGCATCGAAGTATACCATCAGCGGTAGGGACTATACCAAGATGCATCGAATGGCACCGAGGCATCTCCGGATAAACAACAGGATCTCCCCGGGGTAGGCCTCGTTACTCAGATTAAGCGTCATGGTCGCACAGCGCGAGCTCCGAAGACCCTATTAAGCGATGACTGCGTAACACGGTGTTGCTGAACGTGGCTTCGCCTCTCCGGGTGGAAGTTCGGTTGTCGGTTATCAGGCCATGGCTTGTGAAGGGGTTGTTCCGCATTGAATGAACCGACTGTTTGCGTGTCCGCCTGGTGAAATCTTGGATAGGACATTCTCATGTCACGTACACCGGCGCATGTTGATCTTGTCCTACCCCACAGGGAGGGACCGGCAAAATCTGATAACCATCGTCAAAACACGCAGAATCGTCAAACTCACGGAAAGCGGAGCCATATGCATAGCATGATCCCTCGGATACGATATTTGTCTTGACATGCATTACAAATTCTGGCGTCACCCAGATGCTTTCGAGCTATCGTACGTCTGCCGAGCATGAGCGAAAGATGACGTTAGACAACACCAGCCACTAAGAATACGTACCCCTATTGAAGTTGTGAACCCAGTTCGTGGTGGTAGATTGCCTGCGATATGCAAATGCCGCCGCCTTTCGCGGTACCTTCCACGATGCGCAAATCACAGGCACGCATGACCTTCCACGGACCTACACGTGTGTAGTGGACATGCAGGCACTCATCTTCAGGTTCCGTGTCGACGACATCTTCTACTGAGTTTGGTCTCATCGCGTTCACCGATCATGCATCATGGCCTGGTTCAAGCCAGGGTGTGGCTGTGCTCTCTAGACGCGTCAAACGTGATCGTGTTAATCACGTGCCCAGAAGTGCCACCACAGCGCGCCATGGCCGCACGCGTAGCAATCTCGCGCAAGACTTCCAGACCTGGCTTTTGATGACCGAGCTATGGGGCGCCCAAGTCGCAATCTCCATGAGCATTTATTATAAGTACACAAAACATATTGTTTCTCAATGACGTTGTAACGCGACTCTATAATATGCAATGTACAGTTGGTTAGGGAGACAAGCCAGGAATCTGAAGGGTTGTTTGTGTTGATTGTGTAAGTTCCATGAATATGCAGGGATTGAATGATATATATGCACAGTTGAAGTGAAAGATCAATAGAAGGCTGACCACAGTCGTCAGAGTGTCAATCCCGAAGTGTGAGCACGGCCGCCGGTTGCATCCCAGCGTTCGCGCGTCTTGCCCTTGCCTTTCGAATCCGGCTCGCTGATTCGCGCGATGTCGCTTGAGAACGTTCCGCCGGGCTCGCTCTCCCAGATTCTGACAGTAGCATCGTCAGAACAACTGGCAAACATTCTCGCGTTGCGCGGGTTCCACGCCACAGCATTAACACTTCCTCTCCCATGGCCTGATAGGACTTCGAGTAAGGCGCCGCTATCCCGGTGCCAGATATACACGTTCGCATCTGTAGATAGCAAATAAGGCATTAGCAATGTAGATATTATCGGGCCGGAGTCGAGAGGGAAGAAGGAGAGAGCGATGCTGAATGTGCGTCTGCCACTGCACACGAGGAAATCACGAACCTTCGCTTCCGCTCGCGACGAAGTTGCCGTCGACGCCACCAAAACAGCTCCGAATAACGTGGTTGCCTTGACGCTGTCCGGTTAACTTGCGCACTAACCGAGCCGTATTTAGATCCCACAGATGAATTTCCTGATCGGCCCGGGTCAGTCGTACGACGGATGGTGCCCAGAAAATCCCGCTTACGTCCGGAGTGTGGTTGACCAATGCATAGCGGGAGTCCTGTGAGATGCTCACGCTCGTGAGCTCCCCTTCCAGGCGGATTGACCTAGGGAAAAGAAGCGGGTTTAAGCATCGTGGTGCGATAGCAACCCCCTTTGTCAGGCCAGGATCTTACGTACGCTTCTGGCTGCTTCGTTGCTAAGTCGTACACAATCATGCGAGTCTCCCTTTGCGACACTCCCGGCGTCCCTGCAGCTGCCCCCGTTCCTGAATCGGCGCCGTTATGGGGGCCCGGATTCGGGACCGTTGGGACATGGTACATCCCCACTGCCACCACGCGAGTTAAATCTGGGGTCACCGCAAGATCCGTTACACGAATAGCCGTGGTCCCCCAATTATCCCGTTGCTTGCCGTCAGCGTCCTGGACGGGCTTTAAGACATGATTGACGGATGGTGTTGCGTCACTCACCCATAGAATGATCTTGCGGTCGAGAGCACCCGAGATGAATCCTGATCCATCTGGCAACCATACTAACGCTGTGACAGTCTCATGGTGGGCCGAGGGAAGTTTGCCCATGCATGCGCCGGTCTAACCAGGGGTTTCCGTTCAGTACACATGCATCCCAGGATAGCGCAACACACCGACCTGCGCGTTCCATCGCGTGATAACGTGATCTGCTCCTGTGAGTAGCACCTTATCATCTATGGACCAGGCTAGGCAGCCCACTTCGTATTCATGGTCGCGGAGCACAAATACTTGCGAGCATTCCCTCGTTGCAGCGTCCTCTTCGGGCTATGAATAAGGACCGCAGTCAACAGAGGGCTACATGTCGTAGCGCGGTTCACGCCATCCATAGAGTTTGCCAATACGTACCCCGACCTTCCAGATGATTGCTGTCTGGTCTTTGCTCACAGTTGCTAAGAATTGGCCGTCGTGGCTCCACTTGAGATTCCAAACTTCGTCCGTGTGTCCTTCGAGTATCATGGTGGTGATCCGCGGGAATGCGTTCTTGTCGCACAAGTGGTCTCGATAAAGAGAGAAGGCAGAGCTCGAGGAGGTCAAGGATGAGCCTGAACCTGGTATCGGGAGCGGGGTAGGTCCATTATGATATATACAGCTCTGGCGCTGATATGTAAGGGCTTGGGTTAATAACGTCGAGAAACGTCGCGGTGGGATCATGATGGATGATGGTATGAAGCCTGTTTATAAACCGCCGACGTCAGTAAAACGCCGTTCATGCGAGGCTGTGAACTAACGTTGTAACTCAGAAAGAAGGCGGCGTCTTGAACTTCCTGGAGAGTCATCCCAATTAACTCGTTGTCGTAGGTCCGCAGTATCAGCGCACATCAGCAGACTATAGGGATGAACGTTCATGATACTGAAGACGCAGGACCAAGTAATGTCTAACCTGGAGAGGAAATGCAAGGTTTCGGTGTCAATGTTTAAGGGAGTGATCTCTGTTCGCAACACATGTAACGCGGCTGTCGTGTCATCTTCTTCCAGTAGCTCCAAGTACTTTTGCCGACTGATCAGAAACCTGGCCTCCTGTAGTATGTAACTTTCAATAGGGCCATTAACCCTGCAGGACTGACGCTTACATAGAGGGCATCGTGATCGGCCACACCCAATTGCAGGAGAGCATCCTCGGCCTCGCCCCATAGCCCATCCAAAATGTATCGCCGGAAGTCGGATACTTGAGGTAATTCCATCTCATACCCAGATTCTGCTTCCAATGTGGCAGCAGATTCACTGCACGGGTTTGCGTGAGCTCCACGACGTACGTAGATGGTGGCATGTTCTCGAACTCACATATATCCCACCTCCCTCAAACTCTGTATTACGAGCCTCACAAACTCTTCCCGATCCACCAATGAATCATCGTACAGGGTCTTGCCGGGGAGGGATACGCGCGTCACCGACTTCCCGGATTTGCGTACGGAGAACCCTTCCTTCAACCCGGAGGTCGATGCGCCATTAGTGTGCCCATTGCTGTGTCCATTAGAGGTTCCGGGATTAGCGGAGGTGGATGGCGTTGATGGACCGGCAAAGGCGTCGTTAGCCATGGAGGGGGAGATGGAGAGTAACGATTCGTCGTCGCGCTCAGACAGTCGCATAACTGGTGTAGGGGTGGAGGTGTAGGCCGTAGCAGTTGTGGATCTGTCGAAGCCGAGCGCGTGTGCAGTGGGGGTCGGCGTTCGGTTCGGTGAATCGAGTCTCTGTCGTTTTGTCACTCTGCGTTGTCCGGCACCTGCGCGTATATGGTTGCAGCACAGAAATAGGAAATGAGACGCAAAGGGGAGGCTGCGTCAGCCGCGTGCACACCGTAGCCGGCATGACATACGCACTGGATACGACCCGGCCCTCACTGTCACTGGCGTCGTCTTCGTATTCGGACCTGGTGCGCCTCGTGGCAGATGCAGATGCACCCGACTGCTCGTCTAATAGTGCAGACAAAACGCTCGATGCCGCCGCGGGATTCAGAGCGATCGGTGGATGCCGCTCCTCCGAGCGATCAGACACGAGCGGGGAAAGGGGCGAGGGATCAATGGTTGCGACTGGACACGGTGGTGGTAGATAAAGAGAATATCAAGTGCAGTGCCAGTTCGAAACACGAGGCTTTCGATGGGGTCGTACCCCGGCTGGACGGTGGATAACGGCGCACTGAGCTCGTGCTGCGTGCGGTGGCTGAACGGAGGACCCCTCCTCCCTCGCTCATGCCTAATCGGGCCACAGGCACGACGCATTTGGGCTTTTAGGCTCGCATACAGTCCCTACAGGCGTACACAGGACGGTCGCGAATATCTATCGGTGCACAATACCGGTGGAGATCACCATGCGCAAGGGCCTCACCCCATCCTGCGCGTCTTCTAAACGTCACCACCAACTGCAGATCAAGTAGGCTTTGCACCGCCCGAGCTTGTAAAACGCCGCCCTAGCGCCGCTATCATCTTCGTGAACCTGTGCGCAAACAGGTGAGTATATTGAGCAAGAACTGCAAGGGTGCGGGAAGGACGTGGAGCGTAAGGCTCCCTCGAGGATATGGGGCATTGATCACTGCGGACGAGAGCAAGGAAGAAAGATACTGACCAGAACCAGTTCAGGAGGTTGAGCACAACATTTCCAATACCATACACGAGGAGGTAACCAACGGGAACCTGCCCGCGCACAGTATACAACGTTTCGAAGAATCGCCAGGACTGTTGGCAGATGTCAGACAGGATATCAACGCCGGTGTGCGGGGCCTTAGGCCGCTCACGACAATAGTTCCCCATATCAATCTAGCGCCAGCAAAAGTGCTGAGGAGCAGCACCCCATTGACGAGCTGAAGTTTTGTGCCGGTTTGTCCGGTTTTGTCAAGGAACCAGTGGACGTTGAGGAAGGGAGTGCTCCTGAAGTACATCTTCAGCGTGTGCCAATGCGAGAGGTAGTGTTCCGTACAATTCCCACATAAGACACCGAGTTCCGAAATATGCGAGGAAAGGCCTCTGCGGATCCAATCAGGATCATATTCAGAAAGTGATCCGCGCTTAACTCACAAACTCGAGCGTGTAGATCGTGAAGCATGCCAAAGCTGTCGTCGAGGTATTAATATACACACCAACGACACCAACTGAGCTTCTCGTGCTGACCATGAATGACGAAGCCGACGTCGACGAAGTGTATGAGACACTCGAGTGTATCCCATAGAAAATAACTAGGAGATGTTAGCTCGCAATCCGCCGGTTTATGGACTAGCTGCCTACCCAGACGCGATAGCTATCACCGTTCCCGATGGGTCATCCCATCCGAATGCACGATCGCGTTCGAGGACAGGATTACTGGCACATCGGGCAGCGAGCGGGACTATGATAATTGCGTGTACCAGTGCCACTACTCGATTTGACCTGGCATTTTCCTTCAGCTTCGCCACAGGACCCTGGCGAGCATCGTACCATTGATTCCGCTGCCTTTTGTTCATCTTCCCAAAGGTCGCAGGAGACAACCACGAGCTCAGAGCGGGTCCAACAACAAGGTGAACGGCCGTAAAGAAGGCAAAGGACTTGACGATGGTCGCGGCATTGTTAGGTAACTCCTTGAGGCTAAAGGCATACGAGAGATACGTCGCTAATCCATGGAGGATGTCGTCCATGACTCCGGTGGACGTAGCACAAGAGAACTAGAAGAAAAACTTTGGAAGGTTAGGCCGAGTTTGACTGCGGGCTGGTTGTTGGCTCTCTTAATATGCGGATCACCGGACGGCAAAGAGGATTTCTCCCGCGTGTTCTTCGAGCGCATCACCAATGTGGGTGCATCAGCGCAAGGCAATGGATCCAGACCGTGCATGGCCAAAAGAAATATAGCCATCTGGTCATTCAAAACGTGTAAGAGGTAACGCTGGTCGTGAAAGAAGCCTGACACGCGGCGGAGGCAAAGAAAGGCAATTCCCGACCAGGGGAGGCGGCCGACGCCGAACTGCGCGCACTGCACTGGCTCTGACGTCGCCTTCACCGACGTGCTCGCTCTCCACTCGTTGGGCTCAACAGATCTGAGCGCTCTCTCTGACGCTCTGCTCTCAAAACCTGCACTCGTTGATGACGTGTCGGCTGTAGCTGGGACTGCGCTGGCCGTTCCCACTTGATTCGCCCAAATTATTGGTCACTGCTTGACTTCGATACTCTGGCACCATGTCCATAGCTTCCGAATCCGTCTCTAGCCCTTCGAGGCCAACATCTCCAGTAGCTGGACAACAGGATAGTGCAGCGACCGCAGCTCGCCCATTCCGCTTCACATGGGACCCCGCATCACGAAGAGCAGGACCGGGGAGCGTCGTCTCGGAAGGCACGGATGCGAGGGGCGATTACTTCGGACAACAAGCAACCAGGCATGACTTGCTCGCTGGCTCAACGACATCGTTGGCACTCGGCGCACTACCTGCGGAATGGAGCAGTTCTAAACACGGCTTTCATGGTAAGCGGATACCAATATATCAATGATTTTGCAGACTAAGCTAATCTGCCGGGTAGCCATATCTACTGTCTTGAACAATCCGCATAAGCGTCAAGCGCCGCCGAAAGCACATTCACATCTCCCCACGGTGCCTCCAGCAGATCTCCCTCGTGTACGGCGCAAGGACTTCGATTCCTACCTTCGCGGAGTGACACCTGAATGGGAGCGTTTTCAAAGGAGCACACAACTCGGGCGCGATGGCGTTGCTTCCCTCGAAGGTCCCAGTCCCGGTCCGTCTACCAGCGCTGTACCGCCGACGCCTATGCCCGTGACGCCCATGACACCGCGCACGCCGCGTCCTCAACCAGGGAGAGCGTTACCACCGCTCGAAACCGTACCGCAAGTCTTCTTCGAACCTTCCTTCACTCTGGGAGACCCACGCACCTTCAAGCTTGTCACATCATCAGATGGCGACGACGATGCCGATCCCTCTGCTTTGTCCTATTCCCTCCCGCTCCTCGAAAAGCTCTCCCACCATGCCGACACCATCGAACAACACCTTGTTCGGGAAATCTCGTTACGATCGACATCCTTCTTCGCCGCTTTGGGCAACTTAAACGACCTTCAGACCGAATCCGAACGTTGTTTGGATCGAATAGCGCACCTACGTGGGTTGCTCAAAGACGTTGATGACAACAGCGCGAAGAAGGGATTAGAAGTCGTCAGCAGAGAGGCGAAGCTGCGGAATATCGCCCGAATGAAGGAGGGCATTAGGATGCTGGGTGGGGTCGTGGACATGACTGCAGTAGCGAAGGGGTTAGTGAACACCGGGCAATGGGGGCAGGCGCTAGAGGTTCTGGATCAGATGGAAGTCTTGTGGGAGACCGGACGGGAACGAAAACGAGACTCGCCCGGAGCCGTGACTTCACCTTCTCTGAAGGCGGCGTCTCCTCCCGCTTCCACCAAAGCCAACGGTCAAGCAGGGCCGTCCACACTTGCTTCTATCCCTGAATCCCCTTCCTCCGCAACAACACCCGCCCCTCAGGCGATCCTTCCAATATCTTCCCTCAGCGCGTTCTCCGCTCTCCCGTCCCATCTTCAAGCTCTCACCTTGGAAATCGCTCAATCGCTCACAGCCGAAGTCGTCGCCGCCCTGAAGGACGACTTGGTAGACCGGATATCCACTGATATTGGTGACTCCGAGGCGCAGGCGAGGTTAAGCAGCAGATTCAAGGATCGGCTGAGGCCGCTATTACATGGCCTGGTGCGGACACGAGGTGTCAGAGGTCCGGTAGACCCATGGCGAGAGAGCGTCTTATCGCAGGTCAAGGAGGTGGTCTCATCAGTGAGTCATTTCAGTGCTAACCCCGGTTAAGACCACGATCTTATTGGAGTTTAAGCATCTACCTGCTGGGGTTGACGTTGACAGTAGCGATGCCGCAGCCACGGAACCCGTACGGAACATGTCGCATGCGGAGTTCATAGTATTTGCGCGCAAGTTATATCGGACATTGCTGAACTGTATAGAAGGCTTGCAAACGCAAAACGTGATAATCATGGAGGTCCTTGAACCATTGATGTAAGCTCAAGGCGCCCACCGCCTTCGTCCCCTGCTCATTTTTCGTCCAGAACCGAGCAGACACCAATAGACACGACGGCAATGGTGGAAGATTTGGCTGACATACTCTCGTCGGCCACGGAACTGGGTAACGCGCGAATGGGCAAAGTTGTCCTTGCTCGTTCGGAGCAGCACACCAAACTCGATCTTCCCGATTTCATGACGTTCTTCCAGGAATCATGGGACTTCGTCGTCAAATGCGAAGTTATATGCAGGCGTATGACTGTTGGCCTGCGTGGTGTTATCGTTAGCCAGGTGTGTTTGCCCTTGCCGCAGCAGATAAATATCCAGAGTAATATTTCGACTCCCGTATGTAGGCCAAGTCATTCTTGCAAGCATTCCACCAAGCACGCATCTCTCAGTCCGCCGAGTTTGTGCATGACGAACAGTGGAGTGCATCACCGGTCATGCCGGAGACACAACATCTGGTTAGCATGCTGCTTGACGCGTCCGTGCGCGATCCTCCAGAGTGGATCCTCAAGCCGAACTCCTCGAGCGAATCTGCCCCGCAAACCCTTGCCGTCAACGGTACTGCATCCACGTCCCCCCCTGTACCGCCGCCTACTTCTCCTACACCACTATCGCCCTCGAAACCGGCTGCGAATGGCTCGGCTGCTGCAGCCAAGCACCTCCGCATCGAAGATCGGACCTACTTTGCGGTTGCCTCGACTGTGCAGGTCCTCACACTACTGGTCGACTACCTCAAGGTCATCGTCAACCTAAGCATGCTGACGACCGAAACGATGAGCCGGGTCATCGAGTTCATGAAGGCGTGGAATTCGAGGACCTGTCAGGTCGTGCTTGGCGCCGGTGCGATGCGCAGTGCCGGACTGAAGAATATCACCGCGAAACACCTTGGTATGCATTCCTACGTTGTGTGCGTTTTGACCGGGAATGTGACACGTTATGGCAATCTACAGCCCTTGCGTCGCAGTCATTGTCCATCATGATCTCGCTCGTTCCTTACGTTCGGGAGACGTTCCGACGTCATTTGAGTCCTAAACAGGCAGTCATGCTTGTGGAATTCGACAAGCTGAAACGGGTGCGCGGATGTCTATTCACGAGCATTGGAGAATGGCGATAGACTGACGCGAAACTAGGATCTCCAAGATCACCAGGAAGAGATTCACCGGAAGCTCATCCAGATCATGGGTGACCGACTCGCAGTCCACATTAAAGACCTGCAAGCCGTAGACTGGGCGAAACCCCGGCCGGGGGTAAACGCGTACATGGAGATGCTCGTGAAGGAAACTGTCACTCTACACAAAGTCCTCACCCGTTGGACCTCACAGCCCGTTGTGGAGGTGAGTTTTCTCCTCGCATCAGTATTGACGGTGGCACGGTCATCCTGAGCGATCCACGTATGGTGTGTAGTTCGTCATGTCCGAGGTTCTTGCGGACATCTTTCATCGACTCGGGCAAGAATATAGCGGTATTCAACTGCCTAGCGCCGAGGCTAAGGACAGGTGGGTAATCTTACCATATGAACGGCAGAATGAAAGTGGTAAGCCTTGGCGGCTGACCATATCTATTTTTACACCTCTAGGTTACTTGCCGATGCTCGGTATTGCCAGGAGAAACTGTCTGCGCTCAATGTCCGAGCGAGGAGTAACGCTATGCTCGAGACCATCGTCGGGGATAAGTCTGTCACGCCTTCACCCTCGCCGGCGCTGCAGCCAGATGCGACGCTCCACCGGCCCTCGTCCCAGATCCCATTATCGCCAACCGCACCGCAGCAACCCGTGACGCAACAGCGGGTGCCGTCCCTGTCCGCAAACCAGCGGATAAAGGGCATGTTTGCACGAGCTGCGAAGGCCGGCCTTGCGCACGAGCCGTTGCCGGCACCCCCTCGGGCGGACGTCAAGTCACCGCCGCCTCCACCTCCCCCGGATGCGTCAGAGAAGACAGCCGTCTCCAATATGTTCATGAACCCCACACCGCCCGTACCTAGATCTCCTTCGCCTCGGCCACCGTCGCGAGCAGGAAACGGCGACGCTGCGCTTCCGCCGATACCGCGCGAGGAATCAGCGCCTCGGCCGGGCTTCCGGCAGGTAGTAGAAGACGTGCTAGACAGGCGACGACAAGAAGCCGAGGGGGCGCCCGAACCGGAGATCAAGGTTTCTGCGGGTGATGCGCCCGTCGTCGCTCCTGCTGCCGTGCCCGCTGCCGCCGCGCAGGCTAACGCGGCGGAAACGCTGGGTTCGCTGGATGAGAAGGCAGCGTCGGCGATGCCGAGTCGACCCCAGGCGGGCCCTGATCCACAACCCGCGGAAGCTGCGCTTGCCCCTGCAGACGTCGCCGCGGCAGCCGCAACTCCGACGCCAGCAGGAGCAGGGCCGGAGGAGGCAGGCGGTGATTGAGTTTTGTTCCCTATTTCTGGGCCTCGTTCGTGTTGTCATGCCCGCGCCCGCCGAACCCCGATTGGGGAGGGCCTTCATTATGATGCCTTGTGTTTTATGGGCCATTCGCTTGATGGATGCCTCGACAATGCATCTGGATGCTTCTATTGTACATCTGTGACCTTCACCACTAGACCGCAATGCACGTCGTTTTGGAAGGTAAAGTGGATTTGAGATGCGCTGAATCACCATTCCTGTTCTGTCTTGTTCTGTCACTGTGCGGGGTTACCCCGCAAGAAGGCGTTGTGATGTTTGCCTATGGTTCACGCTCCCCTTCTTCTCCCGCAATCCAAGCATGGAAGCATCCCAACGTTATCAGGGCTGAGGCCTCAGGAGTGCTTTGAATTCGTGGATACAGCATCGGATTTTATCTTGTCTCCCGTTGAACAGCTCTTTCGGCTGCCTGATTTTACCGCTTGCCAGTGCCTGCTTTCGTTATCGGAACGACATGAACATACCTCCAAGATAGATCGCCGGTTTCTGTTGCCGAGGTGTTCGACGATAACATTCGATTTCACCTGAGAGTGACATCGCGCATTCAGGCCGATTCTGCAGCTCATACGGCGCCAGTCCATTCGCGGCCAAGAATGATGGTGAGTGTTAAATATCAGAATGCGGTCGCCGCTCCGGATCAGGCTTGGAGACGTCGCGTTGGGGCGTGACGGATATAAACAGAGAGCATAACGAGCTTCCCTGCGAGTGCACTGATAGGGTCCCCCCGGCCGACGAAGACGTTCGGCGCAAGCCATGGAAGGCATCTCAGTTACGATCGACCGAAAGCTTACTTTACCCTCGAGATGGTCCTCATAATACGAAGGTCCGGACGCGCGAGTGTGCAGTTGCGAGTTCTCATCCATTGCGCATTTTCGCGTACTCGATCCGACGGCCGAGAGCGGCGAAATTTGACTGAATGGCGTGCTCCCGGTGCGCCGCCGCGGGTGATAGTGCGAGGAGTTTACGCGCAGAACCGATACCGCTATCTCGACCGTGTCGAGTCAGGAAATTTTGACTCCTCACTGGCCAGCTGAGATAACGCGCGTCCCGCCTTCCGGGACCAGAGTCGGTGCTCGTCGTATCACTGGCTCGCACCGGTAGATAGGGTCTCCGCGGCCGAGCGTTATCGTCAGTGCGCATTCCGTTTCCGTCCGCTCGACTGTGACCCTCGGGTGAATCGCTTGAGCGTATGGTAACTCATTCCGGAGACCAGAACGCGCAAATCTTCAAGGATCAAGAGGCTCTCAATCAACGACGGCACGTTCGCTCCTGCAAGCCTTCAGCATGCTCGATCGGATGGGCAGCCTCCCAAGCGCTACATTAGCGCGACACAGAAGCAACCGCTAGAGGAGACCGTCTTGAGGCTTCCATGGCAAGATGATGCACAGGTAGGGACGATCCCCAGCGCCTCCTGGATCTTGACGTAAAAACGGCGAACGGATGCGCTCCGTTGTACGTACACCGAGCGCCTAACTCGCGTGCTGCACGCACGCACGCCCCCACCGTTCCTTCCTTCCCTTTTTTCTTCCTTCCTGCTCCGATACGCGTACTCGCCGGCCGCACCGGGGGTTGCTCATTCGAACGTGTTGTCTTCGCCGAGCAAACCGTGCACCTGCCAAGGTTTCTTCGTTTCATTTGACGGTGAAATGGATGCTGATGACCGCGGACACATGACCGGGACGCGAGGACAAAGGATCGAAGGCTAAAAACCGCCCACCAAACGTGCGGAAACGGCCGTCGGCACCTCGGGATGGGTCCATTGGGCCGCGCACGTTTAATTTATAAATTCCAGGGACGCATGCTCGGGGTCATGCACTCATATTTGTGCGTCAGTCGCTACGCGGACCGGTGATGTTGGTGGGTTGTGGAGACAAACGTCGCTCTGCGGCACAGGAGAAAGTTGTATGACCCGAAGCAAATTGGGACCACAGCATATCGAGCAATGGGCGAGCGCATGCGTCCGAATGGGCGATGGAGTTGCGGGCGTGATCGTGTACAGTATGACGGCGCAACGCAGGTGACCGTGTCACACGCACGCGTGACCTCACACCTGCTTAGATAGGGAATCGTTGATCTAAGCGATGAGAGTGCATGGCATCGAAGATCTAAGCGGCCGGTGTCTTACTCGACCAAAGCTCAGCTCAACGGTGCGGATAGTTACGGTGTTTATTGTGGCCCAGAAGCCCCGTTCCGACTTCGTAATGGGTGGGATTTGGGACGAAGGATGATGATAATAGGACGAGCACTCGTCACCTTGGATACACACTCGTCCCGCGTCACTTACACGCGCGCAGGGAAGGGCCTCGACCCAAGGCTCTCCTCGTCCGCAGCCAGTGTGAGCCCGGGGCGTCTGACTTCGAGGGTGCGAGATCAGGTGAGATTCCCCGACGGAGGAACGCCAATGCCGGCTGGGGCTAAGGTTTCACTTGTGCGACAATGAGTGGCGTGAGGCTAGGGCGTAACGCCAACGAGAAACGATGGCGCCGGCCCTTGGGTCCGTGTCTGCATGTTGATGCGCGTTATACCCAGAATTTCATGATCAGGGGGGCCACATTAATTGGTTCGGGTGGAGGTGCCGCAATTCCGACACTGAGAATAGGCAGTGCTGATGCCAGTAAAACTGGATGACGTGCGGATGTAGACGTAGACGTGGATGAATACTGGATTAGTCGTAGTCCTTTCGTGTATACAGTAATGCGGTGCGGCGCGGCGGTGATAAGTCACTGTACAGTCAGCTAAGCTCGGCTCAGGTCATGACATGACATGCATATGGCTCTGACGCGAGCAGAGAGCACATCGAGCCAAGAACGCCGTCGATGAGAAATCAGGCCGTTGCGTTGCGCATTGCGGTGCCGGCTCAGGCTGCCATCGAGATGCATGTACGCCATCTGCCTTTTCCAAGCAAGGTGCGAATGCGTCGCGCGAGGTGATGTCATTCCACCAACGGGAAGGCGCGAACGCAGAGTGGGCCGTCTTAGAGACGGGTGGGTTTCCCGGCCGGAACGCACAGTCTAGGATTCATGTTTATTTTTTTCTCGGGTACGTCATCGTTCGCGGTCGCGCGGGCGTGTGATCGCGCACAAGTGAGTGGAACACGCGATGCGTCGCGCGTAGCGTGATGTCGATGCTAAGTTCCGGAGAGACGCGCGCGCCTCGGCTCGGGTCAGCGGGACTTCGTGTGCGCGGAGTGACGACGCTGATGGCGCAAGCTTGACGAGCGATAATAAATACCGTAACGCAAGTTTCCCGCCCGGGTCGCGCTCGTGATGTGGCGACATGGGGGCGTGCCATGTCATGGACATCACGCATGCCGATGTGCTGCTTCGGGAGGGGGAGGGGCGAAGCATGGCGACAGAAGGTGCGAAGATGGTGAAAAGGCCGGATTCGCTGCGGGGGTGGCGTTGGACGCGTTCGATCGACCGAAGGGGTACCCGGAAATTCAATGCCAGAGACGTGAGCCGGCGTCAGGTGCGGCGGCGAACGTGACTCGGAATAGGAGGGTGTCCTGCGAACGAGATCGCGGAACGCACGGCCTGAGACCAACGTGCATCACGCAACCTCGGCCGAAAAGGCAAGTCTCGAGAATGCGTGACGGGTGCAAGCGTGACGCTCTCGACCGCGCGAGTCACCGCCACTCCTGCCGGGCTGCTGAAATTTATAATGCAGCACTTATAAAGGCACTATGCGTCCGCGCCCGGCACTCTTCGACCTGCACGACCGACATGGAGATTGAAGAATACTGCCTCTGCTGTGGCAAAGCCGTCGACGGGTACGCCCTTCGCCGAGTTCCGCCGCCTCCTGCTCACCGTTTCCCCTAGCCGCGCCTACTGCTCCGACGAGTGTGCCGACCTCGACGCCCGCTCCCCGTCCTCATCCAGCAGCGCGTTCCCGTCACCGAAATACTCCTCGTACAAGATAGGTACCCTCCCTGACGTGCCCCCGCTCGTGCCCTCCGTCCTCGGCCGCAAGCTCCAGTCGCACGCCGGCCCGGACACCTATCGCTACTCGACCTCGTCCTCCTCCTCGTCCACCGCCTGGTCCTCCCTTTCCGAGGAAGACGACGACGACGAGTCCGTGTTCCACAACAACCCAAGCGCATCCGGCGACGAATCCGACGCATTCCACTTTGGCTCCGCCAAGTCGGGCTTCAGTGTCTCCTCGTCGTTCGCGAAGAGCCCGCTAACGTACGCTCGCCGTCCATCGGCCACCAACCACCGCTCCGTTATCTCTCGCCCGCGAGGCGCATCCCCCGTTCGCGGCGTTTCGAGGAGCGCACCGTCCAACCGTTATCCTTATCCCGGTCAAGAGTCCTCCGCAGACGACGATATCGAGCCGACCCTGACGGTCGCGCCAGCACGTCGGCGTATCCCGACGAAGAAGATCCCTGGCTCGGGCTCGGACATCCACAACCACTCGCCCTCGCCAAGCGTTGTCGGTTCCGCACCCAAGCGCAGCCGTAAGCGCGACAGCCTTCCAGCCGCGTTCTCCCTCCTGTCGATCGGTTCTCCCACGGCCCCTAAGCCGCTTCAGACCCAACCGGGTACTGCCCAGTCCCACCAACAGCTCCAACACGGGAAGGGCAGCCCGTCCTCGATAGGGACCGCGAGCACGACGGGGGGTGCCGCTCCGCCGTCATCGACCCCACGGCTCACCGACTCGCTGGCGACGCTCCGAGGGCGCCCGCGCGAACCCCAGACCGAGGCTGAGCGCCTCCGCAGCTCGACCGAACGGCGATCCCGCGATCCCGCGCGCTCACCGCGGTCCCCCAGACTTCTCAGGCCGGCCTCCCCGGACGACGCAGCCGAGCGGCGCGGGAGGAGGCGTTCGCACGAGCTCGACCCGAATGAGGTGGTGGGACCCGTCCCCGAGAACGCAGCGCCAGGGTTGGGCAATGGCCGAAGTGGGCTAGTTGACCGGGGTATCCTCGCATGAGCTGTCTCTCGCACTACCTCTGTTCGCCCGACATCCACTTCGTTCACAAGCCCGTTCCCCATCGTGCGTTCAAGGGCGGGAGGGTCCGGATCCGGCTCCTTCCACCTGCACGGTTTACGCCGAAATTCTATTCCACCCGGCGAACCAAAAAAAACAGCAAACCAAAAACCGGCACTCTTCCGGCGCGCCGCGCGGATCTTCTTCTTGCTTGGGACATTTGTTTGGATATCCACACAACTTTGTACTAAGTAACGCACAGAACGCATCATCACGCTCACGCAATACACCCACACCCACACACCTCATTCGCATAGCACCATTCAGCATTGATCACACACACCCCATCCCCACCTCGTTCACACGTCCGCGCTGTATCCCAAAACCCTCTCTCCATATCATGAGAGCGTATGCATATGGCAATATCGCATTGAGAAAGTTCGGTCAGAACATCCATGAATGAATGAGCATGAGTAAGTCGTCTGAATTAGGTCCGGATCGCCGGTGGTCCCAAGGTCCGTACTTCGATAGACGGATGCCATCTCGCGTCGATCAATTCGTGGCGCATGGACGGGGGCTCGCCAAACGATAGCACAAGACAGCACGCGCCATATCATTTATCACGCAGTCGAAGCGGACTCAATACATACGACTATGACTCGCCAAGTGAGCCAGCCTACAGTTCACACTGGGGTTCGACGATAGCACAAAAGATTTGCTGCTCGGCGAGAAAACGACGAAACAGCCCCGGAGCAGCAAGAACACACGCAAAACTGTGACAAGAATGACCGTCGGTGATAGGGGGACAGGGTCCAACTGCCTTTTTCAACTTCTTCGACAATGACTTCCTCACTGTCACATCGCCGGCTGCTGTTGAGCCCGCAGCTGCTTCTGTTTCTCCTGCTCAAGCCTCTGTATAGCAAAACCAAGAAAGAACGTCAGCAACATATGCGCGATAGCACATGCATCCACCAACCGAATACAGCAGCTGGACCGCCATTTGGATGTTGGCCGGGGCGCCCGTGATGACCACCAGCCGCTCATTCTCTGACCCAGCGGGCGCTCCATCCGCGCCTGCTTGGCCCGTCGCGCCGGGCTCCATGATCTTGATCTGGCTGGCGCTCATGTGCCGTATCTCGTTGATCTTGGCCCCGCCCTTGCCGATGATACACCCCACCAGGTCGTTCGGAATGTAGATCTGCTGCGTCTGCAGCTGCCCGTGCGCTAGTGCAGCTGCTGTCGGGGGCGGGTACGGGTTGGTGTACCCGGGGACGTACGAGGAGCCGCCGGTAGCCGGGTATGGCGGGCGTCGGGAGTAGGACGACGGGCGGTACGAGGAATTGGCGGCGTGCGGTTGTCGCTCGTTGGCTTCGATGAGGATGTTGCCGATGTAGTAAGTCGCAATATGGATCGCGTCCGCGACACCTGACACGCTCAGAACACGCTGTTTACCAAGTTGAGCCAAACACGACGCGCATTGGGGTAGCGCTATACCTCTGTTGAGCCGGGCAGCATACCCTCGCTAGCATTCAGCCTCGCTCCACTGGCTTCTTGAATCTCCTTGATCTTAGATCCGCCCTTGCCAATGACCGAGCCCATGCGCGAGTTCGGAATCATGAACTTGATAGTGACCGCGCGACTGCCCGGCACGGACGCCGAGTCGAAGGGCTCGTCATTGATCCTCCGCACGATGAGACCAAAGGCCTGACGCAGAACCAGTTAGGTATCGAATTTAACACGCACACGCCTGTACACACACGCCTGTACACACCTTCGACACGGCATCTAGTGGGCCGCTTACGTTGAGGATCCGCTCGGGGTTTCCGGGGATACTCTCAGACACCACGACGCGAGCACCGCTTTTCTGGCGGATTTCATTGACGTGCGCGCCGCCCTTGCCAATGATGATGGACGCGTCCTGAGTGACAATAAGGCATCGCATGTGGATGGTCCCCGAAGGCGGCGGGGCGGCGCTGCCCGAGCTTGAGCCGCCGGTAGAGGGTCCTGCCGAGACGGTCGCATTCGCGTCGGCGTCATTCGAATCGGGCTCGGTTTTCACAGCTGCAGTCGCAGGCGATCGAGGGGCAAGAGGAAAGAGAGCCGGCATCGTTCATTGGCACGTCGCTACGAGAGAGTGATCATCGTACCCGAATCATCGTTCGTGGACGTTGGTGGTACGCCCGTATTGGCGCGCTTGTGCAGCTTCTGGTCCTCGGCGTCGTCCGGGGAACGAGAGCGCTTGCGGGTAGAGTCAGCGTCAGGCATCGCGTCTCAATGCAAGTTCACGGGGTGATTTGGGGATCGGCGTTGGGTGTTGGGAAGGGCTGGCTGCGATGGGCTTGGGCAAGTGGGGGCAGGGCGGGACTGGAAGGATGACGTGGTCTGGGGGAAGCAGCGTGCAGGAGATCATGAGGAAGGAGGCGTGAAGAGAGGCGGCACTACGACCAGCGATGTACACTCACCTTCGTCGACGACGCGGCCGGCGACTGCGTTGGCGGGAGGGCGGCGGGATGCGCTTGAGATGGAGGGACGCGCGGGGGTGTTTATCAACTCCGCGACGCGGCGGCCAAATCCGGCAGCGACTTCTCTCAAAGCTCTCTCATCAAACTTCCTTACGGTGCTTTGCTGATATTCGCCAGGAATGGTGACGGTAATATTGGCTTCATGAAGTGGGGCGACCGCTCCGAGCATACCGTCCTCACGCTGTATTTATACGACGTCATAGAAATACACTCTGTTCTCGAATCATAGATGGTAACAGGTGGCACCACGAATGAGCGCCTAGGAGAATCAGGAGAATATACCAAACAGCATGGTTTCCTCGCCCAACTAGACCCTCGTGGCCCACACATCGCTCGACGTGTCTAGCATATGCCAGGGATGGTCACAGAGCGCTGCAGTCGCACATGGTCTGCCGTGAGCACCGCCTCCGGACATCCGATTGCCAGCGCTCCGAGAAACAAGCCAGTTGAGGGCCGAAGGCTCTAGGGACCGCTTACGCCAGTTGATGACAATGTGCTGCTTGTGCCAGTTGAAGGCAGCAATCAGCTTGAAAAGGCCAGTTGAAGGCCGTTTGTGTACGTTCACGTCTGGATTTGCGCAATCTCCGCCAAAAATTTGTCCCACCGCGCCTGCCATTGCGCCAGGGCACGCTGTTTCTCAGCTGGCTCTAAAGTGGTATACTATAGTGATGGCATGAGCGGCGATTTCATGTAGAAACATTGTGTTCACCTCGATGCTCTTGCGGGCTATTTCCCCGAGCGTCAAGATGCCCGTGACCTCGCTGGAAACCAGGACCTAAGAAGACAACGGTTACCAACGATACGGCGATTGCAGCGCAGCTCCGACGAACCTGGAAGAAGTCGTATGAAAGCCCCATACTGCCGAACACGGCGGGATCATCGCTGCAGAGTGCCACGGGAACTCCGTGGTTCAGTAGAGTCGGGAACGGATGCATCGGCATAGAGGACGTGAGACGCTATGGTCCCGTATGAACGCGGATATTGACTACGGGATACATGAATCATCTCACAAGTATTTCGTTACTACGGGCCCGAGTGAGCGATAGCCGGAGGTGAGGCTGAGGTTGACGTACGAAATCGGGCATACTTCGAGCGCGATCTGTTTCTCGCGACAGATTTCCATCAGTCTAGGGTGCTTGACAAGGGAGAATCTAATGAAGGACTCAATTCGAGCGCGTGTACATTGGATTGAGACCACGAACCCATGTCCTATGCGCTTTGTACCCAATAGGATGGCATCATACAGATTCATATCCGCTTTGCTGCCATCTCCGAGGGTCTCTCCAGCGTGAAGGATGAAGGGAATGTCAAGCCCTAGTTCCTTCGTACGTTCCTGGAATGCAAGCAGCTGAGGGAGATAGTCTGTCAGAGGCTTGAGGGCATTCTCGTCGCCGACGAGGTCAAAGCCTTGCAGGATAATTAGAAGGGTGTGATGTCACCAGGTAAAGTGGATCCACACCTGCGATAAGGTGAGGGAACTCTTTCTTCAACTGAATGCAATCTTCCAGGTACCAGTTGAGCTCTTCCGGACTGACGTATCGGATCGTCGTGTAGATGATCTACGTGTTGCGCGTAAGTATGATCTCGCATGCTGCGCGAAATACGAATTACCCGAGCGCCAAAGAACTCGTCTTCGCGGCCCTGCTGCTTCAGCTCATCCTTCACATCGCTGAGGACCTTCTCGAAGTCGACCAGCCACTGGCGGTGAGGTATGTTCTCCTGTCCATCGGCGCCAACCATAAATTTGTAGACAAAGTTGATCCGAGCTTCCACGTAGGAAATGCCATCGTCCACAGATGACAGGAGGAACTCTCGGATATAACGTGGCCAGACGGGCGCGAAACGAATGAGACCCTAAACCATCCAATCAAATGGGGGGAAAAGGGAAATCCGTGATTGTCACTGACAGTTGACACGAGGAACGTGCTTGAAAATTTCTTCCATATCTATGAGAAGCGTAGATGGTCAGAACACGTAGTCACACACATGGGCAAAAACAGACCTTAGGGACTGTTGAGTGGGTTTTGTAGGCCTCAGTGGGATTGATGGTTAAGGCACCCATGATCCATTTGTCGAAGGCCTCGGGGCCGCCCAAAGCAGGATCGAATGTTTCTCTCGCTTTGGCCAGCTGTACCCAGCTGTTGTCATAGTTCTCAGAACTCAAGCTCGTCTCAGATGCAGCTGCTATCTCGGCTGGTGCCAAGGCGCGAAATTGAGGCAAAACAGACGAGATAGACGAGCTGGTCAGGGCCGTCTCGACCTTGACATGAAGTTCCGGGTGCTCGAGCGCAAGCCTGAGCAGCACATTCACATTCACCATCGCATCGAGGTGAGCGTGCAGCAAGGCGCCTTTGGGCATCTGATAGCGAGGGTGAATACGGCGAAGCGAGCTAAGCAAGGATAAACTTGCCTTGCAGAGAAGTTCGAAGAGCTTGGTCTTTTCGATGATATGCCTCGCTGATGCCTGTTGAGACCTTGTCCTCTCGAGCGGAAAGATTCAGCGAACCTGTGAGGAACTCCATGCCGGGATAGACATGGTCGATATCCTCATAGTCTGTCAGTAAACATGATCAGCCTCGTCTGTTGTGGATCAGCAGTCTCCTCGAGAACCTTGACTCCAGATGGAATCAGCTTCGAACTTGCGGATATCGCGCACGATTGCATCGGCCCTTGCGGCAGTCGAGTCTCCCTGCAGGTTGAACAGGTGGCTGTCGACTCTGCGAGCGCGATCCTCGTTGATCAGCTGCGTCCGCTGTTCAAGGTATTGTTCCATGCTTGTAGACGAACTCGAAAGCAGGAAGAGTCGGGGCCTAGCGTTCGCATGATATGATTCCTCATGGTCACCATAGATGGTTCGATCGCCGCGCGCCGAAGATATCCGGTAGCCGCATGTGAGTCGCGCTTCGTCGCGTGCCGCTCGACGGCTCGCGTGTCCGACGCGTTGCGCGCGTTCTCGCTGTTTGTCGCGACCATGTCTTCCGGCGACGAGCTCGGTAAGTCTCCCTTGTTCATCTCATCTTCTTTACGCGTCACAGACTCATCTACTAAATCCTAGTCGGCTCTCTTGTCTAGGAGAATACAATGTCCTCACCCCCCACCGACCGTCCTATAAAGAGCCCATGGCGCGAACAGCACAGCGAGACCCCAAGGCTCCCGTAGCCGGGCCATCAAAACAGCCCAAACCACCAAAGCATCCAAACAACGCGAAGGAAACTACCATTCAACACGGCGGCGACGAGGTTGAGCTACTATCCGATGGCGATGTGGTAGAGGTGCCTACACCCCCGCCAAAGACGGCCGCGAAGAAGACGGCCGCAAAACCTCAGCCCAAAGGGAAGGCAAAGGCTCCCGCACAGACGGTGGCTCAAAAGCCCAGCCTCAGCAAAGTCACGGAGACCGATGGTGATGTAGTGATGCAGGAACGTTCGTCAGACGACCCTCCAGCTAAGAAGAAAGTACCTCCGCCTAGTTCGCGGGCCGCCCCGACAGCTCGAACGAAACCTATCGATACATCCCCGCGGGAAATGGAGCGTCTTCGGAAGGAGGTTGCCGCTGTACGTATTCTGAACTTCCGCCATCTTACAACTTGTGACACGACCTTGGTAGCTGCGCGAGGAGCGGGACAAATTTGCGCAGAAATGCGACGAGATACTCAATTTGCGAGTCTCGGAACCTGAACAGGCCCTGCGAGTACAAGCTGCGAATTATGATGCCCGATTACAAAGTAGGTTTACCTTCCCCTTCCTCGGCATCGTTCAGGTCTTAAACAGTTATTAGCGCAGGAAGACCTCATCAAAGAGTTAACCTCGCAGATAGCCAGGGTGGAACCACTTGCTCGAGGGCAAGCCGGCCCTGCCGCCGTCCACTTCTTGACCCGAGAGGCCGTCGACGAGGAAAAACGACAGGCCGAAAGGGATCGTGACAAATGGAAAGAGGAATCAGAAGGCAAGGATGCCATCATTATACAGAAAGACCGCGAAATTGCTGAGTTGATAAAGCAACGTAAGTCGCTGCAGACATCATGCTCGCTTGTCGCTCTCCCTGTCTCATCGAACGCCGCAGAACGGTTACTTGAATCCGACCTGAAAGCCGAGATCGACCGCTCGAAGTCGTTGACGTCCCGTCCCACACCGTCCTCGTCAGTGGCGCGACCCGGGGCTAAAACAGCGGCACCGGATATGGCCAAGATTATCACTTTCTACGAGGATATGACCAATCTCCTGGTTATAAGCGTCAAGTACGAAAACACCCATCCGAACTGGGAGGCCTTGGGTCTTGAGGAACCAAAAATACGATGTTTATACACCCATAACGAACATCCCGAACTTAGTGCGCACCCTCCTTTATGGCGCTCACTGCAACGACTGAGACTTCAACAACAGCTCTGAGTTTCGAACTGTACTTCTACTACGAACCGCTCCCAGAACTTCCTGAAGACGCGACGATCACCTCAAAAGACCAGCTCGTTTGCCAAGTGAGATATACCCCCCTGGAGCTCGAAAAGATTCCAGAGCACGTCCGGGATCGTCTCGAGTTCATCGGAGGCCCCTTCACCTTTGCCAAGTGGCAAGCGTCGGTATTCCTGAGGACGCTTGCTACAAAACTGGGAGACGCACAGACAGATGAAGCGTCGGATGAAGAAGACGCGGGAGGAGACGAGGATGGGAGCATCGAATACGTAGAAGGTTGACGCTTGATACGCGTTTACAAGCGCCGCCTCGTTATCTCGATGCACATGCTTGGTTGAGGTCTACTTATCGTAAATATGATTATCTTATACCCTACCTCCCTTATCGGTTCTTGGTCCTGGATGAACAGTGTATGCTCGATATGCGATCACGAAGAAGTGCTGTGATTTAGAATTTAGCCTCAACAGAAGCTTTACGTTAGGTTTCATAGTCGTAAGGGTCATAAAATTCCGTGAATCATGATAATGAAAATATAAATACCTACGATATATGTGGATGTCCGAACAGTAACTACGCGGTGAGACTGGTACAGAAGCAATAATGGCAAACAGCAGTTCGAGTCCGCACAAGAACGAGGAGAAGCGAGTCCAGTGGGTTCGGTGATTCATGTCCGTGTGCGAGGTGATGCTCGACTGGCGTGCAAATCTTTGATCTCGAAGAATATGCTGAACCCGAAGGCGACAGCCAGGAGGCACGACGCTGCCGTCGCAGTGTTGTATGCGTTGCACCTGTTGGGCGAGATCGTCTCAGTCAGGTCCTGATAACAACTCCGCGAGCAGTTACTGACCATCCCTCGTAGCCCCCCGCCGGACAGCGCTTCCCGATGAGCACATACACGAACTCACATGCCCACACTGCACCCATCGCGATATCAAAGCAAAGCATCCTCTTCCTCGCCTTCCTCGCCACTCGCCACTGTTCCTCCATGGCCAGCCCCGCGAATACTCCTCGCCTACGCACCCTCTTACGCTTCCGCTTCTTGTGTCCCGGATAGCTCGTCGAAGATCCATGAGCAGAGCCGAACTCGTCGTACCCTCCTGGCATGCCGTCGCCTTCGTCCTCACCCGACGAAGACTCCTCGGCCCTCCCGAACATGCCCGGATCCACGATCAGGTTCACTTGCACGCCCTGTCCGTCTGCTCCCTTCTTGCCCTTCTTGCCGCCTTTCTTCTTCGCCTTTCCACCGCCAGGGAGCTGCTGCACAGGCAAAACCATCATGCCATTAGGTGCTTGAACGGAGGTAGCTGGCCCACGTCTTGAGCGCCGGAAGCAGCAAGGGCGAAGAGCGAAAAGCCATAGGAGCGCAAGGGAGGTCAATACGGAGAGGATGTACATAATGTATGAGGCAATGGACCCTTTAGGTGGCGGCGATGACTTGGGTTTGATGATCTACAGAACCGATGAGTTTTCGCAAATGATAAAGGCGTTTAACAGACGATCACATACCAACGCCCCATAAATCCCCGATATTGCGGCCCCCAGAGAGAGTATGACCTGAGCGGCCCTTACAGCCTTCCGCTTCTTCGGCCCCTCCGTGATGAGGTCACCCTTCGCATCCACACTTCCAACCGGATTTTGCACCTCTTCTTCCTGCGCGTACCCTTTGCCGCCGAACTCCCGCTCCAGCATCTTCATCCGCTCTTCCTTCACCTCTGAGTCTATCGGCAGCCCGTACGATTCCGAGCGGTCGTTCGACCAGGGTAGCAGATTACGTGAAGACTCGTGCGAATTCAACGTCGGCGGCACGTAACCATGAGATGCGGACAGGGGAGAGTATGGATCGTGTCCATGGCCTTGCGACGATGAGTATGCGGGGTCGAAAACATTCGAAGTATGAGCGCGGGAGTTGGCGGATGGATACGGGGATTTCGCTCCATTATTGTACCATCCCTTAGTCCACGGTGGGAACTGCGCGATGTCGACCTCATCCTGGACCTGATCCGGGTACGCAATGTCGGGTTCCTCAAGGTTAACGGGAGGAAATGGGGGTGCATATGATCGCTGATGTGCATAGCTTGAGGGAGGAGGCAGAGAAAACGGTCTGCGAACCGGTCTTCGCGATGTTTCGGTGTGGGTGGAGGCGGTCGTCAACGATGGGGTCGATGCGAAGGTGTCACCGGTCGCAAGCGGACGTATTGGAGGCGGAGAGGGCGGATATTGATCGTATGGGTTGTAGGCGTAAAGTTGCCTTGGGGGTTGCCCGCGCAGGGACATTGTATAGTCGGCCAAGTCGAGCGCCTCGACCGAGACATCGCTCGCGTTCGCCTCTCTTCTTCTGGCGCCACTGACGTTCGCCCTGCCACGATAGCCATCCTCAATCTCGTAGTGCTGCAGTTGACCCGTGGACGGCAAAGGGTCGTATGGATCGGGGGACCACGGCCGGCGGAAGCTTCCTGTAGGGGTATCAAGACGGCTGTGGTAGTCGTAGGCGTACATGTCATTGACGGTCGTAACAGAGAATATGTGGCATGAGCGCGCTCGCTCGCCGTTGACGATAGCGAGGAAGGCGACTTGGACGCCGTCAGCGCCGACGAGGACGAGCTAAAGATGAGCGTGGGCTGCGCTCCGTGGACGTGCGCGCCGGAACGACCTTCCGATTCTGGCGAACACTCCTTCGCCGCTTCCATGATGTGTTTATAGCTCAATAGGTCATCTCCGATGCTCTGCTCGTCGTCTGCATGCGTGCTTTCGTTGTTTGTCTTGTTGTGCTCGGCCTCGGCGCCTGCGTGGTCGCCGAGGGACATGCTGTAGACACGCTATCCTTGATCTCGAGGCAGCAGATCACCCTCGAGCTCGATGACCTCGATAAAGGCGCATTCATATATGATCATCTCGAGGCTCACTCTCAAATACATTCAACCGACATCAAGACTCGGCGACAAACCGTCTATCGGCCCCGCTCTCCAGCAGCGTACCAATCTGCCCGCTGGCGATCGCTAAGATACGGCGAAAGTGAAGCGATAGAATGGGATCGTATAGAGCTGAGAGCGCCGGATGTTCGAGACCGTCATACCCTTGTTCAGCTCGGCCGTATGGCTGGCGACGCCTACGCATTCCCCGGAAACAAGAACTGGTACGATATCGACGAGATCTGGAATACGGTACTTGTTCTATGATATCCCACTCCCACATTCTGTGATCTGAGACGGACGCTGCCTAGACGTTCCCGGTGGGCTGGGAAGACCCCGCAGACGGCTTCCGCGCCCATGTGTTTGCAACGCCATCGAACTCCACAGTCGTGCTATCTATCAAAGGGACCACGATTAACGGCCCTACGTCGAAGAAGGACAAGTTCAACGATAATCTACTCTTCTCGTGCTGCTGCGCTCGCGTGGATATCAGCTGGGTGTTCAGGCAGGTATGCGGATGCCATAGCAAGGGATGGAAGTGTGACAGTGGGTGCTTGACCGAGGCGCTGGTCGAGGAAAGCCTCTTCTACTCCGTCGGGGTGGTAGGTGTATTCTTCTAGTGAGGCGCATTGGGCGAGATGCTGACTTTTCCGATAGACCCTGATCCACAATCTCACTTCCATGTACCCTAATTCAGACATTTGGCTTGTCGGTCACTCCCTCGGAGGCTCCCTGGCGGCGCTTCTCGGGACTACGTTCGGTTTTCCCGCCGTGGCGTTCGAAGCTCCGGGAGAACGTCTGGCCGCTACACGCCTGCATCTTCCCCTTCCACCGTCCTCGGACCCTTCCGTAGCCCCGCAGTCGCTCGCCCCCGTGACACATGTACGTCCTCGTTAATGGCATATAGCCACCACCGCGCACGCTGACAGCTGTCACTCGCAGGTCTATCATAACGCAGACCCCATTCCACAAGGTACATGCTCTGGTCCGTTTTCCCCTTGCGCTGAGGCGGGTTACGCGCTCGAATCCCGTTGTCATCTCGGCAAGTCCATTATATATGACACGGTCAGCGAATTGGGCTGGAAGGTGGATGTGAGAACGCATCCTATCCGAAGAGTGATCAAAGAAGTCCTTGAGCTGGATCGGATGTGGGAGGAGGACGGACACGAAGTCCCGAGGGAGAGAGCGGAGGGTGAATGCATTGTGAGTTCCATTCCGAGCCGCATGATCGTGGGACGTGCGCTGAGCTCCCCCCCTTCCCGTCGTGCAGGATTGTTACAAATGGGAATTTGGTGATTTCAAAGACAGAGACTAAGATGGATGTGTAATGGTCACGAATGCGCGAGCAGCATTGCATTTACAAGGAAATGGACCCTCTAAGTACAAGGACTAACATCCGGATGTAATGTAAATGTAGAAGCAATTGGCCCGTGTACATGCATGTCTGCGGTGAGGCTCCTCCCCCAAATTACTATGGCGATTCACGCCGACGATCGATATTGGCACTCTCGGATGGCGCAACAGGCCGATATCGACTGTATTGCGATGCCTCCGCGCAAAACGCCACTTACCTGAAGATAAGGCCGCGATAAGTGTTCGGTGGTCCAGCACTTCACCTTGCTGGTTCGAAGTACCGCAGGTCGCCTGGCTCGACAACGACGTTTTTTCAACAATACTTCTATAAAGTGCGCGTGCTTATTCCGAATTAATGCGGGACGCAGAGATCCCCGGGCGGATGCACGCTGCTTGCAGATTTCGACCGAACACATGTAACGTACATAATATGTAGGTATGTAGCAGTCGTCGGGCTGCTATTCCGGCGAATGGCAATCAGAATCGTTGATTTGATCCGTGGTACGCTTTCCGCCGATACCAGAAACATTGAGATTACCGGACTCGGAGCTCGCCCTAGCGTGAAATGCGAATCGTCCGGCCCTTGAGAAGTCAATGCGAAAGGGAGGCCCGCAATAGGCCGACCCCATTGTCATTGTTCTTTCAAGCTCCGTCGTCAGCACGTTGGCCGGCGGAGCATCTACCGCAGATGAGAGAACTCATACATGCGGCGAAGTACAGCAACAGAGAGCACGTTGTAGTGGGTCGAAGGATGTCCATGGGACCGCCGAGAGAAAAGGAGGATGACGTGAGGAAGAGATGCAGAACGTGGACCACAGGATGGATGAGAAGCGAAGCGAGCGGAGTTGCGGAGGCGTAACGAAGCAGGCGTCGACGGTGGCTTATTTCGGGATGTTATCTCTGGCTTGCTGGCGCACTCGCCTCCTGTATAAACATGAGTCAATGCGCGCATAAATCACCGAAAGAGTGCCTCACTCGTATGCTGTCTTGTCATTCCTGGCGCATTTATTCAGTATCATATTGTGGCTCATCATGTGGAAACAACCCACTTGAACATGGTGTATGCGTCGCTCTGGGCTGGGTCAAGCACATTGGGGTCATCCAGCAGGTCTTGGATCCCGAGCAAAATCTGCGATGGCAGATTAGTCAGCGAAGAAGAGGACGGTGCGTACATACCTGTTTGATTGTGATAGCCGGTTTCCATGCCTTCTCTTCATCGAGAATCGATAGGCAGACCGTTCCAGAAGGATACACGTTCGGGTGAAAGAGCGGCGGAGTGAACTTGCCTTCCTATGAAATCCATTATCTGTTTGTACTCGATCGAGAGAAGAAACGTACATTTGGGCGGTTTTGAGGGGTAATCTTTGAATAATGGGGTCAACGGGTCAAAAAGGGACATCGAGTGGGGGCGCACCTTCGGGGAAAATCATGACTAGTTTGTAAACTCCACCTTCCCATGCAGTCTAGTAAGAGAGCATATCCTGAGACCGGCTGATGGACACCGGTTATCATGACTACTTACGCCCTGTTTTCCCGGGATACCCACCTCCCATTCCATGAGATTCATCGAGCCGTCCGCCGCCTTAGCGGGCTTCGCGTAAAATCCCTGCAGAGCGCGTTCAACAAGATCGCCACGCCGTCACAAAACAAGGCGCACAAATGGATGGTCTTTACGCCATTGCTTGCGCTCCTCGGCAAGACGCGTTCTGCAGATGCCAGACATGATCGTCGTTGAAGTCAGTGATAGGGAACTGCTGCAAACTTGAAGCTTGAAGTGGCCAGAACGGCACACGGGGAGGTGGGCGATGGCGGTGCCAGCCCTCACAGCCCCTCCACGCCTTTTGCGCGTGCGTCCGTGTTGCGCTCTTCTCCTCTGTTCGATTTCGAACGGGAATACTGCCTAATCCGGGATCCTTTTATTGCCCCATCGGCGGAGGTCCTCTCGAGTCCAATGTGGGCTGCCCCGGCACCTCGAGCAAAATCGCGCCGACCGCTCTCTTTCGTCTCGTGTACTTCATATCCGAGTCTTTATCGAACGGCTCTTTGCATCTTCGATCAAAGGGCACAGCTGTGCACCGACCAAAGATTGGCGAGGTTGATCCAGATCCTATCAAAGGAACAGCAGGAGTAACCTGCTATAAGATCGGCACCGCGGGCGTGCCGTACCCCTGGACCTGCGAGGCGTCTCGAACGGGACATCTGCATGCTAGATTTTACCCCGGGTCTTTTACATCCAATCGGCGGAGCAGGTCTCCTCATCCTAGACCGGCGGACCTCAGTCTTTGCTGCGTGGCCTGCATATATACCCCCGCTGTTCGTTCTCCGGAGTGTCTCCCTTTCGTTCCCCACACGCGCCCTGACCCTTCCCGGGACATCGTTCGCTCATGGACGACGAGCATGTGCATGGAGAGCACGAAACGGCCGATGGAAGGCTCAGTCCTGCTCCATCACTCTATTCATTCCACCCGTCGGTTGACGAACGATTCATCGTGCGCTCAAGTTTCAGTAGTGAATGTCTGATTTCCGCGATTGACGAAGGGTGTTTCAGATACGGCAATTACACGGCAGATTGCTCAACAGCCAAAATGAAGTGAGTGTATGCGTGACGACAATAGACAACGCCACTGACAGATCCGCGTATGATAGACATACATGCTGCCGGCGGTATGTTCGTGGTACCGTATGGCATCTTTGGTGCCTGACACTGACAATATCTACGCAGGACCAAGAAGAGCACGAGCGCCTCGACATACAACACGAGATGTATAAGCACGCCTTAGGCGGGTTGTTTCCTGCCCGAGAGCTAGTGGAGCGGGCTCTTCAGCCACGAGCAGACGGCTCACGGCCAGCTATATGTGACATCGGCACAGGCAGCGGCAGCTGGTGAGCCTGTCGATGGCACACATTGATGATATAATTGCTCAATGGCTCCAGGGCTCTGGACATGGCCAATGAGTACCCTCATTGCGATGTAACAGGGGTAGATCTGGTGCTTCCGAAAACACAAAGGCGAGTATGAGGTATCGGGAGCAGAGGAAATGTCTGCGTGCTGAACAATCTGATCAGGGAAATGCCTCCTAATTGCCGGTGAGCACGGATACTCGTGTCAATGATGGCTTCGCTGATGGTTGCTTCTGCGATAGGTTCGAAATTGACGACGTAAGAACCTTCACCATTGACACAGAAGTATGTGACCTCATGGTCCACCGCTGTTTCCAGGCGAATCTCGGATTTCCCCACTTCGAGAACAGTTTCAACCTCGTGCATATCCGCGCAGTCTCGGCTGGTGTACGTTCCCGTCGTTCACTTACCCGCAATGGAGTGAGCTCAAGGACTCCGTCATTTATTGAATCTTAGATCAGGGACTGGGAGGGCTTATTAGACGAGATGGTAAGAGCTCTCCGCCCTGGCGGAGTTCTCGTATTGGCCGATGGAGACCTGCGTCTTTATGACGAGCACTACCATCAAATGCCCGCTCTCGAACCAGGACAGCCAGGGTTCTCTTGGACTCAACGAATATTTTTTACGGCCTGGAACGCTATGAAGGCGCGCGGAGGCAACCTGGACGTGTGCGACTTGGTAACATTATTCCCTCGTCGAAATGGAAGCGACGTCACTGATCAGATCCCAGAACCCTCAGTACTTGGACGCCATCTCGGGTCTCACCGATCGAGGGTGGACCAAGGTTTGGATACCTATCGGGCCATGGCCGAAAGGTACGAAGCGATGGTTGCAATCGCGCTCCGATGACTGACGGGTTTTCAATAGGGCTCACCCCTGAGCAAAAGATGTTAAGCGAGCTATTGCTCAAGAACACCACGAGACATATCATGGGCATGACTCCATTACTCGTAGAGTACATCACATCTTTGTGTTTCGTTTGCAGTATGCTGACCTCAACCAGCTTCGGGTACACACCCGACCTATTGGCGCAGATTCAGCAGCTCGCGGTAGCAGAGCTGAGGGAAGGGCGCGCCCGTCTGTATACGCGTTGGCACTTTGCGTGGGCGGTGAAAGGTGTCGTTTGATTTAAGTTCGGACCTTTGTATCCATGAGTATCCATTGTATCCATATCATCAATCATGTAGTAGGCAGCCCTCGTCGATTCTGGTTATAATACACGTTCCCACGCCCTCCCGCGCGCGGCATGTGCTGTGCTTCGTCCGCTTGTGTTCGGGGTAAGTGTCTCTGACTGGGCGTTGGTTCCGCCGAAGCCACACCAACCGCCCAGCGGACGACCAGTCTTATCATATTCTAGGCGAAACCAACCGACCAACCAATACCGTTGCTGTTCTTCTTGTCCTGTTCACTTTGTCGATGTCGACTCCACACTCTTTACTGTCTCGCACCGACGACCTCGTTGCACCTCTTCCTCAGCGCTTCCCGATCGGACCAACACCGCGCACACACGCGGCCTCTACACATACGCGGACCGCGTCTGCTGTCTCGTCAGCCTCAAGACCAGGAGAGCCCCCGTCTTCGCCCACCTCTACAGCCTTCCATCATACCAGCGCCACCCATGCCGGCGGAGTGCTCCCCGCAGCGTCGTTCTTCCGTCCTTCGCGTCCCAACTATCCCTCCTCGCTGGTGAGACCCGCCTCTGCCATGTCAACCGACTCTTCGCACGAGCAGTCGGATTCCATGCCGATGGCGTCCATGGAGAAGCGGCTCTCGGCCGTGTCCGACCTTTCCGCCCAGGAAGATCCCATGTCCACGTCGGAAGACCTTCCTCGACAGTCAGAAGCAAGCAAACGAACGAAACAGAGCCGAGAAGCCCTCTTGCCTATTGGCGGCCGTTCCACCGTTCACAAACCGAAGTTACATCCTTTACCAACTGTCGTCGACGAACCTAGACCACCTCTGAATATAGGGTCATCCGGAGGGTCGAAGGGAGGAGCGGTGAGGAATAGCTTGGAACGGTTGTTTCGGGGAATCAGCTTTGACGGCCACCGAAAGTCTCTCTCGAAGCCTACTATTGAAACCAAAGTGGACGGTGCCAGTCCCGTGTCCCCTATACTATTCGAAGGCAAAGCGATAGACAACGACCACCTGGTACCGCGAGCCAAGCGGTCGTTCTCTCCCCCCTACGAGCCCTCGATCTCGCCATCGCTCCGACATCGATCTGACTACGAATTTGATCCCATTCCACCTCCGGACAACCCTCCGTTATCGGCAGTACCCAGAATCGACGAAAGGACGGGAAAGCCCATGCGCAATTATCAAACACATCCGTCCAGGAATCGCTTCTTCTTGGGCGGACATGTCTTGACTGGAGGCGACCAACCGTGGGCGTTCATATCGTCTTTTACAGTAGCGCTAGGTATATCCGGTGTGTGGTTCGGTACGACCTGCGTGTGGTGGTGGCACCATGAAAGTCCGGCAGTGGCGGCTGTGGGCGCGTACATGTGTTTGCTCACCCTTTCGAGCATGCTGGCAACCGTATGGCAACTTCGTCACCGCTGATGTCTCCGCTTCGCTGACGTCTTGCTATCAGGCCATGCGCGACCCCGGGATATTACCGAGGGATCTGGATCTGGACCCTCCGATGGCCGCGAATTCGACCACCGATGACAATTCGCGAGTTCCGCTTCCTAGGGACCTAAAGGTTCGCGCCGGCTCGTACGTACATATTACCCAACGATTACAGATAAGCGAGTGAAACCGCCCTCTTCTACCCTAGCGTCCGCGTCAAGTATTGTGTTACTTGCAAAATCTATCGCCCACCGAGGTCGAGCCATTGTAAAATGGTAGGTTATCGTCACGTTGTCTCGTTATGCGGCGGCGCACGCTGACACGGGCTGCTACTAGTGTGACAACTGCGTTGAAGGTTGTGACCACCACTGTCAATGGGTGAACAACTGTGTTGGAAGGCGCAATTATACAACCTTCTTTACGTTCCTCTCTTCTGCCGTAAGTACTTTAGCACAAAATCGACCCGTGGAAGCGGCGGTGACGTCGCTTCGTCTAGACCACCACTCTAGCACTCGTAATCGTTACCTCTGCGTTACACCTCTGGTGGTTGACACGGAGGGATCACGTCAACTTCCAACATGCGCTACGCGAGGGCGCCGGCAGCGCAGTAGCGTTCTGTCTTTCGATTGTGGTCATCTGGCCCGTCACCGCTCTTTTAATCTATCACTTGCGGGTGAGTGTGCAGATAGGTCCCGGTTGCGAACATCGGCTGATATTTCACATCGTCCAGCTCCTGTTGCTTAACGTGACTACCATAGAGCAGGTAACGATATAATTCAGTTCGCAGCGTTTATCTGCCCGATCTGATTCCGTCTGTGACCAGATACGCAACCAGGCGCATAAGACGCTGGTGCCCGGCCCGCCGCCACCCAACCCGTTCTCGCATGGGAGCATGCGGAAGAACTTTGTGAACGTGCTGTGCAGACCGACGGGTTACTCGTGGTTGGATGCGAATGGAACCGCCACGGTCGACCAGCGCAAGGTGAACCCGGGACTTGCGCAGTGGGAAGGCAACGATCTCGAGACGGGTCACAAAGGGTTTGCCGTCGTCAGAGGATGACGACGGGCCGTTTCTTCTGATTGTCGTCGCTCGTTTCTGCTGCGGGTTATGTTCCCAGATCTGATCGGTATTATTGATGTCTGTTCCTGGCTCTTGGAGGGTACCGGTGGGATTGTTACATTTTGTTCTATACGCTATCGCTTTCTGTGTGCAATTCCTAATGTTTCTGTTGCCTTTCCGCATAGGCGTGCGAGCGGACGAGGACCCGTTTGATATGTCTATATGGGGATGCGTGTCGACGTCCAGCCTCTGGCCAACCCATGGTGAACTCGCTCCCAAAAGCGCGGTCTCGCGCCCTTGTTCTCTGGATGGGAAGGCGCCGGTGGCGTGGAGGAGGAAACCGTATATAGCTCGCACCCTAGACATAATTGTGTCCGACGCGCGTGGTACCGAGGGCGGATGTACACGGAGAGCCGGACGGCGTTCTTTGCAGACGGTGTTCGGACTAACCGCGCCCGCTGGCCCAACTTGCGTGCGCGCCCGCTGGCCCAACTTGCGTGCGCGCCCGCTGGCCCAACTTGCGTGCGCGCCCGCTGGCCCAACTTGCGTGCGCGCCCGCTGGCCCAACTTGCGTGCGATAGGGCAATGTCACAGCGTTCGAGGTGGCTGTTGACGGAGAAGTGCGATAGCTTATGGCGTGCTGCCCACAGTGAGCTCGAGCTAGGGGAACTGGGCCTAGGATGGAAGTTGTGCTGCATGTGAAGCCATCGCGGAGCTGTGCGACGAGCGCACCGGCGTGCGGTTTTATCCCGCGCTGCCAGACAGACGCCGCGATGCAACTTTGGGAGGTTGACGAGAGGACGGGGTCGCCGCGTGATGGGGATCATGGCCACTAGGTTTATCTGATTCGCGATGGAAAAGCCTCGGAGACACGGATATGTCGCGAAAATTAAGCATGGCGATAACCTGGTATGGATCGCCGGGGTCTTTTGCGTCGGGATTTTGGTACCTTGTCGTGCCTTGGAGCGCGGGTGGCGATGACGGGCGGCGCTGCTCGCCCACCGGTGGCAGCGGACCCTGCAGGAGCTTCTTTTAATGATTGGGCATCGGATCAGCGCGGAGTTTATTCGTCGGGGAGGAGGAGAAGGGAGGGATCGACCGAGGTGTTGTGCAGGTGTGCATGCGCGTGGCGAAACGGTAGAGAGCGTGCAAAGTAGGGTGGGTGACATCCGGGATCCGCAGCAGTGGGTCGGCGAGGGCCAGTGAAAGGATTTGTGATTGAAGGGCGGTAAGGTTCGTGCACGAATCAGGTGAAGAAGATATTCGATAGAAGATGAAGGCGAGCAGGAGAAGCGAGATGTTATCGTCGAATCAAAACACCACGTTATGACCGCAGCATGAGCCGCAGCCCTGAGTTGGCGACGTTGTATGTTTCGTTCGTCCGAGACGATCGTCGAGGCCAGCGTTGCAATTCAAACGTCTCGGAGGAGCACTCGGAGTGCATACATACACGTACTATGGATTTGTTACCGGGAAGTCTGGCCGGGCCGGTCACGTTTGATGACGCGCTGTTACACGGCGCTGAGGCGCAGAGGAATGTGGCATTTCCTCCGTGGGTCGGTCGCCAAGAGTGGGTCTCTTGATCGGACAAGATTTCGACGGTCTTGGGTGTCTTGTCTCGCGAATCACGCTTGGGATCGCTACATACATAGTAGTATGTATTTGGAGCCCGGGTTTCAGAGACGAAGAAGGGTGCGGCGGACATATGAGGATTCCTGTGCGCCATCAAAATTGAACCTTGTTCGGGACAAGGGATTTGATTGTTCTCGATGTTCGAAAGGCTAAACTGTTTCTCCGATGACTGTGTGCGGTCAGCGCGCGCGCCCGTCGGGGTTGTTTGGGGACGACGACTAAATTATTCAGTGTTATTCTAGCGAGGGCTGTCTCCAGGCTGCATGCGCAGCAGGTGCTGGTACACTCTGTGCTGATCACCGTGCGCGCTGCTCTCTGGCTATATGCGCCCGCCATCATCCCTGGGCTGATAGCAGGAAGAGGGTGCGGTCTGTGGCAGTCGAGGCAGCGGCGTCTGCCCGCGTCGGGACGCCGGGAGGCCTACCGGTAGCCTCGTGGCAGTCCGGTCGCGCCCCAAATGTGGGAGCACGCGGGAGATCTGCGATCCAGGGGCGGATGACGGTGGGATTACGTACGCGGGCGCTTACGCAAGCAGGCAGCGCGGGAAGGAGCTGGGTCCGCGGCGGTCGCCCTCAGCCTCTGCACCGCTGACAGAAAAGTGCGACGGGATGGAATCGACAGACCCGCCGCCGCTGCCGAGCCCCCTGCCGCAAAATAAACGCAAAAAATCAAAGCGCCCGCCCGACGCGCCCAAGCGCACGTATCCCCCTCCCTCCTCCTCGCCGTCCCCCCCGACGCTCACCCCCGACCGAACAGCCCCGCCGCCCCTCCTCCCGTACCCCGCCTACCCCGCCATGAACCCGCCCTACAACCCCGGCCCCGGCGGCCCCTACGCGCACTACCCGCAGCCGCCCTCGGCCGGTCCCCCGCCGCACGTCGGCCAGATCCCGGCACACCCTACAGCACCCCAGTACGCTGCGTACCTGCCCCACAACCCGTACCCCCATCCCTATTCCTATCCGCCCTACGTCCAGTCCCAGGGCATCCTCGCCTACCCGCCCCAGCGTCCGCCGTCGCAGGAGGACGTCACCCCGCCCGATCAGCCCCCGTCGTCCGCGTCCGCGTCCAAGTCGGGCCGCAAGCGCAAGGGCTCGGATCGCCGCGGCACGGGCGACAGGACGTCCGAGGACGAGGCCGGTGCGTGTTTTTCTCGTCCCCGACGCTGACGCCGGCGCGCGCACCGTGCTCATACCACCCCCGTTTCAGACGTGAAGAAGCGCACCAAGACTCAACGCGCCTGCGACAGCTGTCGCAGTCGAAAGATCAGGTACGCAACGAGCTCGCCGTCGGTCGCGTCTTCGCGATCGTCGCCGTGACCGCGCTCATCGATGCTCATGGTCGTCCAGGTGCGACGTCCTCACCGACGCGGATCCTCCCGTTTGCCAGCATTGCAAACAGTATGGGTTCGACTGTACCTTTTTCTTGCCCATTACCGAGACGCGCTTCAAGAAGAAGCGCCTCGAAGAGGAGGCCGCCGCAGCGGCCGAGAAGGATAAGGAAGAACGTGATCGTACGTCCTCGCCCCGAGAACGCGATGTTCGGATCTACGGTAAACGCAGGAAAGTATTTGGAAATACAGCATCTTAACAACGAGCCGTTTTGCGCAGGTCCGACGTCTCCCGCGCACTTGCTTCACTCGCAGGTGAACCTCTCTTCGCACATATATGAGTCTTACGACACCCGCTACCATCACAAATGGGAAGTATCCGGCACTGGTGACGGCCTCATCCAGATCCACGACCCCCCGACGCCCGAGGACCCGCACCCGGCGCCGCCCAAACCGCTCGACCTTCGAATCGAGCGCGACGTAATCGAGAAGCTCATCAACGCCTACTTCAATGAAGTCGCGCCCAACATGCCCGTCGTTACCCGCACCGAGTTCCTCGCGAATCAGCAGCCGCCGCCGGTGTTACTGTACTCGATGTGTCTCGTCGCCGCCGCGAGGCGCGAGGTACCGCAAAGCGTGTTTGACTCGGTCAGGTACGCCGTGAACGGGCTGATCAAGGGCGAGGAGGTGCTCTCGACGGCGTCTATCGTCAACGTGCAAGCCCTGTTGATCCTGTGTATGCTGGCGGACTGCCATTCGGCGCATGTACCGCAGGCGCTGTCGGCGTTATGGATACGCCTCGGCAGTGCCATCCGGATGGTGCGTGGGAACGTGACGGCGCGGACTCATCGCTAACGGAGGTATTCTATTCTTTTTTTTACAGGCGCAGGACCTGGGCCTGCATCGTGCAGAGTCGGTGAAACGCGACATCGAACTTCGCCGGCGATTATGGGGGATATGCGTCATATCAGATAGATGGTGCGCATATATACATTAATTAAACATCCTTTCTGTGAGTGCCTAATTCACGTCGTGTTCTCAGGACGAGTCTGGCGTACGGTCACCCGTATATGATCGATGTCCAAGATTGCGACGCTCGGTTACCGTCATCCGGCGACCCCAATGACGTGTACATGGACGAATTAATGCGCCTCAGCATCCTGCTCGGACGTGTGCTCAAGACGGTCTATAGGTGACGCGAACATCTTCATTGACTCACACGTTACCAGACTGACGCCACTCTTCTGATAGCCCCTCGGGATTAATGCTCGCCACGGATGAGATCTTGCAGTCCCTGTTGGATGACATCGAGGCATGGAAGGCGAATCTTCCGCCCAACCTCCAGTACCGTGGCATCGACGGGAACCGGCAAGCCGGTACGTGTACCACGTCTCCGCCTTTCCCCCGCTGCTTCTGACAACATGCCGCCGGCGCGCGCATCTCAGGTTTGCTGCACTTGCTGTATTCGTGCGTCCTCATGATCTTCTGGCGAGTGTTCATGAGGATCTCGTACTCGTGCCCCGAACACCTCAAATTTTCGCTGACGGTCGAGCACTGGTCGAACCTCATCCGGCTCACGGGCGAGGCGATCGACTGGCTCGACTCGCATGAGCAGATGTACGACGTCTGGTTGCTGGTCGCGTATGCCAGCACGTCGTGTGCGCTCGTTCAGGTGTGCATCTAGGCCTACCCTCGAGGAGGTTTCCCCTTTCCTCGCTTTTGATGCGATTCTTTTGATCGGGGATGTGTTTAACGCGGATATTCCAGTACCATACCTGGGCTCGGCGCAAGGATGCGAACGCGGCCGCGAAGCTGAGGCAATTGCGGGATTGCGTGCGGCGATGGGAGAGCTCGCTCTCGCCCGATCACATGTCCGCGCGTCGCAAGGTCGGGAGAATCCGTGTTTTCTCCGAGGGCGCATATACTCAACAAATAATAATTAATATTCACAGACCGCAGAGATCATCACTCTACTGTACGAGGCGACTCAGGGCCCGCCGAGCGACTTGACGGCGGCGCCGCTGAACCCGACGGGCGGCGTCGTGAACAAGCAGCCGCTTGGCGGGCTCGAGTACAAGAAGGACCCATCGCGACCGGGCGGAGGGGTGTACGTCGCGCACGGAACGAGCAAGCGCGAGCTCGCGGACTTGCCGCCTGGAACGGTGGTGGCGAGCTCCGACGGCGAGGACTCCGAAGGTGAGGACACTGCGGACCCCGGCGCGCGCGAAGATGGCGATGATGCGAGCGGTGACGCTGCCTCAACAGCTGCTCGTCAGGCGCAGGTTCGGACACAGCAGGACTCGACCATGGCTGAGGTGCAGGAAGCGGGCACTAACGGCGCTGTGGCGGGTCCGAGCAGTAACGGCAACGCCAACAACAGCTTGGTGAACATCACCCCGCTCGGGGGTGGCGGGTTCGGGCCCAACGTGAACCCAGCAATGAACCCCGGGATAGGCCAGACGGGGAACAGCGTGCAGGTGCTGAACGTGCTGAACGCGGACGTGCCGACGGAGAACCAGACGGCGACGAGCATGAGCCTGGAGCAGTTTGCGATGGCGGACACGGGCTTTTTAGAGGGGTTGCCTGGGGGCATGTTCGACTGGGGTGCGTGGCGATCCTCAGCAGACATAGCGAGAGACTGACGTTGGATTGGTGCGCTTTTGCAGGCCAATGGGACAACTTTTTCTCGCGATTCGCTGGGACGGGCGTGGACGGTCAGGCGCAGGGGATGCCTGCCGGATTCCCTGGCAGCGGGCCTCAGCAACCGACCCCCGAAGCGAGCACGACGAGCGGGGCGACGCCACCCAACCTGAGGAAAGGTAGTTCGGGGCACGCGCAGCCCGAGCCGGGGCTGCAATAGTTTGGCGGAGGATCCGCGCGATTGCTTGGCGTCCGAGTCGAGCGAGGACTATGAAATCATAATCAGCTGCCTATTGTAATTAATCCTGTCTCGCTATTCTTGCAACGGGCTCCGAATCGAAACGGTGTAATTGTTGCTGCTGCTGTTGTTGTGCGCCGGTGAGATAGGAGGGTGTGAGCGGTGCAGCGACGGAGTTGATGGCGATAACCCGGGCGGCTTCGAATTCTGTTCTCGTCGATCTCCTCGCTGTCTCCTACGCTGGCCGTGGCCGTTGCTCGCTCCCTCTAGCAGCGCTAGACGACGGATGGCGCAGACCCTCCGCCCCGGCGGCCACGACTCCCAGCGCATCTCCCAGCTCCTGCCGGGCGTCAAGTGCTCCCAGTGTGGCACCTCCGTCCCACTCGACCAGCTCCCCGACCATGTCTGCGCCCCCGTCCCGCCCGTCCCCAAGCTACCCCTCCCGCCACCCAGCAAGGGCGGGGCCGACCCGATCAGTCTGCTGCCAGCGCGCCTCCAGGGTCTGCTGAGGAGCCCGAGCCCGGGCACCCAGCAGCAAAAGCAGCAGCAGCAGCAGCAACAACGTGCTGCGTCTCCATCACCGTCGAAGACGCCCACCCCGCGCTCGCGCGCCCCGTCCAACGCCAGCATCAACCAGCCGCCCCGGATCCAGGACCCCGCCATCCGACGCACACCCAGTCCGCTCGCGCGAGGACCCGAGCCTCCGCGGACGGCGTCCAGTCCCTACCCGCGCGACCAGCCCTCCCGAGGGCCCTCAGAAGCAGCACCTCGTCCACCTCCCAGTCCCTACGCCCGCGATCAACCTTCTCGAGGTCCCGTCGATCGCAGCGGCACGCCCTCGAACAGCTCATACGTCGTCCGCGACCCGCCACCGCGATCAGGCAGCACCACACCGGCCGCTGCTTATCAGCCGCACGCGAATCGAACGCAGGCGCCCTACCAGACCACCAACCCCGCTCCTTCTGTCCAAAATGGGCGCCCACCCGCGTCCCCGTTGCCGCCGCCGATGATAAATTACCGACCTCCTCCCTCCCCCCAAACCCAGCCACCGGACGAATACCGCAGTGGCGGAGAGGCGGGTATGGCGGGCGTCGGCCGGCGCGCGTTCCAAGCCGCCGCGCGCGCCGCGATGTGGGCTCAGGGGCAAGCTCAGCCACCCGAGGCGCCGACGCAACAGCAGCAGTACAGTTATCCCGACCAAAGTCAGGCCAGGGCGGGGCCATCCGGCTACCAGGGGTACAATGCGCCCTATGACGAACGCATGAAGATGTCCGCCCCCGCTGCCGGCATGGACGGGAGAAGGCCGAACGCGCCTCCGCATCTGGCTATAGATAACAGTTCGAAGGCGGCAGGCACGTCCATCTGAGTCTAATCGCGGTCTCTATGCTCATTGGCTATATTAAACCTTAATACAGGACCGAGCGCGGCCACGCCCCCTCTTTCCCCGGAGTCCGGGTCCGTCTCGTCCTACTCGGCCGGCACGTCCGCGCGATCGCCGACTGGCACGACCTCCACCGCGCCAACGACCATCCTCTCCGCGCGTACCCCGTCGCCAACGCGTAGCACCAGACGCGTCGAAGCGCCTGCGACACCCGAGCCGTCCACGCCACGCCTACCCTTTTTTGAAAAGTTCAAGAACAAGCTTCCCGCGAACGTGTCCATCCCTACGCCGACCGTCGACCGCTTCAACGCCGCGAACAAAGAGAACGACGACGACGACAAGGACAGATCCAAGGGCGCACTCAGCCCCCGCTCTCCGGACTCGGCCTCGGACTATAGCTCCAGCGCCGGCTTTGGGCTCGCGTACAGAGATGGAGACACTGACAGCGCGGCGGGCAGCGCGTACGCCATGTCCCCGCCCACGAGGTCCGCGCCGTTGCCCCTGAACCCCGACAAACGCTCGCGTGCCGGTTCGAGCAGCACTACCAACAGCAGCACCCAGAAGATCCAGTTCCCGAGCACCTCTGACTCACCGCCGCGCGCAGGCGCGAGCGCGCGGATGTCGGCGACGACGCCGACGACGCCTGGTCGGAGCATCAGCAGCGCGTCGGCGTACTCGGGCCGAACTGCCGGCGCACTGAACCGGGCGAGCCGGAACCCGATGGACGTGCTGTCCGAGGAGGAGGATGGCGCGGGGCCGGTCGCGGGGGTGGGCACCGGTGCGGGTGGACTGAAGGGCAGCGCGAGCGTGCACGGCGCGGGGAAGAAGGAGCGCGAGCGCGAGGCGGCGCTCAGACCGCCGATGCGCGCGAACACGAGCCCGACGACGGAGCGCGAGCTGGATAGCGAGCGTAAGTCGGTCAGGAGGCGGGTGAAGGAGCGCAAGTGCGTGCGATGCGAGCGGGTGATCACTGACGGGCGGTGGGTCGCGATGGACGAGGGCGGGGTCCTGTGCGAGAGGTGCTGGAAGAATATGTATCTGCCCAAGGTACGTGAGGTGCCGATTTTCCGGTCGCGAGGTCTAGGGCTGACGCGTCGCTTAGTGCCGGAGGTGTAATTTGCCGATCGAGAAGGCGGCGGTGTCGTCTTCCGACGGGCAGCTGAAGGGCAAGTATCACAGGGAGTGCTTCAATTGCCATACGTGCCACGTTCGTGTTCTATTCATCATGCCCTTTCAAAGCTGACCCTCGGCTTTAGAAACCGTTCCCGGACAAAACGTTTTATGTGTTCGACGGGAAACCCTTCTGCGCGTACCACTACCACGAAGCGAACGACTCACTCTGCGCGGCCGCGACCTGTGGGCAGCCCATCGAGGGACCCTGCGCGCTCTCGCACACGGGCGATAGGTATCACCCGGAGCACCTCACGTGCGAATACGAATACCCCAATGACCCGTATGCGGGTACGCCCAAGGCGCGCCGCTGCCCCGTCCGACTCGAGGATTACTTTGAGATGGACGGCCGGATGCTGTGCGAGAAGCACGCGCGAGCGATGGAAGATGCTGCGAGAGAGGAGGAAGAAGGCGAGGACCGCGCGTGGGGCGAGGATCGGGACAGGGAGAGGAGGGCGATGAAGCGCACGACGCGATTCATCGACCTCGCGAACGGAGGAATGGGCCTCGGCGGGAGTGGCTTGCGCTAATAGATGTTAACGGGTTTGCCCGTTGAAGAGACGGAGAGGGAGAGTTTGTACCACATCTTTTCGGCGTTTTATATGGCGCCTTGCCCCTTATATCACCATCTTATGCTTTCCGCTAATCTCTCTTTTTCCCTTATGATCCCAACTCACGTCCTACGTCCTCCATCGATATTCCCCGATACCAAACTGATGGACTCTCTTCTATTTCATGGCCCACTTCGGTCACACTCTCCTTAGCCCTTGTAGCAATCAATGGACGGTTCGAGTTTCTTCACGGAGTACTTAATACATCAGAATACACTCGTAGCTATATACAATCGATAAAAGGTCTGCTGTAGAGTAAGAATCGGGTGGTCCGCGCTTTCAGGAGTTTCTTCTACTGCTTCATACGTTGACGTCCGGAGTTTTTGGACCATCGTGAGCTTTCTCAAGCTGGTACTTAACGATCCATTCCCGGATGTAGGTGCTGCTCATCTTCGCCTGCTTGAGCGCCTCGGCGCTGTCTCCCTCGATGCTCTCCGACTCAGCGGAAATGACGTCGATTACGAAAGTGCGCAGAGGCGGGAGGCCCTTTTCCGTCCTTATCTTGTCAACTGTAAGAAATGTACATCAGCGAAGCTACAGTGAAAAGGGGGCGAACGGGACGCACTAGCTGATGCACCTGATATCGTTTCCCGGCTGACGACGAGGGCATGGATATCTGGGTCCCACCCGGTCGGTCCGGCGACGTCTTTGATCGAAACGATGTCGTACACCAATCCGGGTCTGAACAAAGCCAAGAACGCCCGTACGCGCTCCGACCGCGTTGACAGATCTTCTAAAACATGCTTGTTTGATTTGTTTTGTAACAGTGCGTCGTCTAGCATGCGTCAGTAGGTCTAGTCAAGCGAGGCAAAGCGACGGCGACGCACCGGTGACGCCGACAATGATCTTCTCGCTTGCTATCCATGCGGCCATGCTCAGCAAGATCTTGTGCCCAGCGTGCAAGTGATCAAATGTCCCTCCTAACGCGACAACTCGGAGTAATGAGTCTTCTGTCGCAACTTTCTGTTCTGGCACGTATTGAACAGACGGGTTGGTAGGCCTCGCGGAGGCGCACGGTATCAACTGTGCGGAAGATGCGATACTGTCCGGCAATTTATCTTGAAGAGTTAAGATAGTGCGTCACCGTTCATGATATGGATATACATACCGTTTTCCGCCGCAAATATGACCTCGGCGTCCTTCACCACATCCCCCCATATCACCTCCCTCTCAGAGCGAAGCAAGACATTGATATCGATGAGCACCCTCCCGTGTTGTTGTGCGACGCGTGTGGCCTCCACATACGCGAAGGTCAGCAGACGCTGGACCCCGTCCCACTTCGCGAGGCGGTTTATGCCGCCCTCCGACTGCCTGGAATCGAACAGGGGCGAAAGAAGGAGAATTAGCAGCCTTGAACGCGTCGGGTGGGCTGCATGTTCGATCAGGGGGCCGAGGGACCTGTAGGCCCCAGTATCCAAAGCGTCCAGCCTGAGGACGAGAAGCGCATTGTCGACTTCTGAGATCGGCATTGGCTCCTTGTTGCCTGGGCCGCCCACCGCCGACTGTGTTGCAATTCCATCCGTAGGCTCTACCGCCGGCGTGGCAGTTGTGTTGGACGGAGGCATCTCGCCCTCGGTTGGATCTTGTTTCAGAGTTGAATTCGATCCGCCCTCAACGTGCGACTTCGAGCGGAACAGGCGACGGACGCGCTGGCGGACTGTATGCCATGTCATCGAGGGACGGCGAGGACCGAGATCAAGGGACTGTGAAGGGGGGGAACATCCGAGTATCTCATGATGGGCGTCGTAGTGGGTGTACTATGAGTCCATATGCAATGTGACTGGCGTAACATGCCGTGATGTAATTGGTTTGCATCCATCCAAGTTACATGGCGTCCCGCGGGATAACAGACATGAAACGACCCCATATCAGCACACTGACAACCCCCGCCCGTTGACTTGACGCCATATAGTAATGTGAAAATGCCTGCTGTTCGTGAGCCGTTTAATCGAACTGGAGCCCACCATCCACGTTGATTGGTTGCCCTAAAACAACTTCGTCGTGGTTGGCTAGAGCTCACCAGTAACAAACTTAGCCTCCGGCTACGCGAGGTAGAACACAAGGCTATGTAGCCACTACCTCAGGTTCTCCCTTTGGCATAGGTGCGGTTTGGGAACCTGCTGAGCCGACAATTAGAAGACGATGGTTCTGTCTATCCGACTGTCGCGTTACGTATATTTTCGGGGGCGGGACTTTTTGCGGTAACGCCATGCGTTCTTTCCCGATGAACGTAGCTACCCTGACGTCAACGTCCTGGGCGGGGAGGGTGTAGGAAAGCTCCTGCCCGTGGGGGGTATCGATCAAACCCGGTGCATACGCGTTCACAGTGATACCATAGGGTGCCAATCCAACCGCTGCGGAGCGGGCGATCAATGCTTGGGATGTTCCAGTGATGATTGACGTACACGCTGATTGGGCCAATCCCCGAACTGCGAATTTGCCGGAGCAATACGCGGAAAGTAGAGGGAGCCCTAAGAGGCACAATTCAGCCATGAATCGGGTGACGACATTTTGTTCTTATTACTTTTCTTTCGTGCCACAGAGCATGCTCCTGCATGAGCGGCGCGCAGCCGGAGTGCAAAGCGTGAAACTGAAGTTCGTCTTCCTACCTATGATACGTCCTTGCCCTTGACTTTACATCTGGTTCGTGGCGGTCTTGTAACACAACATGATCCCGCGAACGTTCACGGAAATAGTCTGTCCCAATCCTCGACCGACACTACGCAGACGATCAAATCCTATGGCACGGAGAAAGATAAGAGGACGACGTACTGTCCAGGGAGGGCGATATCATAACAATACCAGCATTGGCGACTATCTGCGGTCCAAGGGTGACACTCGGCGACCCCTACATCAATACGCCTGCCGTACCACATCCAGACGGCCGAGCTGCTCTACGACCCTGTCCACCAGTCTCTGAACATCCTCAGATGAGGAGTTGTCCGCAGTGACCTGCAGCGACCGTCAACCTTTCTCATTGATCACGGCGCAGACTTCGTCAAGTATTAGCGATTTGCTCTTCAAGTCGTTAACCGCCACATCGTTTCCGTCTTGAGCGAGGCGAAGAGCGACTCCTTTACCGATTCCTTAAGCTGCTCCATTAACAATAGCGACAGGCAGCTCAGTAGATAGTCGAAGACCGGTGTCAGGAGGGGTTGGTACACTGTTCTCGAATCAATGACTGCCATTTCGCTAGGTTCTTGTCGGATTCGGAAGCGCGTGCTATAGGGTTGGCTGGGAGTCGATGCTACTCTGCCCCATGCCAAAGCCGATCGAACTGAAAGACGAAGCTGAAGATGCCACAGCGCAGTGATAGAAGGCACTCAGCCAGCGCTGGCCCCTTCGGCGTGCAAGATCTAACCAACATTTGAGACGATGTGTGCTTGGCTAAAACGGTGGTCGCTGGTGACCGCGAGTACTATAGCGCGCGGGGGTGGTATTTTGCCCGGAGGACGGTAAATGATAATATATCCGTTAAGTACATTTCCACGATATTGCCGGAACGGGTAAGCGGCGACGCGTCCTCACTGACGCGGCTCGCGCGACTGGTACTCACTTCATCTTACCCCGTTCACCATGAACACCTTCGTCACCCGATTCTCCACTTCAGGTGCCGCGAGTGAACTCAGGAGAGTGAAGGATACTTCGGCGGAAGATGAGGACTGCTCAGATGTGATGTGGGGTTCGGAAGCTGGCTTTGGCAACCTCGCCCGCGGGGTGCCCAACTTCTCCGTGCCCAACGTTCCTGATGTGAGAGATACAAACTTGCGGATACATGATAGAGCCACTGAAACCTTCTATTTAGCCTGCAGCTTTCTTGAGGCTCCATACAGACGATCACGCGGATCCCAGCTGCCGCATTAAGATCAAGCATGGTACCACCACGCTTGCATTCCGGTTCCAAGGCGGAGTGATCGTAGCGGTTGATTCTCGAGCGACCGCCGGGAGCTACGTTGGTGCGCTGTAGTGGAACTGCATAAGCGCTCGGTCGCTGACCTTCGTTTGAAGCATCGGGCACTGTCAAGAAGGTCATTGAAATCAACCCCTACCTGCTTGGCACTATGGCTGGTGGCGCCGGTGCGGTCGTGTCTCTGCTATGGAATCCCTCGGACTGGCCGGCGCTAATTACCCATACTCTATATAGCCGATTGTCAATACTGGGAAACGTACCTGGGAATCCAATGCCGGCTGCATGAGTTGCGGAACCGGGAGCGCATCTCTGTCGCGGCTGCTAGCAAATACCTCAGCAACCTCGTTTACGGCTACAAAGGGATGGGCTTGAGCATGGTGAGGTGCATGTGTTCTCGGAAGCTAAAATCATTGCTGAGATCATATAGGGGACCATGATCTGCGGTTGGGACAAGACAGGCCCTGCTGTCGTTTATGTCGATTCCGATGGCACGCGGTTAAAAGGCGATCTTTTCTCGGTTGGATCCGGCAGCACCTATGCGTATGGTGTTCTTGACCAGGGCTACCGGTGGGACCTCACCGACGAGGAGGCTCAAGAGCTCGGCAGGCGAAGCATCTACGCCGCTGGTCATCGCGATGCATTCTCCGGTAACACATGCAATGTTTACCACATCAAAGAAGACGGCTGGAAGTTTATTGGTGAGCACATTCAATCTTGTTGCATGTGTATATTTGATTGGTTTTGCAGGCAACTTCGACGTCTCGCAAATGCACTACGAGGGAGCCGGAGATGTCCCCGGTTCAACGCATGCCGCGTATGGATACGATATTCGCACAGAAGGGAAGAGCTCTTCGGATCCTCCTGCACCAGCTCCCGTCGCCGTCGAGGCCTGATGTACCGTATATGTATGATGTATCATGATTCAAACGTTCACCGTAGTCAACTTGACATGACGTCACGCGATCACTTGGCTTGATTGATCGTCGCGGGCGGAAGTGTTCGTGGTTCGATGACTTGCTCAGACTCGACCACGTTCCTTCGTTATGAAGCGACTATTCCGCAAGACTAAGAGCCCTCCGCCTCCCGTCTCGACGACAGCGGCGGCACCGAACCGGCCAATATTACATGCGGCGAGCCTGCCTCCAAGTTATACCCTACCTTCAGTCCCACACCCTTGCCCATACAATCATCTCGCTATTTTACCGACCCCGGAGGGCCTCCTCATACGCCCACATGTTGCCGGCTTAAAGCATCCGGCAACCCATGTGCGGTTAGCCTGGGGTCAAGCAATCTCGGTAGAGGAACTTCAAGGCGATGGCGAAGCAGACGGCCGGGACTGGTCCGAGAGCGTTGTTGTGTACGGGATTATTGGAATCGTAGAGCTATATTCTAGTGAGTTACTCAGAAAACGTGTATGAATATGGAACCTGAAGCGGTGTCAAATTCTGAAGCATCGTACTTGCTTGCTATCACCAGCAAGTCAAACATAGGAAACTGTGAGTGCCGTATGGTACTGTGCAGGTTGATGCTCAACCTCGTGGTAGTCCTAGATGATGCATATACAGTCTACGGCGTCAAAGGCGTTACTGCTATACCCCTCAAAGAAGATAGAGCAAGGACAGTGCTCAATACACTCGCAACCAAGAACGCGGCACAAGCACGGCTCTCGCTTTTACATACAGCATCAGTGAACACTGTAGCAAGTGATCTGGATAACTTTCCTCCTGAAGATGTGTCGAAGGCCTCCGATGAGACGCAATCTATTTCACACACCCCTCGTGTCAAATTCGCCGATGAGGAGCAGGTGAAGATTATGACACCGCTGAACTCAACGGAGTTCAAGCCAGAGAATGAAGACGATCCCAATACTCCGTCATCTGGTGCCTCTACCCCTTCGTCGGAGACATCCGTGAACACCAACTCAGTGGCTCAGACGCTAGCGAAGCGGCTATCGTTTTGGAACAAACTAGCTAAGCGACCTCCGCAGTCCCCAATGGATATCGTCGACGAGGAAAATGCGGATTCTCACGGCGCAGGGGTGGAATCCCGTGATAACTCTGACGCTCCAACTTCACTGAAGCACGACACCGAAGAAGTAGTCGATGCAGCCGCAGAGCAGGATGTGCAGTCACCTTCTGAGGTCCTGGGGGATATTATTGACAGTCGTGCGCCCGAGCCGAAAACGCAAGCGGAGCAGCATTCTGAACTGGAGGATAAGATTCTGAAAGAAATCATCCGCGAGTACACCAAGGGCGGCATGTATTTTGCGTACACGTTTGGCACGTTTTCCGCGCACCTTTGTTACTCGTCTAACTGGTCATATCCAGATATCACGCGATCTCTGCAGCACAAACAGGAGGAGATTGCGAAGTCGAAAAGGGAACATCATCTTCTTTCCGACTTGAACGCCTTGGAGACCCCGACAACGACAGCGTCGTCTTCCGCGGCTTCAGGGATCTCAGATGCACCCACTGAACACCCTGACTTGGAGAAGGTTGACGTCCTTGCGGAAGTGTACCCCACTTTACCCCTTTGGCGCCGCGTCGATCGCCAATTCTGGTGGAACGAATGGTTGTCCAAGCCATTCACAGAAGCAGGAGTAAGCTTGCTACACCCGACGATTGAAGGGATATGGCCATTGCTGATGTTAATTCTCAACAGCTACATTCATATGTCCTGCCGATCATGCAAGGGTACTATCAAATCGCCGCATTCCGAGTACCGCGTGAACCTGAAGAATCCGAGGAAGGCAAATCCGCGTTGGTGGACTATATTCTCGTTTCCCGACGATCAAAAAACCGTGCTGGGCTCCGTTACCAGAGAAGAGGAATCGACGATGAAGCGCATGTTGCCAACTTCGTCGAGACAGAGGCCGTCGTTCGAGTTGACGTGAGAAAATGTGATGCCCTTTGCAAATATGAGTTTCACTGACCACATCCGGACATCACAGCGTGAGGGCCATTCAAACGTTTTCTCATATGTCCAAATTCGTGGATCAAGTGTGTCGTGTTCTTTCTCCTAAGGATGCTGCTAAACTCATTTTGCTAGTACCTCTGTTTTGGTCCCAACCTGGGTATAGCCTGAAACCGGCCCCTGTCCTTGCGTCCGACCGGACGCATAGCCAGCAACTGGATGCCGTGCGACGTCATTTCCAGAGGACTGTGGGGCACTACGGGCCAAACGTTGGTCTTTATCACTTGTCAGGCATGTCATAACTCAATCTGTCATAGAATGTGGTAAACCTAGCCGAACAACATGGGAAGGAAGCGGCTGTCACTTGTGCATACCGTGACTTTGTCTCTGAGATGGCATGGCCTGATGTGAAGTACACCAGTCCGTTTTACCCAATGAGACTAGACGCGAGCCAGAACCTAGCTATACAGAATATGACTTCCATGCCGAGACAAAGGGCATGAAGTGCGTCAGCTTTTCCCTTTAAACTCGTTTTTATCCTGACCATTGAACAACAGATATGAGAATATCTCGATGTTAATCGACAAACTAGAGCGTACCTTCGAACAACAAGGGCAAGGCTAGTAATCGATTCTTATTTTCTTCGCTAACCTCTTTCTTCAGGTATCTCTGGATATCGAGTGGATCGAAGATGTCGGATCAGAAGGGCGTGTTTCGTGTCAATTGCATCGACTGCCTCGACAGGACGAATGTAGTACAAGTAAGTCGTAGCCTCCTTGCTTATCCGCCTCGCCGTTGATCCACTGCGGAGTCTGCTTTTGCTCGTCATGTCTTGAACAGACAACTAGGTGCGGTTGCTCTATTGAATACGACAGAAAATGGGCGCACGGAATTAGACGTCGTGTTCAATGATGGTAAGATGATTATGTTTACGCTCGCCTTCAGATTGATATCTCTTCCACCAGTATGGGCAAATAATGGCGATGCCATCAGCCGTGCATAGTATGTTTCAACAGGTTTGATATCTCTCGACATCGCGGGTATGCTGACTATCGCTCAGTGCTGGTACTTCTGCTCTGAAGGTACGTTCATTGTACACATGAGGTTTTGTCACTCATGGCTATTATTATCAGGGAGACTTTACTAGGTGCGTGCTTTGAACTCGTATTATCGGCACCAGCTAGAACTATAACCAGGACAGGTAAACGCGATCTTGGCGGCATGCTGAACGATGGCATCAACTCGATCGCTCGGTTAGTCTACCAACATCCTTGGCAGATATCGTCTTTGTTAATATTTTCCAAGGATGTACACCTCTACATTCAGTGATTGGTTCTGTCAGGCCGTCATCGATTATATGCTGGGTTGTCGGACACTCACAGTCTTCTCGGAATTCTTGCTGAAGTTACAATCGTCTGACCCTCGTGATATGGTCCGAATCGCTCAAATCAGAGCGGACGCCATCGCAACATCCGTGTCTCGGGTTCTCTCCGAAGGCGAACGGTTACTTTCTGGATGGACCGTATTCTCGCCCGAAGCATTGAACCGAAAGATGGCGGATAGATTCGAGGAAAAGGTCCTTCTCCTGGTAAGCTTTGTGATGCGCCATAGCCGAACGTTCGCGGCATTCTGATGCCTCCTTAGTCTGTTCGCGCGCTTTACATCGTAGTAAGTCGCTCTCTTCCCGGTGGAGATGAGGTGGTCATAGGGCTGTGCCTAGAGCTACGACTACACACTCGAGAAGATCAAAGTATTCCACCGCGTACCCTTGGGCGACATTGAAAGCATAGAGAAAGGTACAGATGAATCGTTACACAGATTCGCTCACTCATCTGCTATCGTAGGTGCATATATCATATCCCCATTGGAAGAAGCTAGTCGCGATCCTCTGCAGAACGCAGGATTCATGGTCACCTGGCGCAACTCTAACCTCGAGACACGGATCACAAGCTACTCGGTGCGAAACAGTATTGAACGGAAGTCAGCATCCTCTGCGCCATCCTCCCCTACTAAACCGACCCACTCCGGGCAATCGACTGCCCCTCCGCCAAGCTCTCTACCTCAGCAGAGTATCGTGCGCAGATCATCCGCGCTATCGAAGTTAATCGCCAAGGCTGCACCCGAGGAACCTGGCGAAACCACCTTTGCCGCGTTCAAGGCTTTGCCCGTTGACCCAACAAGACGACAACGCTCGACAGGAACGTATGCAGAAGATTCAGATGAGCTCGCAGGGGCCACGAACAGCAGGGAGGCTGTTGACGCGATGGTGGAATCAATACGACGCGCATGCGCGGATATCGGGAATGTTCGCGAGAATTTGGTCAAGGACGTCGACGTGGTCAGGTTAGTGTCCTCGTTTATCAACGTCAGAGAACAATCCCTGACATTTGGCACAGTTTGACGGAGGCACAACGGATGACGAGTGTATATGCTAAGATGGAATATGGTGTGAAGAGGCTGTTGTGGCTTGGTGGTTGATCGTATAGAAAACCCTGTGACAGTGCCGTATACGTATCACCAGTAAGCACCCTCGTCCTCTGGAAAAGGCAATGTTCTGATAACAAGGTCTGCCGGAAGATCATCTGGTGGCGGAGTGTCGCCCGTAAGGGTCAAGGTCGAGAGTGGTACGCCCTGCGCTCTTCGAGCGCTGACGATGTTTTTGAGCGACTTGCACTCTACGGGTAGGCTTATGATATGGATACTCCGAAGCTTCGGCCAATTGGGGGACAATCGTATATTGTCTGGGTTCGACAGTCCGTCTTGTAAAAATTGAAGAGGGTCCACGCCTCGTGCGCCCTGCAAATCGAGTTGCTCGAGTGCGGGGAATGCCGCAAAGAAATTGTCCTCCGCCTGCTCCACCGAACCTAGGTGGATCAACGCCAAGGACTCCACGAGAGGATATTTCAGCGATGTTTTCCGTCCAATATGGCGCACAAACCAACACCAACACTGATCAGTGAAAAACCTGATCTCGAGCGACGTCAGCATTGGCATATGTAACACGAGGAAGGGACGGGAGACTTCATCGGCCATTCGCCCAGGGATTGAGAGGGTGAAGTGCCGAAGATTTCGCAACGTGAGTCGCTCAAACCCTGGCGGGATATTCAAGACTTCGCCCGAAAAGACCAGACGCTGAGTCCTGAGGGAGCCAATAGCCAATTCTTCATATCCTTGTACGCTACTCCGTACACGATATCGATGTCCAATTCGGTGAGCGTGTCGAGTAAACCCGACGTGTGTTGCAGGATGAGGTTGCGGACCCTGAGCGATTTCAAGGCAGGCATACCGGAGGAAAACGGGGGACGGAATAGTCCGAACTGGTTTCGTGGTGCAATGAGCTCCAACCTCTGCAGCACTGGTGCGGATGCGCGAGACAGGTGCACGACCATATGGCCCATGTCGAACGAATGACCTGATTCTATCAGGACGAGGCTGCGGGTTCGATGCATATTGGATGATATGACTTCGATGGTCCGTTGCAGCAGTTGTCGCCGCGGCTGGGAAGTCATGGCCACATCGAGCACTAGCTCGATGGTCGACTCCTTCGACCTCGCAAGCATGAGCTCCAGCGTTGCGATCCGAGAACTTCTGATAATCGACCAGATGGAAGGGTGACCCAAGGCGATCGCTCGCCATCTCCGCGATACATGGGAACATGTGAAGGCGAAGGGAACGGAGTGGAGTTTGCAAGGGAGGGCTTGTCCGAGTTGAAAGACTAGTGCAAGCAGTTCATCGGGGAGCAGTCTGTCCAAGGATGAACAATGATCCATCGTGAAGCGCTGTGAGGAGACCGTCCGGGTGAAAGCGGCATATGAGCTTAGGCAGCAGTGCAGGCGCCGGCAGCAGGAGCCTGGAGCATCTGCACAGTCCTAGGGAGCCGAAAGATGCCGTTGTTGCCGCAGACAGTTACATACGCGTTCGCAGGACTGTATGTAATGCGTAGGACGATTCTAGGTTCGGAGAACATCAGTCTACCGGTGCTCAGTGCGGAATGCGTCCAAGTGAACATGAGGCCGATGTTGGCGAGTGCTGCAGAGGGTTCTCGGAATCACGAGGGTCTCTTGATCCTTCAATTTATAGGTACTACAGAATAACCACACTGTCAGAAGACGGGACAGGCGTCGACCGAGGTCTGCAGCAGCAACATTCATAAAGCGGATCATGGGTGCAAGCATGCACGACGAGTGTGCTAGGTCACAGTGACGATTTCGCCACGCCCATCGCGGAGCACGACAACCTCCACATCGAGTTTCTCTCCAGTGTCGCCACAAACCACGTCTGTAGGATCTAAAGGATTGGTCTTGATCCGCCTTGCCTCGAAGAAGGAGCGACCAAGGATCACCTATGCATCATGTATCAGCGGGAAGAACGGCACAGGGAGGTGGAGGAGATTTACGTCGAAGTGCGACTCTTCAGCGAGGAACACGGTGTGTGTAATCTTGGTGGGTATCCGACCGTCAAGGCAGGGCGTAGGGCCGATAGATATAGGCCATTTGCCAATGCTGAAATGTGATGAGGATCATCCCCAAGGCACCGAATGGTCAGCACTCACTTCACCAGCCCACTGTAGCCATAAAAGCCAGGCTCGGCATCTCCTGGGACAAATCCATGACGAATAGCGAATTTGCGAGAGAGGTATATGTGACGATGGCCCTCTTTCAACAACATGCGCACTGTTTGCCTTCACGTCAAGGTGACGATTATGGGGACGAGACTTTGGCGACTGACCATTATTCACGGAGCCTATCGTGCCGATAACAGTGCGGACACCATTCTCACTGTGGAACTTGTCGAACTCGTATTTGTACTGCGGTACACCAGCTCGCTCGGCCTTGGTCATATGCGACTTGCCACTCTTCACCGAGTCAGCGCCTCCACGCGATCTGCGCGTGGACGTACTCGGTGGCTTTGGGGAGGCCGAGCGCCTGAACAGGTAGAATGACGCATTGCGGTAGGCTGTTGGGGGTGGCAACGGTCTCGATGGGTCGTGAATGTGCAAAGTCGGGGTGGTGTCGACGGACATCCTTGACGGACCAGCTTGTTGCGCTGTCGACTTCTGTCTCCACGAGAAGATCGTGTAATCGCTGTCTGACGGGAACGTATGATATTCCGTACCATCAAGGATGGATTCACAGCTTACCATCGTCTAGGCTCCATACCGACCCATTCCACTCATACTTCACCCAGCCTGGGGCAATGTGGGCTCTATCGTATTCGGCACTGACTTTCCGCGTGAGGGAGTCACGAAGCGATTGAAACGAGTCCTCCGTGAGTGAGTGCGGTATGGCGAACGAGTTCGCAGGCGTGTGTACGTTGATGATCTGGAGTTCGGAGGACATGCTTGACGAGATGCAGCGGGTTACAAAGGGTCGCAACGTCGTCAGGAAGCTCTATATGTATGCGCAGCAAAGGAGACGAATGCGGATCGGCTCGCACGGATGGCGGAGGTGATCGAGCGCGTGCGGGTGCGAGCAGAAGCGGGACACTGCGGCAACAAGGCGAACAAGCACCCCAGGCCAAAGGCTCGTGGAATCAGAGCTGTGGACAGATTGAAGCATCCTGTATCCCGCACAAACGGTTGCAGGGTATTGCGTTTGGAATGAAAATGAGTCCAGCATACGCCAGAAACCCGCAATAGGGAGGTGCGTCGAAGGTCATGGACGTGCTCCCCGCATTTGGCGGTCAGTGGCCTCCGGCCAACCCCAATGGACCGTATACCCCCGCCCCCGACATACGATGTTGCGGTTAAAGGCTTGTCCATAGCAGTTCCTCCGTACAAGGTAATTATCAACTCCCTCGGGAGAAACGCGCATTGACCGGGAGAATGTCAGGCTTATATACCCACCCCGATACCCATTCCTATCCCAGGGGCTCTCATACGCTGGCAACAGAACCTGAGCAAGGCCAACAATGATGCTTCACAAGCGCAAAGTGAAGATGGGCTCATCGTCCGGAACGTAAACGCGCAAGTCAATGCGGGAGAAATGATGGCGATTATAGGTGGTTCTGGTTCTGGTGAGAATCCCGTTTGTCTGAGACGCCTGGACTTGCGAAGACGGGTTGTTTACGCATGAAAATGCTTTAGGAAAGACCACCCTGCTGCATGCCATTGCGTCGAAGCTCAATGGTCTTCCAATCGCCAGCGGCAGCGTTCTCGTTACCCCGCATGAGACCGAGTCCACCGGCAATCCGCGGGGAGGAGAGGGGCACTTCAGAGGGATGAGCAAGGTGAGCACGTTCCACTCAAAAACCACCTATCCACCTTATTATACGTATGCTCATATCCGCGTCCAGATCCTTGGATTCGTCCGACAGAACGACTACCTGCTACCTCATCTGACAGGCGAGTCTCACGTTCATATGTTGCGTGCTATATTTTCCTTCCTGACATCCTGAACACCGCAGTTCGTGAGACCTTGGCGTATGCCGCGAGCCTCCGGCTTCCCGTCTCGGTCGACGCTCAAACCCGTCGCCTGATCGTGGAGCAGACAATCCAGGAGTTGGGGCTTGCCGAGACAGCGGACACGCTCATAGGTGGATCCGGACGCAAGGGCATCTCCGGAGGGGAGAAACGACGGGTGTCTATCGGCTGTGTCCTCGTTAGCTTACCCTCTGTCCTCGTATTGGACGAAGTGACCACGGGCCTCGATTCCTTCACCGCATTTCAGCTGCTGGAGACTCTCCATGGCCTCGCTCGGCATGGAAGAACAATAATACTATCCCTTCACCAGCCTCGCTCGGATGCATTCCCTCTGTTCTCGAAACTGTTACTTCTCTCACACGGTTCGGTGGTTTATTCTGGCGAGACCAAGGAGTGTTTGCCTCACTTTGCATCTCTGGGCCTTGAACCGCAAGATCGTACCAACCCTCTTGATTTTCTGATTGATATCTCCAGCGTGGACTATCGAGATGACGTGCAAGAACAGCAGAGTCGAGAGCGTGTAACGACTCTTATAAGACGATGGCGAGAAACGGAAGTCGCTCGGCACGAAAAGGAAGAACAACATGGCCGAGGACCGCTGTACCGGCAAACGTCCGCAGGATCTCTCGTTTTGGACGCCAACAGCGACCACCACGCTCCGCGATCCAGCACCAGGCGACCTCATGCTATCAAACAGGCGCTCATCCTGCTTCCCCGAGCAGGGAAAAACATGATCAGGGGTTACCCCGAGCTCTTTGGGCACCTCACTCAGGCCGTGGTCCTAGGTCTCCTCGTTGGGATTACATTCTTCCAGCTCGGCGGCAACCCGGCAGACATACAGTCCCTCAAGACCCTCTGCTTCCAGCACATGGCCATCTTCTACTACATGACCCAGGTTGTGTGGCTATTCAAGTGGTGTACGACCCTTGTCGTGTATGATCGGGAACGAGACGACGGGCTTTATTCCTCTTCCGCGTGGTTATTCTCAGAAATGGTCGCGTGGATGCCTGTCAACATCGCGGCACCTTCTATATACGCCATTATGGTCTACTTCATATGCAACATGCGCCGGGACAATCTCGCAGGCAATCTCGGCGTATTCGTTGCCGAGAACATCCTCCAACAGATGTGTTTTGTGGTTTGGGCGCTGTTCGCCGCTTCGATGGAGGTGAGTAATATTTGGTTTCCTTGTCATGCTGTCGCTGACGATCAATGCGCAGCGGAGCTTCGCGCGTGCATCTCTTCTGGGAAATGGTCTCGCCATATTCTTCATTCTGTCGACGGGATTCTTCCTCGTTAACGTACCCGGGTGGATACGCTGGTTCCGTTGGCTTTCGCCGTTCTTCTTCGGATTCCGCATCGTCGCCTTGTCGCAGTTTCGGGGACGCCAGTTTGACTGCGCGGGCATCACTGGCTCGCAACTTGCTCAGTGTAATGGAGACAGCGCTCTGCGAAGTTTAAGGATTTCACCTGGTCAACCCATCTATCCGATGTTCTTGGGTTTACTGGGCTTCTTCGTGGTGGTACTCGGCATCTCGCTCGTCATCCTCACATTTTGGAAACCGGGAGGTGTCAGACATGCAAGAAGAGTGGCGTCCCACTTCAAGGGCAAGGATCATGCAAAAGCGGAGATAGATTTGATGCGCACCTCTGTGGAGGTCAAGGTCGATGATACACAACTGCGCCATGTCCGTCGAGTTTTTCCTTCTGGGGACAAGGTCGAAACACCAATTTTGGATCACGTCAGTGCTACATTCCGTAGCGGGGAGCTCTCATGTATAATGGGACCTTCCGGCAGTGGAAAGTCTACATTATTGCGCATGATTTCCGGACGACCGATGAAGTCGGGGCCTCTGAGCACTTTCGTCCCTGGAGGTACAATCACCTTCAATGGCGAGCCAATCTCGCATCGTAACCGGCATCTGTGTGCGTTCGTCGAACAAGACGACGATTACCACATGCCTGCGCTCACGGTCCGCGAGACTCTACGTTATGCAGCGATATTGAAGTTGCCCAAGACCGTGAGCCGGAAGCGCAAATTGGCCAGGGCGGAAGAAGTACTCAAGATGCTCGGTCTTCGTGATTGCGCTAATGGCATGGTGGGCGGAGAATTGCTGAAAGGCATCTCTGGAGGAGAGAAGCGCCGTCTGTCCTTGGCTTGCGAGATGATCAACGATCCTGCTGTCCTTGTCGTGGATGAGGTCAGTTCTCTCCCGGTAGTCGGTAGTCGTTTCGTCTACTGATCAGAGTGACGACAGCCTACGAGCGGTTTGGATTCCTACACTGCGCGGAACGTCATGGAGGTGCTTCGCGAGATCGCCCGTAGTGGGCGAACCGTCATCGTTTCTCTCCATCAACCACGCAGCGACATCTTCCAGATGGCGGACAACGTCATGCTCCTTGCTAAACACGGGCGGGTGGTATATCAAGGCGCCCGCGACCAGATCATCCCTCACTTTGCGGTTGCCGGGTTCGTCTGCCCTCCTCTGTTCAACCCTCCGGATTACTTTTTGGACATCATATCGGTGGATGTTCGCAGTGACGAAAAGCAGGGGCAGACTCGGGCACGGGTTGAAAATCTCATACAGTATTGGCGCAACCACGAGGCCAAGGCAGTGGAAGGTTCACCAGAGCCCGAGGTTCGGACTACGAAGCCGGAAGATACTGTAGAACAGAAGCGTCAGGAACGAAGCCCCATATACATTGCTTTACCCGTAGTGCTCGAGCGGTCATTCCGGAACGCATGGAGGCTACAAGATATCTTTTGGACGCGCCTCATACAAGCTCCGTTCCTTGCGATTTGTTTCTTCATCTTCTTCCTTCGCCTTACCAAAGGCCCTCCTGGAGCACAAGACCGGATTGGGATTGTTGCCGAAAGTACATCCGCCATACCCTTCGTCGGATTCCTCAACCTTGCAGCCTTATATCCGATGGAGAAGACGGTCTTTTTCCATGATTACAGATCCGCAGGTGGGGGATACTCATCGGCAACCTTCATAACGAGCTTCTCCATCTTTGCCATCGTCCCCGAGCTCTTGGCTGCGCTGCTCTACGCCGTCATCATCAACGTTGCCACAGGGATGCAGACCAATGCACGCATCTATTTCGAGTTTGCAATTGGAATATGGGCTCAGGCGAGTTGACGTGACGGGACCGAATCGCAGAAACTGACCTGCAGGTTTCTAGCTTAACTTCGGCGAGTCGATCGGAATCATGTTCGCCAGCTTTTTCGATACAATGGGATTGTCAGTGTCCCTCGTTTCCGTGTTCTTGACGATCGCGAGTCAGACGAGCGGTGTTTTCTCCGCAAGCATCGCCCAGTTTCTCGACGACATAGCATGGATCTTTCCAATGAAGGTGCGTCAGCGCGAGTTCATATGCAAACTACCTTCCTCAAGTTGACGAGCTCTTATCAGTATTCTGCGCGCGTCTTGCTCACCAATGAGATGCGAGGCCTGACATTCCATTGTACGGAGCAGACCATTCAAAGCGGTGTCTGCGTCGCCGCGACAGGACAACAAGTTCTGGATCTGTTTGACTTCCACGACTCGACCTGGAAATTGACCATCATCATGGTCGCTGTTACGGTTGGCTACCGCCTACTAGCGTGGCTAGTCCTGGCGTTGAGGTAAGTGCAGTCTCCTGACCGGACGCGGGTATTTCAGTTGACACTATCACACAGGATGAGATATGTATAGATCCACGGGAGCGACGCTAGAATTAATATAGTTGTCGATGATGCATTGTATGGTAGATTCCGCAGCGTTTCGTGCTGAGGATCAGCGAATGGCAACTCCCGACCCGTGCAGATACACTATCTTCAACTCCGACATAATTACTTCCTCAACCACCGCGTTGTCTCGAAGCGCGGAGTGCCTGTGGAAAGCTTTAGCAACTATAAAGTGTACTACGTAGCACCACGCACCCTTCGTCGCTTCTTCAACTTGTGTTTCTTCATCTTCGACCTCCTCTTCCGCTTCGTGCTGTCCAAATAGATGCCGTAGTTCTCGAGATCAGCCTCGTTCGGTCCTTCTCGTGTGGCGGACAGATCGAGTCCCAGTTTCTTGAGCGCCTCCTCCCATGCAACGGTGCTCGCCACGTTGCTCATCACCATCGCCCGTGCGAGTTGCCGAGCGGTATCTGCATCGGCTTCAGGTGACAGCTCGTGGCCTTCGTAGAAAGCGTTCTGAGCGTCCAAGCTAGACAAAATCGAACTTGGCGTTGGTGCGGGAGGTGGATGCGGGAAGGACGAAAGTGCGGCCTCCGGTGGCGATTCGAACAGAGAACCGACATGTTCGGAGACTTGGAGGAGCGGGCGATCGAGTGAGAAGAATTGGTGTAGTTTGAGGTCTTGGGGAGTGATGGACGGATGAACAAGAGTTCGTGGCTCGAAAGGAACGAGGTGTTGCGGGGTGAAGGGCGCCAACGAGAAGCTTGGAGTACCCAGCGGCGTCTCCGACGCAGACGCAGACGACGCCTGCGTGGCGGACTCGTCCTGGGATCCTTCCGGCGCGGCTGTCGGGCTCGGGCTCAGCTCGGGCTTGGACGTCGTGGCCTTCACGGTGTTGGCCACGGGAGGTTTCGCCGAGTTGAAAAAGCGCCCTCCACCGCCGGACTTGGTGAAGACAGAGTAGGACCTCGTGCTCGACGGCACGATGGCTAAAAAGCGGCTGAGGGGAGCCATGGCCGCGGAGGCGGTCGTCGTTCGGAGCCAAGTCAGGACAGACAGCTCTGCGTGGATAACTCGCGACTCAATGATGCACGTGACAATGAAGGCAGGCTCAGACGCAGAGGCAAGCCTGCGAGGACTAGCAGTGGCCGAGTGGGATGAATGCGGTAGCTCAAATCCTGTCTCAACTACTCAACGAAGGACACAGTGGTATATAGTGATACAGAGAAATCTCCGACAGTATGCTACAGCGCTCTCTGGCGCATCCTGGCACTGACCGTCCTCAAACCTGCATATACTTTGCCTGGAGGCGAGCCCAAGATGAGGGAAACAATGGCATCACGAGCGATCTTGATATTCTGGAACGATCCCAGGATATGTATTTTTCTGATGAAGCGGGTTGAGTCTCTGAAACAGCATTGCCCATGCTGAGACGTCTACGCACGTATCAGCTAGGATTATACGCGTTCGAGTTGTATTCTCGATGGTGAACTTTGTTTTGCCGTCCTGCCCAGCAATACGACCTGTTTAGCACCAAAGCTCTCTGAGTATACATAATGCAGCGGGCGGAACTAGTGATAACTGACCTATCGCTCGAGAGAGATGATCGCCATGGAGGGTCTTCACATCCTTGATCTCAAACGAGTCAAGGTACAAATCGTCGAGCCGGAGCAAAGCGATTGCATCCTGGATATAATGTATGTCAAGTATAAGGTTGTAACCTCTGATGTAGATCCTACATTGACGTCGAAGCCCAATGCGAAGGCTTTCACAAAATCGGCTCCTTTCTGCAGAGCGCCAGTATCTTTCGTGTGCTTGGACGTCTAAAAAGCAGCTTATTAGGACATGCCGTACGTGAGACATGGCATGCACATACCCTGACTTCGACGGCTTTCCTGGGCACATTCATGCGCACTTGGAGTCCCAACATCTCCGTCAACGGCCCAAATATATTGATCCATTCTCTCTTGAGTGGGGTCATACGGTGAGGCGGTATTGCTATCCTCCTCGTCTCGGATTTCAGCGTGCCCTGTGCCGCAGAAGCAGGCGCAGGCGCAAACAGTGGCGCATCGCCTACGGCTGTCGCTGCCGCCTCTGTATCAATCATAACCTCATCGTCCGCTTCTGTCGCTGCCGATACAGTGGTGGTGGTGGTGATGGTGGTGGTGGAAGCTTGCGGTTCCTCGTCGTTCATAGCAACTTCCTCCGCAGGGCCATCCTGCGCAACCAGGGTGGACTTCTTCTTGGAGATCTTGCGACGATTCTTTTTTGTGTGCGCTGAGGTGCTCGGTTCTGAGTACGCCACAACCATATTGCTGTAGATCGATGGGAGGCAGGACGTCGAACGAGATTGCAAAAGCGGATGCAGTCCTCGAGGCGACAAAATGATGTAGCACGTGATCTACTAGATCTCCGTTGTCTTCTCCTCGTTCACGGCTATGGCGAGCAGGAATCTCAACGAGACCCGAACTGAAGGTGGTGGTACACAACAGGCGCATTGAACAAATTGATCTGATGCAACAGATATGCAGTGTTACAGGCGTTGCTGCATACGCTATCGACAGATGGAACGGTACCATCGAAACCGAACGAAGGCCGCTACACCGCTGAGCAGGTACAGAAGCTATCGAATAAGCTCGAAGAAATCATGGGCGATGCGAGCATTGCCAACGATCAAAGGCAAATTGGCGACGGGCAAGTATGTTACGCATCCTCGTATACGTTGGGGTGCTTAGACTATCTGTGAAGATGGTGAACGAAGAAGGCCTACCCATCGTCGATATCTCTGAGCCGGTCTCAGAGGACACCTTCCTTACGCCAGTCCCGCGTGTTACGAACACAACAGACAGGCTTCAGAGTTCAGTCACTCTCACCGAAGAACCACCTCTTGTCCCGCTGTCGTCCTTGCCCGCGGTGGAACACGAGCGCCTGCGAGACCAGCGCAGCAGAATTCTCGACATCCTCGAAGAAGAGGAACGGGAGCACGAGGCGAATGAAGAAGCACGACAGGAGCAGAAGCGAAAGGAAGCGCTCGAACGACGGAAGAAAGAAGCCAGTGATGAGCTCGATAAGCTCAGGGCGCAACGAGAGTTGCAGAAGAAAATGGGAAAGGCGTTATTGAAGAACATGGCGGATGCGAGGGAGCGTGAGGAGAAGATGCGAAGGCAACAAGAAGCGGACGACGCACAAACCCTGCGCGACAAGGAGAAAGTCAACGCGCTCAAGCCGAGGAAGAGCGTGTCGTTTGCTGCGCTACCCAAGGGGACGACCGGCGACCATGACATACCCATCGACAGCGCTTCAAAGAAGAAGACATCAGCGACACCGACAATGAAGATTGACGTTGTTGAGCGATTCCCGGGCAAGATCTCCTCAGGGCCCGGCACGCCAGTCCCCAAGTCGGCCTTTGACCGCATACCCGATTCCGACGATGAATCTGAACTTGAATCCCCCGTGGCCCACGGAACTGCCCGCAACCAAGATCATCTTGCTGAGGAAGATTCAGACGAGAGTGGTAGACATGTGCCCCACTCGTCCAGCGATGATGATGGAGGAATGGAGTCGGACGGTGACATGGAGGAGTTCGACCCCGACTTCGACCGCATACAGCATCAACGTGAAATCGCGCTCGCGTACTACGAAAAGCGCAATGCCATTGGTGTCGATGCGCATAGCGCAATGACATCGCACAAGCACGAAGCAGACGAAGGTCTAGGTTCTGAACATCCTTGGGATCAACCGGTCAGTGTTCTGCGTCCGACTCTAAAGCGTGGTTCTAAGTTCACCGACTGCGCAGGAGGTGCCGCTCGATGCCACTCTTGCCGGACCGCCCCCAAAACCAGCTGTATCGCGCTTCAGAGCGGACCGGCATCCTGAAATGGCAGCACAACCGTCAACATTTATTTCCACGTCCCTTGGCGCATCTATCCTGCCAGAGTCCGAGGGGTCAATGTTACAAAACGCGATCCACCGCGGCAAACTCGTGGACGACGATCTCGTGGCTTACGATAGTGAAGACGAGGACGACGATCCCGCGGTGCGAGAATTGCTCAATGCACTAGTCAGGGGCGAAGTACAAAACACGGGACCTGGGCCTCAAGGTCCGCAGGTTAAAGCAGACAATAAACGGAGCGCAGAACCCGCACAGAAGGCGTCGAGATTCAAGGCGACACAAGATCCCTCAGTCTCCCGAACTGCCCGCTCACCAAATAACATGCCTATTACCGCCGCGTACACCACCGAGCCAAATAATTCGATTTCGACAAATGTTTCTGAGCGACGAGCACCACAGGTCAGGAGTTCACCCAGCGCGTCTACCACGCCACGGAAGGAGGCCTCATTTTCGCCGAAGACTACCCCTGCCCCGCCCAAAGCTACACCCAGGCTCGCGAGAACGTCCGTGAACGGCTCCTCGTCAGGTTTCACTTCCATGGTGCTCGAATCGCCGTCGTTTCAACCGCCAGCGCCGCACTCATCGCCCTCGCAGTCTCTTCGGCAGGCTGAATCAGCTCCAACAACTGGGGAAATGCCAGGGAACATCGTCATTTCGCCCTCATATCCGCCGACGAACCGACCCCAACGACCACCCACTGTCATGTCCGCTGCTGTGCTCGAGCGTACAGTGAGTGCAACAAAGGCCAGTGCGGATGAAGAACCAAAACGAGAGAAAAAAGTTTCCCGATTTCGGATGGAGAGGGTATAACAGATCCTTTCCCGGGGTTGCGGAGGCTTCTGTGTACCATGTAGTACTTTTACTCGCTGGGTTGATCCATTGTAACTGCCAATCGCAACACTGAACCCCGGGCCGTACATAAAAGGGTCACATGATCGTAAAGCGGGGACACTTGGTCATCGACGTCGACATTCCCGGTCCAAGTCCAGTGCGCAATCTAGCGGATGCCCACACTACCGTCGGGAGCTTGGTTGGCACTGGCATTCCGCGTTTCAGTTGCTCTAGTAACGCGAGGCTTCTTCCAGCCAGACGAGTACTACCAATCACTCGAACCTGCTCACCATCTTGTCTTCGGCTATGGACAGCTTACCTGGGAATGGCAAACCTCGCTGCCCATCCGAAGTGTCATCTACCCTGCTCTGAACGCGGCTGTATATATCCCCCTGAAAGTTATTGGATTTGACTGTGGCTTGATGCTGGTAGGTACGTATGGTACAGCCGAGGAATAATGCGTGTGTACTCATCGTGAGCTGTTAGATTTACGGACCTAGGCTCATTCACGGATGCTTAGCAGCTATCACGGATATTTACATCCGTGATTTGACTCGCGAGGTACTAGGAGTGCAATACGTTTTGACAGCGGTATGTGTTTGGACAGTGAATGGTATACACACATTTGTCTGAACTTCCGTCCGGGTAGAGCTTTTTGTCTCTCACCTCGGTGTTCCATGCATTGGCCTTGTCTCGATCTCTATCAAACTCGTTGGAGACTTCGTTGACGACACTGGCACTTGCGTCTTATCCATGGAGACCGTCGACGTTTTCCAGGTAGTTCCAAGAATCTGGCCCTTCGATCGCTTCTGCTCACTCGAAATACAGCGCTCGCATGCGAATGTGCTTGTCCGTTGCTGCGTTGACATGTGCGGTACGGCCAACGAATGCGATCCTATGGGTGCCCATGTTTGCGAAGTTGGCTTGGCAGGCTCGCCTTTCGGGCAAGAAGCTATTGGATGTTCTCTCGAACGCCTTACTCATAGGGTACGCGTCGTCGCATTGTATGACCGCAACCTCACAATAACCAGCGTTCTATCTGGCACAGCTCCATCGCATCGTGTCTGATTGTCATTGCGGATACCCTGTACTACGGACAAGTAACTTTCACGCCTCTGAACTTCCTTAGGACCAACTTGACATCAGTGTCGCTTTTCTATGGATCGAATCCCTGGCACTATTACCTCTCGCAAGGTCTCCCGATATTGTGTACGACGACACTGCCCTTCGCCGTACATGGCCTTTGGCTACTTATTCGGACACCCATTTCCGATCAGAAGTCGAAAAGGCAGTCGTTTGAAACCCGGGGTGCCGAAGGAACACTAGGAGGTCTGATCATCTGGACCATCACAATATATTCATTGGCAGGACACAAAGAATGGCGCTTCCTGCATCCCTTGTTGCCTCTTCTTCACATTTGCGCCGCAAAATCGCTTGTCGATGTCTATTCGACTCCACAGCAGTCGAGAAGGGCCGGGACGAGCGAAGTTGCTCGTTCGTCGTCAACAACAAGCACTTCACCGTATCGATATCTTCCAAGATTGGCTCTCACCTTACACTTGACGCTCTTCGTGCTGTCTTCGATATACCTCGTGTTCATTCATGGCAGTGCCCAACTCGCCGTGATGTATTATTTGCGCACACTACCACCTTCGGGATCTTCCAATCCGGCTGCTCTACGGTCGGTTGGATTTTTGATGCCTTGCCACTCTACCCCATGGCAAGCCTACCTGCACAGAGAAGATCTGAAGGACACTGGGAGAATGTGGGCAATCAGTTGTGAACCACCGTTGGCGTAAGATTGCTCAAACCGCTTCCTTCACCCATACTCCTTTCTCATCAAGCGCCTTGTATAGTGGTCAAAATATCTCTGAGTATAGAGACCAGACTGATGTGTTCTTTGCTGACCCTCTGCGTTATTTGAGAGATCGCTTTCCTGATACGGTGGATCCTGCTTACCCCCCATCGCCGCATCCGGTCACACTCCCCGGTCAGGCTGAAAATACATCCCGAGCTCAATCATGGCGGCACGAGTGGCCGAGTCACTTTGTTATCTTTGGGTCGTTGCTGAAATACCAAGGGGTGTCGAACTTCCTGAAAGGGCAAGGATATGAAGAAATATGGGCAGTGCGAAACGGATGGGAAGAGGACGACAAGAGAAGGGGAGGCGTTCGAGTCTGGAAACATCAACAATAATATTGGTAGCCGTGCGACAGTGTTTGGGATAGTTACATGATGAACTGCACAGCTGCGATAGCGATGAGAATATGACCGTCATAGCGATGGTGTCGAAGCAATGCATAGGATTCTTCATTCAGCCACGTCCGAGTCGTGACCCTTCCCCTTTACTTCCTCGTCCTTGGTGCTCTTGAGTAAGCTGAAGATGGCCGTTGTCATTCAGAGTCAGCGAATTTATCTGAATTCACTCACTTCTCCAACGCTTCAGCGTCAAACGGTGGATCGGTTCCATCGCCCACCATAACTTTCACTCCCTTCGAGGGTACGCCATCGACAACGACGTAAAGCCACCCCGGTCCCGGGGGGTAGATGCCGTTATGTGGCGGGTTAGAAATATCAATCTGGCGGACTTGACTTGAACTGTTGCCTGGCCGCATGGTCGCCTGTAACCTGACCATGCGGGAACTGGCGTGAATGGCATGTGTCACGAAGCCAAGATCCATCAGAGCCACTGCACGTTCAACCCCCTTCAGTATTCGGCGGATCGCAGATGTTCAGGCTTTCTTACCTTGGATCTGTGACGCATCCACCATTGACTGCGGAACATTGACCTGTAGCGACGCCCCGTTGCCCTCACCATACATGAGAGTATTTGGGACGCCACCAACGATCTCGGGCCGTTCTCCGCCCATGTATGGCGGTCGCAACCACTCCACGCGATACTCTGTCCCATAGTCAACTTCGCTGCGATCCAGGTTTGGATTGCTCCCGGCTATCATAATGTCTCCGTTCGGGGTGTACGTCGCGATCGAGTGGTAGAGTCGAGGTATTGCGCTCGTTGGCATGCCCTGCGTGGAGAAACGTGTTCCGGAAGGCGCAGAAGGATCATAGAGGACCGGAGAAAGAACTGGATTGTCGGCATTGGATTGGCCAACCTGGTTCACGACGTTGCCGTAGCCGGATATGCCGGTCCCAGCTCCGTTGACAATGACGACTTGTCCGGTAGGCATCAACACGGCGTCAGGCATAACTCGGGCTTGAGGCATCTTCTCAGATTGCCAGCCTGCAGAAATCCCTGCATCATCGAGTACCATCCGGAAACACAGGTCAGAGGCAGCTTCTTGGGAAGAGATTTCGCTTCCAGGCCTGCGATCGTCAATAGTCGAGCCGCCGCATATGAGGACCTCCGGGACGAAACCATTTTCGTACGTGAGAGGGAGGAGGGTAGCCGTTCCTGTCATGGGATAGGTCACCCGGACGCCGTTCGGAAGAGAAGGCAGTCGCTGCTCAGTCGCGGTTTTCCAATCGTAGATCATGGTATCTTGGTTGGCCGCTACGAAAACCCTACCGCTTGGCAGGAGGATGGCGATTGGGAACAGGTTTGAATTCAGGGTGTCCACCAGGAACGGCATGTGTACTGGAAGTCCTTTCGACCCGTTGATGGATTTTGGTGGGAAGTATTCAACCGTTGGATTGTTGGTAGTCGCATTGTTCATCCACCCGCCTTTGGTAGACCCGCCTATAATCATGACACTGCCATCATCCAGCCGGACAGTCGACGCATACCACCGAGCGGAAGCCATCCGTATCCTTTGGTGATCCTCGGTCATGGCGCATCCCTCCGCATCCGGAGATTCACAGGGTTCAAATACGCGTATTGCTTGCAGCCCATTGGCGTCCCCAAAATCCGCCGCGCCCGTGTGATCCTCGACGATTGGGTTTCCGCCTACGTTGATGAGGGTTCCGTTTCCAAGAAAGCTGCCGCCGGCGCAGAATGAATTCGACTGCAGGCTTAGAGGTTTGACCGCATGCGTATCCAGGTTGTAAAGTGCGGCCCAAGCAGGGTGGCCCTCCACAGTGAGCGGGTTGTGCTCGACCTTGTCAACGATGAGCGCATGAGTTGAGGATATGATCGAGAGTTGCATGGCGTGAACTCCGGTGGATCCTTTCTGTACGAGCTCCCACGCAGGTGCAGCAGCAAGGCTCTTGAATCTGGATGCATCCGGAGGAAGCGTCTCCGCAGTGTAGGTTCCGAGGTTGGGAGGACGCGATTGAGCCCCTTGGGTGACCACGAACGCGTCGACGGTCATAGTCGTTCCGGCCGAGAGCTCATGCTTGGAGCCAGTGTTCACTATTTTGAGCATGTGTGTGCGGTCTTCGAGACCGAATTTCCAGAACAGGCGTTGCTGTTTTCGGGCGACATCGCTATACGTATCGACAGTTTGCACAAGTTGTCCTGTGATCATCGGTCAATGTACGAGCCATACCACCAAGATGGTGATAACTAACCATCGACATACACGTCATGTGTTCCGTGGGTTTGACCTATGTTTCCGAACCATTCGACGCCAGTACCTCGGAACATGAACGAACACGATGCTTCCGCTTTGTGTGTTTGACGGAGAGTGTTCGCAATATAGGAAGCAGAATAAGTGTTGAGCCACAATCCAGAATAATGAACGAGAGGAGATGCCGAGTCGTAGCTCTTGCAACCCTCCGGCACAAAATATGGAGTAAACGTCGTGAGCCGCCTAGACCCTGGAGTGACTTCACCATGCCATGCGGATTGCGCAGATGCCAGTAGTGGAATGAAAAGAGCGCTTAGCATGCATAGCACTGCCGGAACCATAGTGTGGTATGCTAGGAAGTAAGGACCGCCTTTGCTCAAACGCACAGGTAGATCTCGCATTTTCAACTTGGGTGGATTGACATCTGTCAAAGAACGGTCCGAGCGCGCTCTCCCCGGAGCACCGGCATTTTCGCGTTTGGCAGAAGTATCTCTCGCCTTCAATACGCTGGAGCCGCAGCATGTGGATTTACACGCAACATTCCGGGAGAGAGCAAGGAGAGCGGGCAGGTGAATTCGAACCGTGCCGGAAGTCGAAGCTACTCGGCCGTTGCCGACGGAACGTGTTTGCCGGAACGTGCGCTGTGCACAGCCACTGTCGTCTTCGTTTCAGCCATGGTCGCGACTGGGACATACAGCGAACGCATAGGAGCTTCTGTAGCAAGCACTCTGGGATTGAAGCATTTGGCATCTCATTTTAACACTGTACTAATCTCGTTTGTGGCTTTTACTGCTGTGCATCTCTTCCTTGCCCCGTTCTTCAGTAAGCGCCTGTTCCCGTTGTCCTTTGGCCAAGCTGGACGTCGCGCGCAGAATAATTGGTAAGCTAGATCACTGAGAGCCTCGCTGCATCTGAATGACATGGTCAGGTCAATCCGGGTCGTTTCGCTCCTTCACGCCCTGGTCATCATACCGCTGGCTTTCCGAGCCCTCCATGTGCCCAGACTTGCGCAAGACAAAGCTTTCGGGTGGGACGACCGTCATGGAACCCTGGCTGCAGTCGCATGTGGGTACGTGCTCCCGAATGATTGGTCTATAATTGTTATGACTGACGTCCTCTTTTCTAGTTATTTCCTTTGGGATAGCGTAGAATCCGCTGTTCATTATATTGACGTTGGCTTCGTCATACACGGTCAGTATAAAACAACTGTGCGCAGGCATTTATACCGAGAAAAAAATTGCAGGGCTTGCGTGTCTGGCAATTTACGCACTGTCATTCGTAAGCGACTCGTATGAGCTTGACTTCAAGCTCTTGACGTTATCGAACGTTGCATAGAAACCGTTCCTAGCATACTACGGAGCGCGTTTCTTACTTTGGGAACTCAGTACGCCTTTCTTGAACATCAATTGGTGAGCAAGCCTCCTCTACGCACAGTCGAAAGTATCGAGATGGATTGGCGCCACGTCAGGTTCCTTGACAAAACCGGCAAAACCGGATCGACTCTCCAGTTGATCAACGGCCTGTGCTTGTTATCTACGTTCGCCGGAGCCCGTCTGATATATGGCGGCATCATGGTGAACTAAATGTAACCTACTGACTACTTCATGCTGACTACATGGCCGCCATCCAGTCATACGATTTCTTCCAAACGCTCTATGCCGTCCGCAATGAACTGCCGACGGCCTACCTTATAATATACGGTCTAGGAAACGTTGTTCTTCAAGGTCTCAACTGGTTCTGGTACGCGCTTCCCATGGCCAATAGGGTGAACAAGCTGATTTCGGGGATAGGTTCACGAAGATGATCGATGCTTTGCGACGGCGCATGCAACCTGTCGCCAAGGGCCCAGTAGCAAAGGTCGCTGCTGGCGTTTCCTCCGCATCTAATGCGACAAACCTCTCGAGTGTCAAAAAATTCACCTAACGTTGTTCTTCGTTCGTTTGGTATCTTGGGGTGATCCCATTTGTTCGAATCTTCGCATCCCACTCACTAGATATTAAGGGATGTATGGGTGTGTATTCGCCATTTACTCGCGTACGAGTGTATCGTACGAGGCAATGACATGTCAGTGCTACACTCTTTGAAATGCAGCCCTCACGAGGCTAGCAACCCTCCGCTCCCATGCCACAAGATTGACACGACGAGTGACCTCTCTGCGCGCCGGTTCTTTGGAACGAAGTATACAGTGAAGATACGCAAATAGCAACGCATCCAGCGCAGTCGGATTTCTAGTGGAATGTCACATCAGTTTATACTAAGTCGAATGTCTAAGGTAACAAAACCTACTCGGACGCTAAGAACCACTTGTCCGTCGATAGACGCTCGGAAATCGATTCAATGGCCTCCGCATACCGTTCTTGTATGGTTCGGCGTGAAACTCGGGTTCCCCACGGAGGGCACAGAGCAGCTAGGCCTGATATCGGAGTGGTTGGTGTACTCAGTACCGTGTCCATTGACCGAACTGGGGTCGTAGAGCCTTTGAGGATGGAAACAAGAGAAGGAGATGGCTGAGATAACAGCTTTTGGCGGAAACATGTTAGAATGGTATCCCGCATTGGTATATAGAAGCGTATCCAACAGGCAACTCACCAGGGCAGCATGAATAGTTCCTTCCAGCAATGCAACCCACGCTCGACTTTCGTCCCGACAGACCATATCCCGGTACCCCTCCAATTCGTCCACTTCCCCAACCTTGCCATCCGCCCATCCAGGAATCATATGTGCGGCAAGCAACTCGCCCTGTCCGGCGTCGTCCTTGGTCTGCGTCGCCGGAACATGTAAGCATGGTAGTCGTCCGTCAATGCCTCCGTCAGGCGCAACGTCCCATCGCACGTTGATTGTGGTGAGGCCGCGGAGAGCGAGATAGGCCTGCCATTTGAGACATTCGACATCCGCGCTCAGTAGGTCCGAGTCCGTTGATGTGATCGGGGGCAGGATCCATAGTGTAGGTGTGTCAAAGACCGTCTCTGGGCGGAACGGAGGACTAATGGCAGGGTAAGTGTAAAGAGGAAAATAGGAGAAGAATGCCTGCAGAGGTGCCGGCACCGTCAGAATAGATCTTTTGGAGGTCATAGTGCTGCAAGGTGAAGCGAGCCGTTACACATCGTACGCGACGCGACGCGGGGAGAACGTTACACAATCACTACAGTACAGGTTTACACTGAAAGCACGTTCCGTATGAAATCTGGAAGGAACGATTGTTGCCGGGAAAACAGATGAAAGCAACGAGCAGCCCCGATCAACGAGGAACATAATGTTGGACCCAATCTATAGACCCTTGAGCAAATTCTTGAGGGTTCTCTCCTTGGCCTGCACCGAGTTGCCTTGATCTTTTTCAAGATCTTTGCACTTTGCCACCAGTCGTGTTACCGTTTGCTCCAGTTCTCCAGGTATGCTGTTCAACGCAGATTCTGCTCGAGCGGCTACAAAGCACGAGTTAGAGTATGAATGTGGACTGCGGGGCTGCCCTTACCGCATTTATCGACGTCTTGGTGGAGCTTGTCCCATAAACGATCTCGGTGAGTGTAGGCTTCACGAAGCTTCATAAAGAGCTGCTTCGTTTTCAACTACCGAAGCTCCCAATGAGCCGCAAAAGTCAGTGCGGCGGAAACGAACCTGGGTCTCCCGGTAGGCGGTCTTGAGCGAGTCCTCGTCTTGCATAGCCAGGAGCTCCATCTCTTTGCATACATCGTTGAACACTGAAACACCGTCGGCAAAAGACACGTCCACCTCCTTATCAAGTCTGGCGCGCGATGTTTTGCTATTTCGAACCGCAGGCACCAGACTGGAGAGGATTTGTTCCTTCAATAAGTCGCCTTGAGCGGACATCGGGGACTTGAGTCGATCAGAGAGCGCGGCAAGGTCTGCATCATCGTCCCTCCGTGGAGACCTGCATATATGCGACGGAGAATACGTTTCAGCGAGCACCCACATAAGCTTCGTGTGCATGTATGCGTGGAGATGGGTAGTGGACACGGCTGGACTTGATGTAGAGCCAACCTACGGTTGTTGAAGCATTGCTACAAGAGTCTGTTCTTCGTCCCAGTCAGCCATTTCACCAGTCTCCGAGTCGCTATCGCTGTCAGCGCCTTCTGCATCGTCATCTTCAGTTTCATACGCCGATTCGCCGCCCCATTCCTGAGGCAGAGGAGGATTCTGGCTCATGTCCAGGTGCACAGACCGCGGTCTTCTGAATGTACCAGAGAGTAGTGGCTTCTGGATCCCAGGATTAGGCTTCGCGATAGATGTCCGTAGCCGATTTCTGTTGAGGATATGCGCTTTCGACACCAGAGGCGACCGATAATCAGAGCCGAGAAAGAAGGGCACTTTCTGACTCGGCCGTTTCTTTTTCTTTTGCGACGAAAGCAGCGGTTGCCTGGTTGGAGTCATCTTAAGTCGACGGTCGAAGAATACTGGTCGGTTGCCGACCGTAAGCAAGAGCGTGTGGCGGTGCTGTCCTCTTCAGGCATCGGATGAGATCATACCTTTGGAGGCGGCCTCGATAACGGGGCTCGTGTGTCGCTTCTCAACGAACCGTCACGCAATATGCCCGATATACTTGCAACATCATACGCCCCTAAATCCCTCAACGATCTTGAGACGCTACTGAAGAATGACATCAAAGTGAAGGTTGCAGGTATGTGCAAAGCGCGAATTGCAGACCAGTATGTTTACAAGCCGGAACCCCCTTTGGTTTGAAGGTGTTGACGGTGCGCAATCGTATCCCTTAAGGTGATCTCTCTAAACATCTAGGTCATACAGTGGACGGAGTTCTCCGCGGCAAATATATGGTGCGTAGTATTATGTTACATTAGCCTTCGGCTACAATCCAAACTTGTCCATCAGTCCAAGGAGAAGTTCTTGAGTGCAGCCAGCTCGGACGGCTTCGGGTTTTGTAGCGTCATCTTGTTAGTCTCTTCAACATCAGTCTGAAATACTCTGCTGACACAGTGACAGTGGCTGGGATATCCACGACGCAGTCTACTCGCGCGAGTTATTGATTTCCAATCGTGCGAACGGATATCGCGACATTCTCGCGGTCATTGACCTATCCACATACCGACGGCTTCCCTGGGAGAACAATGGTTGTTCAAGCTCATGTCTGAGTATGACTGTAGTCACTCACGCACGCGCACCTAGTTCCATTCTTCCTTGTGTCGTTCCTCGATCCTGACACCAAGGAGCCGATATGCGTATGCCCTCGTGGGACTCTCAAAGGCGTCACGGATCGGGCTGCCGAATATGGTTGGACTTGTTATGCCGGCGTAGAATACGAGGTATGACCATCCTGCCGTATAGATGGTACCATAAACTCAGATGATATATTACAGTATTTCAACTTTAAAGGTTGACTTTTATCGTTGTCGCGTATCTGTAAGTCGACTGATGACTGGCCAAAGAAACCCCCCAAACCGTCGCGGACAAACGATTTCACAACTTGGAACCGTTGACGTCTGGAAGTACGTATCGACTCGTTCCTATTTGTGAACGGTGTTGCTTACACGTCACACTTACAGTGCATGGATATTCATTGCTTCGCCCTCAGCTGAATAACGAGTACTTTAACGATCTCTTCGACGTCAGTGCCGTCTTTGAGGTTCCCATTGAAGGACATCGTGAGTTTATTGCCTGGGGATATTGCGATCTCTTGTATTTTCATTGACCTCACCTTGTAAAGACACGGAAACTGGACCCGGTGTCTTTGAAACAGCCTTAGCATATACGTCAGCTCAGAGGATGGCCGATAATGCTTTATTGTTCAAATTCCTCGCCAAGAGTATGGGTATGAAGCACGGCGTCATACCCAGCTTCATGGCGAAGCCCTGGGGTAACGTACGTCCTAGGACGCTTGAAATAACCTGATTATTCACGCAACGTGTTTCTACTATCCAGCTCCCTGGATGCAGTGGGTACGTGTCTGTTTTCTAAGCACAGTTAAGCCAGTATTGAGCGCTGTTTTCTATAGGCACGTACATGTTTCCCTCCGAAATAGCTCGGGAGCGAACATATTCGCTATAGCGAAAGAGGAGGTTGAAGCAGGGGGACGTAAAGGAGCAGCTAATGAGGATACCAAGTACGTCAGCCAGGAAGCGGAATGGTTCCTCGCTGGAGTTCTCGAAGGCCTCCCTGATAGTGAGTTCGATTGCATGCTATGCACATATGTCAAAAACAGCGTGCTAACACGACCTCCTAACCTAGTTATGCCTATGGTATTCCTCAACACATTCTGATGGTCTGTCGCAAACTGACGCACCACGATAGCTGGTCCCAACTGTGAATGGGTACAAACGCCTCGTGGGCGGAGAGGCCTTTTGGGCACCTAATGCCGTCACATACGGCTATGACTCGCGTGCTGCGTCGATACGCATCATTTCGCCTCCATCCGTATCACCAAGCGCAACGCGGTTTGAGGTCCGCGTTCCCGGTGCGGATATGAATCCATACTTCGCACTGAGTGCAATCATCGCTCTTGGCATGAGAGGCATTCAAAGAAAAGTGGAATTGACAGGGCCACCGGTCAGCCAACTTTCTCCAGAGGACAAGAAAAGCGGCAAGGTCAGTCAGAAATATTGGCCCTCGTAGCCATTTTGCGTTCTAACGACTTCGCCCTCAGGTGAAGATGTTGCCCACTTCGCTTGAGAGCGCGACGCAGCGCATGATGGCCCCAGGTAGTATTGCGCGGGAAGAGGATGTCTTTGGCAGTGATTTCGTAGAGCATTATGGAGGTACAAGAGAGCATGAAGTTAAACTCTGGAACGAGGCTGTCACGAACTGGGAAGGTGAGCATCGCGTCGCAATGCATTTATTGATTCATGCATTTATCGGTCCGTTATCAGTGGAGCGGTACCTCGAATTAGTGTAACGAGCGAGGAGGTATCGATTCCCGGTGACGGAGGTGGTCGGTTATTCTGTGTAGTTGGGCCTTCAACGGAATAGATGCGGAACCTTATCTATGGCAGAGATTGCGCACACCCATCGCATTGCTCATACTACGGTATAATGGAATGTGGATTTTCGATGCCGCTCTTCATGACCTATTAGGCGGCGCATACGCGACAGCACAAATATATGAACCTCATTCATGTTCAGCCTTCATTGTGGCCAACACTGCCCATCCAGAATGTGATATCATGTCGCGGCATCAGCTTCTCGCTCAGCAGCGAGGTATTTCACGAGGTCCTGCACGCCCTACGCCAGGAGAATCAGCGTTGCGCGACACTGGAGCACATATACTACTGTACTAACCTGCGCTGCGCTGCCGGGAAGCATCCTTTCGACCACAAACGCCGGAATGTTGCCCCCGACCGTTAGAGAGCAAGCGCATCTCCATTCGACGTTGCCGTTGGGGAGTTCCATGATTCGCTCTACTTTTGCGCACCGCCCTTGAACGGCGCCCTTTTGCTCTCGTTCGGAGAGCTCTGGCTCGTCGGAAAGGTCGACCGGGAGCATGACAACATAACTGATCGAAGGCATTGGATTAATATGATATGAATGACAGATAGCACAAAGCACGTACCCTATTCGCAACCCATCCCCCTCCAAGCGTGAAATTTGTAATGAAGTGAAGACACGGGCAGCCGCAGGCTTCGGAAGGATTGAGTACATTGACCACAGAGTTGTTGATAGTGAGATGTCCTGCAGCCGCGTTACTACGTCGATGCCTTGGCTGTATCTACAACGCAGTCAGACAACGCGTTGTAACGTAGAGCCGGTAGACATGACGTTACATACTGCTTCTCATTTGCAATCTTGTCGATAGCGAGTTTGCCCCAGAATTCGTCGAAGGTTCCTTCCGATCTGCTGTGTTCGCTCACTCGGCCATACCAGTTTGCACCATCGAGTCCTTCCTTTGAGCGATAGAAAGTCTGGACTTTCCCGTCTGAATACGTTTTCCCCCGTTTCCAGACTGTTGTACTCTCTATCAGGGCTTTTGCGGACTCAACGATAACAGTTTCATCTGGAAGCTCTGATTCGTATGTTAGACAGTTTGCCTTGACCTATTGCGGGGGATGAAGTACTAACCCGACAGCTTCAGGGAATTGACGGTGATTTGGAACATGAATAAGAAATCCTGGTCTGTCTGGCCTAGTAGAAGGATCAGCGCCGCCCCCATTATAGCGCCTGCAGGCATGGGGTGCGGTGGCTTCGCATGTGCCACATTACGAGCGGGAAGGTGGGAAGCGCCCTGAGAAGCGTCGGTGCTGTCATCCGTCGTGAGCTGCGCCCGAGAGTGTGTGTGCGGTCGCAACTCGAGCGCTCGGGAGTTACCATATAAGGCGAACATATCACCATATGAAAAATTGGTGCTCATCGAACAAGTAAGCAATCATATAGCAGTCCAATCCAAGTCCAATTGATGGTATTTTGCGCACATTGAGTAAAGAGTCAGATGCGCATACGTGTATCGGCTCCGTTGTCCATGTATGTCCAATTGCGCTCGAGGCAGATGCGAATCGGTGTAAGGGAGGGTACGGACCGTAGTCAACTAGGTAGCGCTGGGCTCTGCTGGAAATGCCGTGCCGGTGGGCGTAGGATCCGTGACGGTTATCGTGGGCGTCGCCCGGATAGAGTGAAACCACTTGAGAAAGTGGGGCACATCCTGAGATCAATGTCATCAACACAAGTTCCGCAACGTACGGAAAGTGAGAGGGCGAGGAAGCGGTACTCACGTCTGATATCTTGCCAGGCATAGATCGTTCGGCGACAAAGGTCGGTATGCTGCCGCCTGGAGTACTCGACGTGGCCATACGCCATTCCACCTTGCCATCAGGGAGCTCCAGGATTCTCTCTACGCTCACGTAGCGGCCTTTGACACCCTTCTCTTCGAGTTTCGCCAGCTCTGGTTCAGACGATAAGTCAACCGGGAGCGATATTATCCATCTAAGAGAGCGAGGGTTAGAAAAAACAGAGAGTAGCAACCTGCTTCATATACGCACCCTGATCGGGGTGAAGTTGATTCCAAATGAGTGATCTGCACGACCGTGAAGACCCTAGGGGACACGGGAGGAGGGAAGGTGTAATATAGCGTCCAGACAATCATATTAGGAGAGATTTCCTTGACTTTCGCAACCTTCTTGATGTCGGCAATGTAGCTGTATGAATATGTCCCAGTCAATGATCGGATATGCTGTCGCTTGCCTGGCTATGCACTTACTTCTTCTCGTTCTCAGCCTTGTCGACACCAAGTTTCGACCAAAACTCGTCGAAGGTGGCATCTTCTCGAGTATGCTCGCTGATACGACCATGCCACGGAGCCCCGTCCCCTGCCTCCTTGGGGCGAGAGATCGTCTTGACCGTGCCATGATAGAACGATTTACCTGGCTTCCAGGACCCCGTGCTGTCTAGAATCGCTTTGCCCTTCTCGAGGATCGTAGCCTCATCTGGGATCTCTGTATAAGAACATCGTGAGTCCAAACATGTAGAGTACAACACTCGAATCGGATGATAAAGACGCACCTGAAAGCTTCAAAGGGGTGATATTGAGTTGAAACTCGTCGGACGGTATGGGAGCCATGTTGAGCGAACGTCCCTTCCAGCGGGCGCGGGCTGATGAGGGTTCGGCAGTTGGCGTTACGGAATGTGGTTGTTGGCGTACTGTGCAAGTCCCCTTGAGTCGGCAAGCGCAGCACCTGTGGAACGGCGGTCCTGTCGCGTAACGTGCGATCCCATAACCACGCTAATTATAGAGCGTGTCTACCAACAGAGTGTTTATGTAGCGGGCAAGATTACAGTGAACACGATGCAGGGCGACGATTGCAGGCGCAGACAGAAACGAGCGCCGCGTATTCCAGCGACTCAAGCCTGGTTTGAGCGCTTCGAATACGATCGACAAAACGCGATTCCACACAAGATTTCAACGATGGACATAATCGTGCATTAGAGGGATGATAACATAGGACAGTAACTATGTGGAAAGACATCAAGCCGCAGGTTGCGTCAGTTCAGCACTTGCGGTATTCAAGTTCACCAATCCAAAGTATCGACTTCGTCCTTGAGCTGCTTCGTCCCGCGGTAGCTTCTCGCTCTTATCCTGCACAATCCCGACAAATTTACGCTGTCCGCGCATATATGGCTGTCGGTAGAATCGTACGAATCCGGGGGCCAACGCAAACAGTGTGTGGTCCTTGCCCATTCCGACCTGTCATTCACAGAGAGTATAACACGCCGCACGTCGGTCTCGTAAAGGTTTGGAAAAGCCACGAGAGTACGTACATGTTGACCGGGATGAAATAGTGTGCCGCGTTGTCGTACTATGATGTTGCCAGGTATCACGTATTGTTCTGTATACTCGGTGAGTGGCCCCTGACCCAGTTGAACTGGGGAATTTGATAGCCACTACGCACCAGAGAACTTCTTGATACCCAGCCGCTTGCCAGGCGAGCCACCATGGTTTCGAATAGTGCCTCCCGCGCGCTTCGTAGCAGTACGCACAGAGCCCAGCCCTGTCCCATTAATGAGGAGCAAGGACTACAAGTGAGAGTACCACGGCTCACCGAAGGCCGAGAAGGGCTTGGGAGCTAAGTCAGCGCATCGTCGCGCTGCTTGCGAAAGAAAAGACATTGAGCTGACCACCTTCGACACAAAGCAGGGACTGGTAGAACAATGGGCGGTGCCACACGAAGCACAGCCACGTCAGTTACCCAATGAGGATGAAATACCGGATAGCCAGTTGCACAACGAGGTCACAACGCAAGTACAAGGACATGAACATGTCACTATCGCCTTTTCCGCGAGACCATAATCGTCATAAAGAACCTGAGGTGCCACTATGGGCGTCCACGGAGTCACCCCGAGAGTGACTCTGGGTGAGACAAGTGCCCGGCCAACGAGTCACGAGATCTAGGCTGGAGGGGCTTCAAAAGCGATCAGTGCACAGCGCGCACAGCTACACTCGCCTCTTCCCTTTTGGTGTGATTTGGACTTCAGCCCTTTCTCCCTCACCTATACAACCATGGTTCTTCTCGTCACTTCCGACAATGAACAGTTCGTCGTGGACAAGGAGGTCGCTGAGCGCTCCGTTTTGATCAAGAACATGCTCGAGGGTTTGTGCACATACGCGCGGTGTGGCGCGACCAATGACCGCGTCCTTCCTCGTGTACAGATGTTGGCGAAAGCGACCAACCGATTCCGCTACCAAACGTCTCCGCCAGCGTACTGAAGAAGGTGATCCATCATCTTGATTATGCAGAAGCTCAGGATGTCTGATCATAGTATCGGGTGGCGTAGGTTTTGGAGTACTGCGAGCACCATCGGGGCGAGCCTCTACCGGTCGCCGACGAGTCGCAAGATGAGACTCGCAAGCGGACAACGGATATCAGCGAGTGGGATCAGAAGTTCATCACCGTCGATCAGGAGATGCTATTCGAGATCATTCTCGCCGCAAACTACCTTGACATCAAACCTCTTCTGTGAGTCCATCTTGTCGTTCTGGTAGATTGTATACTGAAGGGGCTGCCTCGTCTACAGCGATGTCGGTTGCAAGACTGTCGCAAACATGATCAAGGGCAAGACCCCTGAGGAAATTCGCAAGTTGTTCAACATCGTTAACGACTTCACTCCCGAGGAGGAGGTCAGTTTTCTTAGCCTATCAGGGTATTGCTGCGTGCTGACAGCATGTTGTCAACTAAGGCCCAAATCAAGAAGGAGAACGTACGTACCCAGTATACACGATGCATAGCAGTAAGATTCACTTGCGACGTGCTTTTCTTTCACACAGGAATGGGCTGAGGATCGTTGAGCGGTTGCGTGATCCTCCCTCGACATTCGTTTTCCGTTCGGATAGCTACCTAATCCCCTTCTTTGTATTGATCATTACATGTCGCGCGATCCTGTAAACTTTGAGTCAACGCTTTCTCTGAAACTACTCAACGTGAGCTTCGCTCCCGGTGAACGTTGTCACGAGCAGGATATGACCGGTTGACCCGAGATAAACGTAGGTTTGAGTTTCGTGATCTTCGGCTGAAGCTGTGCGAGACACTGCGCCCTGGCTGCCGCTGAGAAATGCTGCATGCAATGGCGTTGGTTCGCTTCGCGGTCGCGTTTTGAGTGTGACTCCGTCTTTCTGCTACCCTGACGTCGGCCACATATACCATCCTCTACCTCTGGGCCTGTGTGGGGCGCTAGCACTCTTCCTTGATTTATTCGCCACCGTTCCACTACCGACGCATTACCGCTACCGCGGTGCATGCCCCGAATACCTGACTTGCCCGGCGATGTCGTTCCACGGAACTCAGACCAAGAACGATGGCTCAAGTCGCATGTAGCTCAGATGTGTCAGTTGGAACATGACCGGTCAGTGAGCGCGTCTTCGTCCTGCGTGACTTCAACCGAGTATCACCCCTGAGCAGCTTTCCGGGGAGTCAGCCTATAAGTTTCTCCGTTAGTGATCTGGAAAGGCTGGAAGAGCAGGAGTACGTGTTATCACCCTCAAGACGATTATCGCATTTCATGGTTCTGTGCGCGCAGCTACTGGGTATGCGAGAAGTCCGACGGTGTACGCGTCCTCTTCTTGATATGTACAAACCTGCAAACCAACGACCAGGCGGTGTTTCTTGTATGTACCATCCACTCCTACTACGATAACTCATATTCATGTTTCTCTTTACAAAATCAGATTGACCGCCACAATACCTACCGCCAATTGTCTGGCCTATACTTCCCTCATCATGAATTCCCTGACAGGCCGCTACGAAACACTCTTGTGGATGGAGAGCTAGTCGTTGACGTTGATTCCAAAACTCAGAAAGTAAGCCAGCGAGATATTCGAGTTGCGCCCGAATGTCTCATGGAACGTAGGAAACGATACGAATGTTAGCGTTCGATTGTCTTGTAGTGGACGATCAGAACGTCATGTCACGTACTCTGGACAAGCGTTATGGCGTGAGTGGCCAATTCGGCCGTATTTTCGATGGAGAAAGTACTGAATGCCCCCATAATAGAGGCTGAGAGATTGGTTCTACAAGCCATACGCGAAGATGATCAAGGACCACCCACACATGCTGCAAAATCAGCCTTTTGAGTGAGCATATCCACGCTCGACAAATGTATCAAAGGGCTTATCTCAACATAGGATCATGGTCAAAGAAATCAACTTTTCTTATCATGTCGATAAAGTCTTCAACGTCGACATACCTCATTTGCAGCATGGAAATGATGGTCTGATATACACCTGTGTGAATACGCCCTATACTCCCGGGACGGACAAGAACATGTGCGAACTTCGGCTGCTCGAAGGAAAAATCGATCGCTGACATTCATCATAGACTGAAATGGAAGCCACCTGAGGAGAATTCGATCGACTTCAAGCTTGTTCTCAGATTTCCTCCTACACCTTCGCGGGAAGCAGACTTCGAGCAAAAACCGATATTCGTGTTGCATGTCTGGACTGGTGGCGAAGGACCCGCGGCCAAATACGAACCGTTCGATGTTCTCTATGTAGAGGATGCGGAGTGGGAAAAGTGAGTCCCTGACAAGTAACTCTTTCCGGCACCAGTTAATCGCTTCGCAGAATGAAGTCAACGGGAGAACAGATTGATGACCGGATTGTCGAGGTTCACTGGGACCTCGAGGGCGAGCGCTGGCGGATGATGCGATTTAGAAACGACAAGCCTCATGGCAACCACCGCAGTGTCGTGGATAAAATCATCCAAAGTATCGCTGATGGCGTGCAAAAAGACGAGGTATATTAGGATCCCCAATCAATCAACTTCGCTTGTTCTGACTTGCCGTCATTGCATCGCATTTAGCTTCTAGCTCGGTCTGCGAAAATACGAAACAACTGGAAAGCCCGCCAGGGTCAGCAAGCGCAACAGCCGCCAACGGCGACTCGTCATACGCTGCCGTCGCAGCCACAGGCGCGTCCAGACGCGACTAAACAGATCGTCGCCGACAAACGCTCAAGCCTGCCTGCGCTCGATATGCGATACGGACCCATCGCGCCGTCGTCTGTGAGCAAGGTTGCAGGACCGACGGTGATTGCTGGGATGAACCGATAGCTCGGTGGCAGATAACGAAGATACGTGAGATGCGGATACACGTCCGCGTGTCCTCCTTTTCCGTGCCTCCCCAGAGGGCGTCCGGGGCGACAGGTCGTGTCGAAAAGACGGGGTGCAATCAACTTTTTCGGCGATGCCACGATGGACGATCCCGAAGCGACGCCCAGCAAGGCCACCCCCGCCTCAGGCTGCGGTGGACATCACGACGTCATGCCAGGGTTCGTGTATTGTCTGCATCACATGGGGATCGCCGATATATATCATTCGGCACCGACTTGTGAAATTCCGGCGGGTGAGATCGTTGAGGTGGGAGGATGCACGTACGGCTGCAGGTCTGGGGTCTAGCTAGGCACGAGGTTCCTAGCTATAGCTACACGTACCTATTAGCTGCTCGAGAACGCGCACCAATCTTGCATAAGCCCGCTTTCATCCGTGAAAATCTAGAAATATTCTAATGCGTTACAAATCGTAGAACACAGTGCGCGCAGCGGTCATGGAGGTCGGGAGGGCGCCCGAGTAGATAACCCCTACGTAGTGATTCAGTCGTTAGGCGTACTACTACGGCACTATGACAACATTGTTTCAAAGAGGGGGGGGGGTAAGCATCGGAGAGGACAACAACGAGAAGCCAAGAATGTGGGCGGGACGACGTGGTTGGAACAATGTACAGTGTCCGTAGCAGTTTTTGGGAGGCGAGACAGCAGGTAGACAGACGTGAGATGCATAAGGTGTACAGATGTGGAGAAGATGGGCTCGTTTTATGCACAGGCGCGGGCTCGTGAAGATAAAGGCGGCGCGGGCGAATTGGGTTGGGAGCGAGACACGGGCGGATGCGTGCATGACGGGGTCATCGCGTGTCGTGAAATTGTTGGTTGAACTGAGAAATCTAGTCTTGCTGGGTGACGTCGGGATGCCGTGGGGGCGTGGATGTAGTCGGGGGAATGGGCAGATGGGTACCGGAGGTATGCAATGGCACGGCATGTGGTCGCGGTGGCGCGTTCAAGAAAGATGATTGTACTGGGGCAGATGGTGGTTGATGCAATGGAACGAGGTGAACGGCAGGTCCTGGGGCGGCCTGGATATCCCCGGTATGTGATCGAGACGCGTGATATCGACGCCTAACGCGTCTTACGTCTGTGTGACCACAGTCGATTGTTTTAGAACATGTCGTGATGGGGAGCGAAATCGTCGAAACGACTGGACGCGTTGCGTTCAGGCTGGAGACCGAACTCGGGCATCGCGCATTGTTGGCTCGGCAGGTCTACGTAGGACTCTGAAACCGAGCGCATCAAGGCCTGGGGGCGTCTGTAGCGTGCTGAGGGGCTAAGACTGGCCATGCGGGGTGATCCCAAGCCCAAAACAGCCCAGGGTGTCCCGCCCGTCGTTTCCGGTACCAACGACGCGCGTGCCATCTCGGGCGACGCATTGAGTGAAGACGCAGTCAACGTAGGGCTCTGAGGACTGATGGATAATGTTGAGAACTGAGGTATAGGTGACGGTGGCTATGGCGAAGCGACGATGTTCAGCGACGACTATATGGTATACGCGAAGTGGGCAGGGCTACCTCGTTTCCCTGGTCTGCGCTGACCTCCGTGGTCCACAAGTCGAGGGTAGGACGCAGGTCAAGGCCAAAGCCAGCTTGCCATGTCGACTCTGCGCTGCCTTCGCCGGCGCCCGCGACGGTCGCAGGGACCGCGTCGTGCTCGTCCGCATCCGGTGGAGCCGTGCGAAGGACCTCTTCCAACGGGCGCTCGGGCTCGCTGGCGTTCTCGTCCCCCTCCGCGTCGGGCTGGGCGTCGCGGCCGTTGTGCTGCGCGCCCGGTGCCCTCCACCAGTCGATGTCGGCCAGAACCCGCCTGCCGAGCGTGTCCGAGCCCGACGCGCGCCTTGGCTGGTACGCGCCCGCACGCGTGCGGGAGTAGGGCGACGAGCGAATGGACGGCGAGCTGTAGGTACGACGGAGGGACGGCATGACCAGAGGACGGCGAAGGGACCCGACTTGAGACCTCGGGAGGAGGAGACGAAAATGCGAGGAGTCTTATACTTCTGGCAGATCCGGTATTCGGTCGCATCACTCTTCCCTTCACAACTTCACATCCTCTTTCACGCCTTGGCCAGTCGATCACTTGAATCAATTACCCACCGTCTATATCCTTGCGATGGATTGCGCTGGGCGTCCACCTGCGTCCATATGTTTCACTGATGTCGTCCTTTCTGCTTTCTGTCAACTCGACGTGTCGCGGGATCGGACTTCTGGACCAGACACCGGGTCCCTTCCGCGCACTAAATACTTGGAACGCTAGAGGCTGTTTCCACCATCATCGGCGCTTGTTCGCTGCGCATGCTCTGGAATCGCCCCAGCAACCCACCGCTTTTTCCGCGGTGGCCTTGGAGTAAGTACGGCAGGCGACGTCAATCAAGATCACCGACCGCAAGGAAGCGGCGCCGGCGTTCTGTACCTGGCCAGCGTCATTCTGTCTCACGAGACTGCATCAAGAGCGACCACACAACGCCTACGAACCCGACTAGTACGATCATCATTCCAGACATTCGAGAACCGGGCTATCGGGAATTCATACGCGGTCTCCCTCGCTGAAGAGAGCCGAGTAGCGCTCGCGCAACGATCCGTGCCAGTTCCTCATGCACTACCGATAGCAACGCGTCGACACCCGCCACGTCCGCCCCCCCCCGACATCGCAGACGCGCCATAACGCGTCTTTTGTGGTTTGGAGAATGTTCTAGCGCGAAAGACGCGTCGAAACGCGTAGTTCGAGCGCGATGACTCGCCCGCTGGCCGGTTAAACCCGCTGAGTCCCAGAGCGTGTTATAGGACGCCGCTCGAATCAGTACAACGTCTCCATGGCTTCATCAGCATGAGACGCAGTCTCCAGCCTTGGAACACCATCGGCGCCTGTGAAGGATGCAAAGCATTGATTGATCTAGATGCATGCACAGCTAGGGACGAAAGGTAACCACCATTCAGCCTGGGCATGGTGTGCGCGATAGCAGCGCGGAACGCAGGGAAACGCGCGCGTGGACGAGTCCCTTCGCTGGCAGAATTGTACCGAACATTCCCACTGATTGACCAACCTTCCTGCGTGCACTTCGTACTTAATGATACTCTATCATAGCTGTCGTCGCCTCAAGTCGCGTGCTAATGCCACCGGCGCATCGTCTGAAGCCACCAACGGCCGACGATCGTGAGCGTTTTCTCCATACACGCAAGTTGTTCCCAGCCGCTCTCGTATAGTGGGTATGCAACTACCCTATGAGAATCATCCATCAGCTTGCGAAGCTACCGTGCGCATTCAGAGTATATTTTGGCAATGCGGAGGACAGCACCGCCGTGCTACCGGGCGTATCGTAGCATTCGTTCGTTCTTACTGCGTAAGCCGTTTAATCTTCGGAGGCGGCACTCCGTCAACATGTTTCTCATCGCAATCGGTGAATAGGAGGTTGGTGTGCCGAGATATCAGTAAACCCAAGCATTAAGTTTCCCCCAACCCTTTACCTACCTACCTACCTTGCTTGCATAATCACAAGGACTCTGCCCCACACATCCCGAAACAGATTATTATTCGGTCGCTCCATGATGAAAATGTGGACTGCACAAAAATTCGGCTACGGCTGGAAGAGGCTACCGCCGATCATCCTCCCTTGCACGTAAATTCGCCGGATATTCCTGTCGTCCCCGCAGAAGAAGAACCGTTCAAGCATCCCATCCAACTCCTTGGACAGCAGCGCATGCGCCGTTTCGCCTCCGCCAACTTCGGCGCCGACACCCAAGCCAAGCTCCCAGTCGACGTCTACGCCCCACACGGCCGGGTTGCCCGTCTCACTGCGCATGCTCACAAAGAGCGCGTCGAAGCTCTTGCCCGATTCGAAGGACCCGATGCGGTGCGAGAGATTGCATACATCTGCGCCGCCTTTCGTAGCGAGATACAGCAGCGTCGGGACAGATAACTGGCGGTTGGCAAATCGCGGAGTGTGACCATGGCCTGCGCCTTCCGCCATGTCCGAAGGAGTCTGCAGCGCTACCATCTTGGAGCAAATGCTGGCGTGTTGCACAGCCGTGAGGATGGACGGCGAGAATCCGCCAGATACGTCTGTTCCCAAGCCAACCTGTTGCATATGGGTGTGAGCGGCAAGGATCAGTCAAACCGGACTGAGAACGCACTTTGATTCCATTGTCCAGAAGATGCCCAACCTTGGCCATTCCACTTCGAATGTTAAAGTTGCTTGTGGGACAATGGCTGACGCCCGCATTGCGCTTCTTGATGAGCTCTACCTCCGCAGGCTCGAGGTGAACGGCATGTGCCAATACGGTCGTCTCCTTCAGCAGACCGTGTTTGTCGTACACCTCTGCGTATGTCTCGCAATCTGGGAAAAGCTCTTTCGTGAAGGCAATCTCGTTCGCATTCTCCGAGATATGGGTTTGGATGCGAAGCGAAGGATCCCTAGATGCCAGCGCGCCCAGCTGAGTCATCAGATCCGATGTGCAAGATATCGCAAAGCGCGGTGTGATGATAGGGTGCACCAGAGGCTCGGCAGAGGAGTCTGGAGAATTCCATGGCGTGGGCGGGAGGGAACGGACATATTGTATCAGCGCTTCCGTTGCCTGCACAGATACTTCGACCGAAGGCTCGATGTAATAATCCGGGGAGTTATTGTTCATATTGCATTTCTGGATGTGGATCAACGTGAAAATTCCCCTCGAACCGGAGAAATGTACGTACTCCAACGAAGGCGCGTTGGCCGAGTTCATGAACGACGTCCGCCAATACTTTCGTTGCCTCAAGGTGCAAACTGCCGTAGTAGCAACACGTGGTGGTCTGAACGGCTTATCAGTGACAGCAGATTTGGGACCGGTAAACGTACCCCAGAGTCAATCTTGCGCCGCACGACTGATTGATACGTTCTTCGCGCGAAAGTGACATCCGAGAACTTGGACTCTACCTACGTCCTCCGGTGTGAGCCGGCAAGCGGGGGAAGTACGGACAACGTACCGGAAATGTAACCTCATTTAGCCAGTCCAGTAGTTCATATTGTTGTCCGCTGAGTGGGAACTACATCAGAGGCCGTTCTATTGCGGCAGTATGCTCACCCACCTGCCCATGTTAGGAACTTGGGGCGCATGGGTATGCTAGATTGCATATGCTGAGCGCTCAATGAACCATCGGGGAAGCGACGCACTGTATCGACAAATCCGGGCATGATAAATTCCCCTCGCTTGAGTACGACTACATCAGCTTCTGTATATCCCCTTTCCGCCATGACCTGCTGGACCATGGAGTCCTGAACATCGTAGACCACCCAGTCGATGTCTCCTTGGGCCGAGACTGCGATCAAGCTTTGCGGCGAGGAGCGGTACTCCGTGAGACTCGTTGGATTGATCACTGCGCCATAGTAAACCGTCGCTCTTGACATGCTCTGCAGATGGGCGTATAGCTAGGAGGGATGGTTGTTGATGAACGAGGTGAGCGCGCAAGATAAAGCCGAAAGGGTCGGCGGTGCGATCGAGCCGCATGCACTCCGATAGCCATGAATTCACAGATCAGTCGTGCGTGTATAAGCATCTCCGCGTGTATGGGTGCAGGAGACCACATGGGATCTCGTCTTGAGCCGTTCGAGCATCGGACAGTGATCAGCAGTGGGAATACCAGAAAAACCCTGCGGTCATCGTCCTTGCGTAACATGTACCTATAGCTACACGTTCAGAAGGCAGGTTTATTACCACTATCTCCTGTACTGGGCGCACTTCGTCTTGCGTGGTTTACATATTTGTGAGGCATCTAAAAGGTTTGCTCCGTGCTCATATAACGTCTTCGATGAATTGCGAACGTCGCACGCGCCCGACGCCGTGCCACTCTGCAAGCGCACCGGCACAGCCACGCCGCCCCTCTCCAAAATGTTACCCCCGTCATGTTTGACCCGCAGGGCGTCTGTACTCGCTCGGTGGCCCGTTCAGTCGCGTTCATACGCGGTCAAGCCCGCGAAGAAATCTGCTGAAGGTATGTCCCGCACGCTTCGGCCTTTGATCCACCTTTGACCAGTACCGTATGTTCGTACAGCGGAAGTGAAATCGTCATGTCCTCCCGGCACGGTGCTTACCGGCCTTAACTACCTCAAAGACCAGGAGCCCGTAGTAGCACTCGCTGATGAGGAGTATCCGCCATGGTTATGGACCTTACTTAAGCCCAAGGAAATACCAGACGACGGCCCCGGTGGCATTGGCGAGAAGATGAGGTTGAAGAAGGAGAGGCAGACGAAGATCAAGGACACCAACTTCATGAAGACTCAGTAACGGCTGTTTCTAGGTAGGCTAGGCGCGTGTTGGGTCATACCCGCTCATAATTCGTCTACGATAGGTCTCTCCGCTTGTTTAACCTATTGCACACATAGTCTCCCGCTCTATAATGCATCTAGCTCTGACATATCGGCAAGGCGCACGCAAGATATCATTGAAGTGCGCTCAATCGTTTTCATCGTCTTCTTCAGCACCCTCTACCTCCACCTCCATCCTGATACCTTCGACGCCACCATACGGGATCCTGGTGTTGGTCCACTTGCCCATTAACCAGTCAATCCTGCACAGACCGGAGCCCGTGGCACTAGCCAACAGCGGCGCCCCTTTGCGTCCACTCAGCGTTTCGCCAATGCATGTGATGACCATAGGCTTACCGCAAAAGCCGTTGCACGAATTCCATGCTACTCGCTGGACTGCGACCTCTGCTGGCCAAGCGCCGGTTCCGACAGGAGTGATAACTACTGAATCGTCGGCTTTCTTGGCCCGTATTGCCGCGGGACGATCTTGCGGTTCCTATCCCCAACGATGCGCCGAGGTTATCACGATGGACGTACCCAAAGACGTACATATTCGTACCTGTGGGAGGAAATGCTCAAGCATTCTGAACTCGCCCGACGTCCTGCTGTAATCCAGCTGATATATCTTATGCACCAAGAACGGCTGTTCTTTAGGTGAACCAGACAGTTAACGTCGGCAAATCTTGGCAAACGTACGACGAGACCACTTCTCCTGGTCGATCGGAGCATGTTCGTGGTCGAGCAGCTTCCGTCCGCGGCCCCGACTGCAAGCTGGGGATGCAACTCCGATAAGCTGACGTCCTGGAGGTGACACGAGTAAATTGAGTCTGTTGGGCTTCCGGCAAGGTGGTGGACGTACCCATACAGGCCCATTGGGTTCCATCAAGCCATGCCCGCGTCCGAGAGTCAAGGGTGACGCCGAGTAGACCTTGACGATGTTCTCGTGATCGATCGTTACCGGTCCACCAGAGTAGGGCGAGAAAGCCATACAGTTGATCACATCTATTTTACCAGATTCAGTTCACGAGAACGTGGGCTTGTAGAATTACGCGAAAAACCTCGTGTTCTGTTCATAACGTTTCCGTACGGATCGCGAATGTCCGTCAGGCATTCGACGCCATCGTAGCCGCCGCTCGCGACGATCGTAGGGTCCTCATTCAACCGCGACGCACTCGGCGGTGCTCGCAGCCAGCAAATTGCGCGGATAGCCGATTGATGAACGGAAAGGTAGGTCGACGGTAGAAGCTCTACGTCCTTTGGCGTCAGATCACAAAGCTGGGTCAGCCACAAAGGAGATGCACCTTCCGAAGAACCGGAGCGAAGTGCCTCGGCAATATCGTACACCGCGATGAATCCTATAAATCATGTCATTGGTACGTTACGGGTCAATACGGAGAACGGTGCATCACCATTGGTACATCCTACAGCGATCCGTTGACTATTGGCCCAATCCAATGCCCAACAGGACGTCTCCTCATGTTCAATCCTGAGGATCGGAACCAGCCGTACTGGAATGATATAATCAAGGACATTCCACTCGATGGCTCTCTAGAGGCATACCATATACAGGTCCAGGTGAGTTGTAACCTGAAGACTGGATGTCTTCCGGGTGGGGGATAACGAAGAACGCAAGCGAGCCGTCCGCGAATGTTCCGGCTAGGACGCCCAACTTCCGTGGGCTGGACGTATCCTCCCTGTCATCTTCGTCCAGCTGTATGAGTGATCAGGAATAAGCCGTTTCCACCTCGATTGGAAACCTCTCACGGGATCGTGTGCCGGTAGTGGACACCACTTGAGTACGAAGGCCGGGCCAATGTCAATGCAGACAATCATCTCGCAGCGCATTTCGCCATCATCTGCCTGCTCTGACGAAGAACTGGGGCCAAAGGACCAGATTTGTATACATGCAGGCGTCGGCGACGAACTTTTCTTGCCAATGGTCGGCGAAAGTTCCTTGTGCGGAAATGGACCAACGGCGAGGTAGTGTTTGTGATTTATGGCTGTAAATTTCAGTTCTGAGTCGGGATCGAGGAGTCAACACCGTGAACGATCGTACCAGCCCGATGATCGGAATGTACAGGGCACCAGTCGAGTCCCCAGACTGGCGCCCCTGGATTGAAAATATGAGACATCGACTCGGGAAATACATTCGCTGGGCATGATATAAGCAGCAACCCGGATTGGAAGATGCAGATACCTACATACTTTGAACATGTCGAAAATCCCTATCTCGACGCGCGTCTGACTCTGGATTGGGCCAAATGAGCAGCTTACTGGCGAGGGCGGCTGGTTGGCGTCTTCGCCACTATGTGGGGTGTATGCTCTCGCTTCACTAGGGACAAGAAGCCGCATGAGGGTCATAAGAATGCATTGTCGCCTTGGTATGTACACACTCGGGATTGAGTATCCGTAGTCCCTCCTTCACCTTCAGGTCCTGGTACACCATCGGCCGACGTTTCGCATCATCAGCGCTGCTTTGATGTGCCTCCTTGTACCATGATCGGTCCTCCAGTAGTTCCCATAGCGGTCCAGGGCCAACGTTGTACCCCCATGCTTTCGAGACACGTTCAGCGACGGTGGTCCCAGCGGCGGTGCCGCTGCTCGTTAGTACGGTTTTTGGTGACGAGAAGGGCGTAGGAATCTCCGTGAGTCGCTCTACTGGATGTGGACGATGGTGTAAGGTGGCCGGACGATGGCGTAGATGTACTGTGGGATTGGGGAGCGCATACATGTTACGAGATGTCGACGGTCGCGACAGGCCGGGTGCATGCTTAGCTTGAGGACGCTCTCGGATAATATATGGGCCAGAGCTAGAGGTGGATTTGCCAGACTTGGATTTCTTTTTGGAGGAGGGTGTAGCACTGTCGTCCGAGCCCTCTGAAGGGATGTCATCGGAGGCAGAGAGCAGCCCGTCGTCTGGGTCCGGATCAGTCTCTCCCTCCGCGTCTTCTGCGTCGCCGCCCTCGGGAGAAAAGTCGCTTCCACTATCGCCCTCTTCGTCGATGACCATCTTGGGCGCCGACGATCCCTCGCCCTGTTCGTCCTCGTACTGAAACAGCGCTGCATAGCTCGGTCTCGAACGTCGCGGTCGAAGACTTCTGCTCATGTCTTCGTTCGCTGCGTACGTCGTGCTCGCCGGTCGATGCGGTCCAGAAGTCTGATCAGCAGCACAGGGATGCGGCGATTCTCAATGATGAAGCTCAAGCGCAAGACTCATGAAGAGCGCGCTGAGCTCTCTAAAAGCTTCACGGTCACGTGCAACAACGCTCCGGCCGAGACAGGCCCGGGCCGTAAAGAGCCGCAGTTCGTCGAGTTTGGTCTCGGATGCTGTAAGTACCTTGTTCCAGGAATTGACGTGCCAAAATGAACCATACAGCACGGCAAAGTGACATAGACAGCACGATTGTGGTCAAATTGCGGCTGGAGTCTCTTTGTGGCGCTCATGGTCCTTTGTGACGCACTATACGAAACAACGCAATTATGCATGAAGTGTAAATCAGAATGCCTATGGGACGAGCATATGCCGAGTATATTGCACACAGTCTTGGGTTGGGACACAAAACTCCCTACAAATAGGGCGAGTCAGCAAACAGCAGTTCGAGCGACATCGCAGTGTGAAAGTTAGCAGTTGCAGGACCTGCCCCAGTCTCAACTGCTGACTACCGAGGTTTGCTTGAACACTGGCGATGAAATTGAGGAAACCGTCAAAATATTTCGTGAACTCCAAGCTGGCAAGGCAAGCGCTTCCATGATAGCTAATATGGGCGCCCTAGCACCGCAAATGATTCCCCAAGAGGAGAACATGATATGTCAATCCGCGCTGAGATCCCGCCCCATTGAGCTGCGCCGAGCCGCTCTTCAAACCGGGCTTCATTATACAGAACAGCCTTCCATGAATAGGTACGCTCGACGTTGATTAACCCATATGTGTTCCGCTGTACTGCGCCCGCGATACAGATATCATTCGCCGAGCCGTCGCAGAAGCCAAGTGTCATTGAGTGTCGAGAGGTGCTGAGATTTCGTGCAGTGCCATATCGCGATAGGATAACGAACACGGCCCTGATGTGACCTCCCCGGTATCGGCGACCCTCCCATCAAGGGATAAAGATGTCAGGACAAAATTCGCAGAGAAAGCACTTACGGCCAAACGGAGCCGTTTCCGGCCAAGGTCGAGTGAGGAGGCAAAGTAGAGTATGCAGCTGAGGCTCCGGGGTGTCTCGCAAGAGCTTCCGCCTGCTTCCTCCTGCAGCTCAGTAGTGTCTTGGTGGGAGTGGCGTATCGTCAGCTGTTATAGGTCTCTGCAAGTATCGGGGTTCGTTTTCTGGTTCTTTCGCCAGTTTCTGATCCTGGGACGCAGCCAACCAGGCGAGACGTGACCTCCTTCCGGATCCGGCACCGAGCGCAACTGTAACCCTTTCGTTGCTCCCGTCCCCGTCTCAGCGCGGTCTCCAGCCCAACTCAGGCGTCTCGCTATGGCGCCGCCGTCATCCTCGAGCGGGGGCACCACCTCCGTCCAAGTCGGTGAGTCCGGCTCGCTGTGCACGACGACGTCGCCGGTTCATCACGTTCTGCCCCAGCGGTCCGGATACGACCCACGACGACCCAGGACACCACCTCCATTCCCGCCAGGTTTCAGAGGCCCGTTGTCAGCGCGCCCTCTCCCAACACCGTTACTGTCGAAGCTGGCCCTGGCGGTTCCACGTCCGGCTCTACGCCCACGGCTGCGCTCACCGCGTCCAAGAAGCAAGCCTTCACGTTCGATCAAGTCCACCCACCTTCTACCACTCAATATGCTATGTTCACGTCGACCACCGAACCGCTTATCTCGCGCTTTGTGGAAGGATTCAACTGTACTGTTCTTGCGTATGGGCAGACCAGCAGCGGCAAGACTTTCACCATGACCGGCGTCGACCTCGATGCCGACCCGTCCGACCCAACTAACGGCATGGGCATAATTCCCCGAGCAGTGTCTACAATCTTTCAACGCTGCCGGGAGCTGAAAGAGGAGCGTGGCAGTTCCTGGAACTTTTCGCTGAAGGGTTCATTCATCGAGATATACAACGAGGACCTCATCGACTTGCTGAGTATGGACGATGTTTCCGGAGGGAGGAGAGAGGTACAAATCAGGGAGGACAAGGACGGCCATATAATCTGGAGTGGTCTGCGGGAGGTGTCGGTGAAGAACTCCAACGAAGTTATGAAGTACGATCCGCCGCCGTTTTCTTGAATTTATCTCATCTAACAATGCCACAGCCTGATTCGACAGGGTGCTTCCATTCGACGCACCAACGAGACGGATATGAACGCGCAATCATCCCGTTCGCATGCAATCTTTTCCCTCACATTGACGCAGAGGAAATTTACTGGTTCGGGCTCGCCTCCTCGATCGGCATCTCCTCAGCCGCCTGTTGCTGGCGGTCGTTCGCCTTCGCGTCTCGCCCGCCCAGGGTCTGTCTTCGGTAGCCCCGGAGGATCCAGACTTTCGCAGCCACCGAGACCCATGACACCCGGGTTCAGCAGCTCCATCAAGAGTCCGTCGAGTCTGCGGCCCGCTAGTTCGCTTGGTTTCCGCTCGAACGAGGATGAAGAGCGAGGGGAATGGATCACTATCGTCTCTAAGTTTCACTTCGTGGATTTAGCCGGGTCCGAACGCGTGAGTTGATTATGTGCGCGCCGAGACGAGAAGAGGTCAATAACATCATGCATCACAGCTAAAACGGACTGCTGCTCAAGGTGACCGCGTCAAGGAAGGCATTTCCATCAACAGCGGCCTTCTCGCCCTTGGAAACGTGATCTCAGCACTCGGGGATCCTGCGCGAGCCAAGTCTCATACAGCTTCGCATATTCCCTATCGGGATTCTAAACTTACGCGTCTTCTGCAAGACTCATTAGGAGGCAACGCTCACACGCTCATGATCGCTTGTGTAAGCCCTGCCGAGTACAACGCCGGTGAGACCATCAACACGCTCAAGTATGCTAATCGCGCGCGGAACATCAAGAATCGCGCCGTGGTCACGCAGAAAGAGGAGGGCTGGGACGACATTGAGTGGCTGCAGAACATGGTGACGAGGCTAAGGGGCGAAGTCAAGGCTATGAAGGACGGCGGTGCTACGCCAGCGCAGGGCGCTCCGGATGGTGATCGCGAACACGGTGATAGCACGAGCACCAAAAAGGTGCTCGCTCAGATGGTGGACCTTCAGAGCAACTACGAGGATCTCCGCGAGAAGTTCGTCGAGCGCACGGAGGAGCTCACGCGCCTCCGACGCGAATTGGCGGAGAAGCAGCGCGCATCTTCAGCGCCCTCGGGCACAGCCAAATACGAAGAGATCGTTGGTCCTGTCATTGAGGAATACGAGAAGACCATCAGCGCTATGGAAGCAGAGCTCAGCCTGAACCGGGCCGCTCTGAGGCATACAAACGAGCTGGTGGAGGAGAAGGAGGAGGAGCTCGCGGCTATCAGCGAGCGCCACGCATCAACGGAGATGTATGTCGAAGAGCTGAAAGCGCGAGTCGCCAAGCTCAATGAACGCGAAGCGTCCACCGAGGTAAGCTGCTGTCGACCGCGTGAAGGCCAAATGGCTGCTCATTATGTGACAGGCATACATTCATGACTTGGAAGAAAAGATCAAGAACTATGATGAATCATCCGTTACCTCTTCTGGATCCATCACAGATCTCCGGCGCGAGATCTCTCGGTACAAAGACACCGAGTCCCACTCTTCTCAGTACATCGCTGACCTCGAGGCTCGCTTGGCCCGCTCCGACGAATCTGTTCTTTCGTTGCAACGAACCGTAGAGCATCTCGAACAAGAGTGCGATCGGAGGCGAAACGAGGCGGAAATGCTGCAAGCCCGCTTGGACGCCTTGCAGAAGGATGGCGAGAGCTGGAGGTCTGATCTGGAGCAGCGGGAGGCAAGAGTGCGGGAGCTTGAGCTCAAGATGGAGGAATGGGAGGCGAAGAAGAACGAGGCCGCCGAGGAACGCCAGCGACTGGGCGAAGTGGTCGACGAAGTCAAGCAAGCTCGTAAATCACTCGTTCGACGCAGTCTCCAGCAGGAGGTTGCGTCCACATCCCACATCCCAGTTGCTAATGGAGACGCTGTGGAGGCCGACGACGCAACCAAAGCAAACTCTGCGATTAATTCCGCCCTGGAGCGCCAACTAGCCGAACTGCAGGAAACTCACGCAGCGACGCTCTCCGACCTATCGTCTGTGTCTGCTAAGTATCGCGATGCTCTGCGGGAAATTTCCGACTTAGCAGCTCAGATCCAGGAGGCCAAGTTAAGCAGCCTGCCTGAGGATGACAGCCCAGAGAAGCCGCTTGAGCAACCGATCGTGTCTCGCCGCAGAATGCCATCGAGACAGGCTAGTGATTCACCCACCGCCGCCCGGCGGCTTTTTTTCCGGCACGCGGCCTCGGCGGAATCTCTCCACTCGAGGTTTGTTTGCATCAGCATTGCTGTCTTGTTGCCCGGCTGACTATGGCTACTAGGTCGCTATCGCAATCTGTTTCACTCTCGCAGGAGCTCTCCTCAGTAGCGTCGCGCAAAACTTCCTTCTCCAGCAACGGCTCAAGTAGTCCCCATTCACCGCGCTCACGTCCCAACCTCTCGTTATCACTTCCTTCGCCCAGCCACGAGCGGTCGATAGCCAGCTTGGAAAAAGAGATTATGCGGTTGCAGGAAGTGCTGAGAGATCGCGAAAACGAGATCACCGTCCTGGAGAAATCTCTGAAGGCGACGGATGCTCCGAGGGACCTTGCTACTGAAGCTGGCCTGGGCACCGGTGTTGCGACGCCCCCAATCGCAAATGGTCATGCCGATGCGACCCTCTCCCCGGAGACGGAACATAAATTCGACACACTTCGCGAGTCGTTGGCCAACGGTCACGGCGGCGAAGCAGACAGCAGTTCTGCGTCGGAGGCGGATGAGAATCTGGAACGTTTGAATGAATTGATGCGGTATGTCGTTCATTCCTTTCTTCCTTGAATCCAGCGACTGAGTTCCTCATAGTTCGATGGCGCAGAAGGAATCACAGCATCGCGAGACTGTCGATGATCTCACGACACAGTTAACGCAGATCCGGCGACAGCATGAGGAGCTTACCACGCTCAACCGGGATCAGGTACATTCGTTTACACTACAAGCTGTCCCACCGCTGATCTCGTCGTAGACGCTAAATATGGCAAGAGAAATCGAAGGTCTTCAGCAAGAACGGGAACGTGATCTTGCAGCGTTGAAGGAATTGTCGGAACGTGAGGCCACTCTCATTCAATCTATCAAGGACGCGGAAGCGAAGCACGCCTCGGAGGTCGAACAGCTCGGTCGCGAGCACGAAGAGGCTCTTCGATTGAAGGAAGCAGAGGTCGATGGACTCATCACTCGACTAAAGGCGGAACACGACGACGTTGCGTCTGGGCTTCGTGCTCGTCTTGAGGAGGCATCTGCTGCTCTGGAGAAGGCGCATGCCGAACATAATGACGCCTTCGGAAAGATGCAAGCGGAACACGAGGAAGAGCTTCGCCATCGCGCTGAGGAAGTCGCCGCTCTGCTTGACAGGACTCAACGGGAACACCAAGAAGCCCTAGCCAAGAAAGAGAAGGAACACGAAGAAGCGCTTAAAGCGAAGGAAGAACAGACGGCGCAAGCACTGGCTCGTACGGAAGAGGAATACTATCTTGCACTGACTAAGCTCCGCGATGATCATGCGCGTGCGTTGGAGAAGCAGGCGTCGGAGGCAGCTCAAACGCTTCAACGCCTTCAAGAGGAGCATGACGCCCAGATTCGAATGGCCGACATCGCCCGCCAGGTCACCCTCTCTGAATCCGAATCCTCTCAGACGAACGCTTTGCAGGACTTGCAGGAAGAGCACGCTTTGGCCATCAGCAAGAAAGAGGCGGACTTCAACGAGGACATCGCGCGCCTGAAGGCCGAGCATTCCACGCAATTAGCTTCTAAGGAAGACGAGCGCATTTCCGCACTCCACAAACTCGAAGACGACCACACCTCTGCGATCAAGCGCTTGCAGCAGGAGATGATCAAAGAGATCGAGGATCTTAAGGCCGCTTTGGAGAGCACTAAGCAAGAGTCGACGGATTCGCAAGCGCGTGTGCGTGAGGAGACAGAGTCCGCGCTCCAGTCTCTCCGAGAGAGCCAGGCATCCGTCCTGCAAGAGGTCGTTCGAGGCCATGAAGAGGAGGTTGCGACCCTGATAAACGCCCGAGACGCTGGCGTGGCCGAAGCGAAAGCCCAAGCGGACGAGGAGCTTTCTCGGCTGCAGAAGACGCATGCCGAAGAGCTCGCGAAGGCAAGGGCGGAGCGCCAGCAGGCCGTTGCCGCACTCAACGCTGAGCTTGTTGCCATTGAGGAGCGTCACCGAGAGGACCTCGAAAGCTTCCGCGCGCAGAGTGAGGAGCATCTTGCGAACGAGCGGGAGCAACTGGAGAAGGTTATCTTTGACCTGAAGGAGATACATGCCCAGGAACTGGACACACTCAAGAAAGACCACGATTTGCTGGGTGAGGAACTTGCTTCTCACAAAGCCGCCGCGGAGGAGTTCGCGCTTGCGCGCGAAGCAACCCGTGCGGCACATGAACGGTCCCTTAGCGAGCAACTCGTTATGTCCAGCAGTTTACAGGAGGAGCTCGCTACCGTACAGTCCGACAAGACTGCTCTTGAGATGGAGGTTGGCGGATTACAAACGGAACTAACTACCGTTCGCGAGGAGAAGGCTGAACTTGCGAACGAGGTCGCCAAGCTTCGGGCCGAGCTTGCAGAGACCCAGAACCAACAAATGTCTCTGAAGAAAGAAGTCTCGAATCGGGATTCTCTCGCCAAGGAACTCGAACAGCACCGCTCCCTGCTTGCAGAGGTCCAGGAGAGCCTCCAGCGCATGCGGGACGAGAAAGACGCCATACAGTTAGAGAAGAACCGACAGGACTCGCTGGTTCGCGAGCTGGAGGCTCGTATCGTTCGCAGCTCGTCGCCCCACGAAGCCGTGCGCCAGAGAGCGACGACCGGTGTCCCACCTGCGAAGCTCCCACCTCTGTCTCCGCCGCCGAGCATTCCTCCTCCACCCGCACCGAGAAGCATCGTGGCCTCCATCTCGACTGGGGGTGATGTCTCACCGGTGACTTCGAGCATCATCACCGCCTCTTCGACTCGGGATTCCTCCTTCGACACGCCCGCCACATCCGTTTCGGGCTCCGTCCACGGCCATCCGATAGCGGGTCTTCCTACCGCGCCCGACGCTAAGCTGATGGCCAAGGTCGAGGAGCAGCAAAAGCTACTCGACGAGCAACAGAAGCGGGTCGATGAACAGCAGAAGCACATTGAAGAGCAGGAAGCGATGATCAAGACGCTGAATAAGCAGCTGACTCATTGCGAGGGCGATCTGCAGACTCACATGGACCTCGTCAACACCCTAGAGGCTTCGCTTGGCGACGCCGAAAAGAACCGTATGCAAATGGTTTCGATCTTCCCATAGATGTTCGCTAATATGTGTTGTGCTCACAGTCCGGAAAGCTCGGATGCAAGCGACGGAGCTCGCCCGGGAGCGGGACATACTGAACGGCCAGGTCGACAGTCTCAGACGAGAACTGGCCGACGCCAAGCGCGAGGTTACGAATGTCCGGCAGTCGATCGTCGAGGAGAAGCAATCGCTCGAGAGCCGCCTGGACGAGGAGCGCCGTCAGAAGGAGCGCGCACGGGCTCAGCTCGACAGTCGCATGGCGGAGCTCACCAAACGCAAATCCAAGTTTGTGTGCATGTGATCTTACCGCTCCTCCTCCCTCTTTCGTTCTACATGCCTCTCCGTCTCTATTGTGGAATTCCGATCCTCTCATGTCCCTTTATGCCCTTGCTGTTCATCAGCAACATGCCTCCTCCTCCTCCTATCCATAATCCTCCGACCAATAGCTTCTTCGGGGGCCCTCGTGGTGTGCTCGGCGGACCCAGGGGGTCCGTGACCCTCGCTAGAGCGGAACCGCGCGACGAATCTTGGTTTTCATTCCTCCTTTCCTTTTCAGTTATCGACGTGTGTGATATATACTTTGCGGCCTGACCCCGCCATCGACGCTCTCTACATTCCAACGTTTTCTCCAGTCCTAGTCCATAGTTGTTATTTACTACTTTACCCCTCCGTAAGCATTCCGATACCCTCCTCATTCGGATTCCGATCCCCTTGATCTGTCCTGTTACTAGGCACATTCGTTGCACTCCTTACCTACTGCCGTACTACTTACATACTTGTTTCTTTGTGGAGCACCATATGCTATCATTATTCACCGCTGAAGATGTAACAGCTACCATCCCGACTCGTCCTGCATGCCGGCCATGGAACACTTATCTTACATCGGGCCAGAAGTGGCCGATCCGTTCGCTATCTTCAAGTACCTCAAGCGTATGCAAGATGATTATGTATCATTATTTCATTTGGGCGGTAGATTTATGGTTGTTTCTATGTGCGGGGAAGCATTGCGTCGAGAGAAATAATCCTGTACCATAACGGCCGAAGGTGAAAGTGTCCTTTTGTCATCCAATCGCCAGCCCCCCTTTGCTTCGTCGAAGATAACGCTTCTCTGGGGTATAAATCGTCGCTGACATGCAAAGGAACAGAGCCGTCCAACTTTGCCGACCCGAACACACCTCCGTTGATCACGTAGACGGGGGGGTCTCATATTCCCAATAGTTTAGATGATGCAGTAACCACCGTCGACACGGATCTCGGTACCGGTCATGAACCGGGACGCGTCCGAGGCAAGGAACACAACGGCACCGGCAAGGTCCTCCGGTTCACCCATCTAATGTGCCAGTTTCATCAGTATACATGCGCGTGCGACGGACTGGGAAGGGGGATACACTGACCCGTCCCATAGGGGTAAGGCTCTCCCACGTGCGCTTGAGCTCCGGGTCGTGCGTAAGGATGGTCCGGGTAAGCTTGGTGAGCATGTAACCCGGGCTGAGCGTGTTCACGCGAACGGCCTTTTTGGCCCACTCGACGGCGAGCGAGGAGGCCATGTGCCTCACGGCGGCTTTGGCAGCGTTGTACGGCGTCTGGGGCTGGGGGATGTTAACAATCTGTGAGGCGGATAACGTAGTGAGTTCCTGAAGATATGGCGCAGATGAAAAGGAAGACTGACGGATGCACTCATGCTGGCGACGAGGACCACGCTGCCTCCGCCACGGGGAATCATGATGCGCGCGGCTTCACGGGCGGTGAAGAAGGCGCCGTGGACGTTGATGTCGAACAACCGCTTTATGCGGTCGAAGGGATAGTCGAACGCGGCGTAGTTCTCCACGATACCTGCGAGGACGAGAGATGAGCGTTGAGCATCAACGTGTGCTGAAAAAAAAATGCATACCAGCAGACGCGACGACGCTGTCAACGCGCCCGAACTTGTCGAGGGTCGCCTGGAAGGCCTTCTGCACGGACAGCTCGGACGAGACGTCGCACTCCAGGCCAATGACGTTGAAGTCGCTTGGCTTCAAGTCGCTGTTAACTTCACTCCTTATCAGCAAGCTGGCCTAACATCGCTGCCAAAAAAAGAGAACAAATATCACAAAGAATACGGGGAAACGTCGGGGAATACCCCGCACGTCGGGAACGAGAATAAAAAGACTGAACAGCGGAATATATGGAAAACTAAAACTGACCGCATGCAGCGTTCACAAGCTCTTCAGCGGCGGCATCCGCCTCCGACTGTTTCAAGTCGACTACGACGAGCGACGTGCATCCTCTGTGATTTTTTTTGCGCAGGGTTAGCGCTGGATGACGTCATAATGCGGGGGAGGGGGGAAGGCACAGCACGGGAGGGGGACTGATAGATACGCACGAGTTGACGAAGGCGCGGCAGAACTCGTTGCCTAGACCGCGGGCAGCGCCGGTGACGAGGCAAACCTGATCAAGTGTGGTCAGACGTGGCATTCAGCAAACAGGGGGCGTTGTATGAGGACGCAAGGATCAAGATGGCCAGGGCATGTTGTCTCACCTTGCCCTCTAGGGAGAATTCGGGAAGCGTCTTGGGTTGCTTTGCGGTCGCGTACGTCCGCGCATGCCTCAATATCCGAGGGGCCGTTGAGCGCGTCCATGAAGGCCTTGCGAACGTCGCAGCGACCGTAGATGTGGGTGTGGCCAGGGCACGGGCGCGGGCGACGATGGAGGCCATGGTGGAGGTGGACGGAGGTGGACGGAGGAGGAGAGAGGTCAAGAAGTAAGGAGGAGGGATATGAAACGTGGGGCTTCGCTTGGGCTGCGGTCTGGGCAGTGTTGGGGGGCGGGGGTGGGGCGGGGGTCCGGCGAGATGCGGTCCGAGGAGCCTGACAGGAAAATGCAAACGGATCGCGGCGACTAACGCACGGGCCTGGCTGAGAACCACACGGGACGCTGGGCTTGTTTGGATCTGCTTGCGTTCGCGGCGAGGGGGGCGCTTTCTGCGTTCTCCCCCGACCGAGGGCGTTAAAAGCGTCGACGAGCCTGATAAGTCCTGAGCCGCAGGGGAGCTCGGGCCACGACGTCATCCGCTGACGCAACGGCGCTCGCTGACGCCAACGGCTAGCGGCGTAGCGCACCGTACGGTATGTACCACCGTCGTAGCGCCGATCCCACCGGCAGCGCCGACCGCGCCTCCTCCCCAGGGCCCTCGATGAACAGCAACGGATGTGCGCATGCGCCCGAGGAGTTCCCATACTCGTTCTTCGACAGAAGCTGAACTCGTCCCGCGCGGGATTCGCACGCGGCGGACGCGCCTCCGTTTACGCGTCAACTCCTCTGTCTCTGCTCCACGTTGCAACATCGATGCGTCCTCGTTTTCCTGTAGTGCGACTATATGCACCAGAGGCTCTGCGTCGTTTTTTCAACCGGGTCCAACGCTCCGTGAACCGTGAAGAGATAATTTCAGATCTCCATAGACCTCAGGGCCCAGCGTCTAGAACGACCGTCTTCCGGGCCTTGCACGCTGGTTCAATCATGGCAAATCCCGGGATAAACACGATATCGTTCCATCGCGCTGGGAAGCCTCAGATCGATTGGCATGGATGAGTACCAACACCGCCGGATGCCATGCGCCTCGGTCAGGGTCGCACCCCGTATGTTGTAAACTACAGCACAGACGATCAAGGAACCACCCCCTTGTCTTCTCACAAGTCCCAGTCTCGACCAGCCCCTCTTTGATCAATTGGCCGCAAGACCTAAGGGTGTTCCGCATGCCCCGAACTGACAGACCCTTGGCTTGCGTACTCTCAGTCAGGGCAGAACTGCACCTCGATGTCATGGGTTGCGGTGACTGTGGGCACTGCGAACGGCGACCGTCAGCAGAGCGCGCGACGCCTCCCTGCTTCACATAGCAATGACTTACGACCGGGTCCTTCTCCGTACTCAGCGGTGTACAGCCCGCTGCCGTTAAACGTGAAGTTGATCACGCTGTTGTTGTAAGACTCGTCGCCGACCGCGGGCCCGTTCGCCACGATCTTGATGGTGGTGACCTGCGCACGATGCCGTCGGGGCGCATTGGTCAGTATAACAACCGGAGCCCGGGAGAAGAATAAGTTTCGCGTACGGAATCGGAGACGCCCGTGCCCCAGTTGTCGACAGCGTCCGACGTGACCGAGGTCCCGTTCGCGTACGTGACGATACCGGTGATGTTGATGCTGTCGTCGCACTCGACGTTGGTAACGCTGAACGATTGCCCCGTGACGGGGATGGTCTTGGTCTTCCCGGCGTTCTCGGACGTCACGCTCGCGTTGTAGGTTGTGTGGATGTTGGCGTAAACGTCGACGTCGACCTCTAGCAAGAGCGCCGCTGCATCAGCAAAACGAGGAGGGCTGCGAACAGGGGAGTCGGGGCTGACCAGGAGCATCGCTGAACCACACAAGCGGGGCAGCCGAGGTGTTCACCTGTCGCCGTCTCGCGTCAGAAACCTTACGCAGCTATGTCCCGGACGGAACGACATACCGAAAGGAGGACGTCAGAGTGATTGTAGCCCTTCAGCCGATACGCGAGCGAGGGTCCGTCGCCCTCGAGCTCGATGCCCAGCTGGTTTGAGGCGATGTCGTACCACTTCCCATTGGACTGCACTTGGAAGGTCTCGCCGGACGTTGTCGACGTCGGCGTGTCGGCCTGGATGTACCAACCGAGGTAGGAGTCCCGTCGCGCGAGGCGGCGACGGGGGGCGGCGGACGCGGTGGTGCAGGCGCCGAGCAGCGCAAACCAGAGGGAGGGTCGCATCGTGTGCAGGCGCAGGTCCTGCTACATGGGGATCGACGAAGGACATCTATGTATACATCCTGCACGTTGCATGTGGGGGCTCGTCGGCGTGGTGTTTGATCGGTTTGCATTGCAGGAATCGCCTTACGCGAGGTGCGCAGATGGTGTCGGGCGGGATCATGAGGCTTGGTTACCGCTTTTGGCTGAGGCAGCTAGGGCGTAGCTTCAGGAAGGTGCGTTTCGGCTGCGTGTATTCGCTTGCTGATCGAGCACCATAATAGACCATGCATCACATAGAGGATATTTGCCAACTCCTTGCCCCCTTCGAACGGCTGACAGTGGCGATGATCAGATGGCCCTCCGTCGTCACACCAGTCCCCGCGGACATCATGCAGGACAGATCAGCAACCTCCGGATTGTTGAGCATATGCCGGACATGACGCAATCCCATTCCAACAACACGGAGTTTGCATCGCGAAGGAAATAACGCAGAGGAAAGGCTCGGAAGCTGCCGATTACCCGGAGTTCACAACACGTGCTTTTCACGTGGCGGTGCAGGCGAAGAAGCTCCCGGGTCTGCAGCTGAAGTGCTTGGCATTCACCGCGCTCCACTTCACCTGCGTTTGATTCCTTTTCTGTTTTACGTCGTAATGGGACGCGGCAGCGGGACTTCAACCGCGCGCAGCACACGTCAGCGCGCCCTTAAGCAGGAGGACACCAACATGAAGCATCCAGCGGATGAAATGGAAGAAGATAGTGATGCAAACGAAGAGTAGGTCGTTACTAGGCATACTTCTTGTGCCCTCGATTGTTATTATGTGCACAGAATGCAAGAAATGCTCGAGATGCTGCAGCAAATCCGTAGTGCGCATATATTGACCGCATTAGCCGCATATATGCGCTCCCTCAACCCCCATGTTCTTGCACGCAGGGAAGAAAGCGTCGAAGAATTCGCATTCGACTGCGTTCCATAACAAGAAGAATGCACTCTTTGCGGAGGCGAGAGAGACCGCGGCCGCTTTGGTGGAAGACGGGAAGGCCACCATGTAAGGTCGTCGCTTGACTGTGCGGAGATGCTCTCCTCCAACCAAGTTGATGCAGAGAGCAGAGGCGCACTCTGTTCGCCGAGCTCAAGGCACAGGAATCTCTCCCGACCGCTCAGTTTCAAGCTCTCAAGCAGCAACACGATGCTCAGGACGTACGTCCACCCCTGCGCATTTACGCACCCGAAGTTGACTTGGTTTCTTGCAGAACATCTTTGGCGAGGTCCTCGACCTGTATCCTGCCTTCAACGATCAGCTGTCCAAGAAACGTGCCGAAGAGATTGACCAGACACTCGCTATGCGTACGATGACTTTGCCATCTTCGTTGGCCTCGTTAACACCCTATGACGGCCCATGCCGCTCCCACTTGCCTCGGTATAGTTGAATCGCATCAGGTGGAACGCAAGAAGTCCCATCGGCGCGCGATGAAGGACGCCATGATATGCATGAACGAAGGCGTCGAAAACCAGAAGGTGTCATAACGGATCACTAATAACCCCTCGAAAAATCCTACGAACGACACTGATATGCATTGGTTTACTAGCTGGCCACGGACGCATCTGCTTACATCAAGAGCTTCAAAGCCCTCCTCTTGTCCTGATTATCGGCTCTCCTAGGATCCGCACCTGCATGTTCTCAACCAAGGAATCTGGTCCTCTGCTTTAAACTGGTCCTCCGGTCTCTGGCTCAACTGGTCTATCGGATGCTGACAACCTGGCCGGACAAGCTTGACTTGATGGTTCTGCGTGCCGTCTGTTATTAGATCAGATTGTACGATACTTGCCTGCACGAGTGTGACAAAGCAACCATGACTTTCTGTCGTGCGCCCGAGCGCGAATTTATGCAATCATTCAATGAAAATGCAGATGAGCGCAATGTGTCGTTGCGACAGCTGAGGATCCAGTAGCTTCGTAGATACAAGCATACCTTGGCATAAGTATCGCAAGATCAAGAAACCTATGCCCAGGTGTGCTGGCCCGACCTGCAGTCCGCCTGGGCGACTCGCGGTCCAGTGCAGACCTATCCCACCGATCGATTATCGCATCTATACCTCCGAATGAGTATCGCAGGAACGATGGTATGGGTTGCCTTGACATATGCCGAGATAGCCAGCGGTCCAGAGTCCAAATTCTGGATTATAACGAATTTAGCGATCACGTCAGGAGAATTCCCCAAAGCACTTCACTCGCCGATACCATGGGTCTAGCTCGTCGACCGCTCAGCTTCCAAGAAGCGCGGTAATGCGAGAATCGAAGCCCTCCGTCCTGATGGGCATCTCCGGCGTATGGAATGGGTTCTTCATGACCGCGTCTGCGTACGCTTCGTACACCTTCTGCAACACTGTCTCGGCGGTGGTTTCCGCAAGCGAGGTCAGAAGGACGAATTTGGTGCCTGGCATTCTGGGATTCAGCGTTCCCGACAGTAATGCAAGGTGGCAGAGGACAACGCGTACCAGTAGCAGTCAAATGGATGGTCATCTTGAATGTTTCGCCTTCGATTACCTGAGCGCCTGAGCTAGACCCGATGGGCGAGAGCCTGGCGGTGATAGCGTGGATGCCATGTAGCGTTCCGGCCAGCACCAAATATTCGTTGGACGTCAACTGAGCAAGACCGTCTGATATACCCCATTAACATCCTGCTCTACATGACCAATACCATAATGACGTACCGCCGAAGTTGCGTTGGTAGACGAGACCGCCTGCTTTGTTGATGACCTATGACGGTTCTGCACTCTTGTACTTGGTAGTGTAACTGCGACTCGGACACACCCAAAGACCGTATATCGCCATAGCGGAGGAAATCCCGGACGTAGAGCAGGCAGCGGACGATATGGGATGAAGCAAAGCCGCCCCCGGACCCGCGTAGGCCGCCGCTGCTTGCCGCCTCGCGATCTCCGTATTTGGACTTCGGCACCTCCCCATCGTGACTTCCCACACGTTGCCAACATATTCCCTCCAGTTGCTTGCTCGCCCGACCGCTTGACATTCTTTTACCTATAAGGTCTGCTACGAGCACCTATACCCGCCGACTATCAACATCATGTCGGAGAGCCAAACCCCCACAACAGCAGATTTCTCGTCCGCGCCCCCCAAGCGCACGAAGATCGTCCTACTCGGGGACCAGAGTGTCGGCAAGACCAGTTTGATTACTAGGTGAGTAATGGCCCCTTCTGTCACCGATTCTCCAAAGCACTATTCTATCTACTGCGAAGTTGACTGACGCATTAGATTCATGTATGACACCTTCGACAACACGTATCAAGCCACGATAGGCATCGACTTCCTCAGCAAAACAATGTATCTTGAGGATAGGACAGTACGATTACAGTTGTGGGATACGGCTGGGCAGGTTAGTTTCCTGTGTTCATGGTGCAAGCGAACTTGAATATATTGAGTTTGAGGACAGGAACGGTTCAGGTCATTGATACCCTCATACATACGAGACTCTTCTGTCGCTATTGTCGTATTTGATATCACAAGTGCGTATGATTTACTGGGAGATATATATGGCTTTAACGTATGGGTCGTGACAGACCGTGCTTCGTTCCTCTCGACCTCGAAATGGATAGACGACGTTCGGTCTGAGCGGGGGAACGATGTGATCATCGTGCTGGTGGGGAACAAGGCGGATCTCTCGGACAAACGGTACGTGCTTTACGAGCGGTGCGCAACCAGTGCGTTACTCAGACAACCAATTTCAGGCAGGTAACATTGGAAGAGGCGACCACGAAGTCTCAGGAGATGAACGTGATGTTCATGGAGACGTCGGCGAAGGCAGGACACAACGTCAAGAGCCTGTTCAAGAAGATCGCCATGTCGCTGCCAGGAATGGAGAGCCAGGCCGACAAGGACGCAGCAAACACCAGTACGTCTCCCGCTCCGGCGCGACCGTTATTTTATCGGTCCATGCTAACATCCGTGCAATAGAAATCGACGTTACGACGACGAAGGCTGCCGACGTCCCGGAGGCATCGCAATGCCAATGCTAGCCTACATCCGACCTATCAGACGAGGCCGTAGTATTTGTTCTTTTTTTTTCTAGGATTCTGTTCCGTTGACCGCCCGGCGCTGTATATAATGTATTGCTCTGCTTCTGTCTAGATTGGCGCCTGAGCTGTAAAGATAGCCTCTGGCGCCGAGTATTCGCGGATCTGCCCAGACCGCCGAGAGAGATTATCGTGGTTGTCACTATATTATCTTGGCGCCGACCGGATAGGTGCCAAGAGGTTGGGGAAGGACCGGGAGCTGTGGACGTCCGCAGGCTCGTGACGTCGATCCTCCCTCCCTTGGTGCACCGCCCCGGGAGTTTCGGTTCAAAGCTGTTGAAAGCTTGGACGAACGCTGTCTTGTCTCATCCTTTCTTCCCGTCGTTCCTTTCAAATCGTCCCAACCGTCCTCACCGATGCCCCCGTCGTCCGAGCGAACGCCACTGCTGCCCAACGGCGCCGACGCGCACGCCGATGTTGAAAACGGCGCGCCGCCGGAGCCTTTCGCGAAACGTGCCGTCAAGTTCTTCAAGGCTGAGGGCGAACCGTCCTGGGCTGCCTCGTACCGTCACTTCATCTTTGGCTCATATGTCAACATACTCCTCGTCTTCGTACCTCTATCCTTCATCTCTCATCACCTACACTGGGATGCTGCTCTGCGCTTCGGATTCAGCTTCATGGCTATCATGCCCCTTGCGGCATTGCTCGGAGATGCCACGGACCAGATGTCATTGAAGCTCGGTCAGACCATGGCTGGGCTACTTAATGCGTCCTTCGGAAACGCGGTAGAGATTATTGTGGGCATCGCTGCTTTATTACAGAGTGTGTGATGGTTTCCATTGTCTAACCTTGTCTGCGTGCTGAAGTCCGTTTAGACGAGCTGAGGATTGTGCAGACCTCCGTCAGTAACATGTGCCCGAAGTGATCCATGTCTGCTGACGCTGCGTACGCAGATGCTCGGATCCATTCTCTCAAACCTTCTGCTTGTCCTGGGCTGCTCGTTCTTTGCAGGTGCACTGTGGCTTCGACGTCTTCCGTTAGCTAACATGGCAAGCTGATTCGGTCGTCATCGCAGGCGGCCTCAAGTATTCTGAGAGTAACTTCCAAGTCACCGCAGCTCAAGCGTGTGTTAAATCAATTCCCATACGATTGCCCATGCTGACAGCTTCCGTGTAGTTCTGCTTCCGTGCGTCATGGTCGCAATAGCTGTAATTGACGACGAAGCCAATTTACTCCGGATTAGCTCATGACCCTCGCTTGTATCACGCTGGTAATACCAGCTGCATACCACATGTCCAAAGTGCGTAGCAAATGCATACTTTGCCCTCCATTCTAGCACTCACCCCCAATATGAAGCCCGCTGAGGACAATATCACGAACGTGCTTGCCAGCGAACGGGGTCTTCTCATTATTTCCCGAGGAACCGCGTTGTTACTCCTACTCATCTACATCGCGTACCTTGTTTTCCAGCTTAAGACTCACGCTTACCTTTATATCGCCGAGCTCGAGGAAGAGGAAGAAGCATCGAAGATGAGCACCGTCGCTGCTGCTACCGGGCTCTTGCTCGTGACCGTCATTACCTCCTTCTGCGCCGATTATCGTGAGTCGCTCGTTTCCGTCATTGTCCATATCACCAATTGCTTATCATCACCGAAGTGGTTGCGTCCATCGAAGAGACCGCGGAGCGGTATCATATACCCAGAGCCTTCATCGGTCTAATTTTGCTTCCCATCGTCGTAAGTCGAGTGTCGCTATAATAAAGCGCCGTAGCCAACTATCATGGATTGTACAGGCGAACGCTGCAGAACATGTCACGTCCATATGGATGGCCCTGAAGAATAAAATGGAGCTCACCATCGGCATATGCGTAGGAAGCTCTATCCAGATCGCTGCCTTTGTCGTTCCCGTGCTGGTCATCGTCGGATGGATGTGAGCGGGCATGCCCTCTCATCCACGTCATAGCATCGCTGACGCCCTTTCGTTTCCTCCAGCTCAGGACACCCGCTTACCCTATTCTTCGCTGACTTCGAAACCATTGCGCTTTTCGTGTCGGTCGTGCTCGTGAACTTGCTCATCATGGACGGCAAGTCGAACTATATGGAGGGTCTCATGCTGATTATCCTCTACCTCATCCTTGCCTTGGCCTGTAAGTGGGCGACCCTTTCTTCGCTCGTGCTGCCGCTGATCGATTGACGCAGTCTGGGTGTCGTAAATCAAAATATGTCTGTGCGTGCTTCAGGTACACTATTGTGCTTCAGACCTCCTTCGACTTCTTGAATGCCCAGCGCTACATGATACAACCTTATGGTGCTTGCATCTTTGCTTGTTACTTGGTACTGCGCTTGCGGCAGACAGACACTGTAACTCCACGGCCTGTTCGCTCTTATTTATTGAACCATTTTTTGAATCGGGGTATGCCACCGCCATTATCAGACAGCAGACAGCCAGGGCTATCCTATAGCTCATCTACATTGATTGCAACAGCCTCCGCAACGAGGTGCGATACATCGCCATACTGGATGACTGATCCTGTTTCATGGGTCATCTCGATTATCGTCACCGAGGTATTCAGGCAAGGCCCTAGATGTACTCCATCCTTGCACTTGACTTTGTGGCTTCCTATCAAGTTCCTCAGGAGTACGCCGATGAACCCCCCGTGGCTCACGACCAGAACATTCTCCGTCGGCAGCTCTGCGCTCTCCCCGGACGCTGGGTCAGCTGTCACGTTTCCATGGTGTGCCGTTGATGACTGTATATATCTCTCTATCGTCTCTTTCCACCACTTCGTTGCGCGGGAAGCGAAGTCGAGCGAACTTTCAGCGGACTGAGGTGCAATGTTGTGGGGATCTAGCACGACTTGGCCTTGAAGCTCGCCCATGAACTGACATATTTAGCCCCTCCAGATGTCCAAGTGAGCGTACGATCCTCACTCTTTCTCTCAATGCATCCTGCTTCTTCAATTCAGGCTTCACTTCGTTGGTATTTTGCCCCAGAATTATCGCACCGGTCTAGTGTAATCCATTTCAGACCACTACCCTCGTAAATGTGATGATACACACTTCGGATGCACGAGCTAGATCGCTGGCAAACGCTTCTGAGAAACGCACTTGGCTGAGCGCATTCGCGACCATATGAGCCTGACGGCGGCCTTCATCGTTAAGCAAGGTGTCCAGATGCCCTTGAATTATCCCCTGCTTGTTTGCGTCTGTTTCTCCGTGACGGACGATGTAGATCCTCGTCAACCTCATGAGGGGTCGACGTCGTAACGAAGGTAGGTAGGTAGATTGCCGACGAGGTCCCGGTAGCGGAACAGCCGGTTGCTGCGCTGCACGTACGCCACTCGTGCAGTCGACAGCGTGCCAAGCAGCTCAACGGTTTTCGTGAGCTGATGAAGCCGACCACACCGTCTCACCACCGGCACCAAAAAGTCCCAGGTACATGTGTACATACAGTGCTATGTAATGTATGCTAGGCAAGCCGTCTTCAGCTCACTGGTCGAAGTCCGGCTCCTCGTCAGTGCGTTAAAAACCCCAACCCCAACCCCCCCCCCCGCCAAAACCGCTTGGGAAAAAAGCGGGTGGGGGAAGCATCGTCGAAGGAGACACAGACCTACAACGTCAGTCAAGCGCAATCGGCAAGGTAGAGGCGTATCAAATGCACTGTGTAAATATGTGTGCAATCCGGAAGTGCGGCGTAGCGTACTGTCCTGCTCTCTGGGATTTCCCTGGAGCGAGATACGCATCCAGGTGCGCCTCCGCTTCAGGCGAGGTTTGCGATTCAGTCCCCGTCGTGGGCGAGCCTTGGGAAGCGTGGACGTCGATGTTCGTATCTTGCGACCCAAGTTCAGGGACGGATTGCGCCGCAGCGGGTTTGATCCCAGGACCGTCGAGACCACGAGTGGGCATAGTAGCTTTCGGAGGGGCGACTCGCAAGATAGGCAGCGACATGATGGCAGCGAGTTTGCGCAGAGAGGAGGGAGACTCTCCACTCGTTACGGCGAACCGATGACGTCCCCGTATGACAGGCATGTTGGGATGTCGAGTGGACAGCCGGACGTGACATTACACATATCGCGCAGACGTAGGAGGGACACAGATATAGGGGTAGCACTTGCATATCTCCCGAACTGCCGGCAGCCGCCCTGTCTGATAGTAGACGTGTATGGGCCTCTAGCATGCATTCAGAGGGCAGGAACTAGTGCAGGGATGCATGATATATGCAGAGATGGGGATGGAGTGGTGGATCGTCGAAGAACAGGACACCATAACGGTCGGACGTCATCCACAAAGTACTCCGTGTATCCATTGACTATGCCCATGTCCTGTGTCTGATACAGACGTCTACAAGCATCGGGTGCTCAGACCAGGCTCGGGAATGGATTCTGAGGGGGCCAAGGGTTGACGGGAACAAACAATTCGAACGATCTGACCGCGACTTGATATGAACCTAGACTTCTGTCCATCATTCCGGATATTGTCATGACTCCTACCTTATCGATCAATCCAATCTCTGCTATGAGTTTACAAGATGTGATGTTTCTATACTGTATCTACTACGGAGGATAACAACCGCGGGCGTCGTCGCAGAGTATGACCATTGTTGCATCAGTTTGTCCACCTTTGACGCCCGTATGAGGCCCTTAACATTATAACAATGTCTTGATTTCGCCGGCCAGCGTCTTAACACGCAATTCCGGGAAAGCACCCACAATCGCTTCTAATGCTTGCTGCACCGCCGCATTGCGATCTCCGTCAAGAACAAATCCGAATTTCTTTGCGGCGTATATCTATCAGAGATCCGGTGAGCTTCCTAGCCAGACAGGGGTCGTTGATTATACGTACGATATTGCCAAGGGCGACTAATCCACGATACGCCCCTTCCGAATCTTCTTGCTCTCGGAGGGGGCCCTGAGACAAGATGAGGATAGATATATGGCAGAAATGGGCGTGACATACCTGTAGTACGGTCCTGAACAATGTATCTCGCGTCTCATCAGCAGCCCCAGGATTCAGTAACGTCGTAGAAACGCTGTTTCAGGTAATAAATGGATCGTCATTGCAAACCGGGAATTGACGTACTTGAAGAGGAGCGTAGCGAACGCCACACGTTGAGGTTTACTCAATAGCTCATATTTGCCATGAGCCAGCGTCTCGATGACCTAACTCGCATGTTAAAACCTATGAGGATAGCATGTAGGAGATGTTCTCACCCACGCAACCCATGCTTCCCCGGATGGAGTATCGGCCTGGAAGACGTTACTCACTCCTCGAAAGAGAAGCAGGAAATTGGTCTCTTTTGATCTGTCCAGCCAAGCCGACGTCCAGGGTTCGAACCAGTCGGTTGATTTGAACAGCGCCTGGATGAAGGACAACCGAACGCCCGGTTGGGCCAAAGTTTCAGGGCAGTAACCGAGTATCAGTCGACAAGTGTCTAGAACTAAGAGTTGGTCAGAAATCGTGAAACTCTGTGCATATGGCGGAGTCGTCCTCACTTACGGGGGAATCGTGAGCCAAGGGGCCATCGCTCGAGAACGCCGAGTACCACCTCGAGGTGTTTTGGCGACACGGGGCTTGGAGGGACTTCCGTGATCGGTGATGAAGCGGCGGCCAGATAGGAGAACACCTCGTCGAATTGCCGGATCTCGCCAGGACTCATGGTCATTTTCAAAGTGGACTGGATGTTTGTCAGTTACGTTTGAGGGTGCTGATGCAGAGTAATATTCACAATCTCAGTACGGAACGCTTGTTCGAATTCATAAATTTTGGCTCTCATTGGAGGTACGTTCGCCGTCTTGAAGCTGAAGGCGGTCGTCTGCAAATGATATGAACACAGACTATCAAACGTCGAGGATTTGACAACTTACTACAGGGAGCACAGCCGGAGTGCCAACAGCGGGGGCAGGTGCCGAAGGAGCAGGAGCAGGAGCAGGAGCAGGAGCAGACGAGTATCGAGAACTGCCCGTATAAGGATCGCTCAGAGCAGCGGGGTTCTGTGCAGGAGCCGGTGCTGATGAGACAGGTGCATAACGATTTGCGCCGGTGAATGGATCGACAAATGAGTTGGAAGGACCTGCGGCAGGCACCGAGGCTGATGAGGACTGATAACGAGAGGCTCCTACAGAATGATCAGCGTCAAAAGTTTAGAGAACCCTCGAGCACAGCTGAGTTCTGTATATACCTGTGTATGGATCAATGTACTCGCTACCGCCTGCACCAATGGTAGCTCCCTGAGTATTTCTGTTGATGAACTCGACGACCTGGTCGATATATGACATCGGGAGGTCATTAGCCTCCAAGAATCTTTGTGCCACGGCGAAAGGGTTCTCTTTAGGGTTTGCGCGATCAGACATGGCGTAGGAACACCAAAATTGAGTGCAGCATACCGTTCGCGTTATACGGCAATTTCAGAGGCGGCGCGCCGTCCTTTATGTCGACATCGAATACATAGTCGTATTCTCTGCCTTGGTACAGCTGCTTGCGGCCAGAGCCGACTGCATCAACTACATCGCCAATCTTCTGCCATCCTGATGAGGCATCCCACTACAGGATCGTCAGTCCAATGCTTCTTGCCTTCGAGGTACATTACCTGATGGGCTTCTACCCCTCCTCTGTCATTTTTCACCATGATGACCTGCCCAGGTTTCTTGCCTAACTCGCTCCTTAATGACCTTCAGAACGTGACGCGGTGAACAATGACTGACCAGGCTGTGCTAAAGCCTCGGGACCTTGAACATTGCTCATGTTGGCGACCTGTTGGGCAGGTAAAGCTTGGCTTGCGACCTGATCTTCGAATGCTTTCAGGTCCTCTGCAGATGTGTGTCGTGCGGTATCCGCGCTAAATACCCGCACAACACCGTCGCTGCATCCGGACACAATATCCCCGTTGGGCATGACCGACACAGTCCATACGGAGATTGCCGGGTGGACGATGGTCTGCGCACATTCACCGTCTGCAGAGGGGATAGGCTACGTGTTTGTCCTTGTGGTCCGGCGGAATTGCAGAGGAAATCATACCTCGCCAAACTCTGACCGATCGATCCTCTCCTCCTGATACTATGTCCCCGTTGGGAAGAAGAGCCAGGCTGTAGACGAAGGACGTGTGGCCCGAAAGCGAATATACGATGTCGCCCTCCAACGTCCAGACGTGAATCTGACTGCGAGCGATAAATCAGCTAGTTATCGGAGCGCCTACGATTCTCGTTTCACCTATCATTCGAGCAAGAAGCAAATCCAATATCAGGTACCACAGCGAGACCTCGCACGGCATCGTTGTGACCTTGGAAGTTCCGTATGACTCTATGCTTCTGCCATAGCTTGATGCTCTTGTCTGCCGAACCTGTGCGCGGACTGTTAGAGCGGGAACTAAGCTTGCCATGACGTCTACTCACCGGTCAGGCATTGTTCGTGATCCAGGGCCAAAACGGCCCACACGGATGCTTGGTGGCCTTTGAGGTCATATGCAAGCTTCCAATCCTTCCACACTTTCGCAGTCCTGAGTGTACGCTGTCTTATGCATACAACAAAGATTGTGAGCGAAGGCCACTCACTTGTCCCATGATCCGGATATGATTGTCCCGTCCGGCGACACATGAAGAGCGCAGACATTGTCTCCATGCCCAATTAGTGTGAAGTCCGGATCCTCTTTCGGGTTCGCGAGGTCGAAGACATTGATCACTGTGTCTTGCCCTCCAGTAACGGCAAAGCCTGTATGCGATTACGACATAGACCACCGCTAGGACGATGCGTGACACACCCTTGGGAGCGTCTGTCGTCGGCGGAACATAGGCTATAGCATTCACGAACCGGGAACCAGCACGGAGCACCGAATGTGGCTGGAAACCAGTAGACGTCTCATCTCGAGCCCAAGCGATGGCAGTAGAGTCGCGGGAAGCGGAGAGTATAAGGTCGTTCGTCGGGGAGGCGACTGCCCGGACCTGAATCGTTCTGGTTGAAACCGCAGAAGGACTCGTTCATGTATTCGATGACGCACGTCTTGGGAATGGGCGGAGAGAGTGGCGGAGAGCTTATAGGACATCATCGGGACTTCGTCCAGATCGATGAAAAGAGGGAGAGGTCGGCGCAGAGCCCAAGGACAAGGAAGAAGCAACGGTGTTAGGTACTTACGAAGCTCGAGCTTCTATACAATAATCGTTCCAATCTGTACGCGTGTGCGCGTCCACACAACGCTCTGGATTGTTCCATGACTTCCTAGACTTCCTGTCTACCCTTCATCGATGATCTCAGGACAATCACAGACGATCCAGCTGCGGTTGCTACTGCTGAGCGACGTTCAGAGAGACACGCCAAGAGACCTAGATCGTGGATAGGCAAAGCTAATCAAATTCAATGCATACTACTTGAATATATGTACACCACACTAACGAGCCTCATCGCCGTGATATCAGCGAAAAGGCCATACGGAGGTGCATCATCCCACTTGATCTCCTGGGACCTCGCATGCGAAGAAGTCGAAATGCCAAATCGCAAGGGGATGAACTTAGAGATAAGTCCGCCGCGGCGGGCGGCGCGCGTTTTCTGCAGCCACCTCAGGGTCGGCTCGCGCGAGAAGAGGCCGCGTTATCACGAAGACAGCTTGCGCAGTTGATACGTCGACACATGCGACAGTTGCAAACAGGATTTTATGAACATGTATTGCAGCAAAGTTGCGAAACGATAGCAAAGCTTCGAAGCACAAACCCACGAACCCCCGGATCAGGAGCCCACACAGCGCCAGAGTATTGTATTACAGCGTATCAGGGTCGGTTGAAGACACATCCACTACCAGTCAGAGAGCAGAACCTTTGATCACCAGTAGACGAATGCCCGGTCCATGCGCTTACGCCACGTGAAGTTGACGTCACAGCGAGTTTAGCTCCGAGTTGATTGCAGTACCAGTCAGAGCATTTGAGGCCAGTTACGTCGAGAAGTCCACACCAGAGGTGACCGATATTTTTGTCTTCTTCTTCGTCGCGCCGTGATCCGACGCAAGCTGTCTCTTCATTCCTCGCATTGGCGAAGTCATATTTTCTTGCTGGGACTCCTCCTGCGTCTGCGATTCGTACCGGTTCGGTGCGACGCCCCGGTGTTCTTGAGTATCCATCTCGACCCTCTGAATAACCTGAGCATCGTCCCCTACAGTCGCACCACTAGCACTGCTGTGAGGCCGGGTATGTTTAGAAGCAGGTATGAAGGATGACATACGACGACGATTGTTGAAGAGCGGCATTGCTGCGTTGCTTGCGTTGGTCAACCTGGATAGGGTCATCTCTGATATTGGCGCTAGCAATCGCACAACTTGCCAGTCCCTTGATCCCGAGAAGGCGATCTACAACGCTCTTATCCGGGTTAAAGTAGTCCTTGTATGCTTGCTTGTTCTTGCTTCGCACGTCGAATGCGTACTTCTGGCGGTGTCCGACCTGACGACCCTTAGCACGTTTGGCCTTGCCTTTCTGTCGACGTTTGGAAGCGTCACGAGTTACAAGGGTCGTGGTCTCGAGCAAGCCAGACTCGTCCCTTTCCGTGACAACCAGAGCGACGAAACCTACAGATGGTCAGCGGGATAAGCTGAGCCGTGTTCGCGGAGAATTGTTACCCTCTGCTTTGAGCCTGTTCCACAGCTGCGATGCCAGAGCCGGGAGGCACCCTGTGAAGACCCGTGAGACGAACGGACCTTGATGTTTATCCCAAACATACCCTTTTTGCGCGTGAAAGAGGCGCAGTTGTCAGGTTTCTGCGTTTCCGCGATCTTGAGAGCCCTCCTACATGGCCTTGTCACGAGAAGTTCAGGAATGTACGGGATACGAACCGGAACGAAGCCAGCGCAGCGTAGTCGGCTGTTAACTGGGACAAGATTTCGGGAGCTGACAACAGGGGCCATCTGGGGTCGGTCCGGATACGACAGTTGAAGCAGATGAACGATTGTGGAATTCGCCTGTCCTTTCCGTTATGATATCTACCAAGCTCATCAATACTCGGGTGGCGTTAAGCCGAGAATTACCTTACCCCACACACCTGTGTACTGGTAAGCTTCAAACGCAAGCCGTGCCGTTTTGTGACTCACCAAGCATGGTACCATCGGCCACATTCACCTTCGCACAATATGCAATCTGCATCTTCTCGCTGATTCATAAATTCAGAAGCAAGCTGGTCAGTGATGATAGCGGCGACGTACGTTGACACCGCAGTCGCAATCGATCGTCTGGCTTCCATCGTGTGTGTGCTTCTTGCCGCTTTCAGCCTTGCGTGCCATCGGGCTATGGAAGGATTCAATGGAGTCGAGATCATCTCCTAGAGGGAGTAGGCGTGAGACCGATAGGCAATGGCGCCTCTCGACGTACCATGCATCAGAGTGTCAGATATTTGGCTCGCAGCATCTGGATCACAGCCGCCATCAGCATGAGGCAAGGAATCGACATCGCGATCACAGACCAAGCATCTCCGTGTCCACGAGCTCTACAGCTGTTTCCGTCTCGCTTGGGACTAGTTTTTGCAACATTTGCGTATTGATGCCAAGGCTAGACGTGTCTGAGGTAGATAAACTTCCGGAAGGAGGTAACGACGTGATGCTTGACTCCGCGATTTCGGTTTGAGTGAAGATGGGCTGCGTCTCATCCATATTCGAGGACTGCGCAGCCTTCCTTATATTCTATTGACACGGCAAAGTATCAATTCACGAACAAAGATGCAAACGAATGCCTCACCAAACAATCGACATCGCGAGGAACGCTCTCCGACACGCCCATGAATTGGGCTTCGCCTGTAGACTTGCCTGCATCCATACTCTCCTCTCCTGTCGGATTCTTGATGACCACAGGCTCGATAGTCCCGTCGTCTTTGCGTATACCAAGTAGTGCTAACGTATCCCGCCTCTGGGATGCCCTCGGAGTTGGCGCGTTGTAGTCAGGATCGTCTTCTCCGTCCGCATCTCGATCCGTCAAGTCATCGTCGGCTGCCCATATGCTGCGTCTCTCTTCGGCATCGCGCTGTTGTAGCTCAATTTCATGGACGCGACGAGCGATCTCATCGACTGGGGTAGGCGCTGGCCCCTGCTTACGGCATTTGCGGGTGGCGATCGTACTGACGAGTGAAGCGTTTACGGGATCTGGGGAGGGGAGAATGCTGGCCACAGACGCAATCTTCAGATCGATACTAGGAAGAGATGTATCAGTTCTGGCACACGTAAGGGGTATAATGAACCTACTCGTGCCAGGATGTTTGGAACTTGCCGATGCTGATTTTCTCTGGCACTTCGACCGGGCTATGCGTCGCGAAGAAGAACCTATCCTTCTCCTCATCACCACGCCTGAAATGAGGAGGCTCGTAGTCCTCGGGAACGTGATCGTAATACGCCAGTTTGAAAGTCGCGAACTTGCGCCCTATCAAGGTTTGGTGCTTCGATCTCGTGGACGGCTGGTAGTAGCAACTCACTGGGAAGGCCTTTCAGGAGTCCAATATGAAAAGTGAGCATCTTTTGGATCGCCTGGAAGATCGAAGCTTGGTCCATTTCCTTCGACCGCATGCGTCTATGACCATGGCGTACCGACAACATCTCTCCAACCTCTGCGAGGGTCGGCGCGCCTTCGGGTGCAGGCGCTACGGAATTCCCTTGACGATCATCGACTTTGAGTTTCTTCAATTTATCGTCAAGTGAGACAATTGGTATGACTTCATTGCTGCCTGGTACTTGTTTATACTCGAATAAAAATTAGCGCATGCTAACCTGTTCATAGATGTTTTACCTCGAACTTAAAAGTGTATGATTCGACGATGCTAAGAGTACATGGCAATGTTCAATATGACGTTCCTGCGCTGAAGCATGCACTCACTTGTTCGGATCGGTATCGTCCTGCGTGGCCTTAGATTCAATGAATATAGTTAAATGCAAGCACGTACTAGGTATATAGCGATTGTGAGCGTGCGAAGGTAACACTTCTCGAGCGCGTCGAAAACCCCATTCTCCTAGAAGTAAATATGAGCATATATGCGTGTCCTTGGAGTCGTATCACATACCATAAAGTCAATAAGCTGATCGCCTTCATTTGTATGCCCGCGGGCGAGAGTGAACATCCTATGCTTTGTCCCTATCAGCTCGCCTGCGGTGGACGAGCGTGTACTAAGGCCTTGAGACGGCATGCGATTACTAGAAGAGTAAGCGAGGGTGCCTGGTTCCCGAGTGTGTCAGATGTTTTGTTCGGTGCGAGAAATCGTATACGCACTCCGAACAAAGTTTTCCTCCGGAAGGAGATCCCTGCACGGATATGTCAGCAAGGTGCGGGTGCATATATGCATGCATTCCGATCGCATCGTAACTATCAGGGCTATGGACCATATTATAGCGGTTATTCAAGTGTGCACGACTTGCCGTAAGTATGCAATGGTTCCGAGGCTAGCATTAAGCAATGTTTTTGCGCAAAGCAAGCTCTGCGATGCAGTCACCGGCGCTCCTATCTGCAAGAGAGTCTACGATGTCCTGCGACGAGATGGATTGAAGTAATCTACCTTGGTGCGAACGGCTTGCTCCATATTAACAATGAAAACCTGAAGGATCCGGATATCACAATGGACCTGGAACGAATCGTGGTCGTCGTCGACGTCAATGTCAAGCGCGTCCGGGTCACGAGACCAGGATTGGAGTGCGCATGATCGTGATTGCGTCCCGTGGGATGACGTCAAAACCCCTGCCCATCTCATCCAACGTTCTTAGGTTGAATTGAAGTTAGTTGGGGTTGACACTGGCTTGTGTCTGCTGTCCACCTGTCGCTTATCACTCGTACTTGCAAACGTATGGTGCCTGCAAACAACCCACTCACAGATACTGTGCAGTACTACACCCTGGACGCATCTTACGGTTATCCGCATGCGTCCTCAAGTACTCAGGAGAGCATCAGCACACAGACATCGCCGGCGGCCTCCATGTCGGATGCAAGACAGTCTCATTCACCTCTCTCAGATGTGCGCTCATCTAAAGCCACTGATCGCGAGGAGAGAAGCGGAAGCTCCAATAGTTCTGGCTCGAAGACAACTACCACCACTCCTCACCAGAAGGTCGCAGGCTTCGAATTCACCAAAAGGAAGCGCTGGGCAGAGCTTTTGATTAACGAGCTCTCTGAGTGTATCGTCTTTATACTCTCTCCAGCTGGCGCAATCTGGTTCTGTGGATATTCCATCAACGAGTTGCTGGGCTGGAGGGACGAAGAAGTGGTCGATCGGGACTTTGCCAGTCTCATGAACGGTGAGTGAAAATCTCTTAACAACGGATCACGCGGTGTTCATGCACAGAAGACGACGATCGTAATCAATTCTATGAACTATTCGGCGACTCTATCCGAAACCGAAGCGAATTGCTATCTTATGTTCGCCTTCGCTGTAAACCACCCGATTATCCAGCGGTACCGTTCCCACCCAACATGCAGGGCGCTTATCCTGGATATGGATCACCATCAGCTCCCGTCGCTCCCGTTAAGCACAAGGAAATGCTCTTCGAGATCAAGGGGTATCCTCATTTCCTTTCGGACGAGGACACGGAAGAATCTGAGCGGACGTCTCAGCATGCCAGTCTTGAAAATCTTCACTTCGATAGTACGCCCCAGCTCGGGGCCGGCAATCCGTTTCAAGGAGAGCCGTGCAAATGCTTCTTTGTCACGGCAAAACCGTATCCCAGCAGAAACAGCGCCATGTACGTGCATAATGGCTCTCAGCACAGCGTCATCATACGAGAAAGTTCTCAGGTTGAATACATTCCTCGAGCTTAAAATTGAGAATGAGCGCCTGCAGCAAAAATTAGCGAATTTGCGGGCAAGACAAAATGCGCTCGCAGTCCAAGGTATCGGTACCGCACCAGTCCCGCAACCCTCCACGTCCATATCGGCGTCATCGACGAGTTCGACCTACGGAACCAATAACCACGCTCAGGGCGCTCAGTACGATGCCACTGAACACGGAGGCTCATATGGTCCTGCATGGTCAAACTACACCTCAGGGGAATATGGAGAACAAATGCGAAGTCCGGCTCCACCGGCCCCTGCTGGCGGCTCGCAATCATTGGATCCCTACAGCAATGTCGGCATGGCATACGGAGTCGGAACGAACTCGCCGGGGATAGTGCAATCTGAGCGAGACTCTGACGAAGATCCGCGAGGCGCAGGGGACGACGGCAAGCGAAAAAAGGTAGTGTGCAGATCTGCAATTCGCTGCGCCTCGAACCAAATGTCTCACCCGACCTTAAATCCTTTCAGCCCAAGAGAGTTCATACCCTGTCCGATCAATATGTGTGCGTCACATGCGGCCGGACCGACTCTCCAGAATGGCGCAAAGGTCCTCTTGGTCCGAAGACCCTATGCAATGCCTGCGGTCTCCGCTGGGCCAAGCAGATGCGGAAGTTCGAGAAGGAAGGTGGCGACAAGCTGGATGTCGATGGGGAGTGAAATACTGCACCCTTAAATGCCAGTTCAAGCCATATACGATTACTGAATCTTGATCCCTACTCTGGATTATCATCGACGCACTGTATCTTGTCTTACACGCCATCTCAGTGACATCTCATGGGCTCGATCGACTCTGACATATTTGTTTTCCTTGGTAAATGTACACGAGCACGTTCCATAGCTCGGTCAGCAGATTACACGGTGAACAAACACAGCGATGATGAGCAATTTGCTGTCCTTTTGTCCAAACTCGCCACGTTCATTCCGGCTGAAAGACTCTGAACCTGAGCGCAGCCGCCGCGGGGCGTATCGAGCAAAAATTCCCGGTAGATCGTCTTACTGAATTGTGCGAGTGAGGCAGTTTTGGTCGTCAAAGCTCAAACCCTAATTTTCTTCTGAGAAGCATTGAGACAATAACGAGATAACGATGTGAAATCTGCGATTCCTCCGCTGCTGATAGCATTCGATCTCGAGCTGGTTGTTGCGTGTGGCACGTAAGCACGGAAGATGAATATTCCGCATCTGCTGTCGACCACGAGGTTCTGAGAGCGTGGCATTTCGGTTCCGACGTTGTCTAAATATCGCTGCGAGAGCTCTTACTCGCGCTCGTGTACAATTGGGTGTGATAGTACATTTGTATGGTTCGGGACTAGGATAAGGCGTGGGTTGCACGAGGTATATCGGCAAAACGAATGACGAAGATACGAAGGGTGGAGGTGTCCGGGAGAAGTAAGGAGGAAGGCGAAAATATACGCCCTGAAACTATGGTGGTCCAAGACGGAACGAGGAAGCAGCCTTGCTATACCACCGCCCTACTGCGAGAAGGGAGTGATCTGCAAGGCAATAAAGATACAGCAAATAACCATGTGCTGTAGGATAGCAGCAGTCGGCATGCGTGCAGCATCCAAGAGACGCGCGAGCGGTTGGATGTGGTCATTGATGCGTTGGCCGAAGACGTTGTGAAGACGGAAGCTATGGGGATCGTGTACGCTGCCTCCCTCTCGGCGATATGCGGTCATCTTGTGAACGACATGCATTGGCGTAGAACTCCGCGTCGTCGTCGTCGTCGTCATCGTCGGACTCCGTCGTGGAGAATTCGCTCCCAGCCTCACTTTCGCTCCCGCTCACGACATCCTCCAGTTCTTCATCGTCTGAGTCGGCTTTCAGTTCTAACGCACCCGGCCGTAGGTACGTTGCCCACCAACCACCGAGGAAGGACCTGATCTCGTTCCCGAGTTGCAGGTACTCGACGTTTCGGGCGACACCCTCCCAACTCACCACGCCGCGCGCGAGGCACTCGGCGAGGAGTTGCGTCTGGCCAAAGTATATCCAGTGAATCAGGACGCGGAATGAGGACGCATCGGGAACGGGGATGAAGACGGATATTTGAGTCGTCGAGGAGGATATTAGGCGGGGAGAAAGCTTTGATTGAGATTGACAGGAACTGGGCGACCTCGAGCTCAAGAGGTCCATCGGCAAGGTACCGCTGAACAGCGCGCGAAAGAACGGCGAATGCGCAGATAGGTAGTCCACGTGGAGCTGCGGTCTGGTGATTAGTTGAGTTGACTTCGAACGAGATGTGCCAGCTAACCCTCATGAGTATCCGAGGTGCGAATGGCATTGAAGGCTCCGTGGCGCGCCTGCCAGTGCCCGAGGGATCATGAGCGGCAGCTCTACGTGCAGAGCCCAGCGTGCCCGGCGGGAACAAGGGGGCATCCGGAGTGTCTGCCTGCTTCAGCGGAATCGGTACAACTGCACAAGTCCGCATGATGAGCAGAGATCGCGGACGAGCATGGATGCAACTGACCGATGGTACAGTCCGCCGTATCTGGTGAGGCCCAGTACTGAGGTGCAAGCTCGTGAAGCTGAACCTTGATGTACTCGAGCGGGACGCCGACAAGGGCGGGAGGAGGAAACGGGCGTGGAATAAACGTCATTGACCGCCGATTATTACAGTGTCTTAGATTTGGGCCCGGTGCCGAGCTGATGATAAAAGTAAAGTCGGGAGATGATGACAAGCGACGGGTGGAAGGGTGGTCCTCCAGGGGCAAGCGAGCGTGTCGAGTCGGTGGGGTGCTTTTAGGTTGTTTGCCTCCCATCCAGCGGTGGCGGGATCAATTTGGACTATTGTCTTCGTGTTTTGCGACCGTCCGGGCGAGATGAGACAGGGACCTGAACTGGCAGGTGCGCACCGGAGCAAGGGCGCTTCGCGGCGGATCTGAACTGTGCTTTATGCCGGGACCGGGGATACGCACGGGGCGGAGATGCGCCGCAGATTATTGTATTGGGTCGTCCGAGGGACGTGGTTGTGAGACTAGCGCCGAACGAGGCATGACGGTCCAATTGTTCTCCTGGTATGGCAAGACAATAAGCAGCGAGGAGAACGTTGCGGGGTGTAAAAGAAGGCCCTGTTAGGAGGCTTGATGGCGACCAGATGATCGTCGACAACGTTCTGCGCAGAAGATCACTTTGAGATCAGTAGTATGCTATGCAATGTGATCGCGCCAGCCATTCGCTTTGCGGCGACGCACATGTTCGCGAACAAAGCGCGTCCATTGCGGCGATCAGCGGGGTGGCCGAAGGCATCGTGGCGAGCACTGCCACACATCCCTCGGCTCCTTCCCCTCCATGCAGGCGGCAAAGAGCAGTGATTCGGACGCAGAGATATTGTCCTCGAATCCATACGAGTCCAGTCAGGATTTGACGCCGACAGAGGCCCAAGTGCTGTGGGAGTATGCCAAGCTCAATGTGCATTTGAAACAGGTGCGTCTCGCCGTTCAGCATCACGCCTGGCGAACGGGTTGTCACGTCCTTCCAGTTGCTCGCACAGACTCGCAGGCTTGCAGAAGCCCCCAACGACTCGCTCATTCAACAGCTACGCGTTTTGGAGAGCAAGATGGGCTTCGTATTCACTCTCGTAGGTGTATCCCTTCGCCCGACAGCGCCGTAGACCTCGCAGGGTTGCTATGGATCGAGGGAATGTTTCTATCTCGGATTATGCACCTTCTGACATCGTGTCCCACAGTACAAGGCCTCCGTATGGAGTGTCATCAACTCAGTCCCCGACGGCGACGACTCCCATGAGAATAACGAAAGCACGGACGAGGCTTCCTTCGACACGACCATGCGAGCATAGTCAGATCCGTACGATTGTCTAAAGCCATAGCATACATCCATTCACGTTTACTGCAGTCTCAGCTTAGATGCCAGCTTGCTCGCAAGCCCACCCTCCGCAATTGCGTTCACGTCCCACACGACCAGCCTACCGTCGACGCCAGAGGTGCTGACGTGTGTCACCGCTCCAGGTCCGCCTGCATACGGCCGGACGCTCAAGATAGTGTTCTGGTGAACAGTGTGAAGTACCGTATCACCGGAGCCGCGAGCTGCTTCGGTCGCGCCACCGCTCTGGCCGCGTTCAGCCGCGTTCTTGAAGGTATTGAATGCCGCGCTGTTCAGGCGACCCACGACAGGCGACCCACCGCCGAAACCGGACGATTTGCTTCCTGCCCCGGATTTGGCATCCAAACTTCCGATGAGCGACCAGGCTTGTTCGTTGCCCGAGAACACCAGTGGCTGACAGTCGTGCCCCGCGGCGACGAGCGCGTCCTCGGTAGTCCAGGTCAACGTGACCAGCGGGAGCGTGTTGATCCTGATAGTGTGTATCGCTGGGCCACCTGGGTAGACAATGCTGATCGTGCTATCATGGCCTGTGAGATATCATGATCATGATGAGAGGCACGCTTCGCATCGGGATCAAATCCACAGACTCACTCGCGAACGCGAGAACGTCACCGGAGGGCGAGAAGCCGACGGCGTGGACCCATCCGCCAGACGGGCTCGAGTATTCGCCGCAAATGGTGTTGAATGGGAGCTTTTCGCCCCAGACGGTCGGAGCTGGCCTGCAATGATAGAGATCAGTATCGGGGATTCTGACAATGAGAGATCGCTGATCCCGGGAATCGGGAGACTGACCTCTTGTCAACATCCTTGATGAAGGCAGAGAATACGCGTGCTTTCATGTCCGCCGAGCCCGCAGCGAGCAGGACATTGTTGGGGTGCCAATCAACGGACAGGACGGTGGATCGGATCGGTTTCTTGAGTAGCCTTGAGACCCACCAGTCGTTCTCGGAGTCAAAGGAGCAGATAGCAATCGCCCTAAACGAGCAACAATCAACTCTTGCTCAATGCGCGGACAATGGACATACCTGGCACCACTGGCCACGGCAAACTTGTCCTCCTTGGGGCTCCAGCGCACGTACGTAGCTGCGCGATTGATGCGCAGCAACACGAGCGTAGGCTTCCACACCGTCTGGCCGGTGGTTGGATCGGGGGTGAGTTGCCACACGTATGCGTTTCGGTCCTGCGAGGCGGTCACGATCCGGTTGGTGTTTGGCGCCCAGTCGATGGAAGTTATGGCTTTATCGTGCTATCGATCCCATTCAGCGCCAGAGACGGCAGGCTGCGCCAGTGAGGGAATACGCACCTCCGACAGAGTCTCGGTCGGCACCCATTCCGAGCCCTGGCTAGAGAGGATCGTGACCTCGTTGGACTTGAGGCTCACGGCAACCTCTAGAATTCAAGAGGTTACCACATATAATCGTGTGGAGTCGCATGTCGTGCTCACGGCTGCGGTCGGGGTTGAAGGCATGGGACGTTATAGGCGTCTGGGAGATATTGTACACCTCAGGAGCAGACATTATGTTTCGGTGAGGATATGATCAGGAATCACGACGCAGAGGACGAGCAGTCTACTACTGCGTCTTGGGAGGAAGGGAAGAGCGGTGACGATGTCTGGTACACGCGCGCGCGCCGATCATCTGAACCCGAGGCTACTTCAACCATCACCGTCACGACTCCGGGCACAAGCTGAACCCAACCTCATCCTCGCTCGTCCAGGTCCACGGAAACCCCTTTTCACGATGTCCTTGCTGTCGGAACGGCAGAAGGACGAGTTGTATGTCAAAATGTTACGCTTGCGTTGAACGGACTGTTGCTGAAGCCATGCTGCGCCGTTACCTAGACACAAATCCATGCTGGAATATCTGCACGCGAACAACTTCACCGAGGCATACAACGCGCTGAAGGAGAACTCAGGAACTGATTATACACCTGAACCGAAGTCGAAGTATGCCGGTCTGTTGGAAAAGAAATGGACCAGTGTCATTCGATTGCAGAAGAAGGTAGCTATGCGCGACTTACCCAGGGTAACACCTGCTGATTATCGATTCCAGATAATGGATCTGGAGAATCGAAACGCTGCTTTACAGGAAGAGCTCTCCCTTTCGCCGGCCAAACGCACCGCGATGCAAACCGACTGGGTTCCTCGATCTCCGGCCGCTCACGTCCTCACCGGCCACAGACTCCCCGTGACCAGCGTAGCATTCCATCCAACATACTCCATCCTTGCTTCAGCTAGCGACGACGCGACGGTGAAGATCTGGGACTGGGAGACGGGGGAATTCGAGCGAACGCTCAAAGGCCATACAAAATCCGTCCAGGATTGCGATTTCGATAACAAAGGGAACTTGTTGGGTCAGTGTCCCATCCTTTCCGTCACACATGATCCAGCCTGCAGCTTGAACCACCGGGTCCATTCTGATTATGTTCGAAACGGGATACTAATGCGTTGTGTCTTTGCAAGACAGTGACATGTTCATCAGACTTGTTCATCAAAGTCTGGGATACACAGAATGAGTGGAAGAACACGAAGACATTCCCGGGACACGAGCATGCCGTCTCATCTGTACGTTTCATGCCAGGAGACCAGTACATCATCAGCGCTAGCCGGGACAGGACGATTCGGGTATTTGAAGTGGCATCAACGTGAGCATGCTTGGCGTTTGTTGTAACAGCTGAGAAGGCCATTTACATTACATCGCGCAGACATCTAGTCCGGACGATCACGGGGCATGGCGAGTGGGTACGTTGTGTGCGGCCCTCAGACGACGGCCAGCTACTCGTCAGCGGTTCAAACGACCACGTAAGTCGTACGCATACATTCCAGTTTCCGTTGTTGATTATGCAATAGACCGTACGGATATGGAATGCGCTCAACGGAGAGGCGAAAATGGAGCTGCTAGGTCATGACCACGTTGTTGAAGTCGTCGCGTTTGCACCAATCGCAGCATACGGAGCTATACGTGAGCTAGCAGGCATACCGGTATGACCTACCCCGCGTTTAGCTTGATAAGGCTCTGACCGCATGAACATAGAAAACGACACAAAATAAACCGGGCGCATTCGTAGCTAGCGGCTCTCGCGACAGGACGATTCGGCTCTGGGATGCTCAGACCGGTCAGTTGCTACGCACACTCGTGAGTGACTTCGCATGTTGAATGTCCGCGACGACCTCATCATGTGCACATGGCAGCATGGCCACGACAATTGGATTCGAGGACTCGTCTTCCATCCGTCGGGCAAATTTCTGCTCTCGGCGTCGGATGACAAGACAATCCGTATATGGGAACTCAACACCGGGCGGTGCCTCAAGACCGTTGAGGCTCACGGTCATTTCGTTCAGTGCCTCGCATGGGGTCGGAAGACAGTTGCGGGGGCCAGCCCCGCCACGGCCGGACCCAGCCACGGCCATGGCGCGCCCGTGGCGAAGGCGGAGGAACCGGAGAAGTTGCTCAACGTGGTGGCAACAGGGAGCGTGGATCAGACAATCAAGATTTGGATGCCTTGAAGCAGGTGGCACGTAGTTGAACTTGTGGTAGGAGTTTGGGACATACCTACGGCTTTAGATCTATCTATTCTTGGGCGGATACTGTTGTGTGTACTCTATCGCTTTCGCATTGGTAGGTTCGCTGGCAATTCCCCTTCGCAGGTTGAGAGGCTGACACGACTCGTCCATAGCTAGCTTCCATTACTGTCTTTCATCCCCGTCATACAGCTTGCACGGTGTCCCTATTATGATCTATTGTGAGATCTTTGCCAACAAACGCGAAGACGCGGATTGTCATCCCGGGTCATGGGATGAACATCCCGCATGATCGATTTGAGCAAGGCGTAGGTTTGCCGTGCCCGATCCGTCTAACGTAGCAGCGTCCTTGTTGTGACCGACCCTGCCAAGATCAGTCCGTGAACTTGAAACTATGACTCTCCAGCTATACGCAACGGAAATGTGGTCGGTGAAATATCGTATTACTGGGGAAGGGAAGCTTACAGTGATCTCGCCGCCGCGGTAACTTCCTCGCTTTTTCTTGTTCTTCTCTTTACGGAAACCATCTCCCCGAGTAACAATTAGGTCCTTGCTTGCGCGAGCACCGTAGTCATTCACGCTGCTGAAGCCCTGTATTTGTGCGGGTTATTGTGGGCTATCTCATGGCAGGGTTAAAAACACACTTTCGCATCGTAGGTGTTGTCTCGCAACCGATCGTCCACGAATGTAACCTTGTCAACCTTTATACGCCTGAAGGGTTCGTTCACCTTCCGCTTGCCTTTGTTGTTTGCATTGGCCGCGGAAACTGGCGTGGACTCGGCAGCTGGGGGAGCAGATACGCTTGTTGCGGTGGGGACAGCGCTGCCGCCGAGGGACGTCCGTCGCTTCTTCGTCACTTTGGGAGTACCGGCTTCCTCGGCGGGGGTTTGCGGTTTTGAGGTCGCCTCGAAGTCTGAATCCGAGTCCGAGTCCGAACTGGACGAGCTGCTGGACGACGAGGACGAGGAAGCACTCTTGGTCTTCTTTGTTTTGGTGGTGGGCTTCAGCTCCGGTTTCCCAGCCTCTGATACGGCTTTCTGCGTTTTCTTAGGAGGGTCGTCGTCTTCGTCACTGCTGCTGCTGCTACTGCTAGACTCGGACTCGGACTCGGACTCCTTCGCGGTCTTCTTGGAGGTATTGGGCTTCGCAATAGCGACCTTCGCGGGTTTATCCTCATCCGAGTCGTCAGAGGATGACGAGCTGCTCGAGCCCGATTCCGATTTCGCGGCCCCGGTCGAGAGCGTACGCGAGCCTGATGAGGCTGCGGAGGAAGGGGGTTTCGCAGTTTTCACATTTTTTCCCGTCTGCACTTCCTTTCCTTTGGTCGTCGACGCAGAGGACAAGTCCGGATCAGAATTCTGTGCTTTACATCCCTCGGTAAGGTTCGACATCTCGCATGTTTATGTACGCACCAGTGTCGTCGTCGTCCGGAGAGGAACCAGAAGACGAAGAGGATGATGATGATGAAGCCGAGTCCGAGTCCGAGTCAGACTCTTCGGTCCTGTGCATACCGTTAACGACTATGCCTGCACAGAGTGCGGATGGGACTCACGAGACCGATTCCTTAGTCTCCTTCTGGCTCTTCTTGCTGAGTGACTTCCATTGCTTGACAATCTCGTCTATCTCAACGTCCACCTCACTGGTAGCAGCATAGTTGTCGAGGTCCACCACATCCTTCACTGACTTCTTGAGTACCCGCGCCGCCTTCTCGTGGTTCTTCTTCGTGAGGAACGAGTATATGAGCGAATAGGTGACTATTGTCCAGTCAGGTCATGGTATATGCGCCGTTTTGGTGACATACCTGCGAGGTCGCCGTCGGCTTTCGTGTCTGCCATTGCTGCCAGTGGACAGAGCAGGGAGCCAATCAGGATGTTCACTACGCAAAATTGCCAGGGTCTGGGAGATTCGATCTCCGCTTGCTGCAGACTCCGAAGGCTTTGTTTGAGGAGGCTGGTCGAAGTCTGCGGGATGCCATGCAGGTCACCGCCACCGTCTTCTCGTAACAAGTCGCGATCGCATACAGACGCGTGAGCCATGTTCGCCATCTCTTGATACAGTCCCATCCCTGACATTGCGATGAGCTAGCTGCTATACAACGGACAGAAATGAGTAGCCTCTCCTTCAGTGCGGTCAAGGGGCTGTCGCAATCCGACCAGAAGTTCGATGGGTCCCCGTTGCGCATTGCGATTGTGCATGCCCGATGGAACAAGTCTGTGATAGACGCTCTCGTCGCTGGCACAGTAGCAAAGCTGAAGGAGACCGGCGTCAAGGAGACCAACATTGTTATCCAATCTGTCCCAGGCAGCTTCGAGTTGCCCCTTGCGTGTCAGCGGTACGTGTATTCCTTCCCTCGCGATTCTTGCCTTAGATCTGATCATCCGTACGTGCAGGGTCATTGCTGGCGCGCATGTGCAAGCAGGCGCCAACGCAGCGGACCTCCTTGGTGGCCTAAGCTTTGGCGGATCGAACACCCCGGCCCGCGTTGCGTCGCCTGCAATCGGATCATCCGGCGCGACGACGGTGCCAATGCCAAACCAGCCATTTGACGCCGTAATCGCCATCGGTGTGCTCATCAAGGGATCTACGATGCACTTCGAGTACATCTGCGAAAGCGTATCTCATGCGCTCATGCGGGTGCAGCTGGACACCGGTGTCCCTGTCATCTTCGGCGTGCTCACTGCTCTCACAGACGACCAGGCGCTGGAACGGGCAGGCCTGGGCAAGGGCGAGAATAAGGGTCACAACCACGGAGAAGACTGGGGGTAAGGCCCCTGTGCTTGCGCAGCCCGGCTGTACGCTGACAACGCTCCGACAGACTCGCTGCGGTGGAAATGGCGTGCCAAACGAGGCGCTGGGGAGAAGGTAAGTTCTGAGGGGGCGATGCCGAATGTCCATTGTACGCGGCGACAGTAGCCCTTACTGTACCGCCAGCGGCATGTTAAACAAATGTACCAAATGTATCTGTACTCAGTGCTGGGATGAGTGACCCATCGGCGGGGTCCGAGTTTCGGACGGCCGGGCTCTGTACATTTGCGTTTTGGGACATGATCTCATCTCCAAGTTCCTGGCTTTCTATTTCTTCCTTGACTACTCCCAGACTCAAGTCTCCAAGCCGACCCCACCACGCCCGGCGCCACCGAGAACAGACTATCGTCCTTACCATCCCACAACGCTGACGATGTCCGCTCAGCCCACCGAGCTCGCATCGACCGGCTCCGGCGTTCGTCGGCACCACACCATCAGCGCGGCCTCGCGCACGGCGCACGCTGGCGGGCGTCCTATCTCCCAAGCTCACGAAGCCGAGGGCTTCGATATCCAAGACGAAGACGAGGTGGTAGATCAAGACTGGGTGGGCGGTGTCGGCGCCGTTGGCGAGAAAAGCTCCTCTCTGCATAGGCAGGCCTCCCTACCGACCAAGTATCACCGGGGTATGCAATGCGATCTGCGATGGCCTGCAGATCAGCACTGATCCGCGTGATGTCTTCAGCCTTCCAAGGAACGGGCGGCAGACAGCCAGGGACGTTGACGCCTCGCACGATGAACAGTCTCTCGGCCATCGCAGGCCATGAAGGGGACGAAGAAGATTGGGAAAAGGAAATGCGAGGTCTTCATAACGAAGAAGAGGTACGTCAACCGCCTAAAGTAAATGTATACCAGCCTTGACCGTCGCACACACAGCTCGATGACACCCACTCTCAAGAGTCGTCTAATCCATCACCGATGGCAGCCAACTTTGCCCCAGGACAGATTCCCTCGCCACCTCTCGCCGACTCCGGCGTTCGTCGGCATCAGAGCCTTACGTATGGTGGCAAACGTGTTGCCACCAGCGGCCTCAAGCGTTCGGGCACCGTGCAAGCGGCCAGTGCAATGAGGCACTCCGCCGCCCGGAGTCCAAGTCCCACCAACGCAGAGGAGGAATACGAGCAGGACGAAGCGGCTTACGCCGAAGACTCGTACTTCCAGCGTGCACAGCAGCAGCAGCAGCAGCAGCAGCAACAGCAACAGCAGGCACCGCAACAAGGTCAAGGCCAGTATGGTGGCAGTCCCTCCTCACGATCTCCTTGGGGCACACCTGGCGAATGGCGCACCCCCGGGAATGGTGCCGTGTACGCCGGTGGAGGTGTTCCAATCGACGATGTCCAACGGGCTCTTGCCACTCTTGAGCTCGCGGGCCAGCAAGGTTACAATTATGGTCAGAATGGTATGCGGTGATCGCTTTGCGCTGGAGTGGGATATTGAATCTGTTATGAGGGCTAGGCTTGCGCGGTAATGGTTCTAACGGACCGCGAAACCTTCAACTGGTCACCGATGTTGGTGGCCAACAGAAGGGGCAGCAGATCCAAAGCGGCTATGGTCCGATGAGCGCTGCACCATACATCCCCGGCGCAGGTGGCCAAGGGTTGTCGCAACAGGGACAGCGCGGCGCTGGCGACGATCGCTCTCTATCAGCCCATGCTTCCACTTGGGACCAAAAAGATCGTATCCTCGGTTCGCGCGCGTCGAACGGCAACCTCAACTACGCCTACAGCCAGCAGGGCAAAGGTCCTGTTCCTGGCGTACCGTCCATCCCGCCGCAATACTTGAATCAGCAGGGTCAGGTTGGCACGACAGGTTCTGGAAGGTTGCCCGTGGGCACGAACTTCGGCCAAGCCGCTCAGGGCCAGATCGGAGGTCAGTACCAGGATGCAAACAACGTGATCACATCTCCAATCGATGTGCCGGGTTTGATCGCCACCAAGGGGTACAATCCAGTCAACTTCGACACCAAACCACCTTTCGTGAGCATCTACCGCCTGGACTTGAGCTCGTGTTTATAACCATCCCTTTTTAGGCACGTTATTTTGTCATCAAGTCGTACACAGAGGATGATGTCCACAAGTCTTTGAAATACGAAATTTGGAGCTCGACGGATCCTGGCAACAAAAGGCTTGATAAAGCGTTCAAAGAAACCGCTGGTCGCGGCCCTATTTACCTCTTCTTCAGCGTGAATGCCAGGTGTGAACTATTGTTACGGATCACCGGAACATGAACTCACCGCGACTAGTGGCCACTTCTGCGGGATGGCGGAGATGCTTACGCCCGTCGACTACACTCGGAGCAGCACCGTGTGGGCCTCCGACAAATGGAAAGGTGTTTTCAAAGTTCGCTGGATTTTCGTCCGCGACATTCCCAATGCCAACCTCCGTCACATCAAGCTTAAGTAAGAATCGTCCGCCTGTTGCAACACAGTGGCTAATACCAGTCGACAGCAATACCCAAGAAAGGAAGCCTGTCACCAACTCTCGCGACACACAGGAACTCCTGCCTGAGGCCGGACAAGAGATGCTACGCATTTTTCACACACACCCAGCTAGAACATCCTTATTGCAAGACTTTGCTTTTTATGAGGTAACCTTCGCACTCATCTGTGTCTATTCCGGATGTGGCTGACATAACAACAGCTGCAAGCTCTTCAGAAGATGCAGGCTCAAGCTGTCGCCCAGGCACCGCCTTCCCCGACGCAGCAGGCTATGCGTCTCCAAGCCTCTCCCGCGCCGACATCGCCGTCGTCGACGCAGCAACACCCATTTGCTATGTCTAATCCCAACGCGCTCGCCTACGCCTCGCAGCATATGCAGGTGCCACCGATGAACTCGATGCTACCCGTGCCGATGGGCTCGCCTCCCCAGCAGTTCTCCCATCCCGCAGCGATGCAGAGCGTGATGCGCCACCCGAGTCCAGTCCCGAGCGGCGCCCAGCATCAGCAGTTCATGAATATGGGCGGCGTCCAGTTCTGACCCCCCTGATTGAAGTTCACGAAACCCTTGAATAGGTCCCAATGCTTTGAATGCTTCACATTAATACAAGATTAGAGAACCAGAAGTGTGCTTCGATCCAGGGTCCCGACCAGTATAATTCTATGCCCATTTCTCCACCACCTCACCTCACATCTCAGGTTTTCTGACACCCTTGTATACCACACGCTGCCAATCGCTGTTATTGTAGCTTCTCTTTGCCTGCTTGCTCATAACCATGATACGGAACAAACGGTACGATGCATCGGACGTCGCGGACCATCGCTTGTTTGTCGTTGTATCGCTGTACCCCGCATTCCCCAGTCTCCGTCATCCCCTGGAAGTACATAATGATGAAATTGATGCTTGTTTCCTGGTGTGTGGGTGTCGTTGTTTGTGAGTAAGGATGTTGATCTGCTATACAGCCATTTCACTCCTCGAGATATTCCGTACAGACTGCGTGGTCAACAAGCCGCGGCTCGGATGCCAAAAACACTATAGCAAGCAGCCGAAAGCGTAAAGCGTCTACGAAACATCGTGCGCGCTAACAATCATGTCTCTTCCATTCGTCCGGACGGAACGCCGGTGCGGATCGCGCGAGAGAGGTTTCCGCATATCTGATGATCATGCATCAGCCACGGATGATTTGCAGGAAACGACGAGGGAGGTGCGGAAGCGGGGCAATGACATACCGAACGCATCCTCCTCGTCTTTGCCAGCGCGCCCCTTCCCAAGGCTACCGTAATATTCTCGTACGCGTCGATAGACGCTGTAGCCCATGCCTTCATACATGGTTATCGCAACCTGGTTCGCACACCGGACGTAAAGATCGACGAAGAATCCCTAAGAAAAACGAATGATTGGTTATCAACTGTACTTCGGGGTGTATGCTATCCTTACCCGGTAAGCCTCGTCAGACACATGCTCCAGGAGGTTCATCATTTTGCGCGCAAGTGAAAGCCTTCGGTACTCCGGCGCAACCGTGATGGCCGTGACATGCCCGTGCCATTCTGTACCCTGCCCTTCCGCCTTCCCGAGTACTGTTCATGAAGCGGTTTCGGGGATAAGGAAACATGTCGAATAAGCAATGAATAAGCAATGAATAAGAGTGACTGACCGTAGCCCATCATGCGCCCATTCGGTGCCTCCTGCACGCAACATAAATCGGGCCAACGGGACAGGTAGCTCAAGTAGAACGGGATGCCGTACTATACGGAGAGGTCGACGAATGCATAGCGTCAGAGCACGCAAGAGAGTTGAGAAGAGGGCACTCGCTGTTTCAGTCCATATGTCCAAGTTTCTGCCAAGAGGAATTCAACATATGGCGTACTACGGAGGAAACGCATACATGCATGTTGTTAAACTTGAAAAGATCCAAAGCACTGAATGGTCGAGTGATACTCATGCTGTCGGCAGACTAGGAGAAGGTTTGGAGGGATCTGGAAAAGGTAGCCCTTGATGCTCGACACCAGACTAGCGACGAAATGGACCTGCAAGAGAGATGCACTGGCACTTGCTCTGTCACGGTATGTATCACCCTTGCGTGGTGGCGCAGCCATCTCACAGTTGTAAGTTAACAAGCTACTGAAGAGAGTTTCCTTCCTGTTCGGTGGATCGTCGTGTATGTGAAGGAAACGACGCCGGTTCTCTCCTTACACAATAAACGAGTTGTCTACTATAATACGAGATATGCGCCATCTTAAATACAATAATCCGGTGATACAGTTGCAATGATCTAGTATACACATGGCCAACAACACGAGACCGACCTCGTCATTCGCTCCCGCTTCCCGTCGCGTTCGGGCCCCCACTGCTCTGAGGGGCTGTCGTGAGCGGCGGCTGCTTCGCCTTCGCAATACGCTCCTTGTTGTTCTTGCTGCCCTTCGGTCGGCCTCTAGGTCGCTTGACGGGTTGGCCCTCTGCATTGAGAGGAGGTGCAGCCGTTCGTTTTGGCCTAGGATTGTTACCAGCTTGTAAACGTTCATGGAGGTATCTGGACGAAGAGTAATGAACGAATGAACCAAGAACACAAGGATGGCGTACTGTTGAGACCGCTCTTCAAGTATTTGCTGCAGACTTGGAAGCGGCTGCTGCCCAAGTTCTTGGCGGAGTTGGTCGACGTCTCTTTTCGCTGCTGCGTAGTCTCCGTCGGTGATGGTTTGAATTTGGTTGTGAAGATCGGCACATTCCTTGTTGAGCGTGACCTCAAGCATGTCCGCCTGTAGCACAGTAAATGCCTGTCAGGGGCAAAGGCAGGCAATGACCGACTTTGTCACGATCTTCGTTGATTTGCCTGAGCGCTTCCAGTAGACGAGTCCGTTCGCTGGCTAGCCTGAAAGAGGACAATTATCAGCGTGCCCAACTGCGGCTGTCCGGGAAGATCTTACTTGTTCTTCTGCTCCTTCAGATCTTGAAGCGCCTTGTTCTTCTGATCTAACGATGCGTGGGCAGATAGGATGTGCGCGGTGTGCATCTGCAGAGTCAAGCCATGTTTCCTGACGACCGATGAACATGAATGGGATGCGCATGGTGAAATCTAGGCGAGGACAGACTTGAGCTCAGCAGTCTTGGCAAGGTGCACCAGATTTTTTGTCCAATCTCCGGCGGCAACGAGTGGTGTCTGTGAATGAGGACCGGAGGACGATGCGGCTGAAGTGGATGCCATTGCCAAAAATTCGGCGAAGAGCGTCCTCGGGGTCCAGCAGGACCATCTCTTGCGTTCCCGCAAATGTAAGTTTACTCTCACGGTCGTATATCACCTTCCATGTATTCCGTCGAATCATTTGAGTGCTATGGGTGCGTATGCGTACATATATACTGACACGAATAATACATATCAATCCTTTGCAGATCCACCGCCTGTATAGCATCTAGTTCAAGGTATATAAATCCTTGAATACCCCTCGACTGTCCTCCTGCAACATGGGCATGAGTGTTTCGGCGCACTTGCCCTGGATGCAAGGTTCTCCCTGCATCCGTCGCATAGTGCGAGGCAACGACATGGCCAGCAGATGATATCGCGCGGCGCGATTGTGCAGACCACGCAATTACGCCGGGATTCGTCGTCCTCTACGTTGCTAGCCATCTCTCGCTCCCGTTTCGTCAGCGCGCGGCGTTCGAGCACGAATCGACCCAAATCGTCGGAGGGTCCATCGGACAATATCGTGTGGTGGGTCGCATGCGTGATCAGTTTCGTGTATCGTCGGCGAGTGAGCGGGGAACCGGAGGACGTCATATGCGCGAGCAGAACTGGAGCGCTGCTGCCGCCCGAGGTTTCCAAGGAACGACTTGGGGTGCCGGCGCGAAGATGGTCAGCGTACAGATTGACTGCCTCCGTTGCTTCTTCCAGCTCCTCATCATCGTCCTCCGTGTCATAGGAGGTCGATTCCGCATCTGAAGTGGCCTCGGAGAATGCCGCAGGACTGTACTCGCCACCTTCCTCGTCATCGCTGACTTCCTCGCCCCTGAGGAATCGCGCATATGTATGCGCTTCCTTGTCGTCGTCCTCTCTATCAAAATCTTCTCCTTCTGCGGTTTCGTCCGCAAGGCCCGCGTTCGTGTCGTCCTCTCTGGATGATACCCTCCGCCCCCTTATCCACGCCCACAGGAACTCCGTCCATCCCCGCGCAACCATCCAACTAACAATACAAAACTTGAGGAAGGCCTCGTACCATGCGCTGTCCCACACAGCCCCATCGTAGCCAGCGGGTTTAATATGTTTGATCTCGTTGTGGAATCCCTTCACAATCCTCTTCCTCCTGCCTTTCATCACTTTCATGGGAACTGGCCCGATACCGCTCCCGGTCAACTCTAACGCGTCTTCGTCTCCCCTCCGGAAAGCGTCCTGGGCGGCTGGGTCAATCATACCAAGAAGCGACAGTGCTGAACGCGAGGCGACGACGCCGCCAACTTCGTTTCCTAGTCCAGCCAAGGCGCTCGCCTCCAAGCATCCGGTCCCGATCCGTAAAATGGCGACCGCAAAATCTTCGTCCATGCTAAGACGCATGCCTTCGCCAAAGATACCTCTTGAGCCTGTCCACTCGACCTTCCCCTTCGTCAATATCTGAGTGATGATGTTGAGGCCGAGGGTTAGGAAGGTGATGACCAGAAGAGAAGATTCGAGAAGCGCCGGGACATAGGACAGCATCGGATAGGACGATGGTGCGCGGGAGAAGAGAGTAAGGTAGAAGAAGTGGGTGAGGGTAAGGACGGCGATGAACGCCGTAGGTAAGAGCCGCTGGTGCGACCAGCGGAGGCGGACACCCATGACGTGCAGAATCCAAAGCTGAGAATAATAATCAGTATAATGTTTTGACTGCTCGTAGAGAACACACCTGCAGAATGGGGAGTAGAAGCGTGACTACGACATGCTTGTCTGGCCTGGAAAACGCGGCCTCCGCGGTTTTGATATGCGTCAGGGGGGAAGAATAGACATGCAACATGAACGAGTAACCAAACTGTGTACGTCTTTCAATCAGACGTGCTCTCCCGCCGGCTATCAGGAACGCCTACCAGATTGAACGGTGCCGTATTACCATCGTTGGCCGTCCTCCCTTCCAGCCCCCGCGTCAATGCTCCGATACACAGAGCACCACATACAGAGCCGAAAGTGGTCCAGCAGACGCTTGCAGTGTCCTTCTTCGCTACCCATTCTCCAATTCTTGCAATAAGTCCATGATCCCAAGCAGGGTAGAGATCTGCTGTTTGCAACAGTATCACTACCCAAATGAAGACAGCCTTCGAGAGGAAAATGAGCGAGGGTATCCGGAGGATCAAGCGCGTGCGTGTACGCGTGAGGTCAAGAGGGAATAGCATATGCCATGCGCCCCTCAACGGAGCTGTCCAAGTGCGCGGACGCGGGTCAAGCCGGCCACGGTGTCGATCATACGTCGGTGGTTGAGGAGGCGGGACGACTAAATGTTGTATACGATTGATCAAGAGAGCCTGGATGCATGGCGCTCATTGACATTTTGATCATAATACATGAGCATGCACAAGGAGACTCACCATAGCGAACAGTCCGATAGCGTACCACGAAGTGAGAAATCCCCATGGGCCGGGCATGAGTTGTGGATTCGGTCGCGCGTACGCGGGGGAAATATTAGCATCCTGGTCGCTCATGGACATATTGGCCGCAGCTTCGAGGGAGGCAGTGTACAAGGCTGCCTGACGCTCCGCTTCCTGCGAGGATACAGAATAGTGAGATTGACTAGAAACCACCGGTATGACTACTATAAGGTATAATGTAGCCTACCTGGTTCAGCAGTTCATCCATCATGCGCATGCGGGCGAGCAACCGCGATGGGTAGCCCAAGACGGAGCTCATCGCGTTGTAAGTCAAGTTGTATACCGTGTTGTTAGAGAATGAGTCCATGATAAAGATGCTCGATTATATTGTTGAACTATGATGCGTCAATGAGCAGAACGGCAAGTAAGAGATGATGTCGATGTCATGGCGGGATGGAAGCGAGGCTTCGTTCTCCGTCTGCCACGCCAATGCTGTCGTTTCTACGGGCGCGATGTCTCCGACGCTGCACAAACCCTCATAAAATAGATTGCCGTGCACTCTCGTCGGCATCATTGGATCCCACAGTACGCACCTACGCAAATGAGCTGGCCAAGACGCAGCCGTGTTTCCCGATGCTGGCCCGGCAGGTCAATGTGCTATCCCGGCCAGACCAGTTCCACGCACGTCTGTTAGTGAGTATACCAGACATATATGCACAAATTGTGTACTCATTTGTGACGTGGTCGTAGGACATGATACGGCGTGCGAGACGGCGCATATTCCTCTCGTCATTGTACATCGGCGAAAACGAACATGAATTGGTGCGCTTATGTTTGTCTGCATCTGCATCCCTAATGAATTCGTGTGGTGCGCATAGGTCTCTACGCTTCATGAAGCCCTTGCGAACAACCCGACGCTCCGCCTTTCGCTCACCCTCGACCTTCACCGCTCGACTCGCCCAGGGCCAACCTCCACCGCCTCTCTTCTCCTGCCTCTGCTGCAAAGTTTTCCGGCTCGGACCGAAGTTCGCCTATTTCGAAGTCCAAAGCTCAAAGGTCTAATGGCGAAGGTTGTTCCACCACGGTTCAACGAAGGGTGGGGAACCTGGCATGCGAAAGTGTACGGAGCAGACGATGAAGTAATGATCAGTGGGTGCGTTGGTGCGTTGCCACTATAACTCGCTTTTTGAATTCTCATCAACTCCTCATCGCCTCAGAGCTAACCTGAACAAATCATATTTTGTCAACCGACAAGATCGCTATGTGTGCTTCACCGGCCATCCTGCATTTGCAGACTATTGTGAAGCTTTCCTCGATGCCGCCTCCTCGTTCTCCTACCGCCTTCTTCCGTGCAGTCTTAGGTCGTCGGCCAAGACCTCTACTGAACGAGATGCATCGGAGGCTGCCGATGAAGACGCAACAGCCGAAGGCTACAGGGTGGTGTGGCCGTACCCCGACGCCCATCCGCATCATATTGAAGCAAAGGCTAAATCAACTTTGTCTGCATTGCAGGCAGCACACTTGTCTTCTGAACCGTTGCAAGATTCCGCTGGCGAAGATGATGTCCTCATTTTTCCGGTGATACAAGCTGGCCAGTTTAATATTCGAGAGGAAGAACGTGCACTGTCCCTCCTCTTCCGATACGTCAACGAGTATTCGTGCTCTCAGGCGCCATCTCGGACAGGAAGGGAAACTGGACTGCCCGTAATGCATCTTACATCCGGATATTTCAACCTTCACGAACCGTACCAATCTCTCCTTTTGAATTCTGAAGTGCCGTGTACGATTATTGCCGCTGCACCCAAGGTAGTTATTCATTCACTTCTCTCGGATCGCCTCAATGACACGTCCTTCCCTCGTACAGGCGAACGGATTCTTCGGCTCCTCCGGCGTATCTGGGCGTATACCTGAAGGTTATACCATCCTCGAAAGGCGTTTCATGCGCGCCGTTCGTGAAGCGCGTAGAGACGAAGCCGATGGGATCAAGTTCAAAGAATGGGAACGAGATGGTTGGACGTATCACGCGAAAGGTAAAACAATGCCTCTGTTCTGGCTTATAGCCTCACGAGCTTTCCGTGTTAATCACCGGTATTCCTTGTCAGGTATTTGGTTATCGCCGCCTTCGTCAGCCGACTGGAGCACTCCAGCTCAAGGACCAATCATGACTCTCATCGGTTCCACAAACCTCTCCTCGCGTTCTGCGAATCTGGACACAGAACTGTCCTTCGTTTTGCTAACGTGCTCACCTTCTCTTCGGGCGCAGTTACAGAGAGAAGTCAATGGATTGCAGGGCAGCCTCGCTGCAGGAGATCGTGTCCCCACAACATCAGAGTCAAACCAGACATGGACGAGAGACTGGAGAGGCGAGGATGAAAGCCTGCCGGGAAGGAAGGTCAGGCTGGGGACGAGGGTGCTGGTTAGCATGATGGGAAGGATGTTGTGAATCAACCCGTCCTAACGATGCGCGCATGCCATTACCATTCTCATAATCGCATAATAGACATCACTCGTTGATACGGCACTGCTTAATAACTTATCCTATCTTCCGTCAAGTAAGCTACCGTGCAGGAGGTCTTCACACTAGATCGAGAATCGAGCAGCCACCGCCATAAGCATCGAGAATAGTCTCTCTGAGAGAGTAGCGTGCATTCGGAGGAAGCTCGGGAGGCGCGCATCCCATTGCGGTCTGTAGAAACGTCGCATATGCGTTGTGCTGTGACCCTTTCAAGATTCATTTAGTCCTGGCTCATCAGGAAAAAAAACTCGAACGTTAACGCCACGTACCGACGAGACCGGCGCATGTCCGTTCATAGACACTACCTTCACATGGGTGAACGCGTAGGGTGGAGTGTATCTGTGGAGTTGAGCTGGTATTGATTTGTTCCAAGACATCGGAGAAAGCGCGCGGACCGACGAGGGAAGTAGCGTAGAGAGATACGCACAACACCCCAAGTGGCTCGGGGAGCAAGCCGAGCGCTCTTCATTCTGGTATCGAACCCCTCGGTGGACATATGCATGGAAGGGCGTCACTATTCCACCGACAGGCCGCGTGGTGGATCGTGGGGTAAGCGGTCCATGCGGAGGAGCCGGCCACCTTTGAAACGGCAGAACGCGAGGCAGGGCGTTGGGAGCCACGGACCGAGGTCGTTCATTGAGTTCGTGGGTGAAGGGCTGTTGCCTCACGCATGGTGTGTCCCAGTTGGAGAAAGATAGGGAGACAGAAGGCGAAGTCCCTCCAAGATTGCCGGATGGCACGTTTCACTCGAAGACTACCAAAAACACTGCACAGGCGTAGAATCCACACTCGGCCGCGGGCAAATGCGAACCTATTCTTCGATTCCGTCTGGAAAAAACGACTTCAGCCAAACGGTCGATGATTCTCTGTATCTGGCACATACCAGACAATGCCAACAGTTTCCGACAGAACTTCCTTCACGAGTGAGAAAACACGACTTTATCACAAGCATCCTATGACATTGTTGTTCCTTACATGCTTTGGGTGACTTCAAGGCGATACACGATGAGCGCGATGGGATAACTTCACGTGTCAATGGAACGCATCTGCATTCCGTATTCCTAGAGCAAGCCTTGAGTCAAAAGAGACGCTGCGAGTTGTGGAGAAGTAGCCGCCTTCCGGATACGCAGGGTTTACCATGTCGGATGTAGATCGGAGGAGACGAGCTGTCGAGGCTAGGTAGCGAGGAGATTATTATGATGGTTGCTCCACCGCGCCTCTGGAAAGGCAACGTGGTATCGCCACGGGAGGGCGAACTGTGGTCGATGAGCAAGTACTACAACCCCAAGGGATCGAGTGGATCCTCTCCGAGCCATCCCGAGTGTCAAGGATATGAGGCCCCAAACCCCCTGTGTACCACCTGCCTTTGCACTTGAATTCTTCTTCCACAATACAATGCAGGGTCCGGTAGCTTGGTAGCCTGATCCCACGGCTGCGTTCGCTCCAATGCGTCGGACTGTCGCTTCCTGAGAGTGAGCATGGCCATCATGACCAACAAGGTGGAGCGGCAATTGAGCGGATCCAGGGATGTGCGGCCCTCGATCTAGAGGGCCTATAGCGAGGGCGTTGTATCAGTCGCTACTCAAGCCACCGTTTGTCGTTGTCAGAGCAGAATGGGATTAAACAGTATGACTTAGGCGGCACGAAAGGCGCATGATGCAACAGTTCCCGAGTTTCCCCCAGAAGTCATCGGATGGCTTTATATTCAGACGACCTTGGATAAATAGCGAGTATATGGAGGGCATCATTCGTCTTCCCAGGTATAGGGCAACGGAGCATAGACATGCAACAGAGGGCCCGATACTGTGGGCGGCATTTTCACACTTGTCACAGTTCTAGGTCTATTTTCTCAGCGGCCTCACCTTCACATTCAAGGCAGGTGGAATGAATACTTTCGACTGTTAGTCATGATGCGGGGCAACTAGGTAACATAAGCCGTAACGCGTACGCACCGAGATGTTGCGTGGGTTGCAGACGCCTCGATCAAACCACCTCGTGGCAGTGTCCAATCATGAATGTAAATGGGAGACTTGTTGCGCCCATCACCTCTGTGTCCGGCGAGATTGTCCATGTCGTGTTGATTTGGAGTGTGGTTACTCCGTGAAGAATAGTGTTCGAACTACTTCCTGAATGCATCCTCGTAGCTCCGCGGATCTGAGTGTCAAGATCAGCTCGATAGTAAAAATACGGTCAGAAAACGTGGCGAGCGTGCAGAGGAAACGATCCGAACCTTCCTCACGATGTATTCGTGACAAGCATAGCCTGCGCCGAATATGGCTTCGGCAGAGCGAACGTGAAAGTATCGGGCACTTGCCTTTCTTGGGAAGTGGCCTGTTGCATAAGGTACCTCTTCCTTCTCGCGGCTCGCCCATTTCTTGGTTTGCTCAGTGTGCCTTTAAAGCTGCGAGTTTGTCTTGAGGGGTGCGGTACGCGGGATCAATGAGATCTACCTCGCGAGTCGTGATCTGCGATCGTCGACAATCGCGGAAGCATTTTGAGCGAACGACGCCTTATGAAGACGAAAGCAAGAAGGTACCACTGGTCAAGCGGCCAATGATAGTGTCGGTGCCGTAGGAGTACATCCATGGACTGGGACCACGAACCCGTGTGGGATCGTTCAGGACGAACCAAGCTCGAAGCTCGACTCGACGCAAATTGACTCTGTAGGCCGGAAGATTTCGATCAGGCGCGAAACAGGCCGAGGCGATTATTACTGCCGCGTCTGAGGGCGGCGCACACGCGATGTCCCTGTTCATGGCCTTGAAAGTAGAGATAGGGACACAGTAGATGACCGACGGGAAATCCAGACCGATGACAGGCTTTCGAAAGGGTTAGATAGACGTCCATCACCGCCAAATCGAGGTTGACTGCGACGATCGTGCGAGAGCATGTTGCAAAACCTAGCTCAGCGGTCAAATCCCGCATGCTTGCGCAGGGATCCATTTTCCGGAGGGATCTCCGGGACAACATGTCATGTCTGAGAGAGCCCAACGATCCTAGATCCGGGTCCTTCAGCCAAAGATAGGTCGGGATCTGAGCTGAACAAGAAGGAGAAGATGATCAGCAGCTCGCAGAATAATGATTGCTAGATTGAATCGATGGGTAAGTAACGAGTGGCGTAGTACGCACGCATGGCCCTCAGAGGCCCCCGAAGGACGCTAACGAGCTGAGTGGCGCCTTCGCGACGCAGCTCAACTAGCGCCTCTCGCCGCACATGCCGGATGTATTAGATCGCTGCCTTGTGTATGCCCAGAAGCAAGGAGAGCACATGTGCAATCGCTTGAGCGCCTTCATCGGGGATTCGGGGTCTGCGGTGCCTCACGTCAGCTCCACCAAGATCAGTCGTTCGTGCCGATGCCGCATCCGAAATCTTCCATTATATGGACGGCGATGGCCCGCGTAGTCTCGATTGCATCTATTCTCGATCGGAGGGTCCCTCCGGTACAGGGCTATCACCATTGTTCGGAGAAACATCGTGGGCTGAACGTTGCCCACTTTTCTGCCCCTTCGTATGGATTGGCGGAGCCTGATCCACGTACACAGATTTCCGAGAGTCGAGTGTGAAGGTAACAGGTCCCTAAATGGATGCGGGTTCAGTCCGAGTGTGGGTGCCGCAAACTGATGAACCGTGCCTCGTTCGTTAGGGAGACATTCATCATAGCACCGAACCTTCCATCTAGAACATAAAGGCGCTCTTTAGTATCGTCCCCAATATCGTAATAGAGCTCAAAGACCTGCCTTTGATCTTCTCGGGACGGTAGAGTTGGGCCATGCGCTCGAGGAAGGACGCGTACAGCTTTCGGGAAGGTTCGGTGCTCCTGGGACACAGCGGATCGCGTCAGATGGCATGGCCGCAGAATGGACGCATGTGCAGTGGAGTGGGCCTACATGGCTCTATGGAAGTCCGGCTTGTTTCCCTTGGAGCAATTTGCCATCAATGTGAATTGAGACACGCATAGCACGTCGGCATCAAGATCTTTCACGCTTGCTTTCCACATGCTGCCAGAAGCATTGTCGAAGACCCTCAATGACAGTCTAGCCAAGGAGCCTGGGATGAGCAACCCAAACGTTGTAACGAGCGGGCGGTCAATACATTTTCTTGCACAGAGTTTCGACGTCGGTAGTCGTGTCATCTATTCTATCGGATCACTTGAATAACCCGACGCTCCCGAAACAGGTAATGAAGTCGTGCACTGACCTGTCCCTATGCCCACCAACACGACGAGTCCCCGAGAAATGGCGGAGACAACCTCATTGTCCACCGTGACTGAAGCCGATGTAACACGCTGGATGACTGCGCGCATTTCTTTGTATGTCTACGAGTTCAGTAAGTCCGGACAGCTGTACCACAAACACGATGTGGTTCGCGACGAGTTGGTCGATGTGTTCAGGCAGAGTACAGGTGCATATGCAAAAGCGCAGTCGGCGAAGGAAGCAAGCCGCTCGCGTTCTCTCACTCACTTCCCCTAATCGGTGTTCAGTTGCCCAACGTCCCGTCTCTTCTTTCCCAAGTACCGTCATCGACTGCCTCATTGCTGTTGTCTTAACAACTGCTTACCACCGAGGGAGACTACTTTCGATATGGGCGACTCGGTAGTTCTGGAAACCAGCTTGGGGGAGATCCAACTCGAGTTGTACTGGGACCACGCGTGCGCCGTGACTGCTCTGTCTATTCCACTAGCACCCCTTGCTGACGCGGCTGATCGTAGTCCACAAACCTGCAAAAACTTTGCGGAGCTCGCAAGAAAGGGCTATTACAACGGCGTGATATTTCATCGAATCATCGCAGTTCGTGAACATGTGTATACGGCCACGGCTATTCACCGACCACCCTTCGCAGGATTTTATGGTTCAAGGAGGCGATCCGACCGGAACAGGTGCGTCAGACGTCGTAAACACTCGCAATCCATCGCTGAAATCCATCGGTATGTGGTCAGGTCGAGGCGGCACCAGTATCTACGGCCAGAAGTTGTGCGTCCATGAGGCCATGCGGATTCATGAGAACGTACTCAGAGATATCCTCTTCTATCAACAGCCAGGATGAGATAAGCCCTGTATGAGATTGCTATTTTTCCCGATCGTCAGGGATCTCATGCTATTCCCAAGGAACTGAGGTTCACTGGGGCAGGGATCCTGGCTATGGCCAACTCTGGGCCGAACACAAACGGTAATGGCACATGCGGCTGGTGACGTGGATCTGATCTCTTCTTGTCGTCACAGGTTCCCAGTTCTTTCTGACCTTGGCGCCCACACCGTTCCTGGACAACAAGCACACAATATTCGGTCGCGTCAGCTCCGGAATGCGAGTATTGCAACGATTAGGTTCAGTGGCAACCGACACGCAAGATCGGTCAGCATTCCCTCATCCTGTCGAGAAATGTGCGCTCAGATGCTTCTAGACCTAAAGAAGACGTCAAGATTCACAGAGCCCGTGTCGTGTCTCCGAACTAGGTGCCTACTACGGTCTGCCACTGCTTGTTATCGGTGTGCACTCGCCGTCCCAGATCACATCAGCCTTGAGGATCCTTGCAACCCTTGATACAATCAAAGAAACCTTGTCCATTCTTCAGAGGGAAATTCCCTACAATCTGCCGTCGGAGGAACGAGCGCGCGATGCGAAGCACGCGCGCCCGAGGCAGTCGGGGAATTATCGAATTCTTCGACACTTGCTCCGAACGCACTCGCGGCCCCGATCAATTGCGGTGCATATTCACACCGAATTGGACATATTCGCCGCAACGTATCCATCCTATTCAGATACTTTGGCGATATCTGTCCGCGCCTTCTGATCGACCGTGTATAGCTGCCTTTCTGTAAACAAAAATCTCGCCGACTGGCAGTCTCTCGGTGTTTGACCTGTCTGCCTTCGAATGCCTAAGGCAGGAGGAAACTTGTAGGATACTATCGAACGAACGACCTTCCCTCGTGCATGATGAACTGCATGGATCAGGGCTCATGCCCTCACTGCTCATGTGAGACATGGTCTTCGCTGCGTCGGTCTGTCGTGAGCATAAATCTGTTGTCCACTCATAGGCGCTTCTTCTGGTTCCTTAAATCTCCATTGGTGCGCTGATACACTAACGTCGTCGATGCGTAGGAATAAGCTGCCAATAATTCGTTGGGAAATGATCCTCACATTCTGTAGGAGATCTCATGATTCACATCAGGGTTTAACCTTTAGATTATCAAGAATCATCACGATTCACGACCAGTTTTTTCACCGACGAAACACCGCGGACGCTACGGTCAATGATTTTTGATTTTTTTCAAAGATTCGGCGCCGGACGTTGAGCCGCTTTTACAATAGACTTAGTCTTGGCTACAACGGGCACCGAAGGGTAATCAACCAACACGTCCTACCGGAACTATGGCTTTCGATATGCATAGCAAGATACGCTTCGCCGACGTCGAGAAATGCTGGCAGGTCATGGTATACCACTTATTCACGCTCTAATATACAAATTTGACATGAACCCACCCCGACAGCCCTCTCAGGATCTTATGTTTGGGTTCTTTTTCCATGACCGCGGCGCAGCATGAACCCGGCCCTCTCGCAGTGGAGGAATTATCGTTCCCATTCACAAGTTTGGTGACGAATTTTCATCGGCGGATCACATTCTTCTGCATCATCTCACAAGCACAGGAGCAGCAGCAGCAGCATAGAAGCATCCTATGCCCGGAGCCAGCCGTTAAAGTTCCTCGGGGGCACTAACCTTGGTCCTTGTGAGTCTGACTTTGCATGCACACTCACGCGAGAATTTCCCGCAGAACAATTCATATCGAAGCGTTGCAGAACGCCTTGCCATGCTCATGCTGTTGCTGGGAGCTGCTTGGGATACGTGACCTCGGAAGACAACGCACCTGACAGAGGCGGCGGGGAATGGATTCTCTGTGAGGCATAGGCATGGGAACACTGCGAGTAGGGCCCACAGTCGATCGTAAAGCACGTTAGTGATCATGATATAGACGATATCATTCAGCTGGCACGCGGCCGATTTAGATAACAAGTACAGAAAACATCCAAGATACACAGTCAGGGCACCCCCACGTTAAGGACAGTATATACGAGCTCGACTCTGAAATGAATAGAGGGAAATGTCATCGCGAATACAATCGGAATTGACAGCGAACATAGCAATGTCACGAATACCCTAGGACTACCGTCTACGCACGGCAGCCGCTCTCGTCCTGGGTCGTGTCGGTGTTTGGTCGTTGTGAGGCAGCGGTGGGGCACTGGTAGATGAAGGCGGACGAGTTCTTGGACCCGTGGAAGGCTCCTTCCGCATTACGCGGCCACCGCGCGGGCTAGGAGATGACGTCGACCCTTCAGTGTCCATTGGCTCCCGAGCCTCTTCGTCATCTGAGTCCCCTTCGCCGGCGTCTCGTCCCAGTTCTTCGTCCACCTCCGGTTCTGAGGTTACGGCGGCGTCCATGTCCTGGTCCATGGCATCGGTATCGCCATGTTCATCTTCTTCCACGTCGGTGTCCTCGTCATAAAGGCCGCCGGCCGGCTCCCCCACCCAGTCATCGTCATCGTGTTCGTTGCCGAAGTCCCAAACGTCCAGCACAGTTTGATCGTTACGATTGCTCGCGGCAACGCACCAACGTCCCTCGAAGACGACTTGCCAGACTCCGATGATCCCTGTGAGCAAATCACGGATGGGGGTGCCATCCCGGATGTCCCACATTTTGAGGGTACCATCCGAGCCGCTGAGGACCTTGAATTCGTCATGCTGGAAGCATGTGATGGCTCCCGTGTGACCCGCTAACGTATGGCGCAGCTCGCCCGACTCGGGATCCCATATGCGTAGCGTTGAGTCGGCGGCGGCGGAAACGAGGTAGGAGGGAGAGAGTCCGAGAAGACCGACCAAAGAGGTATGTCCCGTTAAGGTGTGTTGGCATGTTCCGTTCTGCAAGTTCCAGATGCGGACAGTTCCATCCATGGACCCTGAGCACGCTTGATCACGGGTGGGGTCAAGAACCACGCTGTAAACTACAAGCGGACATGAGACTCGGAGGCTATTGTGGCGAGATAGATGACACTCACCCTTCTGACTATGACCCGCAAGAACCCAGGTGCATTTGCCGGTTATGATGTCCCATACCCGCACCATGCAATCGTAACTTCCTGACACGAGCGTCCGTCCTCGAGCTGCGAGGGCTCGCACAGCGTGCTCATGTCCTTCTAGATGTAGTTTGTGATACGGGTTGTCGTCGACCTCATCCTGATCAAATGACTTGTGAGCGCAGAGTCCATCAAGAAGATTGATCACTCACGTCCGCAGGATCTGCTTCTGCATCGTCTGCGCCGTAGCACCTATACTCAGGATCACCAGGCTTGGGCAAAGACCAAACTCTCAGAGAATGATCCCGACTACCAGTGACAATGAGGGGACGCTTGGGCCATTTCTCTCGGACTCCGCCTTCCATATCGATCATCTCGGGCTTCACAATGGCCAGGCAACGAACCGTGCTTGTATGACCGCCAAAGACATGCGTGCAGCGACCAGTGGATAGATCCCAAATGCGAACCGTGCGGTCAGTCGAACCACTGACGAGCGTATCCTTCGTTGCGGCCAACGCCCATACGCCGCCTTCATGTCCGTCCAATGACCGTATGAGTTCACCGGTGACGGGGGAGTAAACGTGGATGGAGTGATCATCTGACGCGGAGATTATTCGACCGTGCGAGAAGATCAGGCATGTCACCACGGAAACCCCATGTGCGGGGAAGGTTATGTGCTTAGGATTGTGGTTCTGGATCCAGCGGGTACGCGTCAAGTGGCGGGATTTGAACAGCATCTTGAAGGGATGAGGGAGTGGGAGAGAGTTGGGCGTGGGAAGCTGTTGGCGACGACGACGCGCCCAGATGGCCTGCGCAAACGCACGCTCGGAATCGCCTCCAAACCAGATCTTTGTACTCTGCAGGAGATCGCGCCACAGAACAGGATCCGAATCGATGATCGCACGCCAAGTCTTCGATACGCGCGAGGCGCGCGCTAGAGTGGAGAATGGAAGAAAACTAAGAATATGTGAGACGAGTTCCGGAGGTAATAACGTCAAGAAGTCCCGTGCCAACGTCGGAGTAAGCACGCCGTGGAGGGTCCGCAATACGGGGAGAGGTGAGTGTCGCAGGAGAGTAAGAAGGAAGTGAGACTGTAGGTTGGGCGGAAGTGCAGAAAAGTGCGATACGAGGGATGGAAGGGCGAGAAGCGTCGTGAGCGCTAGATCGGGCTGGACTGGAGGCTGCGACTGGGTCTGCGGTTGTGCCTGCGGTTGCGGTGACGACGCTCCGCTGGGAGGCGCAGACGGCCACACGTTCTGGGGCGACGGAGATCCACGAGGTGATGGCAGCGGGGAAGGCGGTGCGGCTCCGCTCACGGTCGATATGGGAGGTAACTGTGCGGCGCGTGCTTTCTTGCGCGGCGGTTGAGGACTATACGCGCCAAAATCTGTCGTGGCCTCCACGCCCTCCATCATGTTTTCTGCGGCGAAGGTTCGCTTTCGGCCAAATCGCTCGACGGCTTCTGCAAGGTCAACGACCTTGTCGGAGTCAGATACTTCATCGCGCCGCAGCATGCGCCAGTGGGCGCCGCCGACTTCCTCTTCCTCCTCGTTGACTGATTCGTCGTCATCGCCGCCATCGCGAAATGTGGCGCGCGTCCCGTTCGGAAACACGAGCGGAAAACGCCGCAGGGACTTCGGGAGTTCCGCGTTGAGTAGTGGGTATGTCTTTGGGTCCTTTGGCGATGAAGGTGGCGGCAAAGGCGGTAATGTTATAGGCGCGTAGGTGGTTGTTGTAGTCGTCGTAGTCACGACTGTTGTCGTATTTACGGAGGGCGCGAGATACAGAGAAGGTTTATGAGGCATCCCGGCGAGCCGTTGGACGTTGTGGGGATGTTGAGGGAGATGGAGGAGGGGAGGTTGCAAGTGGCAGCGGCGAGGGTGAACGGTGACGACCTCGGGGCACCAGCTCGACAGAGCACCCCGTGACCTGCTGGGTCACGCCCTTCAGCCGCGGGCCACGGCGGGCCACCCAGCTCGCCATTTCCGTCGTCCTGCAGACGACAGCCTTGTTTTTCTCTTGTGTTCTTTGTATTCTCCAGCGGGGCGTGTTGCGGGCGCTTTGACAAGGGCGGGATGTCTTCTGCTATCACGCATGTTCCGGTGCGAGCCATTACGCGATGGCCTATCGTAAACGTGGGGACCGCATGCCGACAACAGTCCCGACGCCTTGATCTACGATTGTGCAACCAAGGCAGCGCTGCTGGAGATGGAGCGCTTTTGATATCATTTTACTCGCCATTCTCAGAGATCTAAGCGATGTATCTCACTCATTCACGCAGTTATACCTGTTGGTGAAAAGGAGTACACGCGCAGCTGCCGCAACGCCAAGATCGCATGCTGCAGTAAGCAATTTGGACAGCTCTCACTACTCTCATCTCCTGGTGCCTGCGCTCGTGTGCACGTTCTCTGCGCAGGTTGCAGGCAAAGCACAGCATCCCGACCCTCACGTTCCTTTCCGGCGGAGAATGTCGTCGGCCTGCGACGCTGTGCGCCCCTCCATCTCCTTCCTTCCATTCACGATCGCGCCCCCTTGATTGCAATCGGCACGGAGGACCCGCAATCCTTGCCGTTTTCGGGCTTTACTCCGAGCAATGATGACCCATCGACATTCACACTCCCGTCACGATAGCGATTGAATTTGCAGAACACAAAAGACCGACCATACCACTTTCGTTGCCTGCTTGACACTCACCCCTTGGGACAAACGACGCTAAATCCCATGATGATGCGTGCCATAACCTGGCGGATGACTCTGCGGAATCCGTGCCTCTGGCGATACGGCATGGGAAATATCTCACAACACATCCCTGGGCCTTCGATCCCTCAATATTGGCCGGCACGACGGCGTCAATAGCACATAGAATCACGAGTCATTCGTGTTCCACAATCTCTATGGGGCCAGTACAGGAACGCTCCGACGAGTAATGCATTTTGCATCCGCCCTCATCGAACGTGGCAGGAAAGGCCCCGATCGGCGTGCCAGAAGCTTCCGAGGACGGGAGAAACGCTCGACGGAAGGTGGCTGCACAGCCCCCTATTCATTCAACTTAACGTATAGGCTACTTCATTCGGAGCTTCAAGCATCCACGTCTCTATACTTGCCGATGAAGGACGGCGTCGGTGCGACCACCCTCGGTCACGTTGCAACCGTGTTCAACGATAGCTCTCTTGAGGATGCATTGTCCCATCGTTCAGGGCATTGAAGAGGGCGTGGAATCTGCTCTCAACGTTCAACCCGCGGGGGCCGGACGGCAGAATCAGCACCGACGCTACGACCATTTCTGGCGGTGTCCACTTGAGCAGCGAGCAGAAAAAGCTGCCATATGCTGGTTCATTGACCGGTCTCGAACAATGCTACCGTGAGCATGCCGTTGATGCTGTGCAGCTGACCTGTGTACGCGAAGCTGCATCGTTGACCCGACTCTGTCGGATGGTGGGCGTGAAAGCGCTTTGCTCTCGGTCGCAACTGAAACGCCACTCCGGATCACATCTGCGGCTTCTCGAATTAGACTACCTCGCAGTTTTTCCTCGGCACGGGCGCAGCAGATCTGGAGGATTTTCTGCTAACCGCTAGATCGTTATTGTGGCGGCACCGGCGCAGATGCAGACTACAGCTCTCCAAGTGGGTTCCACCTTAACGCATATGGAACTGCCACGCGGAAAAACGTGGCGGCTTGATTAAACACGTTCACCCGTGCGTAGCAGCATACATCGCCTGGGCCTGTATCGGGTCCCAATTGAAACGCCCGCCGGGAGTTACGTCCCCTACAAGGCAAGGCCAGTTGGCCTGGTCACCCCGAGACCCGCCCCATAAAATTTCCGTGGCGCCGTCGCGACGACAGCTGAAGGGGCAGCGCTCGCGCACACGAAAGACACATTTCGCACGCGTCATTGAAAGCACGCTGCCATCGCGTTCGTTCGTTGCGACGAAAACATTGTTTCCAAGGTCCCGGACCGCCCGCAATCTGGAACGGGATCTGCGCCTGCGTCACTCCGCGCGCATCGCAGCCCCATCCGTACCCGGCGCAGTGGGGGGGGGAGGCGCACCCGCTACGGCGTTTCGGGTCTCACTCGGTTGCGTTGTCCTTGCCAAAGCGCCGGTTGATGACCTCGTCTGTGACGGTGCGGGAGGCGCATCCCAGCGATAAGGAAGGGCGTCTCAAGCCTGTCGACGTGCATTGATTAACGATGCTCAACGTGCCGCTATTGTGCCTTTTCTCCTGTCAATTAGCCGATCGAAGAAGCTTCCCCGGCGTCGGTGTTGGACAGGGCTCGCACTGCGCTGTGCCGTCCACACCGATTCGGCAATTGTGCGACTGCGCCCCACCCCGACTCGGTAGAGCCCACGTCTTGGGGTGGTGCAACGCGGTGTTTCATCAGCACCGTGGCACACATAGAGTTCAGACGTTCAAGCGTTCAGGCCGTCGGGCATTATCACCGTACCGTGAACGTGACTGCAAAAGGCATCATGCTGATGGCGATGGGCGATACGCTCGAGACTGAAGGATGAGAAAAGGCGAGCTGGCAGCAGTATAGCTCCCACTGGCTTCTCGATAACGATTAGATGAATCGCCGGGGGTGGGACATGAACGACGAAGCGCGAAGCACAGAATAAGATTGGGTAGGTAGAGTTTCGAGGTGGGTCGTACGCGCGCGATCCACATGCTAACGCTACATGGGCCGAGTTATTTTCGGCGGAGGAAACAGGATCCTCCTCGCTCACTCCATAGACGGACCAGCTTCGGACGAAAGACACGCCTGGGATCCGATTCTGCGTGCTCCCATGTCACGAGCGGCATCGCCATGGCACTGTCATCCCGTCGGGCCTCTGCGTATTGCTCACGATCATGAATTATCATTACGCAATTGGGGGAAAAACTCGGGCAGCGTTTCGGTTCGCACCGCGCGCGCCCCGCCTTCTCTCTTGGATCTGCTATCTCCCTGGCGTTCGGAGGGGACGACGCGGAAACTCGGCCCGCCCCATCCCTCAATCGGGGATCTTTGGGTTGCCACCGCCGCCTACAATGTCCCGACGTGATCGAATTCCCCCCCGCCGCCCTGCACTTTGGCCATTTTGCTCGCCCCTGCGGGTTGATGAAGAGACGACGGCGAGGCTTCCACCCACGCGTGGCGGTGTCCCTCCGACCGCCAACGATCCCACGGCCGACGCCATTTCCGAATTCGATGGGAGAGAACCATCAACGCGGAGGAGAGGCACGCACGCAACGATTGCAAACGTTTGTTTTCATGTCCCGATCGTGTCAGCCTCTTCGCGTCACAAGACCCTAGGTCTGCGGCGAAACGGACTCAGAGAGCCGTAATGTGATCACCGCGGTTCTCAGTGCGGGCGTTCTCTTGATACGTTTGTGTGGTCGATGGCTATTGAGGTGGACTGGTACCAGTCCGTCGGGACGGACGAGGGAGCGTCGGCGTTGGATTTCCACGTGCGCGTTCCCAGGCACCGACGAACGAGAGAATGAAGAAGCATGTCCCCCCGCCCCGGCGTCTTCCGGGATTTGATATTGGGTCTCCGGCGACGCGTTAATTGGCCGGGGGTACCTAGGTTGGTGGGACGGGAAGTGGGACTGCTGAGTATAGCGCGGTGGCTGACTTCACTTCATGACAAGGTAATGAGTAACGTTCGAGGCTAACGCTAGACTAATGGCCGTGGGTCGATGGCGTTTGCGAGCGCGAGCTCGATTACGATTTGGGGTATCCGGTCGGGCCTGTCGATAAGTGCGCGTCCCGCTCCCAAGGCCATCGGAGCGTGGTAAGCTCGCCGGGGGATTTATTTGATGGAGACGAGGTACAGAGAGACGACACGCGTCGTCGCAATCGCATCGTTAGATATCGTGTCGGTTCAAACGAGACTGAACGGGTAGCGGCCAATCGCGGGCTGGGGGGGGCAGACTTGAAACCTCGAGAGAACACGACGAAGAAAAAAAGAAGGACGCTCATCGTCCTACCGTGTGTGAGCTGCTCCGATGCGCGGTCCAATCCGGTGCGGCGGGAAGCGCCGGACGCGTGGCTCGAAAGGCCGGCGCGAGGCAGGCGAGCGGCGACAGAAGGCGGGAGGGCACCCAGTGGAGCGGCGAGAGGCTTGGCTTTGTGCACCCGATGTGTGAGCGCGGCGTAAGCAGCTGAGGAGTAGGGAGTGGGTACGGAGCGCACGTACTCGGCTCCGCTCACGAGACGAGGGCGGGCGGGGTTGGGTTATGTGTTGTGGGCCCCTCTCTATCTCTCTCGCGAGCCGAGGGGATTCGAGGCCCGAGTTTGTTACCCATTACATATGGTGCCAGTGGGTATCGCTGCGATATCGGTACCGCAGCTCGTCCCTGCGTTTTGCGTGGATTGTGTTGAACGCACGAGCGCGTTCGTCTCTCCTGCGCCCCTCTCTCTCTGTGTCTGCCCAAGACGGCGGTAAGGTTGGGCGGGGATCTGCGATACCATTTGTTTGGCAGGCCAGGAGAGCGGTATGCCGTCGGTCAGGGTCCCGGCGGAACGGCAATCGTGACGTGCGCGTCTGCGTCGAGGGGCTGGTAGCTGCCGTCGGGCGATGGATGCGAGATGCGATAAACGAGATGTGAAAGACGTTCGGGGTGGGTTGGCGCGTCTCGGTAGGAAGGAAGGGTCGGGTTCGGATTGGACGAGGGGCAAGTTGAGCTGAGCGTGGGCGTGGGCGAGCGGACGATAAGCCGAGCGCGCAGACGAATGGGGCGGCGTGCGAGCGGATGTTGGAAGGGGGGAAGGGTGAGAGCGGTGGCCGGATTGGGCGAGGGAAGAGGGGAGAGGGGAAGCGGAAGGTAGCCACGGGGCGCGTTGGTGATTACCGTCGCGCTGGGTCGCCGGACGAGGCAGCGGTAACGGGGCGTCTGCTCGCGGGTGTTTCCAGGTTTGCCCCTCCGCTGCAGATCGCGTCCACGGGAGTCGCCGGGGGTGTGGTCCATGCGTCTGGCTCGGCTGGAGGGGGGAGCTCGCGTCGTCTGGCTCGCTTCGTTTCGCCATTCGGGGGGGGGAAGAGGAGAGCGCGGAGCTTGGCGCCGTTGTCCGCCGGGGGGGGGGGGCGACGTTACGTTGCGCTCCGACTGGTTCTGCGGTTCTCTAGGCACGAAGACGATGTGCGTGCGTGCAGGTGGGGGAATCGAGCGCGGGTGAACTGTGCGGTTCGCGGCGGGCCCGAGCGCGCATTACGGGGTAATCGCGCTGCCCCGACCGGACTGGGGGAGCGCGTGCGAGGCTGGGCTCGTGTCTGCGTTGGGCGACTGGGAGCGCGCGTCGGACTGGGCCCGATAAGTCGCGTGTACTGGTGCCGACGCCGCGGGGACGGTGTGAAACGGTGCTGTACCCTGACTCAGTGACTGGACGCAGCAGCCGCGCTGGGCGGGCGACAACGGCAGGCGTATTTTCGCGTCGCCGATCGCACAGGCTGATAGGCTTTGGATGACGTACGCTTGATCCTTCCGCCGCGGGAAATCGCTGGTGCGAGTGCGAGCGGTGCAGCCCCGAACGCGGCTGAGACCCTTCTCACCGCCTGCGCCCCCGACGCGCCTATAAGGTCTGAGTGCGTGCCCGCCCATGTCCCGCCTGTATGCGCATATACTGACATGGCCACCCCGCCGCTCTACTACTCGCGCTACTACAGCTCGCCCTCCGAAGGCCCCTCGCCCCTCGCCCCGCTCTCCCCCATCGACCTCACCGACTCCATCCCCCTCGTCCACCCCACCCCCGTCGCCCACCGTCTCGCCCACCACAAAATGGCGCCCCAGCCGATGCCCCCGCCCTCGCCCCACGTGCCCCTCGACCCCGCCCTTGCCCTCTACCCGCCCTACTACCCGTACCAGCAGCAGCAGCAGCAGCAACACGTATCGCCCATCCACCACCACCACCACCACCATCCGCACCAGCAGGTCGTCGCCCTCGCCCCCGTCATCTCCTCGCCGTCATCCCACGGATCGGGCACCCCGCCGCTGGACCCCTCCAACTACATGGGTTCCTACGGCGCCTACAACGCCAACGGCAAGCGCACCGCCTCCCTCATCTCCGTCGGCCAGGACGACGACGACCGCACCAAGCGCCCGCGCCACGACGCCGAAGAGGACGACGCCGACGACGCCTCCGCCGTCGAGAAGCAGGACGAGCCCAAGCCGAAACCGACGCGCGGCTCCCGGGCCTGCACCGTCTGTCGCCGGCTCAAGATGAAGTGCGTCGGCGCCGAACACGGCCCGCCCTGCAAACGCTGCATCGCCGGCAACCACGAGTGTATCTTCGAAGAGTCCAACCGCGGCAAGCGCTCGACCAAGTGCGTGCCGCTGTTTCGTCCTTTTTTTTTTTTTTTTTCCTTCGCCCGATACCTGGCACTGAGACGATCGCCCCCAGGAAGCAAGAGCTGCTCGCGAGATCGCTCCGCAAGATGGAGCGCACGCTCGACACCGTGCTCAGATCCCTCGGCAACCCGAGCATCGCGTCCGGCATGGTCTCCCGATCGCCCTCGCCCTCGGGTCAGACCATCACCACCCAGGCTCTCCTGCGCACCCCGTCGCCGCCTCCTCCTCCAGAACAACAGCCCTCGCGGCCAGCAACCGTCCGTCCTGCGTCGCCCAAGCTGCACTCCCTCCCCGACAATTCGCTCAACCCGCTCGGCTTGCTCGCCGAAGCCAGCCTCGCCAACCGCCGAGCTCAGGCACCCGCTAACGCTGAAACCCGCAAGGTCGGCGTCGCCAGTGAATTTTACTTCAGGCCGGGTGCGCATATATCCTGCTTTACCGATGCCCCGATTATTTTGTTCTGACGGTCAGAACAGGCCCAATGACCATCCTGCCCCTCCGGCGCCTCTACATCGAGCGCCAGGTGCAGCCCGAAATGCTCAGCTTTACCTCGACGGAGGAAGTCGTCCAGCTCTTCGACATGTACGTTTCCTCTCCACTCCTCCTCCTCCGGAACCGAACACCCTGTCTCACTCTAAAAACAGTTATTTCGACCATATGAACGTGAGCGCCGCCCGCTCCCATGCTCCATGTGGGCGAGATCCTGACACGCTCTCACATTAGCTCCAATGCAACCTTCTCGACCGTGCCTTCCACACGCCCTCGCTCGTGTGCTCGCGATCGCCATTTTTGCTCACAACAAGTGCGTGTAATTTCCCCCGATCCCCAACTTTATCTTCCTTTCTTGCCGGGACTAATCTTGGGCCGTCCTCTTCCGCCCTTTTTCCCACCTCCCTTAGTTTGCGCCATCGCTAGCAAGTTCTACCCAGCGCGGCCCGAGTTACATCCTCGGCTCACGGACATGTCGCGAAAGCTCGCGTTCGACGTCCCGGCGCAAGGCTACAAGTCGGTCGAAATCGTGCAGGCCTACCTCCTTCTAGCGCTTTGGGGCTGCGGCCCTGTCGAGCGCTACGAGCAGGACCGCACCTGGCTCCTGCTCGGCATGGCCATCCGCATGGCGACGGACCTCAACCTGCACCGCAAGACGGCCGTCGTCTCCGCGCCGACGGCCGAAGGACGCGCTCGGGACCGGGAGGTTCACAATCGCGAGCGGACCTGGTACCTATGCTTTGCGCTCGACCGCAGCTTCTCCGCCCAGATGGGCAAGCCGCATAGCATCAAGGAGGATTTCATCATCCGCGACTCGGGCCATTGGTGCAACGCGCCGAACGCGATCCCCTCGGACGCCGGGCTCGCCGCCTACGTCCACCTGCAGCGCATCCTCTCCCGCAGCTTGGACCTACTCAGCTCCGGGACGACGACCGCCTCGGGGCTCCAGACGGACTGCGACTACTACCTCGTGATCAAGACGCTCGAGGCGCAGGTCCTCGGCTGGCATCAAGACTGGACGACGCGGCCCGTCGGCGGCGACGCCGGCGAGCTCCAGTTCCAGTACTGGCGCGTCATATCCGAGTTTTACACGAATTACGCGCTGCTCGTCATCAACTCGTTCGGGCTCCAGAACGCGCTCGAGCGCAGCCACATCGACCTCGGCTACTTTTTCGTGCGCTGCCACACGACCGCGAGCAAGTGCGCGACGATCGTGCGCGACGGGCTCGGCCCGCTCGGGTACCTCAAGTATTCCCCCGACTCGCACTTCGTGCAGTGTTCTTACGCCGTGCTGACTTTGCTCAAGGTGAGTCAACTGTCATACGTGTTGCCCCGCTTTTCTCACACGGTTTCGCGGCGTTTACTGATTTCGTGTCTCGATCTGCAGCTCATCCGGCCCGAGTTCCAGCCGTTTATGGAGCACGAGGAGAACACGATCGCGCTCGTGAAGGACGTCGCGGACGTGTTGGAGAGCATCGCCGCGGGGCCGATGCATACGCCGGCGCTGTACGCCACGTTGCTTCGCGCCCTGATCTCCACCAGGACCGAGAACGGTCCACGCCCGGCCCCGGACGCGCAGCAGCCGCAGGCGCAGCACCATCAGAACCAGCACGAGGCGGCGGGCCAGCCGACGCTGGTGGGCAACGTCGCGGGCGGGGAAGACCCGCACGATCTGTCGTCGATGCTCGCGCCGGACCAGTTCGAGAGCGAGATGGGGCCCGTGCAGGACATCTCGACGTTCCCGCCGACGATGGCGCCGTCGTTGCACTCACACGCGAACGACCTGCTCTCGATGGACACCATTCTCTCGAGCGGCTTCTGGGATAGCGTCATCGTGCCGGGTAAGCACACCCTTCCCGCATTCGGTTCTATACGCCGGGTTTTTTGTTTTGTTTTTACTTACTGCTGGAAACGCGCCGACAGGCTACTCCAACACGCTGGACAGCCTCAGCGGCGGCTTCGTGTACGGCGCGGGCGGGAGCGGTTTCATTACGCCGCGGCTCGGCTTCTCGCCCGCGGCGTCGGGCGCGCAGACGCCTGTGCACGCAACCTCCCCAACGTCGGCGCCCGTGCACGAGGGCCTGCATAACATCAACGCCGCCCTGGCCGCATCAACAGAGTCTAGAGGTGGCGAGGACGAGGCTGCTGCCGTGGCGGCGGCGGCGGCGGCGGCGCCCGAAGACGGCAAACCTACTCCGAGCTGAACAGCCATACGACTGTGGCCATACATCTCCCGTTTACCCCTCCTCTACTAGTTTATCGTGCTCCATGCTTTTAACGCGGTTTTGTTTCCCTATATGTTTATTGGGTTTTGTTTATGCTGCTGCAGACGACAGACAAACGCATGTACCGATAGCTGGCCGGTTCTTCTCATAGGGATATCCGAGTTCCGTTATACAAGACCTCCGTCATCGTCATTACACCTGTCCCCATTCACCCCCCCCCCCTACAACAACTTTAGCACACGCTGTATCTGGTATACGTATTAGGGTCCGCGCCATTTGTATATGTATATAACCTCGCGCACGATAGATCTATTCTATGAATACCTTCCATACTCTGCGCAGGAACGGGGTTTTAGCCGGCTTAGTTGCCGAGGGACGCGGATTTTTCCAGAATCTAAGCTTCGCTAGCGCGTTAAAATGTATTTGCAGGTGGTAAAAGTTCTTCGCAGAAGGCAAAGATATCCGCGGGGAGCCCCGCCAAAACATTCAGTGCCCACTCCACTCTGCAAATACACTCTGTTGTGTGCAAGGCGACTGTCGTTGCAAGAATAAACGAGCGTAGACACGTACGATGACGTCGAGCGCCAAGTCATCTGATGGTATGGCTCACGGTGCGACGAACGATATTTACCCCAATAATACACCTACTGCGCCGTTATTCGATATTCGTCTCAGCGCATGGCGTGAGTAAAACGCCGGGACCGTCTGGGGAAGCAAAAAAATGAAGTCATGCGCGCCCTCCCTACTTAATGCGGATTGGAACGTTCCTTAAAATGCGGGAGATTAAATTCTCGAGATCAGGGCCGGAGGGAAGGTTAAAATGTGCGAGGGGCGGAACGAACGACCTCTCTGTGTAGAATGCCGGCCCTCCGGCGTGCGGCGTGTCTGACGTGAAGCAAGTGGCTTCGAATTGTTGGCGATGGCAGCAGCGCGGTGGCGAGCTGTGGCGGGGAAGAAGAGTCGACATTCTCGGATACCAAACATAGCTCCGGCAGGTGAGGGAGCAGCGTCGAAGGCGAGTGACTGGCCTCGCTCGATGCGAAAATCACGCCCATCGCGGCCTGTTCCGAGGCCGCCAACGTACGGAGGTGGGGACGGTATGCTCTGGCACGCTGCGGGGAAGGGAGCGGACCAATGGTTGTTGGGCGTAGGCCGATGCGAGAGGTCACCGCGTCTTCGCGTCGTACGAACGTTTTCCCTCGCGGGGTTTCCACAGGCGCTTTCTGCGATGCTCGGGCACACATAGGCGTACTACGCCTCAATGCCGTTCTCACTACGCCTTCGCGATGCTGGCCCTCAAGCTCCGAGGAGTCATCGGCACACAATAGGTCCAGTGGAAAACGCGAGCGGCGTCTTGGGAGAGGCCTTACGTGGTTCGGTTCGGTAGAGCTGCGGACGGTCTTGTTGTCGACAGCGCTTCTCGTCGACAAATACCAACGCCAAGAATGCGTGAGTGGTAGGTTACGTTCTGCGCGGATCTAGACGAAGGAAGCAAAAAACAGGGTTCATACCGGCATTAGCCAAACAGAGGTGCTACCAAAGACAGGAAGGCCCACATCGCCACCCGTAATGAACGTGCACATCGTGTAGCGGCAAAGCGGTGGTCCAGTGAGAGCGAGATGGGGTAGAGGTCCCATTGCGGCCAGTCCAGGTCCGGTTAACAATCTTGTCCCCCAAGAACCTGCTTTACTAGGATCCAAAGACCGAAGGACGCGGCGCCGATTCTATCTCCCGACGTGCTCTAAATCTGCCAAGCTATGCCCTTGTACGGGCGCCAATCAGGCCGATAAAGAATCAGAAGGCTATGTTGATGCAGGGCAAGGGATATGATGCGAGGTTCCTCATCCAGGCAAGTACGAATGACCGTAAGCTCTTGGGCGCGACGGACCATGAACTAATGAGGGGATGAGCGCTGATGGCGCGCGCCGATATAGTACGCCGGCGTGGTGCTGGGTGGTGGCGGAACAGCTTTTTCTTATGCACTGATGATGGTTTGTCGTTTTTGGCACTACGCTTTGCATTTGTAGTTGTTGATATACAGCGAGCGCATCTTGCGCAGGTGCAAGCCAGCCAGCGTTCAATTCACAGATGGTGTTTGGTATGATGACAGTGCATCTGCGGATTGATCAGCTTTGTGACCACGTATAAAACCATACATACCGGCGTTTCCTGATCTTGTGGACTTCTGGAAAGCCCCCTCCATACCCATTGTTATCACTGCATCTTCAACTGATCCATTATGCGCTCTTCGATCTTCATCTTCTTTGCACTGAGTGCTCAAGGTATGGAGTATTGTCGGTGTGCACGGCTCGATCGTCGATAATTATGCTCCTGTTAGTGGTTTTTGCCAGCCCATTAAGCCCGTCCGTAACAAAAAGCGAGCTCGGTGTTGACAAGGACGGGCGGACAACTTTCAAGGTAGTGGAGATCACCACAGTCACGAATGCCGGCTTGCAGACCATCGACGGTGCGTAATTGCAACGTTCCTAGAACAGCGCGGCGTAAACTAAGAGATGGTGGCAGGGACGGTAGTGGAGGCTTCCGACTTCGTCAGCGCAACCTTGGATGACAATGCTATAGGGCTTCACGAAGATGTAGCTTGCTCAATATCAGGAACTGTCGAAGGCTGCAGGGCGACTATCGCGGTTGGGGAGACGACAGTGGCTACTGCTTTCACTACCAACGTACCTTCGGGTTCGGTATTCTTCGAGAGTTCGCCGACGCAGACGTCCGTCTCGTCCAGTACATCGTCGCGCGTTTCCTCGGGTATTCTGTGTATCCTTGGTATAGTATCTGCCGCTACGATAGTAGGCTGGTAGAGCAGTGCGACGGATGGCCTTGACCGCGACCTAATATATGATAGCACGGTTGAGCCGTATGAGGCATCGGAGATGACAACGCTGTTATTGGGATGGAAATACTTGAGGCTAATCTCCCAGGCTCTGCTTGAGGTGATATTCCCACACCTCCAGGCTGGACGAGTTAGTGATCGCATCAGAGTGTTGAATTAAAACTAAGTATGTGGAAACTGATATCTACTCTGATCGTGGGAACAGGTACACATGTTCCACGCCGAAGTCGAATTTAAAGCAAATCGCATAGGACATATAATACGTAGCTGTAGCATAGTACCCAGAAGTCCGTATGTTAATAGTCAGTGATAAAGTACAGAGTAAAGTTTCTCTTTTTCTTCTGTTACTCTTTTTTGATTTTTTGGCATTAGTCTCCCCTCCGTCGTCGTGCCTACTCTTAATGAACGTGCAGCGTTGGTATATCCTCTCTTGGCATCACACAGACCACTGTACAAATATGGCCTTACCCTACAGATAACATATGTAGCCAATATAATGACAGTCAAGAACTTCATCTGACAGTGGAGTGTTTGTAGCTGCTGGAGGCCAACCGTGGGCAGCGTCACCATCAGGAAAACCTGGATTTGCTAAAAGCCTCCTAAAATGTACTAAAGCGTGCTCATTTAGTAGCTTTACAGGGTTTCGGTACCCAATAAGCGACTCTTTCGATAGTCCGATTTTTCCTGATGACCGGCCCATCGCGCATCGAAGGACACTGACGGCTGAAGGAGGCAGCCTATGAATTCAATAGGTGTCAGGAGTCCCGAATACGGATATCATATTGGTTGAGCAGCTGAACGTGAAGTGAGGTATATTGGGCGGATCGCGGCCACTTCCTGTCTGAAATAATATCAATCAAATCCGCTTGACCGTGCTGCTTGCGTAGCTGAGCGATCCCAGCATTGTTCGTAATAAGCGGGCATGCGGATCAGAAAAGCTCGCATATGGGCGGTGAGTTCCATCTCCGTCCTAACTACGAGGGAAAGGTCGCCATCAAAGGTCTGACCACCCCTCACATCGGTGAATGCTGTATTGCTAGCCCAGTGAGTACATCGACCGCAAGCACAAGCAGCAGCATATCGAAGAAGGCTATCCATCCACGAGCGCCACGGACGCTTCTTCAACCTGCCTGTGCATCATGGGACCGCGAGCGCTGTGATATCGATGTTTGCTTGGGCTCCACCGCGAGGGAATACGTATAGCACATAGGACATGGGCGCATCACGATGCGAGTCATTTGCATTGAGGATGCTTGCTGAGAGAAGCATCTTGCGACTATCGTAATTGCGATCAATGCTCCTGATTGGAGGAGGGCAATGACCGTGACCAAGTAGTAACGAGCTTGAAGCAGTCGAAGAGCACTGGTGAGTATGATATTCAATTTCCATCGAAGCCCCTATCTTTGTCCGACGCGTTGGGTATCCGGCGCGCTTCGCCTCCAACGCGTACCAGCCTTTGTTCTCATCTACCTTCCTGCTGTACTCGCATCCTTCGCCCACCTACCCACCATCACGTTCATTGCGAGAGGGCTCGTAACCAACGCTGCGCAGCTTAGGTCGAGACCATCGCCCTCGGCCTGGTCCAAGAAGTGACGTGAACGACCGCAAGCCACGATACGGGCCAAGGCAGTCCATATTCATCAAAGCTTTCCGACATGGACGGCGGGCCATCCTCGGGTCGAGCACGACGATCAGCTGCACAGAAGGCGTCTGCCAAGGTTGCGGCGCAAATATCCTCGTCCGAGTCGGGATCAGAGGACAACAAGGATTCTTACGGATCCGCGCCTCGATTGAAGAGAGCTAAACGGAGGCCACCACGGAAGAAAGTGGCCAATGGCAGACCTAAACCTGGTCCTAGCAAGGTCAAACGGACTGACACGACAATCAAGAGAGGAGTAATGCGCGATCCACGAAGTCAGTCCGACAGTGAGACAGATGTCGAGTCGCCGTTGACCGACATCGCGTCTCTCGACGGCTCACTGACCGACGCGGCCCTGAAAGCGACACCCAGGCCGTTGAAACGCTTAAGGACGCGTGATTCCATCACTCCTCCCCCTTCGTCGCTTGCCCCACCATCGCGAACATCTTCCATAACCTCTTTCGCATCCTTCACCGGCCCCTCAAGACCAGCAACATTTGCGAACCAATGGTCCACACCATCACTTGGCACGCTGGTCTGGGCGCTGGTTGATAGACACGGAAGCAGCTTGAGTGCGGAGGAAGCATCGCGTCGTGGCGGATACTGGTGGCCTGCGAAGGTAAGCCTACCCATGGTTGCAATGACGCAGACGAACCGATGGATACCATGCCAGGTTTCCGGAGCCTCACCCTTCCGCGTCAAGTTACTCGAACCGATCGGACCAAACACTCTCGAGGAAACTGCAGTGCCGGCACCGTCGGCTTCCAACATCTTGTCCATGAAACTCCTAGACTCGATCCGATTCACGGCGTCGAATTACCAGGTTCGCTCACGCAATGACTCTGGCCCTGGCGCTGGAAAATCCCAAATCGATATGGATGAAGCCGACCTCGACTGTCGCTTCCATGCCGCATTGGAGGCCATGAAAGAGGAGGATGAGCTGCCCAGCGATATTCACGGGGTGATGAGTCATCGGTCCTCTGCCACCATATGGAGCCCGAAGAAGGTGAAGATTGATCGCTATACTCCCGAGGAGCTATGGGAGCCTCCTGAGGCCGATATCGACCTTGACATACCTGGCGAACTGGTACTCGCTCGAACAAATCGCCGCGTCCCCTTCTACCCCGCACGCCTAAAAGAGTATCTTCCACCTCGAACGAAGGACGAGGAACCGCGCTATGTCGTGGAATTCATGGACATGACAAGTGATACAATTCCACGGAAATTTTTCTTCACCCAGTTGGAAGATGGTTTCGAAACATGCAAGGTTAGCTCAGTTGGTGACTCTCAGGATGCTGCACAGCTGAACCGCTCCATGCTTGTCTCGTATGCAGCTCGGCGACTTTGACAGTGCAGTGAAAGCCGTGGAACACCAGCAGGATAATTTTGACTGGTACGATGTTCTAAAGTCATCCTCGGGATCCCGATCTCCCAGTCCAGAAGTAATACTTCCTATGACGGCTCCGTTCGAGGATCTGCCTATTCGCCGGCAGTTAGCGTATCTCAAACCGGTGCTTTGTGCGGTGTTGGACGGCAAATACACTCCCGCGCTCGAGTACCATGAAAGCTTCATGAAAGGCGGCAAGGCCAGGGCGGCCTTGAACGCAATTGACCGCGTCGTCAAGTTGGGTGTCCTGGATGAGCAAACACAGCAAGAGCTCACACACTGGATTTACCGCCTGGTGATGAGTAGCCGGGACCAGGATGACGCTGGCGTGGACCAGACGGTACCGTGTCTTTCTTCCCTACTTTCTGGGTTATTCGAATCGCTGAAATTGGCCTAGCCTGATTCCGGAACACATCAACCGCCACTGGGAACGAGCAACCTGGACGATAACGCTGACACTTCCGTGCGTTCTCACCAACGAACCCCTTCGATGCTTTCTGATGACCATCTCTGCACACAGCCTGCCCCTCTGAGTTCCGTACCAGAAGTATCCCAGGTAGCACGCTGTCTCGTCCATCTCTCGTTCGACATTCTCTCATGAACTAACATAGATCCTATCTCGGCAGGACAAGGCGGGGACCGACCACTCGACACATGCTTCCGAGTCCGCGTGCATTCCTGCTCCGGTAAACGTTAAAATCCCCTTTTGTTCGTCTCACTCCGACTAACGTCAAATCACGTCATAGCAGACGTCGGGCAATGGCGAACTTCCCCGATCTTCGACCCTGAGATTCGAGGTGGGGATCACTTGATTCATGAAACTTCGGGCGTTCAGCTGACTTTAATAACAGGAGGCAGAAGAAACCCCCAGCCCTACGGAAGCTGGCGATCCGTGTCCGACTTCGTATCAGCGTGGTACACAAAGCTTTCATTCACTGAACGAACGAGAGAAATTGGATGTAAGTCTCGTTCATCTAAGTAGACGAATGGTGTTGGGCTGAATGAGAGAACTTGACAGTATTGTTCAAGCGTTCTCATGAGGGAAGCCGTATACCAGCTGCTGCTCTGGCGAAAAGGCGCGCGTACCTGCCCGGAACTACAAAGCGACGAAAAGGAGCGCGAGCTCCGCCAAGCGGCGGAGGAGGAAGCTAACAAATCTGATTGGGTCCACGACGTGATGCGCATACGGCGGATGAGGGAGGCGATGGTTACGTCGTCTACTCGGGTACAGTCGCGTCAGATGACTGGTCCTGGCGGCACTCGCTCACGTCCGAAATGACGATCCGAATGTGGGTTCTGAACGTGGATATTGCAACGTTTACGCACATAATGTATCGCTTCCATAGGTCCTATGCTCGTGTATTGGTACACATTACTGTTCCCAGCGTTCTGGCAACTAATAGCGGTCGTACCCAACGGCACGCAGCGAGCATGCGGTCCGCAGATGGGAGAAGCTGCGATCTACCATATTGGAGTAGTATGATGAACCTTGTTATCGAGGGCTAGATAACATCGGTGATCTGATCTGACCATTTACACGACCGCCGAGCGCAGGGTGTCAAGTACGGTTCGGCGCCAGCGCGCGCATCGTCGATTTCCGTACCTGAGGACACCACCCAGGAAGCGGAGCACGCTTCTCACTCGTCGGACTCCTCCTCGGTTCCCCTCGAAGGTCTTCTCTGGTCCCACGACCATGTCCCGGTTTGGTCGTGACCTTCGCAACCACATGCAGCACGGATGATGCAGTCATATGTACGCCCCGAGGAAGCCGATAGAAGGTCCCCATGGGGCCCAACCCTGCAGCCGATACGAGGCATCGCGCGAGCTCTCATCCTAGACCCTCGACACCTGTAGATGTCCCATGGGAGTATGACTCGGAGCTATCCCGTCTTGTAACGCCGCTAGCGGAACGACAGGAAGGGCAGCTGGGAGTCTTGGTGCCTGTTCCCGCCCTTTGCGCATCGGCATCGACCGTCGTACTACGTGCAGAGGCGGGGTTCCGTTCAAGTACCCTCGGCTGGTGTTTCATCGCGTGGGCGTGAGCGCACCATTCGATCGTGCGCCGGCTCTGGTCGGCATCAAGGTGCTCAGACTAATCTGGGAGGAGTTGCGGGAGCTCGCGAAGGAGAGCGCGTCCTTGCCGTGCATGTTTGGGGAAGACGGCGTCATTGGGCGCGGCACGGGCTGCTGTGGAGTGATCCCCGCAGGTCCCAGGGCATTGAGCACCATGGGCATGGAATGGGATCTAATCGGCGACATTCGGACAGGCGACGCATTGGGCGGCCGAGCGCCTAGCTTCTGCATACCCACCGTCAGATGGGACGGCCTCCGCAACGAGGGGAAAAGGAAGTGATGGAACCGACGCCACAAAGCCCGTGCCGATGACTTGACAGACGGAGACGGCGGACGCGAGACCGATGGCGAGCCATTGAGTCCTCGGCCTTCTTCCATTCCGTATGCCTCAGCGTAGTAATCGCGTTTACGCCGGAAGCGCCGTACGGCTCTGCGGATCCGGTGCCTCAACCGTACGATTAGGGCAAGCATCACGCTAATCATCACTACGTAAAAAAAGAAGGCGATGAACGAGAAACCCAGTGATTGTCGAGTCAGCACGGTGGGCAGATGATCTGATATCGAGTCTTCAATTGCGTCGAAGTCCAGGAAGGGTCGAATGGGCCGTATGGGAGAGTGCTCAGAGTCGGCGAGGTCATCCAAGGGATCCACCAGCGGCTTGACGTCGCTCGAAATAGGCGGCACCTCCTTGCTTGCCTCCAGCACCATCTTCCCCAAGGTCCAACTAATAGCCACGTCACCGACTTTGTCCACGGATTGGAACATCGGTCTCCCCAACCCCTTGGTCTGCGCATGCTGCTCTACGTCCTTGTGATCGCCGCCCGAGGTGACGTTGCCACCAGCATCCACTATACGAGGCATGCCGATGCCATCGTGGAGGACATTGGCCACCCATGCGGCCTTGAAGCACTGCATCTGGAGGCGCTGCAGATTGACGCTCTCATCCCACTGGCCCATCTGGATCGACTGTCCGTCGTGCGCCTTGCGATCCTGACCGCGAGACCGTTGTGCCTCGTGTTCCTTCACGATGGCCTGCCAGTCGTGAGCACAGAACTCGGAGGCGGCGCGTTCGTACTGGACGAAGTCGTAGGCCCCGCCAAGATTGAAGACATGCTCTGATGAGTACCAGTATTCCGACACGCCAATGAAATGCGAGACAGAGAAATCTATCGGTGGGACGTGAACACCGTTGAAGAGGCACGGGGAGTCAGGACATGGGGCAGCCTTATTAAGCAAAGGTAGCGCCTTTTCGAGGCATTGTTCGAAGGAGCCGGTGCCGACCAGTGTATGAGGTCTATTGACGTGAGCATCGGAAACAGGGTCAACGTGAACAGGCGTTTCAGTAAGCTGTAGGTCCTTGGGTAAGCATGGGTCCTCGATCAGCTCCCCTTCTGTAGAAGAGCCATGAGGCGAGCCCGGGGGACGTTTTGCTTCATATTCGTCAATGGCTTTGGCGACGTAGCGTTCACGAGCCTGGTTGGTACCGTAGCCGAGCCATGTCGTCACAAAAACTTCGTGGTGGATATCTCTTCCGCCTAGCAAGCGCAGCCTAACCGGTATGAGGTTCTTCGTCTGGGCACGTTCCGCTGGACTGGGCTCGAAAGCGATTTGCGTAGAGGCGCCGCCCATATCAAGGAAACCGTATGTCGTTGGTTTATCATCGGAGGCAGTAAAACCGTCCATGAGGTAGTTGACCGCGATCCAACCGAAGAGTCCCTCTTCCTCTCCCGTGATGATGCGCACACTAGACCCGCATGGCCCAACGTCCGAAGGATCGTCGATTCGGAAATTAGAATGAAACTTCAAAAACGTGCAGGTTTCCTTCAGTACGCCAACTTGCTGCTCTTGAGTAAGCAGCCGCATCCCCGCAGTCGCGAGCAGGAAAAGGGGTGTTTCGGCGTGCAATGAGGGCGGAATTTGGAACTGGGCATGCTCGAGCAGCGGCCTCAAGTATTCACCGACTTCTTCAGGGTGGTCTCCGAAAGTTGATATTCCTGAACATAACACGCGTTTGAGCTCGATTGCTGTCATGGAGGCCAACTGTAGTATTCACCAGGTTCCACCTTGCGCACCCAAGAGTCCCCATCCTTCGCGCCCTTCTCCACCTGCGGTAGCTGGAACGCAACCGCATCCCCGTGTTCCAGCCTAACCGTTCGAGGGTCTCTCCAGCTGTATATTTGAAGTCGAGATCCAGATGAACCAGCATCAATGACGACCCCAAAGCGGCGTGAAGTAAGCCATGGGTCGCCAGCAGTGGGAGGCGGCATAGTCTACTCCAGCCCCAATTCAACGCGTCTTCTACCGGCCTCGAGGCTCAGAGGCTGTTCAGTGAGAGGGCGTAACGGCGTCGACGACAAGCACGACGACGAGCAATCGCTGCCGGCGAGTGAGTGGAACGTTCCACGTGGCACTTTTGTCACAGCCACATGCCACGTGAGCGACGCGTCCAGACATCCTCCAGCTGAGTTAGGTTTGCAGTCTTACCTAGTATCTTAACCGTCTACTCCATTGGGAACAAAACCGCCATGCTAGCGCCGTGACAGCAGATAAACTGGCTTATAAATCCCTACCGTCCCTCGCAGATTTGTCATCTTGGTCTTCCTGAGCGAATTCATAGCGAATCTGATGGCGCCATCTTGCTACCTTCTGGAGTCATTCAGAGTGCTACCTTCCGACTCATCCTGTTTTGTAAGATGGGGCCTCCTTAACGGCTTAAGGCTGCGCTCAGCAGCGCTCGCCGTCATCTGCTGCTATGTTGCACTCTGTTCTTGCTCGAACCGTGCTCTGTATTCTAGCGCTCTCCGCGGCATCCTTCAAGCCAGGACACGCGGCGCACGTAGCATGGCAACAGCAACCGCTCGCCCCTCTGGCCCCAAAATCCATAGCCGTCGTAGGAACAGGGAGTGCAGGGCTCGCGGCTGTCAAGGCCATCCTCGACTTGCCGCTTGACATACGCACCGGCTGGGAAATCGTGGCGTACGAGCGAACGCGCGATGTAGGCGGAGTGTGGCTGCAGGAGCCGAACGGACCTCCTTCACCTCCCGAGCTGCCCGACACCCCGCTTTACCCTCGTCTGCACACGAACACTCCCGTTCCGGACATGACGTATCCCGGCTTTCCGTATCCGCCGCTCACACCGCTCTTTCCTCCGCACGAGTACGTGCAGAGGTATCATGCGGCCTATGCAGACGCCCATGGCGTGCGTGAGCACATACGGTTCAATCATACCGTCATCGCCGCGGATTGGATAGGTACGGCCGACGCTGGGCACTGGGATCTCACCGTTCGCGACGAGAACGAGGGTGCGCTCAAGCGCAGTCGCGTCGACCATCTAATCGTAGCTACCGGCCACAACCACTATCCTCGTGTGCCTCAGTGGAACGGCACTTCGGAGTGGTTAGCCCACACCCCGTGTGGGAAACCATCGCGAAGCATCATTCACTCGATTTACTACCGCGAGCCTGAAAAATACGCGGGACGCTCCGTTCTCGTCGTAGGTGGAGGCGCCAGCGGAAGGGACGCTGCCGGCCAGATAGTGCTCTACGCGAACCATGTTTACCAATCACTCAAACCGGGTCAAGTTCCTACTGCTGAGGGAATCACCCTCCTACCAGTCATCTCCCACTTTACGGAAGATGAAATCGTCTTCGTGGACGGCACGTCCATTTCGTCTATCGATAGCGTCATCCTTGCAACGGGCTATGAGATCCATATACCATTCCTGAGTTCACCGCATTCATCCACCCTCCTGGAAATCCCTCCTCCGACACGCGAGAACGCGACTGACGAAACACCCGCATATGGCGAGGCTGGTTTGACTGTGAACACTCGCTACATCCGGCCTTTATACGAGGAAATATTCAGTCTCTCCCCTGACCATCCACCAACGGCGTTGGCCTTTGTCGGCCTTCCCGTTCCTATTGCGAATTGTCCTTCTGACTTCGCCCAGTCGCTTCTCATATCGCATGCCATTGCCGATTCCTCCGTCTTACCATCTCGAGAAACCATGCTTCGTGCGCTTGAGAAACATGAAGAGCGTATTCGCGCCGTTGGCATCAATCCTTACTGGCAAGGACACCGTTTCGTCGATCTGATTGAAGACGGTCAGGACTATCAGGACCGTCTTGTTGAATACCTCAAAGCGAAGGGAAAGTTGGAGCAAGACGGAACGCCGTACGTGGAGAAGTGGAGGAGGTGGATACGGGAAGAGGGTGTTGATATTCGGGCTGCATGGAGCAAGGTTGAGGAGCTCGGAGAACAAGATACGTGGCTCAAGGGAGTAAGGACCGAGGACGAGTGGGTAGACCTGCTGAAGAGGTTGGTAGACTGGTACAGCGAGGAGAACTCCGATGAGCGTGTTACATAAGTATTTGAATAGTCGCCATCCGCTTATTGGAAACATGCTGGCCAACCTACTACATAGTATGAGGACCAGAGCAGAATGTACAGCGCTGAAACGAACATCGTCTCGGAAACTAATCCCACCTAAAGACTGCGCTGCAAGAACTCTGCCGCTCGTTCGTATGCGTTGTCACAATCTACAAACGCCGTCATATCACTTGCGGAGAGGAATGCATGCTCAGCACCTGGAACAACGATGAGCTCTGCCTTCACTCCTGCTCTCTCGAGCACGTCCACCGTGTGTCGACATACTCCCAACGTCATCACACTATCGGCATCTCCGTGTATGAAAAGGGTGGGAGGGAGTTTGTTGGCGTTCAGTAGTGGGAACAGCACCCATTCCTTCTCTTCCAGGTACGAGGCGCGCTCCTCGGCAGGGCGTGTCGCGAGAGCAGCACTCAATCCTTGCCGGCCTACAATATGGTCCACCCTGCTTCCTTCTTGCCGCATCCAAGTCAGGAGTAAATGCCGCCCGTCTGCACAGTCAGTCATGCTGTTGCGAGATGCGGAGCTGGAGGAGCGTGGAGGATTGCTTATGTCGAAGAATTTAGATACGGCAGAAAAGGGGATGGGACCGCCGAGAGCGGGGAATCCTTCGGGATGTGGGAGGATGTAGTCATCGCAGAGATAGTCGACGGATCCATACAAGGCCAGAAGGGATTTGACTTGAAGCGACGAGTGGAGAGCGAATTGCATGGCAATGTATAACCCCGCGGATGTTCCCGCTAACATGATGGAAGAATTGTCTAGAGTCACGCCGGGAGGCAAACGTTCTGATAACGAAGGCGAGCTGAGCCACAACGAGAGAGCTTTCACATCTTCGAGCTGATCGTAGGAGGTGTACGGGAGAAGAAGACGATAATCGGCAGCGAGGAATAGCCAACCCCGCATCAGTGCGGCATCTAGTAATCCCATTGACGTGAGTGGTACGGTGCAGAGTAGGGAAAGTGCAAACCTTTGAGCCAGGTGGGGAAGAAAAAGTCGTTCCGACTACCATAGACAAGCCCACCAGCGTGAAAATAGAGGATGCCGGGAATGTTGCCCGTCAAATTTGGTACGTACAGGTCAACATCGATGTCTAGGCCATCGACGCGAGAGTAGGTAGCAGTGACGGGAGCGGAGCACATGCCGAAAATGCGGCTGGTGTCTCGATGAAGAATGGAGTTGCGTAAGAGACGGCAGTCAAGGACAAGCAGCAGCTCCAGGAACAGGGTGCAGGCCAGTGTGCGATATGCTCACGTTTCTGAGAAAGCGAGGTCGGCAGAGGACGGGGCAGAATAAGGTACGCCGAACTATTTCCAGCGTGTGTGAAGGCTGAGAGAGAGGACGGGTCTTGGAAACCGCGGCCCGAGCAGACACAAGCTGCTAAAACAAGTAGAGCCAATCCTTAGCAGCCGCTCCGGCGAAGCACCAATATGAGTATGAATTTGTGTGGTTCAGAAGAGCATATCGGACGTGGCCTAGAACCATCCTCAAACGAGCCTCTATGAGATTCCGCCGATGTGTTGCATGGCGGGAACGGACTGAGCAATCATATTTTGGCTTGGTAAACCTGGTCTAGTCCCGCGCGCACATAAGTATATCACAAGCTGGCTGTGGCGGATCCCCTGTCGGGAGGCGAGTAATGATCGCGGGCAGTGTTCGTCCCCTTCACGGTGGCATTTGCATGTTTAACAGTCCAATGAGTGAGAGCCCGTCAGATGTGGTTACCCGGCTGTTTATGTCTGTTGCCTTCATTTTCAAGACGATGGACCGTCGGTCATGGAGGACCGGTAAGATTCAAATATTCAATATTCAACCCACGCATATGGGCTTGCGCATTATGTAGCACAGCCACCAATGAGTGCGTGACGCAGCTGACGCGTACGCGTCGACCTGCATACTTCCTCCACCGCGTCGTTCACCATGGTTGCAACAACGACAGAGCAGGTGCGTGTTTTGGCCGTATTTGAGGACACTCGCTAATATTGTGTACAGCTAACGGCCCTTGCCGTAACGACCGTCGGTAAATGCGCCATCCACCATGCATGTTTGCAGGCAAACTGACATTGCCATCACAGTCGTACATCCTCTGGTCCTGCTTTCTGTTACCGATCACCACGCCCGCTCTGTCTCCAGGACATCAAACAAGCGCGTAATTGGCGTATTACTTGGCCAGGACAATGGCAAAACCGTGAACGTCGCGAACTCGTTCGGCATCCCGTTCGAGGAGGACGAGAAGGATCCGAAGACGTGGTTCCTCGACCACAACTACATCGAGGGCATGTTTGAGATGTTCAAGAAGGTGAATGGTGTGTACCTAAATTGTCCAGCCGGGATGTACCATGCTCATGACATTATGTACGAAGCTAGGGAACGAATGATCGGCTGGTATCACACAGGCCCGAAGTTGCGGGCATCCGACCAGGAAATCAACGATCTATTCAAGCGATACATACCCCGACCTGTCATGGTCATTGTGGACGTACGACCAGAACACGAGGGTATACCAACAGACGCTTACTTTGCGGTGGAGGAGATCAAGGATGTCAGTCGTCTTCTTGGATCGCTGATAGAAGTGGGGAACTAAGACGTCGCTGCAGGACGGCACAGAAGTTCGGAAAACGTTCCTACACGTTCCTTCCGCCATCGAAGCCGAAGAGGCAGAAGAAATAGGTGTCGAGCACCTACTCCGAGACATCAAAGACTCCACTACCACCACCCTCTCCACCCGCGTCTCGGAGCAACTCGCCTCTCTTCGTGGGCTGCACGCAAGGCTGACGGAGATACATCAGTACCTCACGCAGGTGGCTGCTGGTACAATGCCCGTGAACCACCAAATCATCTACCACCTGCAAGACGCCCTTAACCTCCTACCCGACCTTTCCGACGATGCACTCGAACGATCGTTTGCGTCAAGTACGAACGATCAGCTTTTGGTCGTCTACTTGAGCAGTTTAGTACGAGCTGTCATCGCCCTTCACGCCTTGGTTGACAACAAAGCTACCATCGGACGAGCGGAGGCGGAGGAAGGGAAGACCCCGGAGGAGAAAAAGAAGGACGCAGAGAAGGAGAAGGATAAAGACAAGAAGAGTGGGGAGAAAGAGACGAGTTTGGAGAAGGGGTCGAAGGGGTTGAATGAGAAGGGGTTGTGAATGTAATTGACGAGCTGTGGCTTTCTGTAATCCCGCTCTGGTTTTGCGCCATTCCGGTGCCGCGACCGTATATTATACTGTGACGCTGCGAAACCCCAGCTGTCGACTGCGACCCGGTCGTCCGCCTGGATTGCGTCTGGAAGCATCGGCGAAAGGCCGTTGAGCGGCTCCTCGCTTACGTAATTTAACCCGGGCCAATCCGCCAACGGGCAATTCGTTCCTTTTCGTCGCCATATCTTCCGTCTCTGTTTCCCCCCTCCGCCTCTTAATTACCCCTCTCGATATGCAAGCCCTTCGCCTGGCACGCACCGCGGCCGTTCCTGTCGCCCGCCGCCGCTGCCTCGCCACTGCGGCCGCGCCGGGCAACCACGCTCCGACTCATGCCCCGTCCTCGACCGCGCGCCAGCAGAGCATGATCCCCATTTCAAACGTGGAGGCTCAATGGGAGCAGCTGAGCGACGAGGACAAGTTGGTCGTGCACCAGCAGCTCGAGGAGCTCCAAAAGCAGGACTGGAAGAAGCTCAGCATCGACGAGAAGAAGGCTGGTACGTGGGATGTCATTCGGGTGTGCTATTGGAAGGTCGCTGACGGTATCCTTCATGCCTATGTGACTCTTTACGGTGTTATCCACTGTTGTGGACGCGTTCGCAATGAACAGCGTACTACGTCGCGTTCGGGCCCCACGGACCTCGTGCTCCCATCAACCCGCCTGGCACCGTACCCAAAATCATCGCGGGCGTGTCGGCTCTCATTGCGGTCAGCGGCTTGGTCTTCGTTACCGTTCGCTCGCGGGGTGCGTCCATTGTTTTCGACTTTGTTATTCGAGCGTGATGTTAACACCCATTTTACAGCGCCTCCACCGCCAAAGACTCTCACCAAGGAGTGGGAAGAGGCTGCCAACGAGCGGGCAATCGAGCAAAAGATCAACCCTATCTCTGGTGTGTATGAGGCATTATCGCGGCATGACATCTTCCTTATGTCTCCTGCGCTCTAGGCATCTCGTCAGAGGGTTACAAGGGCAAGGGCTTCGTTGTCTCCAAGGAGTAGAAACCTGGCAATGTATCCCTGCACTCGTTTTTTATGCTAGAAGCAAGACATCTACACTAATCCATTGTGTGCCGGATATGGTCGGCGCAATCCGGAAGCGGACGCGTTTCACGACATTCTGAAACCGGGTGATTGGACGGGACGCGCGAAGACGGAGTCACCACTGTTGCTCCAGCATGAAAGGTCTGAGTTCATTTAGTTGAGGTCAACTGTAGGCACGCCTCTTGGAGCGATACACGGCCTTATCTCCCCACACATCGGTTACAAGCACCTACAAGGTATCTATCGAGAGTGCTACAAACACATATTATATTGGTACATCCATCCGAGATCCATATGGGAAAGGAAAGACATGGCTGCATGTTATGTGCAGCACCCCTGCTTCGGCTGTGGACCGTCCAAGGCGACGTTAGCTTTCGACTGCTTCACGCCAGGAGACTGTTGAAACACGTCATCAAACACCAGTCAAAGAGGATACGCGCGGAGAGCATACCCTGTCGTCTTCGAATACACCCTTGCGAATCTTATCCAAAATATCCTTGCAAGCTTGCTCAAATGCAAGGTCGACGTTGTGCCCGGACTTCGCTGATGCCTCGACGAACAATAAGCCTTCCTCCTGTGCCCACGCCTCTGCCTCTTCTGTCGACACTTCTCGCTTCTTCGCGGGAGGTCCGCCCTCTTCTGAGTTGTCGCAGAGGTCGACTTTGTTGCCGACCAGTATGCAAGTGAGATGCGGGTCGGCGTGTTCGCGAACGTCTGCTAGCCACGAGCGACAGCTCTGGAAACCTGCGATAAGTGCAAAACGTCAGCCACGTCTTGAACGTCGAAGGACAAGACCCTTATGCACTCCGTTTCGACGTCACATCGTACACCAGCAAGCAACCTGCTGCACCGCGGTAATAAGAACGTGTTATTGCCCGGAATGATTCCGTGCCAGCCGTATCCCAGCCTATAAGGTGCCGTCAGTGTACTTCCGGCTTCGGACGACGGGGCCAACTTACACTGTAGTTTAACGATCTTGTTCTCCTCCGGTATGGTAATGAGTTTGGACCCGAACTCCACACCCAGCTAATCGTGAATAAGCGGTCAGTTGGACTAACACGAACAATCACTTCGCACCGTAGGGTCTGGGTTCGCCAGGAAACGCTGGTCCGTCAATCGTACGAGCAGCGAGGACTTGCCCACAGCGGCGTCCCCGGTAATAATGAATTTGAGCACGTAGTGCCAATTTATGCTTGCCATCTCCTCGTATGTTGCGCAATAGGTAGATGAAGGCAGGGGTCGTTGGGCAGATTATAGAACAAATTATCCAATCGAGGCGTAAGTCCGAGTCAGAGATGCAGATAATTCAAGTGCAGATAATTCAAGCAATAAGTAGAAAGCAAGGAGACGGATGCGAAGCAGCGCGCTGCCATGACGGCACATCGTACAGCCCTTACCTGCCCGTGTCTAATCACGGTCGCACAGCCTAGCAGACTCCCCTTCAGTTCCCGATTGGCCTCCCGACGCCAACCGACATTTCCTTCCCCACTTCAACGACGTCGACCATGGCCTCCACCTGGCGTCAGCACTTCACGTTCGTACAACTACAGACTCGACCTTGCCTGTGAACTGACCCATGGCTTCCTTTGCCTACCATATGATTAGTTACAACAAGTACTCGCAAATTGCGGCTCGCGCCCTGCGTCAATCCCTCAAGGAGTCCGAGCGGGTCAAGGCTGAGAAGCACGGCCTCACTGCGCTCAGGTATCAGAAGTGGGAGAACGGACATGGTGGCCAGCAGGTGCGTCAATGAGTCTAGTATCTGTAAGAGGAGCAACTGCCAACGTGTTGTGTGCTGCAGGTGTACTTGACCCCGCCTGAGGAGACTGGTCCTCCGAAGTCAGCGGCGGTCTAGAGCGGGACAGGATATAGAGCTGGGTCGGCATATGTATGGATTCGCATTGCCAGTAAAATCAATACCTCGCCCAGTGCTAGGCTTTTGGGCGTCGTGCGGAAACGCGACTGCTCTCGCAGTTTCGAACTTCGAAGTGGTTGATGTTTCCGGACCAAATCCTCGTTCTCCTTTGAAGGCTAGGTCTGCTCGGACACCCAGTTATTTCCCTCAATTTCTTGCAACCTCTGCGTGACTCTCCTACGAGCGCACGCGTGCGGTTTCTTTCGGGCAAAATCAGACTCTCGGTTTTTTAACATGCCGGCGAACTAGCACGCGCTCGAGAACGTCGCAATGTCCTCTATCGTCATTTGCCGCGGATTTGGTGGAGTTGTCGACCGTGTTTTCCATCCGGGCCATCAGGCGAACAGGATGAGCTGTGAGATTTAATGCGGATCTGAAGGGCAAAGTGATTGCTACAGTACAACTATTGTGGGACGAGAATGTAGCGGACAGCATAAAAACTATTACGAGATCGAGATCGTGCACCGATTCTCCGTGCATTTATCCATGATCATGTCCGTGGTCCACCGCTGACCTTGCGGTAGAAGAGCAAGTATGCGCAACGATCGTCACGCTCCTGACCACCGAAGACGTCCTCTGGGCGGATATCCGAGACGAGCTCGTCGTCGATACGTATCCAGGCCTCGCGAGGTTTTGTGCTAAGGTCGCGGTTGGGATGAAGGACGTCGAGTGTGTAATGACCCCCTGACGCGGAGAGGCCGTGATGATACACCACTGAGAGAAAGGGGATTCGATGAGCGACGCAAACAAGCAAGAACACAACAAAATGTACCGCTGAAGAGCTTGTAACGTGCGGGTGGGCCAGCTCTTCTGGTCGGAGCGATGATATCTGAAAATTCGCAGCATCAATATCCTGTAGAGATTGTTGGAATCTGATGCGCCCCACCAGCAGGAATAACCAACTCCGGTTCGAGGGCAACCTTCTTCCCGATCTTCACCACATCGCCCACTTTGGTATCGTACAAGAATCGCTTCAGGTGCAATACCAGGATGGGCGGCAGCGCGTCAATGAGAACGTGCTGCGTGGCATCTACCACATAACCCGGGCGGGTAGGCAGGGCGATTTGCACCGGCTGGGGGTGAGATAGATGTGCGAGCGCATCAGCGATCGTATGGACTTGCTCGCGCTGATCACAAAGTTCAGTCGTTGTTGCGAAATGGCACATGAGGATCAACGAACCGAGATGTCGAGCTGCAGCTCCCGCCAATCCTCGACAATGACCGAGTCTTTCTGATGGGGGGCGCGTAGCGTTGAACGGAACTTGCCACCGAATAAGCGTGTAATCGGGGATTCTGTGCTTTTTGTCTGGTCGAGCATGTACTGAACAACTTCCGCCAACCGAACGATGAATAGGTACTGCTCACTGTACGCGTCACTACCGACCGGTTCTTCTTGCCGACCTCGAGCCAGCCATCTTCGTGCTGCGAAGATCCAGCTACATCCCGAGGTTCATCCGGAACAGCGGGGCTTGCTGCCGCATTCAATTCAGGTGCGATCGAGTGCAGGATGGACAGAAGCTCTTCCTCGAGCGTGTCAAGGTAGAACCCAAAGAACTCTTCTGCGTCCTCTTGGTGACCACCCTTATTATGACAGACAGGTTTATGAATTGAGAGCCCGATATTTGAAAGCGTAAGGGGCGCGTACCGTCATTCCACCGAACCTTTTCGTCGCTCTCACCACATCATACACAGTGCTCGGGATGAACGAATCCATTGCCCAGTCCTCGTCTTCGCCGTCCATGCTCACCTCCCTCCCCTTCCCGCTCTTCTTTCCCTTACCACCTTCCCTCCCCCTGTCTTTGTCTTTTCCATGTCCCTCCTTATCCTCCGCCGGCACAAACTCGCTCAAGAACTGAACTGTCGCTTCCACGAGCGGCACCGGGCTCTTCTTCTCATCTTTCTCCTTCTCTCTCTCCTTACCAACGACCGGTCCGTCGAACGCAACGGTCGTGGGCAAATATTTGCCCAGCTCCCTGAACAACCTCCAGAAGGGTGGGCAATAAACGAGGACCTGCAACACCGCGTTTGCAAAGCACATGTTGCCCGTGTTGATCAGGCCCCTCGGCCGTATGCGGGGCGGCGACGGTGGGCCGTATGCATTGCCGTTGAGCAGAGCCAGAAGCGCGGGTTTGTGAGCCGCATAGGGAGACGATGACGGAGATCCGTGCGCAGAGCCAGAAGAAGACAGCGCAGAGGCCGGGATGGAAAACCCAACTACGGATGACGTGGGAAGGGTACCGGGCCTGCGATTACCGGAGGCATCAGCAGCGGGGCGGAGTAGAGATGCCCAGGAAGAGGGCTTGGGCTTAGGAGGAGCTGCTGCAGGAGCGGGAGTAGATATTCCAGAAGACGGATCAGGAGCGGCGGGGGTCTCGGAGAGTTTGGGCGGGGAATCATTCTCGCTGGTTTGGGCTGAGGGAGCAGCGGGGTCGGAAATATCCTTGCTCTGCGCGGCGGGTGCCTGAGAAACAGAAGTGGCGGTTGATACGGGAGAGGCGGGCGTCGTAGCTGTTGCCTCCGTCTCAGTAGCGCTCGACGAGGGCAGATTGGGAGAGGCATCCTTCGGTGTGAACTTTCCGCGGACGGGGACCACAGTAGTATTGACATCAGTTAAAACATCGTCTTGCGCAAGAGCCGGACCCTGAATGGCGTGGGCTGTCCTAAACTGCGGAGCTTCAGCAACCACAGGAGTCAGAGGGGGCGTGCGCGAGGTGAGGGCCTTCTCAACCACAACCGGGGGTGGGCGGGCTCGAGGAGAGATGATAATGCCGGGAGCGGAGGTCGGATCCGTAGGCCGCCTAGACCAGAGCACCCAACCACCGATGTCGGGATTCGGCGATTGTTCGTCCGCAGCAGGGAGTGTAGACCGAAGTTGGACATGGTTCTGTTGCGGAGAATCAGGAACGTCGGGAGAACCGGGTGGAGGCGGCGATGGCTGCGCCTCGGGAGCGTCCTCCGCCTCTGGCGGCGGAGGCGCCGCTTCAATATCCGGTTCTGAAGGCGGCGGAGGGTCAGGTTGCATGACTGCATCTTCGGGGCCAATCCCTGGCTGATTGGGAGCGGATGCAGCCTGAGACGCCTCATTTCCGGACAGTGGCGACGGGATTGACGCCGAGGATTCGCCAGCAACTGGTGTCACGGTTGGATTAGTGGTCGGTTCAACGGGTTGGAATAAGCGAGGGGAGGAAGTCTGGGGCGACGATACTGGAGGAAGCATAGAGAGTTGCTTTGGTAAAGGCGACAGGGGTTGCTGGGATACGTTGTGCGCCGCCCAGTACGGGCTGCCGTTTTGCTGGATAGGCGTGTGTGGATGATGCGGGTAAGGAGCGCCGTTCGGGGCGGGATATGGCGCGACGGTCGGGGAGTACGGGGCTGGGATAGGTGACACTTGTTGCGGGTGGGGGTACTTGTGCTGATAGTGAGGCACACGGCCTTGTTGAGGTACAGGAAGGTACGGTGGCGGGTGCTGGTGCTGGTGCTGGTGCGGCAAGTGTTGTCCGTGTGTTTGCGAGGAGTAACGTTGGTAGCCTGGTGCACCGCCGCGGTAGCCACCGCGTCCGTGAATGCGACCCGGCGAGTGCGGGGGTGGTCCTGTCATATCTGGAGGTGGTGGGGCATAGTACGCATATGGGTTGGGAACGTATCCATATGGCAATGGCGGCGGAGGATAGTAGGGATTCGTTGACGGCCCTGCTTGCGGGTAGGGCGGTTGTTGCGACGACATGGCACTCAGCCTACGTGCTGTGCACTGAGGGTCGACCAAGGCGAGTCATCGGTGAGCAGTCAGACGATCGAATTTGCATGACCCTCCTACCTCAGAAAGGTCGTGACGAGCTCGGCAGATACAAAGACGCCGAGATTTCTGGCGCCAGAGCTTGCTCAAGGCCGGCGGACGCGTGTTACAGCGTGCACGAAAGTTAGCCCACTCCCGTTTTCTCCAGGGCGCGATAGACGACCCTTGCGAAGTTGCAGCCCGTTGTTGTCCAAATCGCTGAGTTGTTCGGACAGAACGCGAGCAGTTCGCCGAACACGCAACAAAGGGTTGTGGGCAGTGGTGGCGGTCGAAAAACCTGGGGCCTCGTGTCCCGTTCTCTCTCTCGTGCACGCGCCATCATCTCCCTCGCTTCTAGCGCCTTCACTGCGGCTTACTGCATCCTGGCCCGCGATGAACCCATACTTGTACTCTTGCGGATAGTTATCAGGATGCGCGCATTCAGCAATAGTTGGCAGACCAACGCGAGATGCATATGTGGATGTGCATTTCCTTGTCAACACCCATCCCGGTAGTCTCCACGCCCATCAATCTGAGCCAATCAGCTTTTCGTCGTCCTGGCTATGCCATACTGTATGACGGTTCGACATGCTCGGAATGTTGGGAACTTCACTTTTGCATCCTGCGTGCGATGTTTGTACCGGTCTTGGCTGCTAGGACGGTATCTGCCTCCGAGCCTTCATACGGTGATGCTACCATTATAGTTCGGAGGATTACTAATGCCAACGAACAGGAACAGCTCCAACTAGTTTTGGAAGCCGGCAGCCTTCCGGCGTATTCCCCGTGTATCTACTATGCATGCGATGCCGCAATGCCAATCGCGTCGGTCACGCGGTCCTCCTAGCAAGACCATCTTCTTCTGGACCTTGTTTCTCGACATGGAAGTCCCGCTCAGACATGCCCACCTCCCACAATCAGCTGTCCTATCCGCTGCCTTCCACCTTAGAGGCGGCGCGTCCCCGTTATTCCGCATGCGTGTGACGCGGAAGCAGGGCGGCTTCTCTCTCCCCACGGAGAGCAGCTCTTCGTCATATCTTGCTTGTCTTCAGTCCGGGACAATCATGCCGTTCGACTATGGGTCTTACGCGACCACCGCTTCCGATCGCAGCTATAAAAGATCGCCGCCCTCGTTCTCCACTAGAACTTCGACGATCCACTCATATCGTGCTGGACACCACGATGCCATCGCCTGTACTAACAGCTTGCTCGGTGATAGCTGCGGTGGGCTTGCTGAAGCTCCTCTCACGCTTTATGGCGCGGTCGCCGCTGGACAAGCTACGCGGTCCACCCAATCCTTCTTTGTTGCGAGGTATCGACCAATCTTTCATATACACGGTGTCCAAGCTCACCAATGTCCTTAGGAAACGTGGATGAGATCACCAACATCGATGGCTGGGAAATTCATCGCCGCCTCAGCGAGGAATACCCGGGCGCTGCCAAGATTTGGGGCCCATTTGCCGTACGTGTACCGTGACCCGTCGACTATCCGCACTCGCCCATCGCTAACGCGGACATCAGAGTCGACGCCTCTACGTCTCTGACCCCTTGGCACTGTACAACATCTTAGTCAAGGTTAGTAAAAACCTTGAACTATGTTGACACGTTCGTAATAAGGCACGTGTACGCGTAGGATCAATATGTTTACACCAAGGCCTTGGATAGAACTGGTGAGTTAGGGTGAATCAACTATCGGAACTACGAAACTCTTAACGATTTCTTCGAGCACAGAGTCAATAAAGCGTATGCCTGGCGTTACACTCGTGCTGACGCATGGAACAGAATAAGCGCGCTCGTTTTCGGTCGAGGCCTCCTGTCCACTTACGGTACAATGCTTCGACAACCAGATTGTCCAGAAGCTGATCATCTTCACAGGACATAACCATAAACGCCAGCGCAAACTGATGAACCCTGTCTTCTCCATGGCACATATGAAATACATGATTCCCCAGTTCTACGACGTCTGTCATCAGGTCGGTCACCCGTTCCTACAAAAGTCATGGCGCTTTGGCTTAGGTTAGTTCAAGTTATGCGACGCGCTGACTTCTCAGCTGGTCGGGGGAGAGCGGGAAGTCGATATCCTGGTATGGATGACAAGAACTGCGATGGAACTCGTCGGACGGGTATGCACTCACATTTGCATGGAAGCTAGCCTGACCATATTCCACAGGCTGGTCTTGGGTACTCGTTTGATCCCTTGACCGAAGAAACCAGCAACCATTATGCTGACGCGATTAAGGCCTTGGTGTGCGTTGCTTGAAGTCTCACCGTTCGGGAGTTCAATACTTATGCAGTGTTCCTAACTTCCTAGCCCTGTTCTCTCCACATCCGGCCGGCTTCGGGAACTAGTTCCCTACTTCACGGCGCTCAATACCCCTTCGCTGTTCAAACGAATCGTGCCGTATATCCCGATCAAGCGTGTTCAGCGTCTGCGCTACGTGACCGAGGCTCTGGAGAAGGCGAGCCGCGAAGTGTACAATGCCAAGAAGGAAGCACTACAGAGGGGCGACGAAGCCGTCATGCAGCAGATTGGAAGGGGCAAAGACATCATGTCCATTCTTGTGAGAGGACCGCACTCCTCGCCGAGTATGACACGGGAGCTGACGATGCTCTTAAGCTAAAAGCCAATCTGGAAGCGGACGAGAATGATCGATTACCGGAGTCGGAGGTCATTGCTCAGATGTCAACCTTGGTCTTCGCTGCCACTGATAGTGAGTTTGTCGCGATGAAATTTGCCAACGATCGCCGATCGATGTTTAACAGCGACTACCAATGCGTTATCCCGTATACTCCATCTGCTCTCGGAGCATCCCGACGTGCAGCAGAAGATGCGCGATGAGATACTCAAGGCTCGCCAGGCTCAGGGTCATGAACTCATGTATGAGGAGCTCGACGCACTGCCGGTATGTCCAAACCACATCAGATCCCATCAATATGTTCACTGTGCACGAAGTATATGGATTCCGTGATTAGGGAGACACTCAGATTGTCCGATTCATTACTCTTGACCCAGCTTGCAGATCTAATGCCGTATCACGTAGGTATGCCCCGGTTCCGACGCTGTTCCGCACGTAAGCGCAGTTCATGTCCTGATGAAGAATCCTTCACTGACAAGGTTCGTAAGGGCTACGAAAGACATGGTCCTCCCTCTTCTCAAACCGATCACATCCGCGGATGGCTTTCTACTGCACGAAATCGCCGTCCCGCGCGGAACGACTGTTGTTGTGAGCCTTCGGAATATTAACCGCTCGAAAGAGTACTGGGGCGAGGATGCCCATGAATGGAAACCTGAGAGATTCCTCAACCCTTTGCCCGCCCAGCTGCTCGAGGCGCACGTACCCGGGATTTACTCCAACATGTGCGCAGGCCTTATCGTGTACGATCAGGCGAATGCTGAAAATGGACTACTTAGGATGACTTTCGGTGGAGGCGCATTCTCTTGCATCGGGTTCAAGTTCTCCCTGCTTGAAATGAGTGCGTCTGTTGCTCAGGTTTGTATTGAGATCGCTGACAGAACAATCGCAGAGGTAGTACTTGCTCTGCTACTTGAGCGTTTCGCGTTTTCTCTACCCAAAGAAGAGATCGCATGGAAGATGGGGGGTATAATAGTGCGTCACGCTAATTTACGCGATCCAACCGCTCGAATACTCACAGACCCTATACAGTTCCCAACCGTTGCGGGAACACAGGGAGCTCACATGCCCCTGCGCATGTCCCTCCTCAAGAATGTCAGCCCATCGTGATGCTCCGGAAGCTTTTCTGCATGCCCGCAAGCCCGCGATTCGTAGCTGCCGCCCCTCCCCCGGGGTTCGGTTTTTCAAGTGATCGTACACAGTGCTGTTATAACATGTACCATAGTCAGCCGGGAAATCAGAGATCGATGAGATTGCCAAATCATGGCAACGCCTTCGCTGAGGATGCTTCTACATTTTCCGGTGTTCGAAGGTCCATCGTGGCTGTTATAATTCATGGTTAGATACGGTTATAGGGACCCGCTCTACTATGCAATTAGGGTGTTCTACAAACTATACGAGCTTTCACGAGTAATCTAACGCTATTATCCTGAAGCATGCGGCAGCGTTACAATGTCAATCTTCTTGGTTATCATGACAAGAGCGTCCCCAGGAGCGTAGCCGCCACAGCAGTCCAAGTGAAAAGTGGATGCGAAGCATCGTATGTTGAGATTGCAGGGCTCTTTGACGACTGCGATCCTGTACTGCTGTTTGGGAACACGGTGTTTGCTGCGATAATCCCGTTATGACCGATTTCGAAGATTCATCCTAACCAGACTTACGAGTGTACTGTGATTGATTTGTGATGTCCGCCACGAATTTAGGCAGGCTGGAGTAGGCAAAGTGAACAAAACACCGGATCCATATATCGAACAATCACTTACCTTCCGAGGAATGGTTCGTATGTGGACGGCTGGGTATCGTTTGTTGTCCCATTCCAACACCATGTATTGTAGCATTCTTGACATTGATCGCTGTGGCTAAGACCCGACCTTTCGACGCTGCGTTTCACCACAGCGCACGCGAGGCACTTAGGCCAATCGGAAACCTGTGTTAGCCCTGTAAGCCGTGTACGCCATGACACATCAAATTCCGCGAACCGTGTCGTTCAGAGTCGTGCTATGAAATGCGTTGTTGAGAGCACCAAGTGACTCGCTGTGCTCATAGGACAGTTTGTAGGTCGAGGTGTTCGCAAAGTAGGACCATGGCCATGAAGGGATGTACGCTAGTCAGCCGCGTCAACACTAAGGTTGGCAGCCTTATAAGATCATGGTCACCGATAATGGGGGCAGTCCAGTTCGCCGAAGCATTATAGTTAGTCACGTCGGACGCGTTGCAGCCGAAGAATGTTGGACGAGAGTTGAGTCTGGATGTATGTTATACCGAGCTGCAACGAGGATTTATATCAACCTACCCGAGGTTAACCCAAGAATTCGAATTGGTGGGCACGTTCGGCATTGAGTACTTCTGTGAATTATACATCGTGCGGTTCCCTGGGGCACAGGTCAGCTATGATGGTGAAGGTATATTGCGACCTTATCAACGCTTATCAACGCACAAGTCGCAATCATGGCAGTTCTGGGGTGACTCGATTAACAAACCACAGACACTAGAGACAAGCGACGCACCCGTTGGGATAGCTGTAATCGGTGTCTGCCGAGGAATCGTACCTACCGGGCGGTCAGTGAGCACCGGAACCATCCGTAACTTAGCGACCACTTACGCCATGACGAAGTCTACTTGACGATCGGGGTTCAGAAGCGGCCATAGACTATTCAATCAACTAGTCGGTACACATCCGGCTTGATGTTAATACTCAGGACTTACGGGATATTGTCCAAAGCCTCTCCTCCATCGACAAGACCTGGTTTGCGTGATCAGATAAGAGCCCATCTGGGAGGGTCGCGACTTACTGATCGACTGATTGCCTGCAATATCGTTTTGTTGTGGAAGATACCCGTACCACGGGTTCGGGCTATAGACGAGATGAGCTGTTCGTCATTCGCCCTCTATGATTGAGAGGAAAACAGACTATGGGGCGATGTCATTGTTGCTCGCGGAGAGGCTACCTAGGATCTAAACGAGACGTAAGAAAGCGCGTTCTGTGTCCTGCAGAGAAACAAGCCCCACCTCTTCGATGGCGTCCTTCAGCGCCGACTGGATGACACCAGACGTTGAGCCATCGTCGGTCAGTTCGATCAACGCTTCATTGAAGATTGTGGCTGAGGTTGCAACCGTGAAACCGATATTACTAGGGTAAAACCAAGTGAGCTTTACAAGTGATATTCGATTGATGCTTCGCATACTCGAAACCAGAGACGCATTGGTTCTCGGCAACCTTGCCGTCATTGAATTTGGTCCCAACTTGGTCAATGGGTACAAATGCACCAGTTGTAGCGCCTAATCCGTTCCCGCCCAGTGGCTCGAATGAGCCAAATTCGTACGGGTCGAACGTGAAGATTGAGGCATTCTGTCCTACGATGAGTTGCCCTGGCTCTCGCTCGAGCGCGACAATGATAGGATATGGCATTTGCTGAGCCCGAAAGGTACTCGTGTTACGGATGGCACCGCCGAAAGTAGTCGTGGCAGCATGATCGGGATAGACATTACTATCGCTGAGATTTGGCTCTGTTTCAGCATTCAAGCTTGTGAAATGACCGAGTTACTAACAATAAGTGATAGCTGAGAGCTCGCGCCCACAGGTCTGTAATGCTCGTGTCAAATCCAGCGTGTATCTTATCGAGCACATCGGCGACAACGTCCGAATAATACTCTGCAGCGTTGACAATCCTTTTGATGGCATTAGGACTGCGAGTATTTCAGAGTGAATGTTTCATACCCAGATGGAGCTACAAGGCTATCTTCCATGTTCCAAACATTGCTCTCGAGGTAGTAAGGCGATGCCATGTCCGACGCAGCAAAACTCTGGAGCTCATGCATCAGAAAATATAAAATATTATGGGCAAAATTGCAGGTCTTACAGTAACAGCCCAGCTGCCGCCGCTCAATCCGGCCATGTATATACTGCTTTGCAGTAAACCAGCGACAGATGAATCGTTCCGCGAGTCCAAAGCGCTGATGCCCCCTGATCCGTGCAACATAGCTCGGTAACCGCCTCCGGAAATGGCGATTGCAACGCGAGGCACCGTATTGGTGTTGCTAAGCAAGTCATCCAAATTGTCCAGGGTGAAGTTGGCGTTGGTGAAGAACGTTTTGAGTGAGTCCTTGGCATTATTCAATCGCCCTTCGATGTACGTCGTTTCGTTCGTCGAAAGAGAGGTAGCTGGTCGTATGTAATCATGATCGGACGGAAAGGGACAGGACTGGTTCGTCGCGGGAGCATAGGATGTTTGGCCGTCGGTTGCATTAGCACGAGCGTAAAATTTCTCGTAGCTCCTCTTGACGATTAAGTTCTTGAGCTCTGCCTGCTGAAATTTGGTGATAGAGGCGGAAGTAGGATAGGACAGAAGCGCAGCGAGACAGGCAGTTTGTAAAGTAGAGTGGACACGCATATTCTTGACTGCAGGTCGACTAGGAAGGATCTGTAAGCCGCACCAGTTATATGGCCTGCGGGTGTCCAAACGCAGCGGTCGGCGGGCGACATGCACCGGCTGACGTCATCCGGCGGTAGCGGCGGCAGGTTGATTTTGCAGCGGAGACCGGACGTTTCGGCGACTGCACTTGTACAGTAAGACACCGGAAGTCAGCAATGTCAGAGACATTTGAAACGAAAAATTAAAAGTCTTGCAGGAGCCAATGAAGATGATGATGACATTTATATCCACAATATTGACGTACCTGATCGACGTTCCGGCGTCCGAAATGGGCGTTACGCTTGCATCCGCTAAACGTTGAACGCCGGGCGATGGTGCTCAACCAGTGGTCCACGGTCGCGCGTCAATGGCAAAGATAAATCATTGGGCATTCAGTTACGCTATGATAATACCCAAAAGCTCCTAGTTCTCGAAGGCGATGCGATCTCCGTGTTGGACTATAGCTGCTGGGGTCGTACACGATTCATCAGAGCTGGTGTGCTCCAGAGTACAGTAGACTGAGAGGCCGAGCAGGGCGGTGGCAGTCAGCTGGACTGCTGCCAGAAAAACGCAGTGCGACCAAGCGTGCTGGACAAAGAGTTTGGCATCAATCCGAGATAGCCGAAATACCGACATTGCCTGAAACATTGAGTCGGCATCACCAGGGGCATCGAGAGCAAATAACAACTGGGACCTGTCGTGAACCAGACCCGGTGCTGACGCTAGCGGAGCCCATAATGCACCTAAGGTCGGTAAATGTGCAATCTACGCGCGGGGGGGGGGGGGGCGAAAGATACCTCTAGATTCGCAGTCTCTGGTGGATGAGTAACCCATCTTCCCAAACCAGCCGGCGCACGCCTCCCGGGCATGGCAGAGCCCTGCGTTTTGCATGTCAGTCAAATCCTCGGACGGAAGTCAAGGCACGCAACAGTCTCCGAGAGGCCCTGTTCAACGAGGGCTCCCCGTAACGTGCTGGCTTCGAGCTCCACCCCGATTACACCATGCCAGGGCCCATACGCTGCCGCATCCGACGCCCACTTGTGTCATGGGACCGAGCGACACGTCGGAAATCGTACGACTCTCCACGCCCGATCATACTCGAAGGCAAGGGAGTCAATGCGCCGAGTTCCTCAATATAGAAGCGACAAGGGCATAACAGGGCACGCACTGCGAAACGAGGTGCAAAAAGTCGTAAAAATTCGAGTCGTGGCGCGACGCGTGGCATCGAGAAGCCCGTCGGGGCTTGCCTCCGTGTAGAATTGACTCGATAAGCTCCCAGTGATAATACCAAGCGCGGAGATGTAGCTGTCTAGCAGTCTTGCTCAATACAGCGTAGTCCATGGAGTGGAGATGCGAAGCTTGTTGCGTGGTTGCAGTGACCAGCCGGAGGTCGCGACAGGTTGCATCCTCCGTCGTGACGTAACGGATCACCTTTCTTGCCGAATATGGTCAAAGCGCAGTGTCACACTGTGATGCACGCAGCCCGACGACGCGTATGCATTCCGAGACAGTGAGAGCAGCATTCCTCTATCGGTGTCTTTCGGCAGTCTCGATGCCACCATATGGATTTCAGTGGGTGTTGCTGCGTTCCTTTGCCCTCGGACAACGTGCCCGTATCGAAGACGACGTAAATATGATATGCGTACTTGAGCTGCTGTACCTGACATCTCCGCGGGGAGATTGCGTTTGGGACCCTTCATGCGTAGCACGATGAGGATGGTAGGGGTAAGAGTTGCCGGATCAGCATCGATGCGACTCCCAGGACCGAAAAGCGGTACTCCGAGTCCAGATGTTGGGTCCGTAAGCATTAGACTCGGCGTAGTCGTGCTGGTGGTAACGGGTCGATGGGCAAGATTTCGGCGAGTCGGGGTACACGCCACGCATGCAAAGCGTTCCGGTTCGGGTGATCGGGATGGTGGGTCAAGGGGAGCTAGACCATGAGTGTAGGTGATAGAGAGGTAATACAGCGGCGCTGACCACGGCCTGCCGTTGCGCGAAGCTCTAGCCCTAGGGGGTTGAGCACCATGCGTGGATCAGGGAGTTGTTGCCGGATCCGCGCAGAGATCGGACAGCTGAAGCCAACCTGGCAGGCAATTCCCGAGTAGGATGTTCCCTGTCGATGGATAATACGCCCCCGCCGGGGACGGATGCAGCTGCCGACTTGAACAATAAGATTAGATGGCCCCTATCGAGACATGGTAGAACCACGATATCCATCAGGCGGAAGCACCGATGACAGCGTAGGCTTTCTGAGTTACGCCGAAGTATGCCACCAATATCCGACGCTGATCACGTATCTGTGGCGATGCCTCGTACCGGATGAACGTCGGTTCATCCGAGGAAGGTGTAGAATAAATCCCTTCCGATGATCTTGCACGGATAAAGCATAGATGGTGCTGGATAATCCTCGAGATGTGTTGCACGAGGACCGCAGCGCTGCAGTCATTTCGCATCGGATAGAGGCGAAGGCCCGTGAGTTGCCGGAGTTCACCGCTTGGCCGCAAGTGGACATAACGTTCACCGGGCAAGACGGTCAAGTCAAGCCCTCCGGCGTACAAACCCGTGGCGGTGAGAGTCCCGATGCGGTGGCAAGTGTGCTGGCAAAGAAGTAACTGATGGGAAAGAGAGAAGGTAAGTGAATCTTGAGCGGAGACAAACGGGATCCGTTGCAGTCTTCCTAATGCTCTGCTGACATTTCATCTTCCTGTCCATGTATGCTGATTGGTAAAGGTCTTTCAGAGAGGGCTGCTGCGGGCAATAAGACGCGTACATTTGTACCGTGAGGTAGCCTGAAGGTGGTCAAGAAGCAAATCGATCCCTTTCCGATGACCACGGAATGGGCTGTAGACCCATGCGCATAAGCCAAGGGGACAAGGTAAGATAGGATAAGATGAGATGGGCCGATGGGTAGATGTGGCTGTGCGACACGATCCGGGATCCGTGCTTCTGTCTCCTCCTCCCTCGGAGGTGCGAGATGGGACGGATGAACGGCTGTGCTAATGAGGCACGCATGAGGAGACCACAATTATGAGCTTGCGGGGTACCTGCATACAGCAGCTTTAGATGGAAGCCTGATTAGCAAGATCCGGTGGTCTGAGTCACATATGATCGCGCAAGCAGCTCCTATGAAGGGCGAGGCGGGACAAAGGCATCTTCGAACCCTGTTATTCAGCCTCGCAAGGCGCGCGCTCGGATGAGTCAGGGTCAGAGTTGGAGGTGCAATATGTACGTGCTGCTATGATTGGCCATCTGAATGGGAGGACAAGCTCTCGGGGCAAGCAGGAGCGCGACGTTATCCCGATGGTTTACGCACCGTGCCGATGCAAAGCGGGGATAGTGTTGCCGGGCGTTGGTGAGGCCAACCCGGGAAGGACAGGAGGGGCTAGCGAATGAGAAGCTGGCGTCGGGTGCACACCAATCCCGAGCGGGCGACCCACGAAAACTGCCACATAGAGCAGGCATTCGCCCACGAGGAGGCGCAAAACCCACAGGATACCGCAAAAGGCAGGCATGTGACGCAGACCGTGACGTTCGGTCAGGCGCGTGTACAGGGGCAGGCATGGTCTTTTCGGGCCAGCTCCGAGTGTCCAGCATCCCGCACAGAGGCAGGCGGGGCGCGCGAACGGGCCGAGGAGAGAGCACATAGCGTCAAAGGTGCTCGCAGAAGCATGGGTGCAGGCAAACACGCCTGCAGAAGATTTTGCTGTGTTCACTGCCAGCGTGCGCAACGCGACCGCGTTGTCGAAAATACGGACGGGCATGTGCGTTACGGGCTTATGGTGGGGACGGGGACGGCTTGTGACCGCGCGCAGCGTGAGTTTCTGGCTGGATTCGGGCGACTTTTGCGTAGGTTCAGGTCGCGAGGGTGGGTGTTGCGACGCCCACGGAACGATGGGCTCACGCATGTGCCCGCCGGGGCATCCCCGGCCGGTCATACGGTATATTCGAGATGCATCGTCGGACACAGTAGCTGAATAGGATGGCGTCCTGGTATCTGAGGAGCGCCAACGTGACGCACTGCGCGCGGATGATGAGGTTACGGGGGGATTACGCAAATCAACTCCGCAGGCGGATGATATCTGGACGGCAGGAGGATGATAGAGGTCATCGGCATGCGGGGAAATCTTGCTGGTTCGGAAAGATATCTATCTGCATCGTGTTCGTGCGGGTGGGCCGAGGCTGACGCAGGAAGTAGGCGATAGTGTAATCTGGGAGTCTTTCATGATTCATCGCCGCAGGCTTCTCTTGCCCTTTCAGCCCGGCTGATTCGGAGCTCTCGCAAGGGCGACCGTAGTGGATAGCTGTATATAAACCGCCGGCTGACGGTGCGATGCGGATCGCCATCCCCTCCCCCTGTCCGCTGCTGTAGCATACGCACACCGTCCCAGCGTGTGACCGCGCGTCTCACTGTCACACTTCGGCAGTAAAACACCTTGCCTCGCGTAGCAAACCTCCCCAGGCTAATCCTTTCTGGGTTCCCAGCCACCCATAACTACCCCCCAGTTTTCTCCGAGACCCACTCCTCCTCCCTCCTCCCCCATGACCCGCCACTCACTCGAGCTCGTCCGCTGGCCCTCCGGTGGCTCGCACCACAAGGAGGGGCAGTACGCGCCCTCCTCCAAGCGTTCCGACATTTCTCGGTTGCTCGACCCGGCCTACCTCCCTGGCCCCGTCGCGAGCTCATCGTATTCTTCTGGCGCGTCGTCGTCGCTTTCCCATTCGCCCACGCGCGAGGTTTACGTCGACCACCGGGGCGACCTGCACGACCCCGACTACCGCCACTTCCCTCC